GTCCAACAGGAAGGGAAAGGGCAAAAAAAAAAAAAGGCATATGATAGCGTATCTTTTTTGATATTAACTAAGGTACTGGCAAGGTTTGGTTCGAAGACAAAGGAACCTGAATACGTACTCGTCAATCACATGATAATCCATGTTTAGGTCTATAAGAGGAAAATGTATTGCCAAATATTACTTTGGAAATCTAGAACTTCATACTACACGCTTGCTAGGATGGTAGGAGATATAACTTCTTTTGAGACAGAGGTGTGGATAGAGTATGGGTTCGGTGTGCTTATTCTGCTCCTTAGAATATTTGCACGGTGGAAGGCAGACAGGACTGGAAAATGGCAGGGTGATGACTATTTTACTATTCTGGTCCTTCTGTTCTGGACTGTAAGCAGCATCGATACCAAATACATTAACGTGGAGAACTTACAAGGGCTTTACTTCTTTCCAGGGACACGTTGTCATGCTCGAACTTATTGGTATACCCCACTGAGCATAGAAAAATCGTCCTCGTCTCCGAAGACTCAGGCTGACCATTTCTCTAAAACAAGGCCGCTATGGAACCAATATCGGGTGGTCCTCTGGGCAACACAAGTTGCTTAATAATGATGAGATCCACCGTCTTCAGATTGGATCTAAGTGCCTTACTGCTGGGTGGTGTTTTTATGTTTCAATGATCTGGTGCTTAAAGGCATGCATGATATTTTTCTACCGTCGCCTCACGTCAGTATTAGGTTTTGTTTCTTATATATATAACATTAATTTTTGTCCTTCCAACAAAGTGCTATGATGCTAACCCTTTACAGCCAAGGCCTTATTCTAAAAAAACTTGTCCGGTTTACAGCAATTTTGTGTGCTAGCACATATATAGCTGTAATCCTAACGATATTTCTGCACTGCCGACCTTTATATAAACTTTGGCAGTTTTATCCAGATCCAGGCGGTATGCAATTTTTAAAGTTATTTTACAATGCTTACACTGGCATGCTGAAGTATATTTAGCTGAGTGCACGACTGATTTAATGAATTATATTGTTATTGCGGCGACCAATATAGGGTATGTCTTCCATTTCTAATATAAAAATATAAAAATATACTAAAACACTGCAGAACTGATATACTCATTGTTTGCATCCCTATCCCTCTAATAATTCAAGTCAAAGTGTCCCTATTACGGTATATCTCCCAGAAATCTTTATAAACGTAGACTTACAGAGTCTTTTCTGCTCCAATTTAGGAAACTTGGAATGTCCCTATTGCTCTGTTCCGGAGTGTTTGTTATATGCGCCGCTCTAATCCGCTGCATAATGTCATTAAACAATCTGAACAACATCAACAAAAGCATCGTTTGGTCAAATCGTGAGAGTGTTAGTGAACTAGTCTATCTGTTAAACTCTTTCCTTTGCTAACATACCTCTGGGCTAGATTGTTGCTATTGTAGCGGTCAATGTTCCGTGCATCAAGCCTATCTTCAATGCCTCGACCTGGAGACAACAATCATCAAGTAGAGATATTGAATCAGGTCACGGAATCCACGTCAACACTACATTTGAGATGACTGAGATTGAACACGTGAGAGACAGAGAGGGAATTGATCAAACAGACATGCTGTATTCACCTTCCAAGACATTTCCCCGAAATCAATCACCCTTTGAGGGCCTCCAATCTCCAGGACCAGCGTGGAAATCACATATTGCGAAACAACACCGGTTGTCATAGATGTAAGGAGATGACTGGAGTTCAACAGTTCAATTTTTGAAGGAATGTATACTGCTGCTCAACTTGCTTTAACTTCTCCGGAAGTGGATATTCTTCAGAACGTGCCCCTCCCACCCGTCCGCATGCTAATACAGTCTGATTCCTCTAATTGTGAGAAGTACCTACACGGTGTTACCAGTCTAAATTTTCGATATTCACCCGGGATATAATCTTCAAAGGGGAGTAAATTCCCATATTCCACTGGGATGGTAGCATGACATTCATTCCACGCTCCTCTTAGGATATTGGAGCTTTAAAGAAAGAAAACAAACAGGGAGAAAAGGCAGGGCCAGTGGTCTTGTTAGTTCTAATGGACCGTGTAGGGAGGAAAAAATGACAACAACATCACACCAGTTCGTTCCATCAGCAGCAAACATTGCCTACACTGCAACACCACGAAAATTTCTGGCTGGCCAGCACATATCTCCAAGACATGCCACTTATAAACCAAATTACAGCTTGGGAAATACAACCGTATCTGGCAGAAGAACAAGATTAAAGGTTCTCTCAGATATAGATCCCCGGAAAATCAGCCATAACACTCGCAAGGCGAAGCTTAGATCTAGAAACCACTTATCTGCAAGGAGGACTCAGCCACATCTACGATTCTGTTGTGCTGGTGTAAAAGCCACCACTATCATATATTGTCAGTATGGGTTATCAACTCAGCTGACGAGATAAGTGTCTGGCAAGATATCAACTACGCATGACATACCCACGGAGGGTGGTGGAGGAAACTCTTACCGTTTTTCAATACCAAGAAAATTGAGATCTTTGAGGTTAGCTCTTGCGTTCTGAAGCCAAGATTATATCCCGCGTACTAACAAATTGTGGTAAGATTTCCATTGCAAGGCAGGATCAAGAAACAATCGCAGTCCCACATTTACGAATAGATTCGAGGGCATGTTCGCCCAAGGGAAACTAGAGCAACAAACAGATCTTCCGTGCCAATACGGCTCTCACGCCAGGCAAGTTGAATGCTGGAACAATGGCCACTGTGTAACATCCATTGGCAGTGGATGGGACGCACAATGCCAGTAAAAAGAGATCTATAAAATAAAAAGATACCTGTCACAACTCAACGTACGTTTAGTTTTGAAGTTGGCCTTTACAACCTCACCTTGCTACTGCAAATAGCTTCCTGGACAGGGAGCGGCTTATTCTCAGTCATCAGTATTTTTTTTTTTTTAAAGAACAGCATGAGAAAGATCGCGTGATGTTAAGTCAGTTCATACAGATATATTAAGAGAACTCAGTTTCTGGCATTGTCCAGATCTAGGAGAGAACAGGTTCCACGGAATTACGATTAATAAACTCTAGGAGTTTGATTCACAGCATATAATCTTGCCATTGGGAGAAGCGGCATCTTTATCATGGTGTTTTTGCCAAGTTGATTTACAGCGACTAGGGAGCAGCATGGAACGTTGGAAATTCCTCATCTCGTTAACGGCACTCCTGTAGATGTTAGTTAGCTAATCACTAATATGGAATGACATTTTATGCTACTAGTATTCGTGATGGTCAAGATCCATTAGTATCTACTATCGCCCACTCAAAGCCATGTATCGCATTTTGTTCTATCTTTTTACTACATATGGATTCAGATGGTCATTGATGGAGATGTCCATAAAATTTGCTGTTCTTCTCTAGGAAACTTCCTGCTATAGGTCATTTTGGGTTTTGTGACTCTAGGGTCTATCTGTTTCCCCCCCTTTGACTATAGTACATTCAACAAACTTATGGAGCTGTTTCGACAGCAATATTTTATGCTAAGCTGGACCTTTGCACTATAAAGTATACCACCATCTCCTTTGTGTAATCAAAAATCTTCGGAACTTGAGATCTGCCGAGGGTGAAAATACCGCATACTTTCTAGGGCAAGTGCAATATATACATACTATAACGCATAATCATTGCCGGCGTTAAATTCCTTGCATATATTCAAGCACACACCAGCACTGGAACCCATATAATTGGGTAAAGGAATAACGTAATTGATAAGGTCATTTTTCCTTATAAAAATGGCTTTTTTTTTTTTTTTTTTTTTTTCCCGAACTTGACGTGGCAAGGAGACGCTGATGTGTACTAATCATTGTCTGTGCATCCCGAATATTTGATATGAGCATTTCTGTTTGGGAAACAGCATCCGCCTAGGTCCGGCTAATGGCTCTTGTTTTTGCCAGTTCTAACCGTTTCAGTAATCTTGCACTGTCTGTCTGTAGATCTTGTAGCTGCCCAATAGGTACTGCTTCTAAACCCCGGTACTGATGTTCGACAACAGAGTGGCCTGAATCTGAAGAACCCGAGCAAACCGGAGTATTTGAGGACACCATCGTCTTTATAAGGTCTTGAGTACGGACGGCCAGAAAAGAATGTCCAACATGTGTGTATAGTGCTATATATGCACCAACAGAATGTTTACTTATCTGTTTGTCAAAGAGTGCCTTTGTTGAAGGGTCATTGATTTGCCATGAATATGACAGGTATTCATTTCCGGCTTTAAGGCGTACTTTAGATGGGCTAACTTGAATTCCTAGCCTTTCTCCTGCCAGAAATTGGCCAGTATTCATTGTATTTAGGCAACCTATGATCGTACTGATATGTCGTAACAAGCGGTTATGACAAATTGACCGCCATTCCCTGTGTATCTGGGTTCCATTTCTAGCGCGAGAGGAGCGTCCTTGGTTACTCACGAGGCAACATTATATCGGCCTCGGTCAGTTCTCCGCGCTCGTCTCCCTTTAAGGCCGTTTGGCGAGACGGAGCTCGCCTTTGGGTATAGCTTATTTGTTTAAAACTTGGGGCTCGATCTCCGTGCAGTCAACCATAGAATTTTGTACGACATCTGGCCTCTTTATAGTGTCTAGTAGGCCATCGATTTTCATAATGCGATTAGCGACCTGATACATGTATGGTGCTGCGATGTAATCTAGACAATGACTGTTCATAAATCTTGGGAATTTCTTGAAAAATCGTTAAAAGGTCACGTGTATTTCGATGTCGTCCCATAACATGTACATGTCTTTCGTCGGTGCGGTCGAAGTCCTGCTGCCTGGGCGGCTAAAGGGTGTAGCTCAGACGCCGCCCGCCATCCCTACTTAGGAGAAAGAAATTTCCGTCAAGCTGTAAGCATCGAGGTGGTTTGCGCACTGGGAGAGGGACGTGAGCTCGCACGGGATCATAATAGGTAGAGTAGGCTGTAGCAGAAGCAGGGCCTCAAGAATCAAAGCAATAATATAGTAACATATTCACATTAGAAAGAACCCCAACGTTCCAAATGCAGCTAGCAAACAGGATACGCCGAAAACAGCCAGTTGCTGCGCGGCACTCTCATCGTCCTCCAGGCAATCGGCCGGCGGGTTTAAGCCGTTGCACAAGCGCGCTTTCAAAGAGGCCGACATACTTGCGACAATGGTCGAGTCAATATTAACCCGACAAGGGTCCGGTGTGGGCGTCGGGGTAGAGGATGCCACCACTGCACATGTATCATTGGTGTAGTCACCGCCAGACCACTCCACCCACATGGGAACCTGCATGGTTTTATTGGTAACATTAATTGCAACGCCGTATTCCCCGGGACTCCCAATTACCTCGTAGCTAACCCTCCATTTGCCGTCTTCGTCCTGGTGCGGTAGATATAGAGGACCGGTAATAATCCGAACCGAAGAATATTTCGTGGTGAGGTTCTTGCAGAAGGCCTCAGAATAAGCCAAGTAGTGTTGGTTGAACCCGACCCCACGTGCGGGCACATATTCGACATCTTGAACGTCTCATCGACAGCTTCCTGCGACCATTTCGCCGGGTCGCAAGGGACTTGATGGCCCCGGTCGTAGCCTGTCTTACTCTAATCCGACAGTTTTGCCCGAAACGCCGCGGGATGATGGAGGAGGGGAAGGAGGAGTCTCAAGTGTTGATTTTTTTCGATGGGAGTATAGTATAGCAGATCTCGCCCCTGCAGCAGCACTAACTGCTGCTACAGTGGCATATTTCGCTCTAGACATGTCAAGTGTTTGACTGGATTCATGAATCGTCCCTCAGGGTTTAATATGATATGATTTGCATACTGGCTGGGTATTAACTTTTCTGATACATAGGCCAGAAGCAAGAGCTATCTGCAAGGAACCACATTTTGACAAATTAGTTGGCTATAATGTCCTGCGCATAAGTATGGTTGCGCTATTAAGAGTCCCTAAAGAGTATTTCATATGAAAGATCCAACAAATTCAGGCCCAAAGGACGCTATTTGTGGTCATACTCCGGAAGCGCCGGAATCACTGCTAAAGTTAGTTAATTAAATTTATAGTAGCAAATACCTCATTTAGGTAATGTGCTATATGTAAAGTATACTTGTCATTGTTGTAGTGACAAGAGGACTTCAGACTTCGCGTATCTCACCAGTACAAATACAGAGTTACATATGGTGTCTCCGGATTCATTGGTATTGAAAATGACAGATTAAGCTCAATAGACTTTTGAATTGTGATGTCAATTCTGTGGTTAATACCCACTATTTCTCCCACACGAATAATAATGCTCCGTGACGTCATAAACTTGGATTTCAAAATAGATTATATCTTGGTTCTCTCTTCTACATGTGGACAAAACTATTAACTTAAACAAATTAAAACCAACAGCTATATTCGGAAAGGACGTAGAATAGCAAATTTAACACTTGTATGTAGTATGCCAAGAATCCATTTATCTGGAGCTATTATAAATAGTAACACTTATTGGAATTTTAGCTGTTTTTTTTTTTTTAGAAATATCTAATCTATAGGATAATTCTATATATCGACATATGAGTTATTCGAGGGCCTTTTTCCAAAGGAATTGTGCGATTTATACTATAATTTCTATTTTGCCTTTAAGCCCCCATCAGCGGATAGCGATTATGTCCATATTAACCTTCCAATGTGATGTCAGAATATAGACTCGGCCTTGATTAATACTATATACTGACATCTTCATGATTCATAGACTTACTGAATTACCGTGCTTTAACGGAGGGGTTGATGTCATAACTTATTGCTCCTGCACTGATCTGGTTCGTCTTGCTCTGGGCTATTTATACTAGTTAGTTGGCATGTTCTATATTCTTTCTCTCTTTACCTCACAGAAGCAAGCTCGTCTTGATTATATGTTATCTATCTACTTGGACTAAGTCCACTATATTTATACTTTACTACATGATGGATCTTAACCAGGCTGAGAACCCCGATACTTTTGAAATTCCACCAGGTTCAAGCTGGACGTGTGATGGAATCACCAATGCCGCCTGCCCACAGCGGGTTATGATCGACATTAGTCAGGGGCCCGGCCGGTCTGAAAAGCATACTATGGAGGGCGGAGGTGATGGCCTACCCATGATAGTCGACCACCAAACCGATGAGCTTCAGCTGGATCCTAGGCCATTCCCACGACAATGTACTTTGAGGTTCCAATTTCTAGAAAATGGCCGTTGGCAAGACTCTCGGGTCTGGGACGAGAGGACCAACGATGAAAATGGTGAAATTTTCACAGCCAGGACAGAGGACTATGAGAGTGGAGATAGAAATGACACCGTGTTTACTGCTCGTATGAGTCGCCGCCCTTGGTAGCACGTTTGAGAGTGTGTCATGGCTGGTGATACTGATGTTTCATTCTATCCGGGTCTGTATTTGATTATTTTTATACGTACGAAAAAATAAAATAAGAAGGCTGATTTACTCTGAAATTATTAAATTGAATGAAAAAGCAGTTATCTACATACACACGATTTTATTTCCATACCGCAAGCTGTTCATTATTTTGTGGCTTCGTTTGCCTTGAGAATTTCCGAAGGGAAGGTACTGGTGGTTGGTAAAACATGGCATCTTGGGGGCGCAATTAGTTGGGTGTCTCCTCTCAACAAAAACCTTTAGTTTAGCACGGTATCCCATCACCCCATACAAATTATTATTAGAAATTTAACAATTTGACTTTTCTAATTCAATCGTATGAGTCTTCCTTTCTAGTTGTTTATCTGTTATTGTGGTCGCTGCTAAAAAAGAAACGATGTAGGAGAGAGTTTATTGTGTAACGTGGGCTGCAGCTTGTTATCGTTGATCAATTGGTCTTACTACAACCAAGCAGTCAACAGCCTCATTTAAAATTTCCCTGCCTAGCACAAATCTTGACGTTAAAGGTTTTCTCCAGAGTTCTGAGGAATGTGTCGTGTGATACGATGGTAGGGGCTAGCGCGACATACGATTATCTCGACATCTCGACTCCTATGACGGTCTACTCCCCAGACTAGCCCCTTACAACTGCTGGCATTAGGGCTTGGGATACACAGTTTTTCAGATCTATGGCACACATCTGGATTTAATTGGAACAGCGGGGGCTTTTATTTTGGAGACAACAAAATATAGTGCTACATGATGTAACTACTTAATACCTTCCGACCAGCTAAGTATTAGCTCTATAAACACAGGTTTCCACCGTCCGTAACATAAGCCCTGGATACCTTGAATCTTTGAATATTTACCTCCTAGCCTAACTATATAGTATCACCAGGAGCTAGACATATATCGCTTAATCGTGGCTCAGCCGAGACAGCCCCTGGGGAATGTAAGCCTCGGGCCCAAGTGCAGCTCTTATCCAAGGATCATCACCCTCCCTATTAGATCGTAGAGGAGGGGGCAACAGTAGGCACTGGTACAACAGTCTCCGGTACGTAGTCGCAGGGATACATGCAGCATTTCTCATCGCATGAAACGACATAAGGCGCCGGGCAGGGGATCCCGAGTGGCTTAGGCTATGTAAAAGTTAGGCTCTAATGCAAAAAAGGATAATAATATTAAGCCCTGGATATTGCTCACCACGCAGTCGGCTCGGTCAGGATCGTTAACTTGATCGGCAACTACCGCAGTTGAAATAGCTGCCAGGATTATAAGAACATAATGCTTGGTATTCATGGCAAAAGACCTGTTGACTAGAAGATCGGGGATAAAAAACAGATAGGTTAAAGCCTGGAGATATAGTTAATTTTTCAAGGACCCGAGTGAGTATATGTGGCCAAGGTAAAGGCTTTATACCTTGCAAAGCTTGATTCAGGCCGATTGGCAGAAGATTGTTGGGCATGATCTGGGGGCCACTGGGAGCTGAGACAAGTCTCATAATACCTGAAAGTTGACGGAGAATAATCATCTTCCGACCAGCGGCCACGTAATGTGTTCCTGCCCCACTAGTATTGTCCTGGAATTTCCAAAATAAAATAATATCATTGCAGAGGAAGCGGGCTGCTACAACAACATATATAAAATGCAGCCAAGCCCAAGGAGATTAGGAAAACCTATTCAGAGAAGTGCCTGTTATCTCTGACCCTCGGTGTGGGTTAGTGGTGATGGGTATAGATCCCCCTCTATATCCCGCTAGAAAACAAATCCCGAACCAATTAGGCAAGTCTCAGCACAAAAACTGATCTGTGTAAACTCACAAAATAGCTCGAAAATTCAAAATTTGACACTATTTTGAGAGTGCGAATCCCGCAAAATTTTGCGGGCAACTCGTGGGCGGTTTAACCCTTTCCTCTCATTTTATTCGTTTTAGGGCATCCATCACCACCGCCACTACCTGCACAGCGTCCTATGCTGACACTACGCTGATGTTGCGGTTTTTAATTGGAACGCTATGGTTATGTTTAATTACGCTCTCACAAATTTTAACCTGGGCGGGGCAGTAAGAGGTACGTACCTACTTTGATAAATTTGGCCAACTTAGAGGCATGACTTGCTGTCGTCTGCTTTTCGCATTTGTTGTTCGTCCGCCCACGCTCCCGGATCGATCCCGGAGCAAAAAGCGGTGCTAAGCCGGGCAGGAAACAGATGACATTGTTTTCCGGAACTACTGTACCATTAAATTGACCGGTAACAGTGGCAAGTTTGGAACAACACCCTTAATAGCTGCAGTACCTAATCAGCATGAAATAATTTATCTTTCCTAGAATAAACAAAACTCTAAAAATAAGCGATAGCTAGGGAGGTAACTGTTAATTATACATAGAAAATGTTTATATAAATAATGGCTGTCCTACATGGATAACTAGTTGGGGTGCAAGAAGGAGAATATTACTCACACGTAGAAGGCATCTTACCGATGATATTTTGGTTTCAGTCAGATCTACCGATAAAGACTTTTCCTGGCGTAATATTAGAAATTTCCATGGTTTCTTCCTAAGAAAGTGTTAATATAGCCTAGGTCCTAAAATACTACACTGTACAGTATTTAATGATTCGTGTAGCACGATCACCGAGCACACAGGGCAAGCAAATAGCCAACTTGCTACGTACTGTACGTATAGTAACAAGCTTATTTAAGTAAAAAAATTATGAAGTCAACTCGAGAGACGGCCCACTTCTACGCCACAGTAAGAGTTTTGTCGGCTTGAAAAGGCACTCGCAATTTTATGTGAAGCTACCTTCCCGTTTATAGAAAGTTGGATATCCAAAATCTCGTGCTTCTCTGGAGATCTTGGCTGGATTTAGGATAGTCTCTTTTGCAATGATAAATAAGGCATCCACCAACATTCATTTTTCAGAATAGACTCAGTGATTCTATGCGACCAGGTCAATAGTCTGGTCCGTACAGAATGAATATTTCTGTATACACAATAGGTGTCGACAATTACGGTAATATTAAATATTCAGTACCTTTCTCGGTCAAATGTAGTTAATGATGCAACATTATTTTATTTGTTTAACTCGCCTTTATAATCTCGAGATGTTTTGGTAGTTTAGTTGAATCAGAGACCTAATTCAATGAAGGATCGATACTTGCGAATACGCGTAATCTTTATGGTCGATAATAGGTAACAGCATACCCTAGCAGCTATCCCTCCTTTGAGATCGCTACAGCAGATAAGGTGATAGACAGCTTGATGACTCACACTCGTTCTCTACCCGTAGGTCTACCGCGTCAAAATCCCAGTGTTGGTCGCATTTGTTTTGATATATTGTATCTTTCGACGCACTGCAGCACAAGAGAGTTGGAAATCTCGAACAGGTAGTATTTCTAATCGGTAAACTAACGCGGCGTATAATATACTGCAACGATAAGCTCGGCTCAGACCAAAAGGTACTCATGCTTCTTCAAATAATTGTTGGTCCATTATTTGCACTTTAAAGCCAGAAATGAGCATATATGGGGCTTTGACTCTTAGTAGAAGTGTTAAAAGGATTGCCTATTGTAAGGCCTAAATAAGATAACTTGATTCTCAAGTTAAATGCATGGATAGGCCTAATTTATCTTTATTTGGCCAGCAGTCTTTGTTTGCTAAAGTAAACAGAACGGTACAGTAACAATACTAGTAATAATAATAATGATGATGAAAAACTATAAGCTGCTAAGGTACAATTTCGTCAACAAGGTACATAACAATACTTGAGTTGAGTGAACATAAGGAGGCCACTGCCAAAAATGTGCGCGTTGTGAATATAGCAAAATTCAGGTTAACTCGCATGGAAGACTCAGGGATTGCCGTCATGCTGGTACTCTTCAACGCTCCTATCAATTACTGCTAACTCTGTCATTCTGGGGCACCTGCTACAAATATCATGGTCGTAAATGTACATACGACAACAAGGTGTGGCAAATAGGACTTCCGTCCATTCAGCCATACCTAAGCCATGTGAACCGCACTGTTAATCCTGAAAGAGCCCTAGAATCTAGTCATTATAAAACCGCGGCGAACAGATTCACATACTAAATATTAGTGATACAGATTCTTTCTGCATAATAAGTAGTACCAGGATCATCTGATAGCACTAGAAAAGTAATAAAAGTGCTACTAGAAGTGTCGAAAAATATATAGGAAGTAGATCTGAAGTTGGATTAATTATTAAAATAATAACAATAAATAGTTAGGGATCTTAATTTTGTTAGTCTATAGTTATACTTTCTAGCTTTATTGATCTATACATACTGTCACGGGTTAAACCCAGTATGGTGCTCAGACTAAAGCCTTTACTACTATATAGGGCGCTAAATGCGACTGATCTGCCGATCAGTTGTCTTGTACCTTTCTATATGGCCAAGGGTTTTATCTCTACTAGCGCAGAGACAACCAATCCATTACATATACATTCGATATTGTCTACTTTAGTGTGTAGCAAGACCTCGTTTCCGTTCCTCTACGCACAAATCCAAAGCACAAAATTGGTATCGTAACAAAGGAAATGAGAACACTTGCTGTAGCCCATCTGACAGCTGACTACCGAAGTAGAAATCTGAATGGCAAGTCTATATGTATCCAGTAAAATATAGGATATATTATATACTTGTACTCCTAGCTTCCATCCCTAACTTATATTATATAACCATAAGAAATCATTTACCTCTGTTCTTCCTTCTGTATAAATCCTAGGGATTCACTGAACAATAAAACAAGAGCAGCATATCCCTTCTTAGGGGCATTTTCCAATGCCATTTTCTAGCCTTCTGACAAAACCTATCAGGCAGTTTCGGGCAAGACATCATCTGACAGCGCCTTGAAACACCAGCAGAGTCACTAAAGAGATCGGGTACAAATTCGCATAGCACGCAATCAGATCAAAAATTAAAAAAAAGGCCAGAGACAAAAATAATATATACATACAACAGCTGGGATTCGCTGGTGGTCACCCACCCAACTACTGACCAGCCGGCGTGTGGCTTAAGTACGGCTGAGCGGACGGGAAGCCCTGTTTTCCACACCCTGTGGTCGTATGTACTTGATTAAGTAGAAGCATATATTATATTTTATGTATTTTTAAGGCTATTATCCTGAATGGATATTCTACTCTGTCTTCTTGTAATTTAGTGCCGCCGCTTGGCCTGCGGTCGGTTCTAAAACCTTCAATATCGGTCGTATAACGAAGAATTAAGGGAAAACGCGTGTATTATTCGACAGAAGTATAAATGCATGCAAGACTGTTGACTGGGCAGCGAAAGTTGAGAACGGTATCTATACTTATATAACTTGAAAGAGCAGCCGTGGCTATTGGACCTGCTGAGTAAACTGACCAACTGCCTTTACATTCTGCCTCCAAATTTCTTAGCATTTACTACTCCAAGCAACCCCCGCTGCACTGTGTCAGGCTACAGAAAAACGGTAAGCACGGCCATATATACTTGTACCTATATATATATGTATGTATATATAAACCTTCCACTTCATCTCTGCTGCTATGGGCACAACCTCTCACTACGGCAATATATCCTGAGAAATGACCTGGAATAATGTTGTCTGTTTGAATCTACAATTAATTTAATTGATCCCCAACAGGATTGCTCTATATATTGCCGGGATTATTAAGAGCCAGTATGATTGAATGCTAGCAAAGTGAAAATTAAAGGTGACAATCTAAGGCGACGAGTTGTCCATTTTCTAGTTGTCGTAGTGGCCGGAATTATTCTCCTAATGATAATACGATTGACAAATTACTCCGAATATGTCTCCTTCTTTCTTCTCCTCACTGAATAAAGGCAGGCTGATCCGCAAATAGAGTTTTGCCAATCGGTTCTATCCCGTCGACTCCACGTGGGTCATAGGGCTACGTTGGGTCCACTTCAATCTGGTTCTATGTGCTTACAGAGTACGTACAAATGATGTGACATGGTAACCTAGGCGTTTGTCTCTTGGCATGGAAACATGGGGATCAAAAATGAGTGGCAAGTTGTAATTTTAGGTGTTGTAATTCAGAGGAACATTGATTATTCTTCATTACTTCTGTAGAGCTGAGGGTTTATATACAAGATGAACATCAGACTGATTTCGAATCAATCTAATACCTACACTGACTTTATTCCGTATCTGAAGCTCTATAATTTACCAGGTCGTACCTTAATTCACAACATTACAGAATCGTGCAGAAATCACTGGAGAATTCTTATTTGCAGAAAAGATTTGTATTTAAGGCTCAGCTGTCCTAGGTCCCCCTTTTGCAAAGAGATTAGAAAATAAGAACCTTGGGTACAATACAAATGATTTACGAACGTGACAGGTGTAACTAGGCTGATAGGGCTTTCGGCAGCCGAACGCACTCTTGTCAGCTCTTGAAAAATGTTCCTGACTTGAATTAGCGGTCTCGCCCCCTGGACATCATCAACTTTTTTGCATGGAGAATGTAATATTATAAAGGCGGGCATTGGCGTTCCTGGAGTAGCTTAACCACTGCCTCATGGCCACTCCTTGCCGCCCAATGAAGTGGTGTCCTACCATTTGAATCCTTGCAGTCAACATTCACCTTTCCTTTGCTAAGAAGTAGCTTAACCACTGCCTCATGGCCACTCTCTGCCGCCCAAGAGAGTGGTGTCTGACCATATTTTGAATCCTTACAGTCCACATCCACTCTTCCTGTGTCAAGAAGAAGCTTAACCACTGCCTCATGTCCATTCTCTGCCGCCAAAGAGAGTGGTGTTTGACCATATATTGAATCCTTATAGTCGACACCCACCCTTCCTGTGTCAAGAAGAAGCTTAGCCACTGCCTCATGGCCACTTATTGCCGCCCAAGAGAGTGGTGTCCGACCATATTCAGAATCCTTGCAGTTGACATCGACATTTCCTGTGTCAAGAAGAAGCTTGGCCACACCAGCCAGCCCCAAAGCTGATGCTATGAAAAGTGTTGTGGGGCCATTGGGAACAATATTCCCATAATTTTTATAGATTCTGGACCATACTTGATATAGATCAGAGCTTGGGTTGCAAATGTTCTGCGCGCGGATCAATAGCGGGTTCCCTTCTCGCACGCAAGCTTGACGAAAATGCGCACTCCAGTAACATGATGAATACACATAAAATTTTTCGTGATCAATTTCATTTCGTTCAAAGGCCAAATATGAAGTGCATATGTCTGCAAGAATCTCATTGGACTCCTCTGGCAGTAGTGAATGCTTCCATCTTGTGACTTCAGAGATGTTTATATTCACAGTAGGGTTGTTGCCCCGGACCAAGAATTCCTTAGCGGTTTGATGAAGAAGATAAACCTTTTCATCTATAACAACCACAAAGAGTCCACAGACATCCCTCAAAGTTTTCCTAAAACGGTCTTCTGGTTCCAGTTCATCACATATCTCTGTAAAAGTTTGGTGACCTGCACTGATTGCCAAGGCAAGAGACAGCTCTCCCAACGAGAGAGGCCGCATTGCAGCTGTAATAATATGAAGAAGAATTCTGGCTTTGTCCGCATCCAAACTCCGGTCCAAGATTCTTTCATAGGCGTTGTCAACAGTTGTGGGTAGATGCTGAATTACCCGATGGATATTGCCTTTCGTGAAACCCGGGATATTCTCGAGTACGTCCAACGTGAGGCTAACCCACAGATAGGTTCGATTTTCAACTGCCGTTAACTGTTGCATGAGCATACTGCGTTCATCCTTCTCCAGGGATCTTTGTTCGCTGATATCATCAACCCTTTTTCTGATAACAAGGTTTATTTCGCGAGATATCTGCTGGGCCTCTTTTTTGCCATCCCCGCTTAAATGGATGGTAGGTAGGTAGGCCTCCAGCTCCCAAAAGCCACGTCGTATGTGATCGTATGGTCTGCTTGTCATCAAGAACTTCAGCTTGCTGTTTTTATAGGGTCTCAAGTAAAAATCCGTGACTGCGCGAATGAGTTGATTCCGGTCACTATCTTGACACTCGTCTAATGCGTCCAGAATGCAAATAATCTCTCCGGCCTTCGGATTAGTAGAAATAGATACAAGCAAATTCCATAATTCAGAAAATGATTGGACAAACGTGTCACCGTCGGTATCCAGTTTATCCAGGACTGCATCTTGCAAAAGCTGAGGCTGTGCTATGAAAAGCTGACGTAATATAATTGAAAGTGCGCTTGTTGAACTCCTCTGATCCGAAAAGTCATCTTTGAAGAAGAAATAACAGACCGTTCGCTCATTTGTGTTGAGAAGAAGTTCGTCAACTAGGTATCTTGTTAAGACCGACTTGCCGCAACCTGGATCTGCCGACACCCATAGTAGACCGGAGGAGACATTACTTTTACTCTGTTGCCACGCCTGGAATAGAGAATGGCTTGTAAACCATTCACAAGTTCCAGGGACACGCTTGCTATTCCTGTCTTTTCGATCCTTGTATGGGCAAGTGTAGAGCAGCTTGAAAAATCTTTTTATCCTCTCGTCTCTAGCCGATGTAGTTGTCCATATATCACGTTCGCGTAAAGCATTCAGAATCTCTCGATGTCCGTTCAGAACCTCTTCGTGCCTCTGGCTTGATTCTGTATCTGCAATGAGGGAAGTAAATCGGTCTAGAGATTTTTCAAACCTCTCAAAGTCTTGCAGCAAGTCAGCCCATCCATCCCACTTAAAGATGTTTCCCAGAAGCTGGGAGGCTGAATGTCTGTGTAAATAGCAGAGCGCTCGAGCCTGGAACTCTAATATCCTGGTGTAGATGGAGACCAAAGTTTTTTGAAACTCCCCGAGGAGATCAATGGCCTGTTTTGTCTGAGAATGCGAATAAAGGGTTTCCATTACGCGAAGTCGAGGTATCAATCCAGAAGTCAATTCTAAGCCTTGTAGGAGAAGGTCATGCTGCTCTACCGCTTGGACGACCATCTAATTGAAGTTATAATCTCAATGAATCGAGCGTACACTCGAGAACACTAGATTAGGGCTTACCGCAAAACAAGCCGTTATGCCAGCACAGGCCAGCGAAGCTGGTGGGCTCGCGCTTGCAGCAGTATTGACAATATCTTTGATGGCCAAGACATTTCTGAATACCTTTGTGAGTTGGTCCCGAACAGTAATGCTATGATTCCCTAGGTGAATCGCCCACTTCTTCTCTTCTACTTGAATTGCTTTAGCCTCAAGGAAATCGCAAAGTCGTTTGTGGTAACTCGTATCTCCTGGCTGAAGTTTCAAACTGTAGTAGTATTCAAGTATTTCAGCCGAAGCTTTCAAAATCTTGTCCAGCTCACTACTTTGTCTCAATATTTGCTCAGCTCTAACCCAGAGATCGTTGGGTTGAGGGGTAGGTTCACGACGCTCCTCTTGCTTAGATAACAGGCTGTTCGACGGACTTGTAACCTCCCCTTTCAAGAAATTGCCTTTTTCAGACTGTGGTTTCTTTTCAAGTCGTAGTTTCTTCCAAAGTTTAGGCTTAGAGAGAAAAAAAGGCATTGTACGACGGAAGTTCCTTCTAGCATTGATGTTCAGGAGCTTGATGAGGGTGGCTTTGGTTGATACTCTTCAGCCAAAGTTGGGTGCTATTGTCCTTTTTCTTTTCAAAATTGGTACCCCCGCGTTTAGATGTGTTGGCGCGGCTGAACGACAGGGATATGGCGATCTTTTTTGACCAATTACAGCCAACTAACCTTTATCACCTGCCGCCCAAAATATTACTCACCGATTTTCTAAATGTAGATTTTAAACCACCACAACTCATTCAATACGGATCCAATTGTTGTGAAAATCAGGGAAAGTGATGCGCAGGGAGTACTCTATCAGGACAGACCAACTAGCCTAAATAGGTAGTAGGTGTCATTCACTGGAAGCACCAGGAATCACAGTATCTTAACGAACTGAGTCTCTTGCATCCCTATCTCAAGGTGCTCTATCACCATCTCTAGGTGCTTCTACTAGCTAAAGGATTTAGGGGTAGAATTGATCGTCAGATACTCTACACCGTCAAGTCGGGCGGAATGTATAGTTTCCGTAACACCAATGAAAGAGACTTTTGCAGAAATCGATTCCTTGAAACCAGGAGAATGGCTTGACTACACTCAGATTGCGAAACGGTTTGGTGTTGACTGATCAACGCCACCGTGGAGTCCAGCAGTAGAGGGAGGAGCAATATAAAGACCAGCGATTTTCTCAACCACCTGTCGTAGGCTACGCCTGTACACTGCTCGGCTTCGCCTTCGCCGCAATCGGCGCACATGATTGGTCCGCGTATTGAAGTCACATGACCCCTCGTAGTATGAGAACGCACGCTTCTTTCCTCTTCCCCTTTTACTTTCTTCCTCCCAGAGATTCCTTTCTGTGTATATCTAATTATTAGATAGCAAGGAATTTCACCCTCTGCACAACCAGCAGGTTAGAAAGCCTATATCTTTTAAGAATAAGCAATCTGAGAGAGACCTTTATTATACGCATGAAATGCTATGGAATTTCGCCAAGGAAATTACTGTAACAAAGCCAAGAAAGAACTGGTCTGGCCGCTTCTTAAAAAGGCGTAAAATGGACCTTGTATCTTGCTACGAAACTGGTATTGATTCTAAATGCAAGCGGGCTGATTCAGCATTTAAATATGCTTTGTACTTTGAATATCTGGGCTGAAAAATCAAGGAGTACACTATACCGCGAGAGGATATGTGTAATATGGATGAGAAAGTGTTGCACGCTCATACGGGTTGGAACTACATAATTAAGTGGTTCTCAGCGGTCACCCTACTTCGTTTATCTATAGTTCGAACGTTTGACCTCGTCCACCTTCAATCTTCAACTTCACACCAATCAACAGAATGCCGCATGTTCTTCTTCCGAGCTTTCGTGTTTACATTGGATTGCATCCTAAGGGCAAGAGAATCCTTTCTGGACAATTATATAAGCAAGGAGGCCTCAAACAACGCCTACCAGATGGTAATTGGGAGTGGATTACTATAATTGCTTGTATTTGTGCAGACCAGACCTATGTTTCTCCTGGATTAATATACCAAACGGCATTTTGTAAATTAAAAGACTCCTGGCTTCAAGGCTTTAATACAACAAATCAGCAACGCTTTTTTGCACCTTACCATCTGGCTGGATCAACTATAAGCTAGGATTTGGAGGGCTCCAGCTAATATTCGACCGGGAAACAAAGGCTAAAGCTAAAAGGCGTTGGAGGCTTCTAATTTTTAATGGCCACAGATCCCACATCACCATGAAGTTTTTAAACTATTGTGAAGCTAATATCATATTTGTAGTTAACTATTCAATTTATTCTACACATTCCTTGCAGCCACTTGATGTTAGTATCTTTGGACCGCTTTCTGTCAGGGGCTGAACCCGTAGAGCCTATAGGATAGGCTATGTACAAAAGGAATCACTGAAGAGGGAAAGAAAGGAAGAAAGTAAAATGAGCGGTAAATAAGTAAGGTGAAAGTCACATGATATGGGTCGAGGGACAATGGGGACAGTAGGGACAGTAGGGACAATACGGACAATACGGACAATACGGACGTTAGCCCGGGAGGTCAAACGGGCTCCAGCCCTTTACACTTTGCGGCGTACGAAGGTTAATTAGAAACATTTTTACATATATCCTAAGGCCTAAGCCAGATTACCAAGCCGGATTTTTTTAGGCTGTTCTGGTCAAGCTATACTAAGGCCTTATCTGCAGGAAATATTGAAAGCGCGTGGAAAACTGTTGGTTTATAGCCTTCTAACCCTGAAGTTGTATTGGCATGATTTAGCAAGATAAAGAATGAAAGGTCTTCTAGCAGTTTATCTAGGTCTATGCTACACACAGAGGATTGGAGAAAGATCAAGAGGCTTTTAAATCAAGCTGTCAAGTATAGTCTTGCCGAAAACGCTGAAAAGTTAAGCCAGATGATGCACCACACAGAGAATATCTTGCGTAAACTACAGAATACAGGCCTTAAGAATGCTCTCCTGAACGAACAGAAGAAGTGCCAGCGTGCAAAGTCTTTACAGTTTAAATTATGGGCTACTAAGTATGACAATGCAGTATTCTATTCTCCAAAAAAGCCTGGAAAGCCCGGAATCTTCAGAAGAGAAGCTACGCCGTCAGCTATGTAGAAAAGGAAGAGAAACAACAATTAATTAAAGTGTAGCAAATCTACAGTACGCCAGAGGAATTGGCATTAGAATAGAGGAACTGAGTAGTTGGAATTGAATGAGCGACTCGGCTATCACACAGAATAACCAGATACATCCCAGATATATATGCCAAGTAAACCCCGCACTAATAAATAAACTGGGTTATCTCGTACCGAGGTCCGAGCCGTATTAATATCATAAAGAAAGGAAGAGAATTAGGGCATCTAATCAAGAGATACGAGCCCAAGCACCGGAGAAAAAGAAACACCAGAAGGAAGAGGATCGGTCCACCAAAGGCTAATATACAGCTTCAAAATAACTTCAAACAGTCCAGAAAAGGCAAGAAGAAACCTCTAGAAAACCCTGTTACGGAAACACTATAATCCGCCCGAGTTGGGGGTGCAGTGTTGTTTGACGATCCATTCTACCCCTCAATCCTTTGGTTAGTTGAGCACCTAGATAGGGCATATGGTCGCCTGCTATACAACCCAACTCATTTAATTTGCCTGAATAAGTAAATTTACATATATTTTAGAATTAGTAAAGTGGTCTTTTAGTTCCTATTATAGAAACAGTATCGTGTGTATTTGAATTAATTGGCGTAATTTGCTCACTAGCTACTGTATTATTTTGCACGCTAACTTCCAGTGTTCGTATGTTCCCGGCACTTGAATAGAACCTACCGGTATCAAAGTTTTACCCGTATTAAGTCGAGTTTAAAAGTTAAGTTTTATGGTATGATATTTTAATTATAAACGGGAACGGGCTAGTATAAAGTAGCAGTTATCTTGCTTAACAAGGTTTACAGTTTTTTCTCATTCTTTATCGTTTAAACAAGAAAAGGCACAGTTCATGCAGTCTTATGAGAGAACTTATCCGTTCTTTTATTATGCAGCCATAGTGTTTCCTACTCCACAATACTCAGTCAGTTTAAAATCTTGTTAAATAATAGATATTGACGCGGCACTGTGTCAGGCGGCTATATTAATCAGAATTCCGACGTTCTTCAAGTGAGTAATTCTCCTTTATTCTAGGATACAAGGATTGACTATTTTCCAGAATCCCGAGGTTCCCAGTTGCAAAGTGCGCCAGATTCGACCCGCATCGAGATACCACAGGATTGGACTAATTTGCACTGTCTTGTAGTCTCCGTTGTTATCCTAACATATACCTTATCAGTCCCGGGCTCTTTACAGGTATCTCGGGCCGGGAATAGCTCTGGTAGAAAATGTGCAACCCGACCTACTACAGCGATATTAATTGTGATAAGCAGACTTCCTAATTGTTGTCGAAGGCTATGAAAAAAAGTTAAATTAAACTTATTCTTCACCTATACTGCCATCGCGTGCTGGTTATAAGAGACATAAACCTGGAATAACGTGTCTTATATATCTACAGTGTGATGTGGACGGCCTTGTTATGGTTCCCTGCGGTTACACATTCCCCCGGGGTTGTTTTAGCCGGTACGTTTACAGGAGGTATGGTGATCAACTGTGGGAGTTGGATCAAGTGCAGATACCTTGCCCCGAATGTCGGGCCCAATGTATCGGACGAGTTGATCAATCACCTATCGCAGAAATACCTCACCTGTTCGTTGTTCTTCACCCCCCGGGAAGGCACAACTGCCCAGCATGAAGCAGCTATAGTCAGTGTATTATGGAAGGGGTGCCTCTGTATGCGCATATCTTGTGACATCTTCTAGGCTGTTAAATAAATGTACGAAAGCCAACACTGAGACGTAATCCAATTCCAGGGCCTTAGCTTATAACATAAAATTTTCAATAGCCACTCAGTGCCGTAACCGTGCCAGTTGTGATTCTGAATTACACCTTGATTTCCATTCAATATCTTCTAAACCCGGGCTTCACGTATCTTCATCACCGACCGAACCCGCGTCTAGTCGAAGGAAATTGGGCGCCTGCTTCGTCAGTCGAAGATCTATGCTGGTAAATAGTCAACGTGCTTAGTAACCGATACAGACACATTTAGAATTACTGTGAATTGAGGCTGGACCATAAACAATTGAGCTTCATCTATAGAGTCTATTCTTTATAGCACCCATTGAACATGATATTTTACACATGAATATCCTGCACGTCTAAAGCGCTGATGTTCCTTCCCCTCGCTGTTCTAACTTCTACAGTGTTCACCGCACAATAAGCCCCAATGCCGAGTAAGGGATGAGCGTTGTCCCAACTGGAAGATATACATATTAGCCAATAACATCAGCTGATGATGTCCTAGTGACATAGAGCCAGGATAGATCAAGAAACTATTGTGAATAATCCCACTGCGTAAATATTCGACTATTGCTTAATCTTAAATTTGTAGAAAATATTGTCTACGATGCCATACGCTCAGGTCGACGCTGCAGTTCCCTGACCATATCCATCCCAACCTTGGTAGACTCATCCAGGCTTTCATCCGGCAATCCAAGCAGCTCATTCTGTACCCTGGCCGAGCAATCATTCGGATCATCCGCGTAGAATGCCCTCGCGTACAACATCTTACTAAAACCAGCCATGTTACCAGCTTGAACTTGCGCCAAGCCATCTTCGTATCGCTTCTTGGTAGCCTCGTGGGTAACCGCCCAGTCAGTGTCAATAGTGCCTGTGACCCGTTTAACACTCTCAAACATGTCGTTTTGACTGACCACGAAGCTCTTTATGTACACGCCCTTGTTGAGGAACGCCGATAGAGTAAGACTCTTGTCCTTTTCATCATCGGGAAGCTCCTTGAGACTTAGCACTTTGGCCACGGCGCGCCCAACCTGCGATAATGTCGACACTGAGTTCTTGGTGTTGCCATCGTCATATATTGTCAGGGAACGCTTATCGAAGTCGAACCCAAAGCGCGACTCTCCGCCCGCCAGGCTATAATCATACCAGAACCCACAGCACACAACGATCCACCGCATGCCAAGTCGCTCAATCTCGTCCCTGTTTGCCTTGCCCACCGGCCCCAGCATTGTATCCTCTCCGAGTTTAGTGTTATCAATGTCGCCGCCGTACTCGTTGGGCATGATGTAGGGAACGCCTGCTTTGGCGGCCGCCTGGACGAGCCTGCTGTGGGTATCCCGAGGCGCGGTGGGAGCCATGGTAATAATCAAAAATTGTTGGTCTTTGAGAGCGGTGACAATGCTCGCCTCATCGTCATAGTTGACAGGGGCGACGAGGACACCCTCGGGGAGCTTGTTGCTGCTGTCTCTGCGGGAGAGTGCCGTGACTGTGTGTTTTCCAGTTTTAAGAAGGGCGGCAGCGAGGTGCGATCCAACAGTTCCTCCGGCCTATACTTGTTAATGTTGAGCATGTGGTGGTGTTGAGGGTTTACTTACACCGACAATCGCGACTCTCTCGATGACATTTTTGAAGCTGACGGGCTGATCTTTGGCGTACTTGGGCATTTTGGCTATTTTTGAATAAGGTGTTAATTTGACGGTTGGATTATGTAGAATGTTGCGATTGTGGCTGAAGCAGAGAATTCTTGTCCCTTTATATACTCGATATCGCTATACTTCTATGTATTGATCGCTATCTCAGCCTGATCACATTTGACCGGGCTGGGAAATTCCGAGCAACTATTCTCCATTTGGTAATTGAATCGGGCCAGACATTGAAATATGGTTCGTTCGGAGATACTGGGATAATCAACCGTAAGTCAGGCTACTTGTGTGGGGCCGTCGTCGCCGCAGCAGCCGCACGCAGGGACAATGAGACCGACACTAACACTGTTATAACATTGTTACTATGTATCTGATAGGGGATAGCAGATAGCGGTCGGTCAGCCTGATCTCCGCAATAGCCGTAGCGACCGCTCCGCACCAAGCCGCGTAAACACAGCCCACCATTGATTCAATTACCAACGGAGCTTCCAGCATGTCCCCGCAACTTTAAGATAATGAGGCTGCAATTCCTAAATGGTGGAATGAGAGCTTCGTGACTCGTGCAGGAGCTCATGCTCTGACTCCAAGGAGCTTGAATCTATTTGTACTCACTCCATCATGCCTCTCAGGGCCGACGTGATACCATGCGCATTATCGACAAGGCCATTATCAAACCAGCCAACAAAAGCCCACAATAACTATGCTAATTGGGCTCATTTGTCACTTACGACGTAGTCCGCTAATCAACCACAACAATGTCCGTATATAAAAAGGACAACACGCCGCTTAGCAAGGCGCCACATTCCCTCGCGCCCTCTAATAATCCAACACCGGAGTAAACACCATCTAAGCCTCGCACGAGGACTATTGCGACAGCATCTCTAACCCAACTCACAATGACAACATCTAAAACTATCAGCTCTAGACATCCCAATCCCGCGTCGAGCGCCCCCAGTCCCTCGCCGGAGAAGGCCTCTTTATCACTGTCGTCTGCTCCTCCCAACTTCTTACTCAAACTGACCTCGCGCTGAGCATCGTGCCCCAGCATATCATTGGCCGCTCCTTCGGCATTGACAATCAACCCGGCGAGATGAGCTGGTTCTCCGCCAGATACTCCCTCACCGTCGGCACCTTCATTCTCATCGCAGGTCGCCTCGGCGATGACTTCGGCCACAAGCGCTTCTTCGTCGGCGGCTACACCTGGTACGGCTTGTGGTCTGCTCTTGCTGGCGTGGCTGTCTACAGCGGTCCTGAATTCTTCATATTCTGCCACGCCATGCAGGGCATTGGTCCGGTTTTCTTGCTACCTAACGCCATTGCCGTTCTTGGCCGCTCCTATGACCCGGGGTGCCCCCAGGACATGATCCTCAGTCTGTTCGGTGCTACCGCCCCCGGCGGATTCCTCCTCGGCGCCTTTTCTAGCCTCATCTCTCAGATGGCCTGGTGGCCCTGGCTCTATTGGGTCCTGCGCTTTGCGTGCCTTTTGCTGGCTCTCTTGGGCATGTTTATTATTCCCACAACCCCGCCGTCGAGCAACTCAGAGCACGAGAGCTTCAGCGTCTGGCAGTGTGTCGATGTCCTCGGCTCCGTCACCGGCGTGGCCGCCCTGGTCCTCTTTAACTCTGCCTGGAACCAAGGTCCCGCTGTCGGTTGGCGGACACCTTACATGTATAGCATCATGATTTTCGGCATTGTCATCTTTATTCTGTTCGTTCTCATCGAGAAAAGGGTGCCCCACACCCTGATCCCCTTTAACGTCCTGGAAATCGAATCTCTCTTCACCCTAGCCTGCATCAGCGGCGGGGGGTCCAGCTTCGGCATCTTCGTCTTTTATATCTGGAACTTGCTCGAAGTCCTGAGGGGCCAGCCCCCTCTTCTTACCTCTTCCCAGTTCGTTCCTGTCGCTATAAGCGGGCTGTTTGCCGCGGTCACCACAGGTCTAATCCTCAGTCACACCCGCGCCTCGGCTGTGATGTTCATCTCCATGTCCTCCTTCCTCATCGGAGGCATCATCTTTGCCACAATCGCGGTCCACCAGATCTACTGGGGGCAGACATTCGTGGGCATCGTCGTCATCTCTTGGGGTATGGATATGTACTTCACCGCTGCCACCATTATCATAAGTCGGGCCATGCCGCGGCGGCACCAAGGCCTTGCCGCGTCGCTGGTTAACACTTTTGTCACTACTCTATCTCCATCGGGCTCGGGTTTGCCGGCACAGTCGAGTCGCAGGTCAATGATGGAGGGAAAGATGTTCTACGAGGTTACCGAGGCGCTCTCTACATGGGTGTCGGTCTCTCTGCCTTGGGTGTGATCGTTGCTCTGATTTTCTGCTTTGTGGAGCGTCATCAGTCTAAGGCGCCCGAGAAGGAAGCTCAGGAAATGAGCCAACCGCAAGAGGAGCATGTTTAGATATGTGATATAGCCAGTTTACATGGATAATATACTAATTTTCATTAGATCATCCCAGAATGTCAGCCCATCCTTTGATAAGTTGCTTGTTGAATCGCCACTGAGGCCAATCAGGTTCCCTGACCTTCGTCCCACTACAACTGGATGTCAGGACCGAGCATTGATAAATATGGGTCGATGAGGAACTGGTCCCATAAGCCCCCCCAGCCCATGTCTGGCACAACAATGTTGGCCTCGGATTCAGGCTGCGCCTGGAAAGATTGAAAGCTGACCTCGACAGCTTCCAGCTGGGCAAGCTCCTTTCGCTTCTTTGCGATACTGAGATTAAGTAGGTACCCTGCCATTGACAATGCCTGACGCGTTAGTTCTGTATCCGCAGCCTTGACGAGATTTTCCAAGCCCTTAAAAGCAACGGGGATGTGAGAAGAGGCGGTCGGTGTGTTGATAGCCAACAAAATGCAAGCATACTGGAAGACGCTGCCAATGACGTTCCAGAATAGATGACCCTGGCTAGCTAGCTGTTCAGCTGCCTCCATTGCCGCGTTCCCGCTATCAATGACGAGCTGTATTATCTCGTCCGGTATGCCCATGTTAAGCTGATAAATGCGTCGATAGAAGCAAAACGCAAGATCCGCCTTAGTCACTACCAGAAACGGATGAGTGAATTGGACTTTGTCTAATGCCTTGAGACGCTCAAAGAGCTCTTCTCTCGGGGACGGAGGCTGAGATGCGAGGTGGAACGGGGAATTGGGAGCTGGGATGATCTGAGCTATTTGTACGAACTGGTCGGCAACGGACCCTGCTATAGGGATGATTTCCTGGCAAGTCACGGCCCCAAATCGTACGGAAGAGCGGTCGCACTCATAAGACAGCATGTTATGCGCGGCCCACGAGATCCAGAAAATTCGCCTCAGCCGGTCTGCATCATGTCCAACAACGGCGGCGCCAGCGACGGACGCCATCCTTTTGATGTTCTCTTCCTCGTGCAGTCCTACCGCTTCGCAGAGGTGCATGAGGGTGCACGATGCAACCCAGGCATTATCGGGACGGGTCGTGGCTCTTAGATAAAACAATCGCATGCCCCACGCGATGATGTGGTCGACGCCCAGCATACGCATGGACGCCGGATCCTCGAGAATGGTTTTGGCGTACTGCACCAGGTCAGACTCCCGTGGGTGTCTGTTGGGGGATAGAAAGGAACCAATAGCAGCGACGCCAGCGGCTACGGCGCCAAAAATGATCGAGGTGCTGCCGGAGCTTTGGTAATAATTTCGGCATCTTTGTGCGTAGATTCTCGGGTCCATGTAGTCGCCAATAGGGCCCACCACTGAGAAGTACACAGCCGAATAGAAGCTGAGGTCCTCCTCCGAGAGAAGCTTCCCCAGGAAGTCATAAGCGTTGGAAGCTTCCTCGGGGCGGATCCCAAAGTTGTAGGCAAATGAACTGACCTTGGGAGGGCTGTTGGAGCCGAGCGCCACGCCGAGGATATGCGGGAATGCCATGGCCGCCGATGCCCCGGTGTATCTGGACCTTTGGTCGTCGAAGATGCCGGCCATGACGGTAGGACTCTTCGTTGACGGGCCGTCGGTTTCATGGGAATCGCTTATTACCTGAGCCCGACTGTCCGGACTGCGTGATTTCACGGCGGTTGCATTGCCGTGGCCGATGCGCTTGGATAGAGGTGGAGGATGTTCGCCACCAGCCACAGTGCTAGTGTTGTCGTTGGCGGCGGCGTACCTGCAGCTGTATTCGTAGGTGGTACACATACCACAAGGATACTCGGCGTCGCATTTCCGCTTACGCTGGTGGCAAGGAATGCATGCCTTCCTCGCACGCTTGCGCTTGCCGATTGTCGACATGACTGCGGAGAGGTTATGAGCTTCAAAGCCTACGACAAGGCAGATAGATGAAATTAATTTGATCGACTCCCTTGTGAGTGACATGTGTGTAAATCCATGTGACGACGGTCGCATCAAAGTTCTCCACCAAGCCAGTGGCCTAGAGACCTTTTTGGGGGCCGAGGGGCAAGAATCACAACTAGGTGAAGTCGGTTGTCAGCCTGCATACGTTTTGAGCCAATCAGCGACATTTCATGAAAAGGGATGAGGCATTGCAGCTGCCGAAGTTCCCTATAATTGAGCATGCAATTGATACTGCTTTACGCCTGACCGCGTCTATGTTTGGGTCCGGACACGCTCCGCTTACTATCGTGGTCGGGATATGCCGCAGTGCTCAACGAGATTCCCACGAAAGGAAGATATAGAAATCATTCAAAGCGATTAAAAAACTGGATTAATACTTGAACAGTGTACCGCAAAATGGAATCATTATTTTCTTTTTACCTTGCCCGCGAGACATGCATAACTACTTGGTGGCCGATACATTAAAGGGAACCGGCGATATCCAAGCCTCGATCCGTAACACCCCGATCACAGGCATGAGATTGAGAAATCAAATTTAACAACGGCCAAAATATTTTTTAACCCCCGAATCTTGACTGCTGCTGTCGCGTTCGTCTGTAGGCTTGCTTCTGAAAACGTATATGACTTAACACAAGGCATTTCCAAGTACATACGACCATAGGGTGTGGAGAACAGGGCTTCCTGTCCGCTCAGCCGTACTTAAGCCACGCGCAGGAAGTTGAAAGTTTGGCGAGATTTGTATTCATCCAACGTGATCCACGCCATCACCAACGGCGCATGGACGCGCCCAACGATTGGCTGAATTTCAAGGAAAGCCGTTGCCCACAAGTTGAGGCTAATGTCCGGATTTGACTAGCTGGTCGGGATATAGACGTTTGAGGCGCTCGATCCCCGCGTGTGGAAGCCTCAAAGATTTACGTTTGGATAGGGTTTTGGATAGTTTGGGGGAGTACAGAGGTAAACGTGCTTTTACCGTGGAAATCCCTAATACTTCCTCAAGACATGACACACTTCTTCATGAAACATTGAAAATATGTCTTTTTGATATCAGTCGGATCTGATCCTTTGTCGATTGCGTCCTTGTAATTCAAAAGGCTTATGCATCCCGTGCCCTGCAGCGCCCCGTGTTTTGGCGTGTTTTGGTGCAGCCTGCTATTTCGTCCCTACCATGTGAACGGGATCAAATGAACAATTTAGACCTAGATGTCGGGAGTCGCATGACTCAAACTTGTACCCTGACAGTGGACCCTGCCGCCTCCATAACAAAAAAGGAGTTATTTTAGGCAGTAACGTCACTGCGGTTGTATCTTTTGTGGAACAAAGGAACGTTCGTCTGCCTAATTCCATGGAAGGCTGGTATCCATAGGTCAGTCGCTGCTGTGTTGCTACATTCTCCACGACATGGACGGTTTCTCATGGGTTTTTGGTTGGTGAAAGGAAATTGGGGGGAACCAATAACCCGCGACTTTCTGTTGGCTTTCAGCCCTATCGCAAATCTTAAAAGCTCCTGAACTGGTTCACTTGGAATTTTCTCCCACGGCGTCGGATCAGGAACAGGGATGTGCGCCGCTGCCTGGGCGTGCTTATCCCCGAACACTACACCAAATTCTTGAACGGTCATCACGCGAGGCGGCACTGCTCACCTACTGAACGAGAACGGCACTGGTCTTGGCGTCCGTAGTTTTTCGCTTGGTAGGAATACAAGAGACTCAGTTGGTTGAGACACTGTGATCCCTGGTGTTTCCACCGAAGGACATCTACTTCCTAGTTAGGCTAGTTGGCCTGTAGCTGAGAGAATAGCTCCCTGCGCATCACTTCCCCTGAATTCCACAACAGAACATAAGTATGGTTCTTTCCTGCTTTTCCAACAGCCTGGGAGTTTGTATATACTCCTAAGGCAATTCCATGCTCATCCATATTCCATATATTCTCTGGTTGTATATTGTATCTTGTTTTATAGTAGGAAAGAGGTTGTAGAAGGCTTCAACTGATCTGGCTGGGTATTTTGGATTCGGGAGGCATCAATTCGTCTTCCAGCCATTGAGACAACTTGTGGATTTCATTTTATAAATTTTGGCACCTATTCTTTGCCAAGCGGGGTCCGATCTTAATCATTATCCATTTCTATACCTATATACTGCCGCAGGTGTTTTCGGTCTCTTTTATTCTCCCCTTCAGAATACAGCCGCTTCCGTGGACCAAAAATATGTCTCAAATCTCGGAAAGCCATGCCACTCCCGGCTGATGCTCAATACCGCCATCGCCGCGCCTCCAAATGGCTGATAGCTTCCTGCAACCCTGTGCGTACACCGTCCTTGCTACCCAGGAGCCGTGGCTAGCCTGTTCATTGAAAACTGTATCATCTATGCCATGGTATTACTTGAATCCACTACATTTTAGATGCGTGCGTGAGATCGCAATTGACGCATGCCGACGCATTAGAACGGCCCTACTAAACATGGACAGCACTAAAGATGTACAGGTAACCAGAGGTGAAACAACCAAAACAGTATATTTCATTAGTTTTAAGGTTGCTCAGTTGGCTGAGACGGCTAGAAACGACACAGAATGGCTCGGGGAACTAGGCAAAGACACGAAGATGGTGAAACCATGGGTTGGTATTGTGGTCCATCGCACCCCTATTGAAGACTTCGACTTGGAAGGAAACAAGACACAGAGAGTTGAGGAAATTATGGAGGAAAATAATCTTACTGCCAAAGGGCACCAAGTAGATGATATTACATGGTTTAAGAGACTTCTAGGCATATCAGCCTCACTTGGCATCTGGCTTGAGTCACCGGAAGCAGCAGAGTGGATTATAAATAATAGGCTTCTCGTGGGACAGTTATATTGGGAGCATTGGGGCCTATCATGCCAACGGAAAAGATGCCACCGCTGTCAGCGACACAACCACTTGGCATGGTCATGCAAAGAGCAACCACGCTGCGGGCACTGCGCAGGCGGGCATGAACGTTGACACTGCCACCGGGTGTGGGAGCGAGATGTTTAGACTGAAATGGAGACCATCCCGTGGGCGATAGGTGTCAGACACCATAAACACTGTGCCGTTGCAATAATATTACAAGGTAACCGTTTATTACAGTTGAACATTATGAAATCATGACCAAGGATTGCAACACTTATTAATGACCATCACACATAAAGCCTCGACATCCTGCTAATCCAAAATCCCCTAGCCACGGCATATCGCACTAATATTAACCATGCATGGCTGTTCTACTGGTGTCACGATCTGGTTGTCTTTAGGCGCTAGTCTAGAGGTAAAACCATTCGAGCATAAAAAATACAAAGATGACTGATCGAAAGATCAATTGCTCCTAGCGCCCTATATAGAAATAAAGGATTCAACCTATAACAGCTGGCCAAGCCATCCCGAAATTGATCCCACAACATCAATGTTCTATTCATCCCGGGCCTCTGCGGCCAGGTGCGGGTGATACCAACTTCTTTACCTCTCATTGACAAAGTGTTTTATTAGGTTACAAGTTCATTAATAATTCCGGATCCTTAGGAAGGTTAGTACCGTGGTCATGATACTGATTACTGTGAGTAAATTGAAGCCGGAGTTCTGATTTTGTCATATTTTTGTTGCAATTCCTGGGGCATTCGGCATCATTAGGTGGCTCCGTATCGGACCGTAAAGGCACGGCCCTCAGGCGCTATATCGCCTGTTCCTAGACTACGGATCAGAAGAAGTTGAAGACACTGATTCGCGCGCATTCGAGGGTGAGATGTCGAGAGCTACAGCAATCATGTCCTGATATGAGCCGGAAGATCAGTGTCTGTTGATGTTTCAACTAGGATACAAACTTCCACTCTCGGGAAGAAGAGAAACGTCTGAAATGTGTGTTATTTAATGTGGTAAATTAAGATTATATAGGCCCATGGCAGGTAGATGGCCTTGGTCTTTCGTGCCCTGGATGGGTACTACAGGCGATATTTGGTTAGACCTTGGGCTTTTGAAGAACCAGAGGAAAACAAAAGCGAACATTCTCTGGAATATACAACGCACGGGAAGAAACAAAATCTGGCTACTTTGCAGCATAGGGTGATCCATGCCAACTTGAGTAAAACGAGTGGGCTTATTAGATATCCGTAGCCCATAGCCCATTGCATATTACTGCGTTGTAGCCGCTAGTTTAAAGCTTGGCTTGCACAGGAGCCGATGACAGATCTTCTCGAAGGGCTTTGAGGGATGGAGCAAAGAAGTATTCTCCTCCTCTATGGGTAACCCACGAGCCGAGGCTCAGACGTGCCTCACTGGGCCTTTTGCCATCAGGCAAACCCATGTTTCGAGGAGGGTGGTGGGCGAGACGTTGGCCGGCAATCGCATCGATGCCCGGCCCATTCATGCCGACAGCATCGTACTTGTTACCTGGGAAGTGATGGTTGTTTGCCCAACCTGCGACACAGTCAGCTATCAGAGGACAACAAAAAAAAAATATTTAAAATGCATGGGAACCGGGACGGTCTCACGCGTAGTAATGAAGTTGAATCCGTTTCTAATATCACTTTGATAACAGACAAATAGCATTCCACGCTCCTTCATCGTCTTCTGATTTTTCTTTTCTTTTTCGGAGACCTCAGGTCCATAGGCTATCCCGCGGCGGATGATAACTGCCTCGTCGTCGTCGAGATCGCCTCTGGGGCGCATCTTGCGAATATGGGCAGCGAAGGGGCACCGACCATGCGATTCGACTGGCGTGTAATTGAAGTTATTGGATCGGTAAAGAGAAGGATCATTATCATGATATGGATTGAGATCAACCGGGGTGCCTAGATGAGATCCTATGTGTCAGTGGATTGCACAGTTCTGTAAAGAATAGATGCCTACCATTCCTCCATCTCCCCATTAGCAGTGCCCCGAGCTTTTCAGCCGAGGCGGGACCCTGCTCAGTGTCCTGAGATGCATGAGCATTGTTGTCCAAAAATCTTTAGAGGTATGCCATTAGCCCAGCATCCGAAGCGCACTGCATTGAAAGGCGGATTCCTTACTGATTGAATTCAGGGACATGTTGCTGCAAGTCGCGGAAAACGAGGAAGCTGCCATCTTTGGCCCAAGCGGGCTGGTTCAAGGGGTCGCCATCGTGTCCGACAATGATCAGCCTTTGTTACAGTGGTCAACATTAACAGAAGCCCTATGGCCAAGATACGACCGGAGCCCATCAGAGCGACGGGATTGGCGGGACAAGCTTACCCCGGAGGTACGGCTTTGGGCTCTTTATCCCCCTTCGGGGTTGGGTCCAGTCCTTCAAGTTGGGGCTGTGAAATTCCGTCTTGGAAGCCAAAGCTGAACTGAAGTCAGATATCTAGATTGGAGCAAGCTGTGAGTTATTACGATGCACATACTGCTCTCTGCCTTTCAATAAGCCTGGTCTGACCTTGCCCTTTCTGACCAACACCAATTTGCAGGCAACGTCCTCGTCGATGTCATCGTCTGTGTCACGCATATGCAATTTCTCCTTCACTCGTCCCACGGCCTTCTCCAGCTGCTTCTCTGTGCTCGTAGCGACATAGACTACTCCGTCTATCTGCCGCTGTTTTGTCACCGGGTCTCGCTTGTATTCTGGACGTAGCTCCTGCGGATCATCCCACCCCTCGTAGACCATGTCATCATACATGCCTTTGTCGAACAAATCTCCGCGAATTTGGTTCCTCTTCAGCTCGCGCCACTTCGCGGGGTCACTTTTGATCTCTTTCATGTTCGCCTTCGTATTCATCACATGCTTTCCCAGCTGCAACATGAGTGTTAGCAGACACCACAGCATCCAAAGATCCTTCAAATAGTGGGATATTGACGCCTTACAGCGGCTAGGCCTGTTGATGAAAAGGCAATATTGATACCAGACCACGGTAACAGCTTCGGGTCTTCCTCATGGGCAGCAGCCTTCTCCTTTTCTTCACGGATGTGGGCTTTAGCATCCAAAACATCTTTGGCAGTCGTGATATGAGAAACAAGACTTCGCAGATACTCTTTGAACTTCCTGCGTTGACTTGCGCCATCTGCAATGCGGAAGAACAGAAACATCTCTTTCCGTTTGGGCAGGCCGGGCCTAGATGGGAATCCAGCCCACGTCAGCAGCTGTTGATAAGAACAATCTAATCCGCAAAATGTTTTTTGCATACCAGATATCGCCCTGGATGTTCTCCAGATCAAACTGAGAAGCCATAGTGGCGACAGTATGAGACGGTGCGAATGTATGGATGAATTGCGAATGTATGAATCTTGCTTAAGATGAACGAACGAATAACCCACCCAACTGTCATCAGGGCACAGTAGTGATTTTAAGCGGTCTGGTTTGCTTTACTTGACCTTTTACCAACCCTCCCAATACGGCTCTTCCGACGGAAAAGTGAAAACGTCATTCTCTACACTCATGAATCATTCGTCTCGATCCCAGGTAGCCATATAGCCTCTACTGTAGGAATGACGTACGCAAAAATTACACCTAGTGTCGACTTTGACTATTAAGGCCAGCTGCTGTTTCTGGCTGATTGAGCTAGTCACTCGAAAAGCCAATCTATTCATTTCGTCATGACTCTACTAGCACTCAGGTGTATCGTTTATGAACCATCTAACGAGGCTACACAATTCAACATGTCCCTGGAAATTGACTATGGTTAGCAGACGATATATTCCCTATCACTTCCATCAGCTGTCCCATATGTTAAGGCTCTGGGAGTGATGCTTGTTTTCGCGATTGCTAGCGTTGCTCTGGCTACTACTTGATATTGTCTCGAAGACACAACGGGATACTTTTATGCTTAGAGTCGTGGGGTCACAAAATGCGTTACGTATCCTGAAAATTTCATGATGATGTATGTCGAAAATCACATGATTTTAGTCGTCAACGTTCTCAATCGAGCGTCTAAATATGCCCATTGATTTGGGTGTACGAATTTACGAATGCGGATATTTTCAAAAGGGGGGTGTGGGGTAATTTCCTGTAGATTGGTTATCCAAATCATGTACTGGTATGTACTGGTATAACATATGAGTGACATTGACATCTCGGTCTAGATCTCTTTAGCATTTGTATGATGTTTGCGGTTCGTAGCCAACGACCGGCACGAGCCGCATTTACCAAATCATCAATCGCCATTCGCGCCTCCTCTAGGAATGTGGAGCCTGGCATCGGATTTTGACTCTTTTATCGTCTAGTATATTTTTGATTGACAGCTGTCGACACCACTATACTAATATGTACGGCTGGACTTAAAAATCTCAAGACGATGGCCAGAATTATACGATAGGCGGCATAACTCAGGGGCTTGCGTACTCCATGCCCAAGATGTCGTCATAGGCAGACCAACGTAAATTTTCAGTGGAATATTGGGTTTATCCTCGCACCTGGACCTCACTTCGACTTGAGAATATGCTGTTTCCTCAATGGGCAACATCCATGGGTTGTCCAGAGCCGCGTCCATCCGTGCCAATGAGAACTCAGCGCAACACATCTCTTGCTTCAAAAATGTAAGCAGATATGACCGCTATATAATTCCGAAACAACCGTCTCGACTTGGTGATTCCACGGTTCGTGTCATTGTAATTTATCTATAAAGCACGATAGTGAAAGTACTCTCCTGTATGTAGCACGACCGTCCTTACTATAATAATTATTCTGCTGGAATCTGATTAGCAATATGCGGTTTCACCTATCATATTTGATCTTAGCGACACTGACGGGAGAGATAAACGCGATCAGCCGTGCTCTCCTGGACTATCTGCAAACACACAGTCTCTCCATCAAGGATGACAAACCGTCCCATATTCCCTCGTTCACAGACCAATCGCCCCCGTACAGCGCTTGTTTGGTCGACCATACCGACTGGAAAGTTTTGTGCAATAGCGAGACTAAACATGAATGTTGGCATGCCATTGACGGCGATAATAATACTTACTGGCGAAGCCGTGACAAAAAGGCACCGCATGTTATCACAGTTGATCTGGGTCGCCCTGCCTACCATGTCAGTGCGGTCACTATGCTGCCACCACAAAGGGACGACATGAAAGGTTTGATCACCAAACACAAAGTCTTTCTGAGTGAGGATGGTGACAACTGGGGCGACCCTGTTGCGTACGGTGTGTGGCCGGAAGAGAGAAGGGAGAAACTTTCCGCATTTGAACCAAAACCAGCTCGATTCGTGCGCCTTGTTGCCGAAATGGACGGCTCCAAGCAAAGCTGGGTTGGTATCTCCGAGCTGAACATCTATGCAACGCCCTATGCTATCCCCCCAAATCCTTCCCTCGGCAGCTGGGGCCCAACACTCGACCTACCGATTGTGCCTGTAGCAGGGGCGAATGAGGCATCTGGCAGGATTGTCATGTGGTCATCCTGGGCACAGGACCTGTACTTCTCCACACCTGGTGGGCAAACAGCCATGAGTCGATGGGACCCAATTGATCGCCAAGTTTCAGGCCGAGTTGTCTCTGATACCAACCATGATATGTTCTGTCCGGGGACTGCTATTGATGGCACTGGAATGCTAGTTGTAACCGGTGGCAACGATGCAGAGCAAACGAGCCTCTACGATGCTGTAGAGGATAAATGGATTCGTGGACCCCCGATGCTCATGAGACGTGGATACCAGTCTTCTGTGACTGTCTCTGATGGGCGAGTCTTTGTGATTGGTGGTTCTTGGAGCGGTGGTGCAAGCAGAGCGAAGGATGGAGAAATATACGATCCTCAGGACAGACGCTGGACTAAGCTCCCAGAGGCCAAGGTTGATCCGATGCTAACGGATGATACCGAAGGCAGATGGAGATCTGATAACCATGGCTGGCTCTTTAGCTGGAAGAACTTGACTGTCCTTCAGGCCGGTCCTAGTAAAGCCATGAATTGGTACTCTGTTGTTGGAGATGGCGAGGTTACCCCAGCTGGTCTCCGTCTAGATGATGAGGATTCTATGTCCGGAAGCGCTGTAATGTTTGATGCCGTTGCAGGCAAGATCCTCACAGTGGGTGGTTCTCCAGACTATGAGAACTCGCACGCCACGAAAAATGCTCATTTGATCACAATTGGAGAACCCGGCGAGCCACCTAAAGTTGAAGTAGCAGGGTCAAATGGACCAGGAATGCACTATAAGCGTGTCTTCCACACCTCCGTCCTTCTACCAGACGGCACCGTGTTTATAACCGGCGGCCAAACCTTCGGAATTGCCTTTAATGAGGAGGATGTACAGTTGATACCGGAGCTCTACTTCCCTCATAACAACAGCTTTGTCCAGCTGCAGCCCAATAATATCGTCCGCGTCTACCATAGCTGGTCCCTTTTACTCCCTGACGCCACTGTTCTCAACGGTGGTGGTGGTCTTTGTGGAAACTGCTCCGCCAATCACTACGATGCCCAAATCTTCACCCCCCCCTACCTCCTCGAAAGCAATGGAGAGCGTCGCCCTCGTCCTAAAATCATCTCACTAACCAATGAAACGCTCCATGCTGGACAGGGGGTATGGGTTTCCACTGAATCCAAGATCTCCAACGCTTCCCTGATCCGCTTAGGAAGTACCACTCACACAGTCAATACCGACCAGCGGCGCATTCCGCTTTCGTTAAAGAGAATCACGGACACTACGTACAGCTTTACTATTCCTAATGAACCGGGAATTGCAATTCCAGGATACTGGATGCTGTTCGTATTCAACGAAGACGGTGTCCCTAGTGTGGCTAGAACGATTCTAATCACTGCTCCAGAGGCTTGTGGTCATGGCCATTGTGAGCATGATGAGTGTGGGGAAGACTTCCAGAGCCCTACCTGGCAGTCATGGAATCAGGTGCTCATTGAGCAGTTTAAACGTCGGTCAGGGCGGTGACATAGTCACCTGGTTAAGCTGCATGGATCTACAGAGCAAACACCTACAGCGTTCTGGTAGATGGCAGCTTGGACTCCGTACCACGCACGGATTTCAAAACACCAAACATCGCCAAGTCTTGAAAATGAAGAACGAGCAATTAATAGGAAAATATCTCCTTGTTCGTCCCGTGCATGTCTACAGTTCTTGCCATTTGGTTCTGTTAGTGATGCCTTTTTTTTTTGGCTTAAGAAAATATATATATATATCTATCATAAAGCAAATTATCTGTTGAGTTTCATAGTCTAGTCTTCCAAGTTACTTGACGCCACAAAATAATATCATTTCCTACAAATGGGCCTCAAAGAGCTGTTGTTTGTGACTGCATGACGATGATTACTGTAGGGTTACCTATCAAGCCAATTTGATACGACACCCTGGACTCTACAGCGGCTCACCCTGCCTAACTATCAGTTATATAGAAACAAATACAGAAGACCATACATAAATAACCCACCGCCACTTATCCATAGTACAATAGGGTTAAATAACAGCATCTTCGGTAATAGAAATAAGGTTTCTTGGCGAAGCTGACATGCTTTACAAATCAGGAGACTGGGCTGATAAGTCTCTTGTAAAGTCGTTAGGAGCAGGCTTATTGCACAATTTAGGAAAGCTGGAATGAATGCCGTCCAACGCCAGCCAAGTGTAGCATCCATCACAGAAACCCACTAACAAAGGCGTAATAAATGCTCCAGTGAGGCAAAAGCTAACAATTGCTACCCGTCGTTGCACAGGGGAAAATTGTTCCGCTAACGCAGCAACCGGCGAGAGTTAGAGGGCCTGCACCAAAGCAAGAATCTGTTTGTGATTCCCACAGTCATTGTCGTCACCTCCAACAATGTGAAGGTGTAGACCCTGCATTCCCTGTTAGCAACTGCAATATCTGCGAGCCAACATTTTCCTACCTAATTTCCTCCCGACCTGTGTAAGAAGCCTACTTCTCGGACATGGGTCAGGTAAGGCGGTTAAGTGGGTCATCCGGATCGATAGAATTCACGCACTATTCACCCAATGCAACAGCAGCAGAATTAGATTGCCCGGAATTGTTAAGTGTATGGTTGGAATATCTGCCTTATCTGGACATGTGTAGATGCAAGGAGAATAGTTCTTGGTTGTGTTTAAATATGATGCTCCAAAAGCCTTATTACGAAATACTGCCAGAGATGGCATGTTGACCGAAGAACTTTTTAATGTCTATACCTATACAAAATAAACATTTGAGTCATGGTTGGGAGATTGTGCGATATGTTAAACAGGCCTCTTGTTCAATCAAGCCCGTTCCCTAATCCTCGAATCGTACGCTGCTCACGTTTTACGGTGTAAGCAAGTTAGAAACACGGTCATTCCGAAGCGGGAAATAAGATTTCAAAAAGAGTATTGACGATAGGAAAATCTTATTAATATTTCATTTGAGACTACCGGCGTTACTCGGCAGAAAGACGGAAGAGTCTTCACAGCAATCCGAAAACAGGCAGACGGGTGGATGAGGAATTTGGGCGGGTTAGTTCGCTTGGGCGTAGTAGGATAAATGCAAAACCCTATTGAATCCGGCCTATCGCTACTCGTTGACTTGTTTGCAAAAAATTATTTCACCGGCGGGTTCAGCGGATAGCAAGTTGAACGCGTCTAGATCGTAGGGTGCTCTATGCAAAGAAAAATGAAAATTAGAGGAGGGCAAATAAAAGGCAGCGATTAGGTGTTCGGCTTCGACATCCTACTAACAACGGAGATTGAGCTTAAATAATCGTCGTTGAACCAGGTTACATGCCTGCGTATTATGAGAGCTTTTTATAGGGTTAGAGTGGTTTAGAAACCATGCTTACACAGATTGAAGTCGTACTTCTTTCTCTTTTCTTCTTATTATTAAATGATATTACATGAAAATGCTTCTCTGGCACATTGTGGGTTTGCTAGAAACTAATTAGTCGGAACCCTTGCGTCCGTGGAATGTAGAGTTGCATTCGTGGAATATAGCGCCACATTCCTCTTCCGTCAAACCAGAAAGTGTCTGACAGAAAGAGAAAAGATTTCCCACTCTGTCCAAAGTGCGCACCGAACGCAGCTGGTAGTTGCGCAAATGGGTAATATATTTTTGAATACCATTTGGTATTTGGATCAACGCTGTTCGCGAATAAATTAGTCAAACCAGCACTTGTTGCCTTTAATACCTTCAAAGTCCGGGCTTCTACACATCTGGGCCAATCAATTTTCGTCTTCACATCCTTTTCTTTTCCAAAATGGTTTCAAATCAGTCCGCTGACACAATGCACGATGAGCTGCCATATCTCAAGAACCACCCCAGTCTCATCTTTTTCACGGATTTTGATGGAACCATCTCATTGCAAGATTGTAAGAAGCCGTCCCTAGCTCAGAATTTCGCGATCCTATTACTGAAAAATATAAAGCCAATGACTATCTGGTACTAGATCCTACCTTGACATAGAACATTAGCTTACAATCTTCTGAGGTTGACAATCATGGCTTTGGAGTGGACAAGCGCGAGAAGCTCGAACTGGAACTCCTGAAAGGGAATATATCATTCAGGTAAAGCAGCCTATGCTTTACCTGTGTGAAATGAAATCCAGCATTTAATTAGTACTATTAGGGACTCATTCCAGACCATGCTTGACAGCGTGCGAACCCCGTTCAACGAATGTCTTCGGGCCCTCGAAGAGAACATCCAATTCGATCAGCACTTCGTTACATTCTACCACTGGGCACGAGAGCATAACATTCCCATAGTAGTGCTGTCCTCGGGCATGGAGCCCATCATCAACGCCTTGCTGAAGAGGCTATTGGGCAGCAAGCCGGAAAACATCTTCGTAGTCGCCAACGACGTTGAGTCTCGCAAAGGCAAGCATATTAACATGGATGGTGGCTGGCAAATTTCCTTTCGCGATAATAGGTAAGGAAATCCTCTTTACGGACGGAGCATGGGTATGCCACTGACCCGGACAATGTAGCCCATTCGGTCATGATAAATCACACGCGATAAAACCATACGCAGCGCTAGGCGGTCAATCTCGCCCGATCTTGCTTTATGCTGGAGACGGTGTCTCCGACCTGTCTGCCGCATCGGAAACAGACATTCTCTTTGCGAAGAGCGGGATGGGTAAGTCGGTTATGTGATAGGCCATCGCTATTTCCAAAATTCCTTCCGAAACCAACTTACATCACAATGATGCAGCTGACAGCTTCCACAGGCCTCGTCCGATACTGTGAGCAAAAGGGGATCCCATTTGTCCCTTTTAATGACTGGGCTTCCATCCTTGCCACCGTCCAGGGAATCTACGAAAATGGATACAGCAGTGTCATCGGCCATCTCTCCCCACAGGTGAAAAACTAAGATGATATCACTGACTGTCTGTCTAATAATAAGCTGGACACTCTGTCCGCCGGATAGACAGTGCAGAATGGGGAGTAGGGAAACTAGCGCCTGGCTTGTGGCAAGAGAACTATGATATTTCTTGTACTACTTTTCCGTTACTACATCTCTCTGTTCTTTCCCTGCTATAGTTCAATATCATATGTGCTTGCGCGAAATGTTCCAAGCTAGGACAAACTGGTCCGACTCCAGGCACACTACAGGAGACATCCGGTAGTAGGCCACTAATGCAGCCCTGAGACCCGCAGGGTTGTTTCAATAGTGGCAACGCAATTAAGCCAAGAAGCAAAAAAGGAGTATCAGATGCGACACACGGAGTCTATCCACCAACCGTTACTGAGTTCATTTATATGCTCCGACGAACCAAGGAATCCCGACTTTGTCGTACGTCATTTCAGATGAGCAGCTCATTCAGAAGTAACTGAGGCGGCGAATTCCACTCAACTCGCCCATGTTGAGAGTTGTAATCATCCCGTTCGATCCTTCACTTTAGACAGAAACCTCCGCAAATCGTTCTAGATCGGACCGTTTCTCATACTGTGACACCGCATTTGTCTTGGTGTCCATGGTACTGGCACTCGGATTAGGCCTTGGGTCCTACTATTCGAAAATATGCCTGTCCCTTACGCCTCTAAGTGCCCGATTTAGGCAAAGGGCCAAATGCCAGGGTCACCAAAAATGCACCTCAGTCTGCATTCACCTCCAATGCTTTCCCTAAGGTGACATCCGTATATGGCCGAGACCTAACTCCCATCGCGTAGTTTCCAATGTCTTAGGGACTAGCACATGCCATGCCAATGGTTTACAGACACTCGGGTGATACTTCGCCATAGAATCGAGAGCTAGTGTTTCAACCACGCCGGATTGTGTGTCTCAACTATCCCGAGTCTATTGTTCTACAGGGTGTCAACCGCAGATGGGCGGACACTAAAGGGACCATAATTTCAAAAGTAAACGTTCCAAGGTATACTGGTTGGTGAAACCGCATTTATGTCCTCTCTGATGGCCACTAAGCCACTAATATTTTTGATTCTCAGCTACCACTTTCATTCATTGGACCGGTTCGTAGGTGACGGCTTATTCGCAACGCGAAAGCCTGGGGAAAGCTAGGCCATAGATAGTGTGCCAGAACTGCCTGTTACGGAGCAGTAAATCGCCTGCGTCCTGGGAAAGAGCAAACAAAAAAAACTCAATTAATTAATACTAAGGTAACCTTAAAAACAACCCTAACTTTTGCATGTTCCAGTTCCTTAAACCTCTGTATCAATGCCAGCTCACCAACTACCCTCTGACAGCAGATTTGATCTCCTTCCACACACTGTCCATGACTTTGACCACGCGCCTCACAATTTCATCAACGTCCTGCTTTTGGACGATGTATGGTGGTGCCAAAAGGAATTGGTCGCCACTCCAACCATCAGCAGCCCCGGTAGCAGTGAAAATGCAAATGTCATAGCCCTTTTCAAGTCCTCGCGCGCGAATTCGTTTAGCAATGTTCAGCCTCGAATCGAAAGGAGCCTTGGTGGCTTTATCCTTCACGATCTCCACAGCCCAAAAGAGCCCGCGCCCTCGAACGTCTCCCACAAGAGGGTGCTCTCCAAGATGCAGTTTAAGCTGTTCTCCGAGGTATTCCCCCATACAGCGAGCATTCTCGATCAGGTTATTTTCCTGAATGTAACGCTGAGTAGCGAGTGCTGCCATGCATATGAGTGGCTGTGCCTGGTAAGTTTGTGAGTGAAGAAATAGTCCACCACCTTCTTTCAGCCCATTAATGACACGGTCGTGAACCAACAGGGCAGAAATCGGAGCGTATCCTCCACCAAGGACTTTTCCCACGGTCTGAATGTCAGGAACAACACCATCGTGCTGCCACGCATGCTGGGCGCCTGTGCGGCCAAGGCCGCACATAATCTCATCGAAGATTAGAAGGGCTCCATGGCGGTCACAGACTTCCTTCATGGCACGTAGATATCCTGGCAACGCTGTAACACAACCTAAGGCCTGGGATGCGGATGGGAGTTAGAATGCGTTCAGGGGGTAAAACTCCCGACTGTCTGACTTACCGTGCCGACCATGGGCTCCACAATAAAGGCACAGACTGTTTCGGGACCGAGCCTTTGGAATTCGTCTTCAAGCTCCTCTTTCAGTCGAGCCACATATTCCTCAACGGTTTCTCCTTCCCTCATATCTCGCCACGGGTGACAGGGAGACACCTGAGACACATTCTTAAGCAAGAGAGGCTCAAACAGTGTCTTCCTAGCTTTGATATCGCCAACGGAGAGTGCACCAAGGGTACAGCCATGCCACGAGCCTCGTCGCGAAATGAAGTTCAGCCGTGGCGATTGCGGCGATAACTCAGCAAAATACTGGTACGCAAGTTTAAGCGCCGCCTCAACAGCTTCAGAGCCTGTACCTCGTCGAGATTAGTGTTCATAAGCGACGTCTGTAGTATCAATTGAGTGTATGGTAGTGACAAACCGGATCCAAGTATGCAAGCCCGTGAAAGCTGCCCGCCGGTAGACTTGACCAACAAGTCAGCCAGTTCAAGGGCAGGAGTAGTCTGGAAGTACCCAGGATGAGCGTACGCCACCGCTTCCAGTTGGCGAATGATTGCATCTTTCACAGCTTTGTTGCCATGACCGATGGCCGAAACGGCAGCCCCGCCTGTTGCATCTAGGATCTTCTGGCCATTTTCGAGTGTAAAGTAAATTCCTTCAGCAGACTTGACAGTAGGAGGAGAAGGACCCTCAGTAACACTTTGATAAAGGTATGTATCACTTTCGATGGAACCCATTATGTTAGAAGTTATAAACTGTTGGACTTGAAACTGCAGTTCAGGCACTGGGGGACGGAGAGAATCTAAAATATAAGCCAGAGTAATAGTTCCTGCGTCGAGCGAGTCTATAACATCTCATGGATGTAGACTTACCTTTTAGTTACATTGACTTCTCTTTTCGTCTGCAAATGGAAGTGGCCTAATTGTTCATAGATGCTTGCACTACATGATTCCGGAAGTGGAAAGATGATAAGCTAGGCCCTCACTCCACTTGGCCGGTTTAGCACAGTTGACTGATATAGGTCTCCCCATAAGTTACAGGTCAAGGGGGAAAGTAAAAGGAATTTACACGATTGCATGTGCCCGTTATTGGATAGGAAGACAAAAGATGCCTGGTCTAGACCTTGACAGACCCATGGGCGCGTTTTGTTCTGCCTCGTCCGGCCTATAGGCTGGCCCGCCTTGACCTCCGGGCGGTTTAGGATGAAAGGTCGCTGGCGTGCGGGTGTAGACCAAAACAGACAAAATAACAGTAATCTTTTAGCCGAATCAGCGAATTATCAATCATAATTAGGACATCTATACAAAAACGGGCCGCCCATTTGTCCCACCGTGCGGGCCTAAACCTCCCGGCCCATGGGCCGGGTCTGTCAAGGCACGACCCCACCCCAACCGGAAACGTCGTTTTCGTAAATGTCATGATAGACGTATTTCAGATGTCACATCATTTGGTAGATGTCATGAAAGGTATCATAAGGATAGTGGGGCGCGGGCCGTGACATCCAGTTCCGTTTGCGTTACTCCCCAGTTAATTTAATGACGTTAAGGACTCAGACTCCGAAGACTCTGGAACCTTCGCAGTTACATCAGTTACATCTTACACCTGTTTTGCCTAGGTCCGGAACTTTACTAGACCTTTTCTATGAAAGTCGGGGTAACTTGTCTCACCTTGGAATGGTACCGGATTAAGGCAACTGGGATGTAGATTCCTTATCCGCTTGTAGCATCGCAAAAATCTCGGTTCCGATATACCACTACAGAAAGCGATTCGAGCCAATTTCACTCCCTACAGTATCTTATCATCCACTGTGATGTCTCTGCGTCTTTCTCAATATTTTCTCAGTCGTTTATTTGATCCTACATTTGGTTTCCTCGATCCACTGCCAGTGGTAGCTCACAATGTCGCCGACCACTTCTTCAGATGATCCGACAACCCCATTGCTACAATCAGCTAGGGAGAGGCCTGTAGCAGCTGCAGATGAGATACTAGAATCCCAGAGAGATGCTGATGGTGAGCTGCATGGATCAGAACTGGCCCTAGAAAAGTGGAATGAGCCTGTTATCAACGCATGGCGAGTTCTTGCTGCCTTCTTCAGCTTCATCGTTGTTGGCGCAAATGATGGAACATATGGTGTATGTGGAAAGAAAGCCCCATAGCTTTTTAGAAGTCTGCTAATGTGTTTGCCTTTCAGGCATTAGTCCCTTATGTATGCGACTCCCTATGGATGTCTGCCCCGACACGGAGTAGCATCTGACGAAGACTAATTTGCTGATTTAGCTTTGTGATCACTACGAAGTAGACTATGCCACTGTGTCTGTGGTCTTTCTTTCCCCTTGCGTCGGGTATGTTGCTGCTGCTCTAGTGAATAATTGGGCCCACGCGCGCTTTGGACAGAGAGGCGTTGCACTTCTTGGATCGGGTGCTCATATAATTGCCTATCTCTCCTCCACACAGCATCCGCCCTATCCCGTGCTTGTTCTCCTCTTTGTATTGGCTGGACTAGGTAATGGTCTTCTTGATGCGGCATGGAATGCTTGGATTGGAGTTATGGCAGACAGCAACAGATTGATGGGAATCCTCCATGGCTTCTATGGCCTCGGTGCGGCATTAGCACCGTTGACTGCTACCTCTCTGATCACCACTCGTGGATGGCACTGGTATCATTATTACTACCTCATGGCGAGTGGTGCACTAATTGAGATCTTAACGCTAGTTCCTGCGTTCTGGTCGGCGCGAGGTAGATCAGTCAAGGAAGAGCATCAAAGCAACTGGGACAGAGCACACGCCAAACGTTCCTGGAAGGAAATATTGTGCAGCAGCCCCACGATACAGTCACTTGGATCTCCTGCAACATGGATAATCTGTTTATTCATTTTTATTTATGCTGGGGTTGAAATAACCATTGGGGGTTGGGTTTTCACGTTCCTTGTCCGCCAACGAGGCATACCTGAATTCGCGGCCGGTATGGCAACTTTTATTTACTGGGCAGGGCTCACTTTGGGCCGTGTGCTCCTCGGATTCGTGACTGCATATCTACAAATCGGCAAATATACGGTGGTTCTGTACTTGGCAACATGTCTAACTCTCCATATTGTGTTCTGGTTTGTGGAGGAGTTCAAGGTCTCGGTAATTGCAGTTGCTTTGTTAGGGTTTTTCCTCGGTCCATTGTTCCCGGAAGCAGTCATTGCTTTGGCCAACCTTTTGCCCAAGCATTTACGTATCGCCGGTATTGGAATTGCTGTTGCTCTAGGAAGTGCTGGTGGGTGTGTGTTCCCATTTATAACAGGGGCTCTTGCAAAGGTTGTAGGCATCCAAATCCTCCATCCGATGCTTCTACTGATGCTCACCCTTTGCTTATCAAGTTGGCTTATCCTTATATTGATGTCAAGACGGGAAAAATTCTGATGAGCTTACTGGATATGTTATATACTGGGTGATTTATCTACGCTCTGGAAGTTATCCAGACAGCTTCTATTTTACAGGGGGGGCCTGCGCGTGTGGCAATACGGCTAGATAAGATTATCTAACTGTGATAAAAAGTGAAGTTTGTGCGATCAGTCTCTCTCTGTCATTCAACTTTGTGATAACGAGTGATATATGCTGCCAAAGACTAGATCAATGGTCGATATTGGAGCTCGAGGCTTTACATAGATTTGTATACATGTAAATGTGGACTGAACTTCTACCATGATGGCTCCATGCCCAGTTGGTAAACGCAGCAATCGACACAGGAATAATACACTGGTCTATATGTCTTTCTACACCCACTGGAAGTAACCAATCACAGGTGAGTTTGCATATTATGGCAACTGGGTTGCTACTCTTTGTTTTTCACAACCGAACAATAAGGCGGAGGATGTTGTAATTGTTTTAGTTTCTGGACTTTATCATAAAATACAAACATCTGGGAAATCTAAATCAGGCCTCCATAATGGCCCCCACTTATGTTCACATTCTTATAAGGCCAAAATACTGTTCTGAGTCTCGCAGTGACCTGGAGCAGCACGGAAAATGCTGCATTGCTGGAGGAGGAACAATTTGTGGAGGGATGCTGAGAGGAGCTCTACTCAATAAGCTAGGATGGAAGAGTAATTGTTTTAAATGCTTCCCCCCTGCAACCCCAAAGTGGCTCGCACGTTTGTTTCCTAACCAGCTTTGGTAAGTCATAAAATCGTTGAAAGGACTTATTGTCTATCTATATTTACCTGTCCAAACTGGAGACTAATTCACATACTGCACCTAATGAGCCATTCGAAAATAATAATTGACAGCAGCAGGAGAGGGGCGAGGACAGCAAAAACGCAAACAAGCCAAAGACCCATATGCATATGGCCGTATGTATCATTGCATTTCCGCAAGATCAGGCGCGACGCAAGGTCTGATAGCCACTCCAAAAATAACCTCAGTGGTAAAAAAACTGGCCACCTATTTTATGTTGTAGGATCCCATGTACCATATCCAGAAATGGAAGTTGAGAATTTAGGTCCTTGACTTCAATTCTCCTTAGTATCAGGTCTCGAGCGACTGTCTTCATGGATTGCAGTAATAGCGATGTTTTCTCCAGACTCTGGAATTAATCCTTGTGGACCTCGGCTTCCGCCTGTGCATGAATACTATTTGTTGAACTACTAGGCCATTTCGTGTCCATCGAAGAAATGCTCTGTGCTCTACTATCAGTATACATAAGTAGATCATCTTAACCGATGCACATTTACCAGATATTCAGTCATCCTGCCGTAGCTAATTTTCTCTCAAAGCACGTACCAAGAGATATAAATGGAAGATATAACCGAAACAGCCATCATTATATATTTATAAAGCGCAAAGTACGTCATGTTCACGCTATCCTAGCCTGGATCTAGCAAGGGTTAGCACTTACGAAACCAAAAGGGTTAGCGGAATTAATCTACCGATTCATGATGCAATATGGCCGAGCCCAGGAACTATTTGTGTTTACTGGTAATGATATTTATGCGCATAAGTGATTCGGGTACTGTCTGCGTGGTTAATAAAATGCAGAGCTAGAGGTGTTCGCTAAGATGTTCGATTGTCCTAGAGATCCACCAAAAAAAAGGAAAAAGAAAAAGAAAAAGAAAAAATGCACTTGATAGACAAGTATCGTCCGAACAGACACTCTATCTGTTCAAATAAAAAAAGCTTGAGAGAGCTGGCCTGTACTGGAACCGGACTTATTCTGCTCCCTAGTCTCTTTAGGTCATGTTATATTAAATATTGAGCAACAACGACAAGCCCTAGAACTCCGTGGGCTTGAACTTCGATTAAGAAATAGAAGAAGCACGAGAACAACAGATTCAAATCAGGCAAAGCAGCTTCAAAATGAAAAAGAGATAGAATTCATGGAACGGAGGGCAAAATTACGTCAAATAAATAATGAAATGCTATATCAGTTATAAGTTAACTATAGAGTAGCTAAGTTTCTATATATATAGCATTATCATCGTATCGACAGCATTCAGGAATTCTGGACGTATGGTAACCAGTATTTGATTTTCCGCTCACCGCCCCATTTCTTTTGAACGAGAGATGCTTGGAGAATGCGTTAGCGTATAAGATACATGTCAACTTAGAAACACCACGCACCTCATAGTAAAGAGCTTCGTTTGTCTTTTCGTATGAACTAGACTTAATGATAGCGCCTGCTCTAGCCGGAGAAGAGGAGAACAATGAAAGCCCAAAATCATACTGAAATTTAAAATGTTCGTAGATCTAGTCGTGCCCATCCATTTTTATATAGAAGTCTAAGAAGTATGTCGAGGTACTTCTTTGTCACAGGAAATTTGTCTCGTGTTTAGTGCAGAGCGCATACTTTGGAGTAAATTTATTCTTGATATGTTGTCGTCTCTGTTAGCAAATATTATATTAATTGAGCGAAAAAGAATAAACATTATAAGCATCATGTTTAAACACTTCTGGAATTTGTATCGACATTTCTCCCTCCCATTCACTTACAAAGCAGGAAAGATTTTGCAAGGCAATGTGCTAACTTGGTAAATGACCCTCACAAGGGACTGTAAAGCTCTCGGACAGTAGCTTAACGATTTGCATAGAAGATGAGCATTATCGTCTCAAAAATATACATTCTCAGATTGGTTTCTGGACAGCATCCTTCTGGATTGTTAATAGTGGCTAATAATCTTTAGTCTTGTAAGGCGTGAAAGTAGATATTATTTAGTCTCCATCTATCAATAGTTCGTTCACCCCTCTCGTCTGTGACTGGGGATGTTTGCTTGCAGCGGATAATATCTTCTTTATTAATCGGGCCTTGTTGTTAATCTTCTGTCAACCCGCGCGATTCTGCAAGATTTCGAAGCTTCTTGTGGTATTCTACTTTGGTAGAGCCATGTGTGGTCAGGTGAGTAGTGTTGTTACAAAAATTCCAATAGGATATAGAACAAAAACTTGGATTAAATATGGAGAGCCGTTTCTATTTATCAACAGAAAAATAGGACTAAATCTTTATGAAATTTCCTCACTCACCCACGCTGTCACCAAAATTACCCGCACTCACTCCAAGTCTTAGCGGCAGTCAGCTATAAAGCAGCAAGTCACCCAGGGCGTTTAGTTATTGGCCGCATTTATAGGTATAGCTGGCTTAAGTACGGCTGAGCGCACAGGAAGTCCTGTTTTCTACACCCTGTGGTCGTATGTGCTGGAGGATAAGCAGCATTGAATATTATTCCTCTCAAAGCTGCAGTGGAGCTAAGAAGCTTTGCATGGTGGTATGCAAGGTGGTGGTTGTTCTCTTCTTGTACACTTCTACATTAATTGCTTGTATACAGCGAATATTTTTTCTGATCCTAGTAGGCCCTGTTTAATCTTGCAATATAAGGGATGTTGATATATACAGGGCTAACATAAATAAATAGCTGTCGAACACTAAACAGGTAGTACACGGAGGCAGTTAGGAGGGTGAAAGCAATAGTATAGGCTATAGTAATAAAAATACTACCCTATCAAAGAAGCCGCAAGCATGACAAGCCCGCCAAACCCATCCATTCCCGAGCACCATTCCCCCCAATTTGCAGTGCTCCTTAGAGCCCCAGAATTCAGGGAGTTATGGAGCAGCGCCGCATCACTACAATATAGCTGGCCCTCATCTAGTTTGACAAGGTCACCGTTTGCAGCCAATCCAAAGGAAGTCTGAGCCCCAGGTCCCCTCTCACTTTCCGTCTTCCATGCAAACTCATCAACTGCTTCCCATAGTTGTTTCGTCGCCGGTAGTGGTGCCAGAATGAGGTCCGTTTGCAGATTGCACAGCGCCGCTGGCTCGAAATAGACTAGCATATTCACTGCCTGATAGACCACGCAGAGTCTTTGATTCAATTAGTATCTTACGTTCAGCTCATTAAAATAGAGTGGATAGGAATCCAACCTTCGTTTTGATTCCTCGAAAATCCAATCTTTCCAGCCTTTTTCGAGATCGTAATTGCATAGCGCAGGCTGCGTGTTGCATGTAATGTCGCTGCGGGTTAGTTGTTTTGCTATGACCTACAGCATGTTAATAGAGCTACAGTAAGAGAAAAGAAGCGGGACTAGACCTACGGTCACTGTTGTCAGAAGTAGAGAATCAAAGTTATTGTGATCTGTCTCGCCTTCATCCAACCTTCTGAGAATATAAATTAAAAGGGCTTGCATAGCAGCAAGCAGCTCCCATTGATTTAACTTCAAATGCTAAAACTGCTAATCAGCCCTGTTTGGCCCCTCTCGTAAACACAACCTACCTCTTCACAGAAACGTTCACATTCCAGTCGCACATTTTTCCAGAACAACTTTCGACTCCCCTGGACACCGCTGCTGATCATATGCATTAAATTTATGCAGTTTGTTAGTGGCTCCATGTCACTATTCTCAACATTGGAAGATATCAAACGCGGATGGATAAAGGGTGGAAGGGTATTGTGGCGCAGCATCATCAGGGGGTAGGATTTCAGGGTGTGGAGCATGAGATTGGCGGTTCTTCGCGCTCCTGTCTTTATTTTCGGGCGTTGGATAAGTAATCGGAGAGTGTTCGTTGGTAGTGTTGTTACTGATACATTGGGAGACAAGATGGCTTGTTTTGCTTGAAATGTTTGATCGGTCGAAGGTGTTGAGTGACGAATCAATATCGACTCTGTTGAAGGATATTGAACGGTCTCGTTTGTCTGTTGACTCAAAAATTCGGTAAAATTAACCTCTGGGTTATCCCAATCGAAATATTCCCCTCTAAGATTTGGGAACTCTAGATCTGATATAACAAGCGCACTATCGAGACTTATATCACCATCGTTGCTTGCTTCTTGACGATTCTCGACTCTGGGAGAACCTGTTACTACTGAAGGAGCCGTCCTCCACCGTTCGGCCGGCGTATCATCATTGTGCTGCTCTGTGCCTTTGGGCGTGTTTGCCGGATAATGGCATTCAATGGCCTTGGTTATGCACCCCGAGCATTCGGGACGCCTATTATCACAACGTGCTTTTCTTCTTGCACAAGAAATACAAGAACGAGAACGAGTAGTACGGCCAGCTCTTCTCGACCGACAGTAGTACCCATGTCTCTTCAGTGTGGACTCTAAATATCATACTATTAGTACAGACTCGGCGTCATGAAGTAACATCTGTTGAATGAACAACTCACGCTTATCGAACGGTTTATTGCACTGCCTGCAGCGCAGAACAGGCTGTACATCTCCTTCATACATTTCAAATTAAACCGCAGCAAATTATAGGAATTGTACAAGGTCTATATATACATTCATCATATTTGTCAGCATTTGTCAGCAGAGAATCCTTCGTCTTCTTCTTTTTTGTAAACTAATTTCAAGTGTATCTACTTTCCTATGGAATAATTATTATATTTAGATAAGTCCTCCTACGCTTTAGTTACAAAGAAAAGAATTGAAAAGTCTTTGTTCTAAAAGGGAGAAGTCGAACAAAGTTTAGTACCAGTAGTATAGATAGAGTGGATTCTAAGGATCTTTTTACTATAGATACTTTTGTTTATATTACCATGAATACAGTGAAACTAGCATTGTACAATTTACTTGAACTCAATTAAAATGCCTGTGCGTGCTTAATTTTATAGAATTGTTGTTATAATAGTATCTCCGTTCAGAATTGCCCCCGGGCGGAACAGTTTGTTAATTGGAAGCATCACTGCCTGGATTCAGAATAGTCTGTTGGGCGGAACATTTTGCATACCTACACATTGCACAACTCCGTCAATGAATCGGAGTTTCAAATATAACTATATATAAAGATGTGCTCAACAACAAGTTTCTCATCCAACAATCGACCCACCCATCCTCCATCAATCTTACAATCACCATGGCTCCTTTTCCCTCCCCAACCTCAACCTGGCACACGAAAACACACCAATCCATCTCTCCCACCCGTCCCGAGCTTTCTGTCAGAGGCAAGACTGTGATAGTAACAGGAGGAGGCACAGGCATCGGTGCAGAGACCGCTCGCTACTTCGCCGCAGCAGGCGCGTCTCGCATCGCCCTCCTCGGCCGGAGGGAACAGCCCCTTCTCGACACCAAAGACTCCATCGAGCATAAGTTCCCCGAAGTCGAGGTATTCGTGTCTTCCACCGATGTCACGAAGAAGAGTGAAGTCGACGCGGCTTTCTCAAAGTTTCTCGGCGACGGAAAAATCCATGTTCTGGTCAGCAATGCGGCCATAATTGGGCCCCAGGATCCCGTGAGGAATGTGGACGGCGACAAGTTTCTCGAAGCCATTCAGCAGAATCTTAAAGGATCATTGCTCATTGCACAGGCGTTCCTTCGCTACGCCACGACGGATGCAGTCGTCATTGAGGTTTCTTCCTCTGCTGCGCATCTGAACTTTGCTGCGGAGTTTGCGTCATATAGCATTGCTAAGATGGCGGTATTTCGGCTTTGGGATTCCGTCGCCTTTGCGAACCCGGAAATAAGCGTTTTTCATGTTCAGCCTGGTGTGGTGGACACTGACATGAATAAGGAAGCCGGGGGAGTCGATGCGGTCGGCTTTGCGGATGACGGTAAGTGGAATGACAGCTTGTTGAGTGGAACATCTTGAAGCTGACTTAGACTGAGTTTCTCTACCTGCGAGCTTCAATGTTTGGCTTGCAAGCCCCGAAGCGAGGTTCTTGAAGGGCAAGTTTCTGTGGGCAAACTGGGATGTCGATGAACTCAAGGTCCAGGCCAAAGAGATTGAAGCCAGTGCGCAGCTTAGTATCGGGCTTGTTGGATGGCCGTTTCAGAATGCCGGTTGGAAGACCATTTGGAAGTCTCGGGTTAATGGTGATGCTTAGCTACGGGTAGTATTTACTGAGTCAAGAGGACAGAGAAGAGCAATATATTTGTATTTGTTATAATTGTTTAATTCTTGGGCTTCTCGCAGCCGTTGGCTGCTTGCAGTCTCTGGCTCGTAGTGCAAGTATAAAGAATGGATTATTTACTCTTATTTTTGTTATATATATCGTAGCTAAACAAAGACACTTCTACTTCTTATGTTAAGATAAAAAGATTGAATTAACTCTATTTGTCTATATTAATGTATTATAACTTTTTTCTCGTTAACAGAGAATAGAATCCAGTTTAGCTTTCAATGGTCTGTCCAGAATCGTGCTAACGTAGATGCATTAAATCTGCCGCTCTGAAATTTGTCTTCTCTCTATTTCGTAACTGTTTCCTGCGTGGTTGCTAGAGAGACGACATAAATTATGCTTTCGTCTACAGGGAATATGATCTGGATCATCCGATCCTTCTATACGATGTGTAGAAATGGTGTCATACCTTACTTTAGGAATCATGCTTCTTGATTTTATTTATTATATGGATCAATTTACAGAGAACAAAAAGGTATCAAACTCCTCTTAATAGGATCCATTACGCTGAGAAAGAATAAATATAATAAGACCAGGGGGTGGTAACTGGTAAGGGAAAAGAGAGAGTGGGCTCGGCTCACAACACTGGACTCTCCTTTCATATTTGTTTACTTTCTTTTTCTCCTTCCTTCAACGATTCTTTTTTATATATAGCCTATCCTATAGGTTCTACTAGTTTAGCCCTTGGCAAAAGCTCTCTAGTGCCACACTTGCCCAAAAGTCCTTCATATTTCGTTATGTTACTTCACGTTCTTCATTGGCGGACCTCTCGGAATGGTATAAATTCAAATCTATAACTTTCTTTTGCAAAAAGCTGTACCCAAAGTAACCTGGCTAGCTCAATTGGTCAGAGCGTCTGACTTTTAGTAATCTGAAAGAGTAATCAGAAGGTTGGGAGTTCGAGCCTCCCGTCGGGTGCTTTTTTTTTTTACTCATTATTTACCTAGACGGTTGGTTCACTGATCCTAAAAGAGGTCTGTCTGGCTAGGCTACACTTAGCAAGCCGCTTTATAACTAATAACCAACACCTTTCAATTGCATATAGAATATGATGACCTACCAAAGCATATATATCCTAACTAGTTTGCAGACCTCCTCCCCCCAATGCGGGTCACAGGCTAATCTGGATTACATATAATCTACTATCTATCTACGACGCCTATCATTCATCACTGTCACAACCACTTTGGTGATCCCTTCCTCGCTAACTAGCTAGCTCTAGAAGCTGAAGACCGACTGACATATATAACTTCTATCCTCTAAAACCATAGGACGTAGTTACTATATAAAGTCATACTGCCTTCTGTGGTTATTCCGGTTCGTATTGTGGTTTGTTATGCGTAGCTAGTACTTTGTTAGTCTTTGTCTAGGTAAGTTATTAAACAGCGAGCTATTCAGGTAAGTATGCAATGGCTTAATCTCAGTTAGCAAGTACTAACCTGCTACTTGACAATACGGTCAACGTATCATAGCAGTCACTACCAAGAAGGGATGCAATAATTTAATAAAAACCACAATACTAAAATTGTTTTTCATTATGTTAAATTTACAGTAACCTTGTATAACGCCACAAGAGGTAGCCATATTAAGTATCCAACAACTTTGCGGAGTCGAAAGGTCGGCAAGGACCTTTTCCTTGCCTTATTTCAAAAAAATTGACTGAACCTTCAGTCAACCTGGCTAGCTCAATTGGTCAGAGCGTCTGACTTTTAGTAATCAAAAGAGTTATCAGAAGGTTGGGAGTTCGAGCCTCCCGTCGGGTGTCTTTTTCCAATTTCTTTTTTTGAAATCTGATGAAATCTTTTGTTGTGCCTGCGTCACGGCGTGGAGGAGAATACCGCTCAGGAAGCTTTTCACCCCCGCTTTCTGGCTTCTCTAACGTCATTCCATCTGTTGGCTATAAATCCATGCAATTGATCTATCGTCAGGCAGCCACTTTCAAGAGCCGACTTTAGGTATTCTTGCTTCTCCTCGGAGTCAAAACATGACACCCAAATATCAGTAATTAATACGTGAGAGCACTCTGTTAAGTCGCCCAATAAATAATTCTTGTGTGAGACGCTGATGATTGTCGCTTGTCCAAGAATATATTTCGTGGGCTTTGAGATCCTGAAGCAATTCATTATAAAAAGGATTTAGTATCGTACGTACCGCTAAGCTGTCGGCTGCCTCGGACCAATAGCTATGGATCTTCATACTTGGCAAGAGCACGAAAATAAGGGTAGAGAGTGAAATAAGTATCTTTCGAGTACTAAGTTTTTTTTTGCCACATTTAGACAAGCGCCGCCATGCCTCGATTCTCTCCTGGAGCCAAGGCAGGAAATGAACCTTTTGAAAACACGTCATTGGGTTAAAAGGCACTAGGTCATTGATGTTACCCTCCAGCCCAGGCTGGGCATTCACAGATTACCCTTTTAGGGACTAACCAGAACATAACGTCGACCAAGCAAGAGTCATGCAATGGAAAGTCTTAACATAGTCGAATCTCGAGTTTAATTTGCAGAGCGACGCAAACGCACCCAGTGTTAAGACCCTGATCGCCAAAAAATCATGGGATACTATGAAGGTACCTACCGAGCAAAAAACTACGGACGCCAAGACTGTTGCCTTTCTCGTTCTAGTAGGTGAGCAGTGCCGCCCTGAAGTCGCGCGACCGGGGTGAGTGGGGTGAGTGGTGGGGGTGATTGGGTGAGCGCTAGGGGTGACCATCGATCGCGCGCGACTGGGTGATCAGCCAAGGCGCCGTCCATCCTTGGTGTAGCAACTAGTTTCAGATTCCCCACATGAGGCCAAGTATAGATGAGATATATCATTGGTTTATAGAACACATACTCCTTATTGGTCAGATATAACAGCCTATTTCTTACAACCACTTGACCATATAAAAAGGTACAAGACTGATCGAAGATCAGTCGCATCTAGCGCCCTATATAGTAACGAAGGCCTTAGTCTGAGCACCATACTGGGTTTAACCCGTGACAGCTCTTCTAGATTTTGTTGATTATTATGATGATTATTCGATGGCTGTTCTCATTATTCTTATCATGTTCGTTCGTTTGTTGATGGCCTTTTTGACCCCTCCCTAATCACATGATCCTTGCCACGTATAGCCATATTATTTGACATTAATGTACCCAGAAAGCGGAGATACCTCTGTAATTACTTGGATCCGACGCGCTAAAAGCTAACCTCGACGCGCTAGCGTGAAAAGGCCAGTTGAGTATGTGGAATATAACCCGTGTGCCAATCCTTATGTTGAACTTGACAGTGTAATATTCTTACCGCTTTGTTGGTTTCGATGCCACCTACCCTCTCCTTAAGATACCGCTAGTTAATTCCTATTCAACCTTAGTCAGCGCTCGCTCCGTTATTTAGTTAAAGTCATTATAACGTACTAGGGTACACAGGGGGCCGCTGCTAAGCCCAAGTTTAGGGGTTCACCCCAGTTCCCCACTTGACATTTGCTATATCCAAGCTTGATTTCGCCACGAAGATGAAAATGTATCAATCCAAACTTGAGCAATACGTCCAGTTCCTTTCCCCGCGGCGCCGTCATGGTCGTAACTTCCTAGATCTGCCAGACGACATCCGATGCCATATCTACCGCCTCACGGGTGTAGTTCGCAAATGCCCTATCTACCTGTATTGGGATCCTCGGGAGAATCGCAACATTCTCGGCGCCAATGGAGATCCCATGCCCTGCCTGACAGCTAGTGCCTCTGACCTCGACTGTGACTGTCACGAAGTTCTAGATCGCTATTATTATCGACCGATCCCGGTCTCTCTTTTCTGCTGTAGCCGAGATGTCTACCGGGAGGCGTCGTCCCTCTTCTACGGTAATAATCGCTTTTACGTTCAGTATACAGGACTGGGCAGCTTTGACGCCATGATGGGGCTGCGTCCGAAGACTCTTGCTATGATCAGCTACCTGCATATTGTGCTGCACCGGACCAATAAAGACTCATCACTAAGTAATTGCAATTGTGAGGATCAAGAAATACGGCGGCATCCCTTACGTCGCATGCCTCCTCGACGCTATCGAGACTTGATTAGTGGGTGGAAAGCCGTCTGCATGCGACTGGCAGAGTCTATCACTCAGTCTCGGCTTGAGATGTGTCTTATCTGCGATACTGACGACATAAATGTGGCAGCCGAAGTGCTCGGTCCCCTGCGGCAGCTGCCATTGCTAGCAGCCTTCTCGGTGCGATTTGCACCGCCTCGGAGCACCCGGAATATTCCCATAGATAACAGCCTCCATGTTAATCTCTACCACATGGCAAGGGAGGTATCTATGGGGATAACTGGGCGCACCAGCAATCATCACAATCAAACATTTAAATATAATCTACTACCCGCGGAGCTCCAACTCCGCATCCTTGAACACACTGCACTTGTCGCACCAGAGGGTTACTTAGCCTGGAGTCCCGGTTCAGGCTTCTCTAGCCTCGACGAACTCTACGGGTACCGTTGGGAGCCTCAGCTACATCGTTGCCGGATATGCGATCCCTTGCGCATCATGTGCTGTCTCCCAATGCTCCCGAAGGGCGGAACGTGGGTGTCGCAGTGTAATAAGTGCTGGAAGTTCCCCTTGTCTCTTTTTCTCGTCAACCGGCACTTTTATCAGGAAGCAACACGTATATTCTGGTCGCTCAACCGGTTCGTCGTATTTGATATAGAAGCCTACCCCAGTGACGTTATCGGCCCCTTCCCACCTATCTTAGAGCCTGTCCAGTTGACGGCCTTTATGTCGCCGTATGCGATGCGCTACCTGCGCTACCTGCAGTTTAACTCTCCTCCAACCCGGGGAAAAGCACTGGAGGCGTATAAGGTGATGGTTGAGTTGCTCCGACGCAGTGCGGATCTGCCTCGGCTGACGATCACTCTTGATCTTAGGGGGATAGAGTCGTATGAATATGAATATCAGGACCCTATCAGCGAGGAGCAGGAAATTCAGACTTATTTAGAATTATATATGCCGTCTGTCATTGAGTTAGTACCCCTGCGGGCACTCAAGGATTTCTTTGTCCACATCGGCACCCTTCGGAGTTGGCGTTATTGTGTGGAGAACAAGCATGCGTTATGGGAGCGGAGGCTGGAAACGATGGTTATGGGAATGGAGTATCGAAGTCCAGAGAGGGTGAAGCGGGATGTGTTATATGCAATGGTATAATCTGTATAAGGAGATAATTCAGTGGTGTTCTCACAGCAGCTCTGACAATGAGTTTAGTAATAGAGATGTTCTTTTTTTTTTGATTCAGTAGAAGCTCTATGAATTCTTTACCACCATTCTGATTTTCTTGATGGAATGGATAGCTCCATAGAACATACGAAGGATGCGAAGAGTTAGCAAATTTGTGTGATAAATATTATTTAGGTGCAGATAATACACAAGATCGCGCTGTATGTTCCCATACACTTTCTTTGTCGAACTGCGCTGGCAAGCCTCAAGAGGGTATGAATTCAAGCCACTGCTGCTTATGATAGCACGCGATTACAGACCCTTTTAAAGCTAAAGCACGTATTAGCTATTCAGCTATGTTAGAGGTACCCGAGCACACGTACATGCTCCATTGGATCTTTCTATGCATAATTCTGGTGGGTGGGATTCTGATTCTCTCGGACTCGAGCGCATTAAAGGGAGTAAACTCATGCCTTGAGAACGTCGATAAGGGTGACTCCTTTGGTAGAGATTTACAAGTGTACGCTTCCAGGAAGTTCGCGGACTTCTGTACATGCTGTTGCTGAGTTTATCAGTTAAATGTACTTTTGTTGGTTCTCATGTTGGCTTGCAGTTCGGGACTTGGATTCGGATGCGGACAATGAGATTCAGAGAGTTCGCACTTGTGTGGATCAGCTCTATAATCAAATAGTTAAGTCACTTTCGCTTGGAGACTCAAGACTCGAGTGGTTGCGGCTGAGCAATCTTTGGCCATGTTTAATGCCTGTGTCAATCCTCCAGCAGCTGGGATCAAAATCACATGTCTTATTTGGCCAGAACATGAAAGACGCAATAATCTCATACGGATTAGCTATTGTACAGCTACAACGATTGATCCGGATGAAGGAAGCCTTTACGAGAGGGGACAAGGAAAAGCTGCAGCAAGAATATAGGAACCGCGGCCATGTAAATTGGCGGCCCTCGGACTACCCAGACTGGCTACTATTAGAAATCGACGGGAACATACAGATTCGTGACTTTTGACTGGTTTAGACTCTCAAATTAGCTACCAGAATGAGGCTACTAAGCAGTAAGAATGTCCAAACTGCGGTGATCTACCCGCTAATAGCTTGATTTTCATACCACAGACGACAATGATAGTGCCGTACAATCGTGTAATGGCGGCAACGACCCTGTTCCGCGAAAACCCCCGAGGGTAGATAGCAATCCGTCAAGAAGATACGAGAACACATCAAAAGCGGTAAGGAGACAGGAGGATGTTGCCACATTGCCGCCCAAAACTTGACGTGCTCCGCTAGCCTATCTTCCAACAGAACTACGTTTAATGATCTAGGAGTATCCGTGGCCCACAACCATGGTCATCGAAGCTGCATCCGGGGAGGAGTCTGACGACGATGAAGCCAAGGAATCAACTATCCTGCGTCAGTTGGTTCTCTGGATGCGCTCCTGGGGACTAATTTTGGCTCGAGACCCTTGGAAATTGGCTCGACTCACTACCAATTATTTTTTCTCTTCCTATGATGCTCCTCCACAAAGATTTTGACGTCTGCAAGTGTATAAAACGTCTTGCAATCTAGTTGGGGTGGTTGATTGGGTCGAGGCTGAGATTTGCGCCATTTGGCCTCAATCTTCATTCTCACCAACGACTGACAAGCAAGGTCCTCCTCAAGAGTGGTTGCTTCAGATATGATGATTATGTCATTTTGGAGGAATATTCTAGAGTACATTTTGCGAGGAAGCTGGAGGGTTGGGCAATGAAACAGCTAAAGTCATCAAATCAGCAAGAATTGTGGTGCTACTGCTGTCCCGTGGTTTCACAAGTCGCCTTGCGAATATGCCTGTGCCAATACATATTGGGTGATGAAAGCGGAGCGTACCAAATGAGCGATTTGGATGGACTGTTAATCCGGCTACAAGGGTTACGGAATTGGCATAACTAGGTCAGATGTACAGAATATAGGATGAAATAGAATCGTTTATGAGATTCAAAAAACGATTGACAAGGGCTGGTTACAATAGCATGGGGCATTCAATGTCAACAGATTAAAGAGCACGGCCACAATAAGAGCCGCCTTGATCTTCGGCATTTTCCAGCTTGGGGAGAGGCTTCCCAGCATTGAAAACCTAGTGGTTGCCCGAGGTCATAACCGCATGTTCTCGTTGCTGAGCAAACACGCGGGTTACCATTCATTGACTCGAGCTTCTAGCCAGTGATGGGGTCGGAATCGTATTTTTGACAGAAGACGAGTCCAGTTTAGGGTGTGCATTAAGAACCTCATTTTTTCAACAGGCTGGAGCAACCGACATATCACCCTGACCTTGTACATTTGGGTTTATGTATTTTACAAGCACCTGCACCATCTGCCTTCCAAACAGCATGTCAGAAATCAACAACGAGATCGCCACCTCTAACAGCCCCTCGAAATTTTTATCGTCACCAAGCTGTCCGAGAGCAGACACAATATAAGACGTTGCTAAATTTCGCAAGGCACCTATCCTGTGGGCGTGGCGGAGCGTCTCAGAATATACGAATCGCACAAACTCAATAACCCCTGTCAAGCGGCGATAAAAGTGAATAGCTTCAGTGTTTGAGAATCTAGAGAGAACCAACTGGCAGAGGGACTCGATCCCGTATTTATCGCCAAGACATAGAGCCGAGCATGTCCCAGGAAGACAGGTGTGAAATCCTGGCCCTTCCATTTGCTTCAGAGAGAAACGGTCCTTTACGTGCTCATAGTTGGGGGAAAATCGATAGTCAATCTCAAAATGAATCACGAAGATGTCTGTCCATATACTCTTTTCTTTATATGTAACCTGTCCTCATCCGCTGGTGACCCTTCAGCCTCCGGTTGCATCAGATCTCGGACTCAGGCTCCGGCTCTGGGATGGCTCGGCATCAATGCCATTCTTCTGGAAAAGCTGTTTTTTCTTTACTTCTTTTTTATCTTTCATGAACGCTTTTCGTTCTTCGAGACAACCGGCCAGTCGCCATCTGGTGAGGTGAGGGCGGCGTGTAGTCATGTAGGTAAGCATATTCGCACACCGAACGAAGGTATCCTCATCGCATCTGACCAATCAACACGCCTGGTCTTTGCCTCAATCACTGCGCCATTCATAAGCCTATCAAGACTTGGGGAAAGATTTGCCAAGGCATAAGAGTGCACTGTGAATTCCCTCTTTTCTAGGCCAATTTGAAAAGTAAACAGTGGTGAAGTAATGCAACTACCCAATTCTGAGTTTTCTAAGTGTGGAATCATAAAATATAGAAAGCCCCTACCTTCCGAAAGTTCCCTCCATGTTCAATAACTTGATACTTAAACAAATTCCCCAGTGGTTCAAATGTGTGCGATAGATGACTAGAGGCCGACCCTTTATTATCTTCTGATAGATTCTTTATAAGTCTAATTTTCCCGGGGGGAATGAAAAATGTGACGAAAAACTGCGTTTTCTTGGTAGTTATACCATCTCTTTGCGTGAACGATTTCCGTCATTCGTGAACAGCGCCGGTTTTGATAAGGCCAGGTCACTGAAACTGTATCTAAAACGCCGCTGTTCATACCCTCCCTCGATTTTGCAATTTGTTGAGGAGTGAGAGGTAGTCAGTTTCTTTCCGACGGCTTTAGCACTTCTATCTATTTGCCTGAGCTATGTATGGTTGGTTATCACCGGCGTCGAGAGCGCTGAAACAAGCACTTCTTGTGTTAATGCCTGTCTAATTGATGTAAGGAGAATCACATCTTGGCTTGCGCTAATGCATGCTCTTGGACTGTCACACCATAATAATTGGATAATGAATCCGTTTGTACTTTTGCTAAGGGCGAGGCCGAAATTACCAGGAAGCTATCGTTCAAATGGAATGACCCTGAATTGTGGAGCGAGTGGTTCAATTGGTGCCCGCTTCGTAGTACTGTATCATAATCACATTGCTTCATAGTCGGGTGGGGGAGGCTGGTGAGCCGTGATAGGTATGCTCTCCCACGGCAAACCGCTCGTAAAACTCGAGTTCTTGCTCGCTGCTGAGTGGCAACAAGTCGTCGGCCTAATCCTTCCAACTCAAGCTGAGACGGGAACAGACGGGGCGCCTCCCCCGGTTCCAACTGAAAGTAGCTGTAGACGGAGCTGTAGAGTTCTGACAGTAGGAACCTAGATTTCATGGAAGTCGCCGGGTGTAAAAGCGATATAATCTTTGGTTTAATTGCAATACTTCCGTTTTTGAGTCACAATTGCTGTTTGTTGAAACCGAGAGGCTTCCTCAACAGCAAATAGATATTCGGAGGTGTGTAATGGTATACTATTGACTATATTTTTTCAGCCCTGTGTTTGAATACGCGCTTCGACATAGAAAAGTTTCTCTTGTCAATGAAATCTCCGTAAAGGTCAGCCAATTATAATGAGAAGAACTCTATTCGACCAAATTTTATGGGAAGTGTAAGGGCTCCTACCAGATCACTCATGAATCTGTTTAAACTTGTCTGATCTGTCTGGTTGTAATTTCCGTAGTTGTTGAACCCAAATCTTGTTCAACACTATTGACCTTGCCTGCGTATTTACCAAGACAAGTAGGTACGACATAAAAGAGCCTCTTGATTGTGGACTGGGATGGTTCCGGCAACAACACTTGCTGGCTTTCAGGGAGCAGTATTCGTGTAATAAGTATTGAATAGTCAGTTGGCACTACTTTAAAATTCGAAGATTTGAAGTTTTTGCCTCTTTGGGCAGCGGTCAGCTTGACTGGTCCAGTGCCACAAAGAACCGTGTGGAATGAAATTTGTTCAGGATATACAGCTATGATCGACTTCAAGTTGTTGGTGCGAACCAATGACTAAATCTCAGGATATAGAATATCCTATTCGGTAGGTTACTTATAAAGTTTATAATGGCTCAAGCCCTTATAGATCATTGATAAGCATAACATCATACAAATCTATGCAGGCTTTACAGTGAAAGTAGGCTATACTGTATCAGGCTACTTCCTATCAATACCACTTATTTACCGCACACATAAGTCTTTTATGTGACGGCCAAACAACTTGATGAAATTGGTGCTATCTAACGAAAATTTCAAACGTGGGGAGGAGGAAGAAAGGTGGTGAGGGGACTATGCGGGGAGATAAACAAAGCTAGATACAAACAATGCAAACAGGCTACCTGGTGCGTTCGTCACAGAAGTAGTCTGGATACTTGGTGCATTCTGCGGTCATCCATGGCATTCTAGCTGGAAAATGTAGATTCCTTTACAATAGCTGGGACCGACTTTTGGTAAAGCACAGGCCCATCAACCCCTTGGTGCGGGTGTTCCTGTATTTGACAGATGATGCACGTCATCAGCCGTCTTATGGATATCCTACCGAACGGGACGTGGTCCTTCCAACAATGACGTTTCAAAATCAACTATTCCCCTTTTCTTACCCCACTTACAAAGAACCATATAATTTTCGCGTATTTTATTGGGACTACTAACGGGTGATGGAATTACATTAATACTTTCTACAGGGGCTAATTAGTGTCAGATAGAATGGCTGTACGTGGCCAGGATCATGTGACTAAAGAGGGGTAAAAACAAGGCCCTTTCCAGAAAATTGTTGAAAGCCTCGGGGGAAGAAGCTATGTCGTGAGGTGCTAGGATAGCGGTGACTAAATAGTATATTGAAACTATCGTGCGATCTAGTATCGCCTTGTGAGTATGTTCATCTATCTAGGAGAGAGAGCGTAGACAAACGCTTCCTCATGTCTACGTGTCCCTTGGCCCTGAATGTGATATATCAGATCGCTGCGGGACTAGGATATACGAAGGTGCCTTAGGCATCCTGATTTCCAACAAAAATCAAAATAATCAAGACATAATCATCAGAATAATTATTATAAAATTAATACAATCAAGAAGAGCTAGAACTGATCATTTAAGACGTTTTATGTGTCGTATTCTTGTATGCGGGACTGACTGAATATCTAAGAGTTATATATCTCCGAAGTGTTGTATTATTGTATGGCCCCGCAATCAGGGTCGGAAGGGCCCAAGGGAACCAGCCAATCTATTACCAAGGGTTCACATCGAACTCTGGGGAACGGCTGATCAAGGCTGGTAATTTTGTTAAAACAGTATTAATGATTTATCTTTACCCTTTACTAGGGTATTAATTTATTACAATGTTGGTTTTATTCCATGGTTATTACTTACTCTTTAGAGTGGGTCGGTGGGTATCTTGTTAATCACCACAACCAAAAAGGTAAAAATATTTTTTTTTACTGCAGTGGGACCAAGAAAGAATGTTGTTACTCATTGTTGGGCCGCTCATCCAATAATGGTGTTCCCATTGACTAGAATGCGAAGCACGGAGAGGAAATTGGATCCACGGCGGAGCCGTGGATCAACTTCTGTGGGGGATACCGTCTGCCCACGTGACACACTTCCGAGCTGGAGGTATGTTGGGGCGTAGGGCCCTAACATCTTACCTGTAGCGGGCAGGGCCCGCAAAGTGCTCGAGCCCGTATACCGGGCACTCGCGAGGTCGTGTAGAACTCTCCCGATCACATGATCTCGTTTACCTCGCACACACATTTACCTGTTCGGCCGCCGCGGCCGCAGATAGAAGCCCTTCAGCGAGTTCTTTTAGTCCAAATCTATTATATAGGTTGAATCGGCTACTAGCCCGTGACATTACCCTCATGAGAGGGACCTCTGATTTGATGATTCTAGTTAGATTCTGCTGTTTCTTCCGAACTGCGTATTCTGACTCTGTGACTAATCTTGTACTCTTGGTAGAGAGTACTTCGCCTCGAAAAAACTTTCTACCGACTATTTTATCAAAAGGACGACCTAGTAATAATATATGCTAGGTTTAGAAATTTCGATATATCCTATAAAGAGACAGGGGTTGTCACATGTCCCAAGCTGCTATAGTACGCCGAGTCCAATGACCGGAGTCATCGATGTGCCTCTTTTGCTGCGGCATAGTGGTAAAGCAGAGCACCACCACCCAGCCAGACAGACCTAGGTCTTCACAAGGGGCGCTGCGGTGCATTAATGCACCAAGCGAGATTTGGGCTGATAGACCTGGGGAAGTGGAAATGAAAGGAAGAGAAGCTTTTTACCTCTGCACTCACGTCCACCACCTCGTTCACGCCTTTCCCCCAAACCATCTTTGACTCTAAGGCTCTACAGACAGTTCTCAAACAAATCCTCAACTGCTGTCCCAGAGAGTGGCGCCGGACGTCCCCCCGGTGCAGATGTCCCGGCAAAAGTTAGTATGCTTCCATATTTTTGTCTCTATAAACAATCGCCTAACAACTCAGGCACAGTTCAGCCACACACTATCACACCAGGCATCTAGTTTGGTGGATAGACTTCTTCAACCAGGCTTTCGGGTACATGACTTGGTGTCATATCCGACAGCATTACATACACTTGATCCCCCAGAATCCCTCTAGGATCAAATGATGCGGTACATACTACCAGGGATGCGAGTACTTGAGAGGAAAGAGGTTACCGAACCAAGATAAGGCTGCACTGGGAAAACTCTTAGAAGATTAGTTGAGCTCTAACCAATTTAGCCGAGATGAGAACCTGAGTGTACAGTCTCCCCGTCTGAATGGCACCGGGTTGGGTTTTTTTTTGCTGTATATTACCTCTCACGAAGACGAAGCTTTTTGGAGGTCATATTTACGGCTGAGTGGAGAGGAAACCCAATTTTCCGCACCCTGTGGTCTTGTGTACTGGAATTAATTTACGTAGAATCTACAAAATCTAGTTTAATTAGTGATAGTCTAATAAGCGAAGCTGACGAGGAGCATTCACTCATTATATATATATATGGGTCATGCTAGACCTTATTGAAAACTGGGTGGATTGCGGATTTAGTCTACACTACACCTAGGATCCAATCCGTAGCAGTGTGGAAAGGTGTGGACTCTGCAGATGTAAAACAGAACTGTAGCCCTAGTCACAGAAAAGATGCAGGACTATAGCTGAATATTCTTGTATTCGGCCTACTTACTTTCCCTGCATTCTGTGTAATAGAGCAAAGACCCTTGAGTTACAGTAGCTTCTAATTACCTTATAGGAATTTTCTGTCGGGAAATCATAACAATAGTTATGTGTAAATCAAAATACTTAATAAGATTTTTAAAACTGTCTTGGAGGTGGTAGGTGAAAGGGCTGGTTGCAGAATTTTTATTACACTTATAACTATGTCAAATACATACAGAGCAATATGTATAAAGCTGCTATTAATAAAACTTGTGTGAGAGGGATATTTCTGCAGATACTAATACCAAGGAAAGATATGCTACAAACGAAATTCAAAAAACCAGGTCATGTTCCCATAGAAATAAGGAAGAATATTAATGTCTATCATTCCGTACTTTCCTATTATTTGTTGTTTATTGTGATCTGCATTCCATTCGTCAACCCTTACAACTAAGCTGCTCCCTGCGGACCATCCCACTTAATATGAAAAAGAAATATTTTTACCTTGCAAGGATAACGATCTATCATTTTCACAGCAAATATTATCTTAAGGCTTTAATACAAAATCAAAATGCATCTTCAAAACTGCATTCTACTGGCGACCTACCTGTGGAGCTCCGTCACCAACTGTCTCCCAAAAAGCTGCGACGCTATAGATCCCTTCAAGGATAATAATAAGCTTGAGACTCTCCTTCAGAAATTCGATACCATAGTCTGCCAGAAGGGCTGCAAGCCAACTGTATCCCAATTCAAAGACTGGGGAAAAGAAGCTCTCTTTGATCCACTGCTGTCCTCCACTATGGGCAAGATGGGCTTGCCTAACGTCCCCAAGATCACAAGCGGCATTTCAACAGACGTCACAAACGATTTAATAGACAACTGTGCAGGGTCAATGCGGGATCAGGATGTTTGTCAGGGCTCTAACCTGGATGCCATCGGACAGTGCCTAAAGGAGAATATGGTGTCGGTTGCGATGAACAAGGTGGAGCCATATTCCTTTATTGTTACTGAGGATATGTGTAAGAAAGCCAAGGTGTATCTGGAAGGGGAAGAGCTTTGGGAACAGTTGATACCACAATATTTTGATAAGTATGCTTCAAAGTGCAAGGACCTATAATGGTATGATGCTATGTATCCAGGAGTCAGGCGATGTTTTAATAAGACAAATATAGTCTTGATTTTCTTCGTGTGATTTTCTGATCAATGGGCTTATTTCTACACCACGTTAAACAGAGCAGTTAACATTCCAATGTTCTCCTTGATTTTACATCCCCAGGAATGTCTATCCATTGGAGTTTTGAATTTATAGGAAAATTTCTAGCTCTTTTATATCATCCCTTCAATGTCCATTAATTGCACGTTCGCAGGAATATGAGTTTTAGCAGTTTCTGTATAATATTTCCAACACATAGGAGTTTATCAGAGGTCCCCTTAAATAGTAGCCTGATAATCCATCACACTTTCTCTGGCCGGTATCGACGCGGCACGAGCTGGGCCGACCTTGGTTTGACCGGGGTGACCGTCCTCAACTGCTGCAAGTACGGCAACAAACGGCACATTTCGCGATGTATGGGGCGCTGGAATAAGGTTGGGTGCATGCCCGAGAGGCATGTGAGGTTGAATTCACGAAAAATTTACTGTGGATTGTGACGGCTACCTGGAAGACAGCATAGACCGCTCCACCCTGCCAGTAATCCCAGCCAGAGTGGGCGATGATCACGGGCACTAAAGCTCCGATTATAGCCAGTGGAGCATAGTACTTCTGCAGCCAGACTACTATTGGGCCCTTCAGGTTCGAAATATCAACTTCCCCTCACAACTCAGGGTGATATCCAAGGAGTCAACGGATATGGCAAAGAGAAAAGCTCATCGAGCATTATATGGGTCCCGATCGTTTCTTGTATCGATGGTGGGCATAGTGATGGTATACTCACCATATGATAGGCCATTGCATCTGTATAGCTCCAATGGCTATAGTCAATCTCACCAAAAGTTGACGCTCGGGATGTCCAGTGCGCGAAACGCCGGTGGTAGCCTGTGTTCAGGATAACGTACATAGATCTCTCCAGGCCGCAGATTCACTCAATCACCGGCTGTTATAGGATACCACTGGTCAAATTCAGCTCAGCAGCTAACTAGAACTTGTTCTATTGCAGGCCCACATATCGAGTGCTATAGCGAGCGGAGATAAAAATTTCCTAAAAGGAAGAGAGACTGGAACCAGTGAAAATAACGACGATATCAAAGCAGCTCATATTCCCAAGGGTAGTAGTCCTTGGGGGGATCAATGGGAACGGGGATGGGGCCCTGTCTTTGGTATAAACCTCCATGGAGAGTTCAGAACTCCAACACTTGCAAATAATTGATGATAGGGTGATACTTCTGTGCAAGGAAACAACGTAAATAACTATGCTGCCCATTTGTCAGGGTTGATTTGTGCGATTATACTTTATGCTAAAATTTCTCACCCCCTCCCTTGCATGTACGTCCGCACTGCAACAAGTATGTCACATAGACAGATAATATTTTCGTATCCGAGGGACGGTCACCCAACTGATCGAGAGTATTGAGGTGCGGGACTTGGTTGTTTCTTATACCTTCTCAAACCAAGCGGCTTCTTCCTTCGATACCAAAGGCAGCCTAGTCATCGACACGCAGATATGCACAATATCCGTCACTAATTCAGGCCGCATCCAATATTTTAAAGCAACGATGAAGCTTGGTGAAGGGGCATCTGTGGAATCGGATGTGGTAAAATAATATCCAGCTTAACTGGAGAGACTCTAGAGCTACCGGACTATTTTTTTTGAACATTCTCGGACCAGTGGAGTCACGCGACTTGATGGAGCTGTCCATTAAACAAAAGTCGCTAGTTGAGGTTCGGCAGAAAGCATTATTGTGGTCGCAACTTGGAAAATAAAGAACCGTGTGCCGCAGTACGTACAGTTCCGGGAGATTGATATATCTCCAGGCCCAGCAAAGACAATTGTGAAGCACATCGCTATGGGCTCTCTCCAGTAGCTCTCAGAGGCACCTATTCCAATGCTAGGAGATACTGCCCGGCCCCTTGACTGTCTTCCTCTGGGCCCAAACAAAAGGTACAAAGAGGTACAGTCTGCCAACACATCATTTTGGCAGATTCAGGGAAACCAACGGTTCCATATAAGTCACTCAAAATGGAGCCACAGCCAAGGACGTGGTGATTTCAAAGTGCTACCCTTCATCGTCGTTGCCATCATCACAAGCAAAAGTTCCAGAAGGGATCATTAGCTATCCTTTCGGGAAAGCCAAACAGCCTGGGCCCAAGGCAGTACATCCTCCAGCAAATGGTGAGAACTCCAGAATGACGTCCTTGCCAAAATAATGGGAGCTTTCAGTATCATGAACCTTGGCCCCGAGATACTCTACTGGTGTGGACAGAGATCAATCCATTCTTTCTATTCGACTGGACGCTTTACGTGTGGACCAATCGTATAAAGTTGGTTATGACTTCGGGAAATAATGAACCTAATCATTGTCCACGACTACCAGCATATACATTCAGCGGCAAGGAAAAGTAAGCCCCATTGATGAGGACTTGATCACACTGCTATGCTAACAACCACCATGTTATTTTTCCATAATCCTACCTATACTAAATGTCGTGGAAAATGCTTCATCGTATGAAGCATCCAGACGACGATGAAGTTTTAATATTTTGGCTGCGACAGGTTAATAGTAAAAGGACTTGGACTAATCTATGATAGAATCTGGTGCATGGAATGTGAGACCTACAATTATGTCACGGAATTACCAGTTACTTCATAGAGATATTCTGTAATTCAGCAATCGTTAAAAACATTGAACAACAACGCCACTCCCAGTCACACTCCCAATACTCAATCAAGCAGAGTGCCAGTACCAACCAATTATTTCGAAAGGTAATAAATAGATCAGTTGGACTGACAAGGCGAGTAAATGCCCTACCTGCCCTCAGAGCGGGGCAGAAAGCGGCAAGTCAAGCATACCGTCTCAGGACAACATCGAACTTGTCCGCGGCTTGTTTCATCGTCCCTTTCACTTTTTCCCGGGAAGAGTTGGGGAGTTTGCCATTGAGAACTTCATGAAAGGCTCTCTGCTCATTTTGGAAGTGCGTCAGCATCAATGCGCCTACTTGCTTGAATCCGTTGTCGTCGGCGATTTTATCCTATATCAGGGAAGAATTCAATATAAACCCTTGCATTCCTAGAAGGATTTAGACAGGCAAAGGTACCTTAGAGGCTGTAGTGTCCAGTGTACGATGAATTGCTTGGTCAACATCTTCTGCTTGGCCTATCAACTGCGACGCATCTGCTTCGGAAATCGTATCTGAATCCTCAATCGCCTTTCTAGCCTCTCTTGCTGCCTGATGCATCTTGAAGGAGCCGGTGGCAATGGGGAGCATGCTCATGTAACTGCCGTCATACTTGCCGATAGCACTGTCGTAGCTCTCGACTTGTTTCTGGAGGCTCTGTAGCTGGGACATAATTGTCGCTACGTCGGCAAGGGAGACAGCTGCAAGGACAGTTATCAGTGCGACGTATCGCATGATCTTAGATTTACCCATGGTAGCTCTTATCGTGGTGGAGGATTTAATAGCGTGGGAGGCAAGGGCAGAATTTTGCAGTGATAGTTGAGGTTTCGGAAGGGAGCATCCAAGACAGGAGCAGCTGCACTTGCATTTATATGTACAGTATGTGTTTCACATCATGCTCTCTAGAGGTGAACTAGCAACTGGCTGAGTGTCACGGACTCCTAGAAGCAGGGGGTACATTTCATGGAGCCATTTTCAAGTCAATGATTGGCTTTTATTGGGGCCTTTCCAGCTTAAACGTTGTCTTCATTTCGAGGACATTCTACGTGTGGCATGTGGCCACACCCTGCGCCGCACCTAGGAGGAGGCTTCTTAAATCCCTCTAAAAATGGGAACTTCGTTCGGTACCAACTTTAAAGGGAGCACTGCAAATGAAGGGGCTGCCAACTAAGAATATGCACCCCCTTGCATGGATACAAACCGTCAAATTCCTTATCCCTACATAATTTAGATGAGGGACTCTGGTAGCGTCCCTATCCGTCACAAGAGAAGAGTCTTGCAAAAGACGAGACTCTTGCATCATATTACCGCTTCCATGGCTCGTGACAGGCTACAGATGATATTGACTGCTGCCCAAGTTCGGTTGCCTTTTTGACAGGTGCGACTGGCAATGCAGGAGAATGTCTGCTATACAAATTGGCGTTTCACGTCCCTACCAAGAAGGTTTACGCTCTATGCTGCGGCTCCATGCGACAAGCGATTGAGAAATGGAAGGCATCGATGGCAGAGCTCATTGATGAGATTTTCGACTCGGACAAGGTCCACCGTATGATCGATGGCATAACTCACCCTGACTTTGGCTCAAAGCCACAGACCTCGGTACACTGCACCGGGAAGTGACGGATATTTTCTTCACACAGGAACGTCCAACCACCGTCAGATAAAACTATTTCCCGATTGTGACCCTAATTGTCATGCTAGCATACTTTACCCAAATCAAGCGATTGCTTCATTTCCCTTCCGTCGGTGCCTGCTCTTTTATGTTATCACGTTAGGGACCATAGTTGGATCTTGCATAAACTGATTGGCTATTTCAAAGATATCCTCCGAGGCAGTTGGTGAAGACATTACAAACTGTGTACCTGGACCAAATGGTTAAGGATTTAGAAGACTTGCACATTGAATCCCCGACTAAAATTTCATCAGCTTCATCAAGAGCTATAACTTTAACGCGAGATGTTTGCAAGTTGCCGCCCGTAATTAGTGTTTACAGTCGGCCAGATGTTCCTACAATGACATGCGGATTGGAGTCTAATGTTTGGATATTAATGCTTGGATATTGTGGCGCATGAGCAATCCACTAATACAGAGACAGCTTTTGATAGCCATGTGTTCGCCAATTTGTTCAATGATATAGTGCAGACGCCTGGCAACCTCCCGAGTAGGGGTCAAAGTGATGGCTACTCCAAGGCGTCAGAACAGGTTTCAAGATGTTAGAATTTTGGGCGCCACAACATATCTTGGATTTCATTGATCGCTGTATTCACAGCCTGGAGAATAACAATTGAAAAGGCAACTGTTTTACCGGATCCGGCCATGGATTGGATAATGATATCACGGCTCATGCAGATCGTAGGAATGGCGTTAGGCCGTGCGAGAGATGGTGCTTCAGGACCATAATCAAGGATACCGTTGACGAGACTGGTCTTCAATTGGAAGCCATGAAGCGCTGAAACAACGGAAACATTCCTACGGATTTCAGTCTCTTCTGGTTGAGACGTTGGTTAGAACAGGCTGCCCAAATATATATATTGACAATATACTAAAGAGTCCATCAACCTTATCCATTACGGGAGAGCTTCGATTCAGATTGTTGACCAGATAGATCACTTCTGTAAGGATCACATAATATGTGGTCTTTTCGTATTACCCGTCTCACCGACGGCGGACTAAATCGAGCTTATAGACAAAACTATAATTTCGTAGAATTTTATATTATAATGAAAAATTGTCCATGGTTTATTAATATAATCACTAACTATATATTCAGTACACAATAAGACTAGACCTACCTAGTATTAGTAAGGGGAGGTGACCCCCGGGGTAGAGGGGGGAGGGGGAGGGGCAACGTTGCATGCATATCCGTCAAGCCGAGTGAGAAAAAAAAAACTAAATTATTTATGCACATGAAGGGATTTGAACCCTCGATCTCAGCATAATCCCTTACGAGTGCTGCGCCTTACCACTTGGCCACACGTGCCTGGCTCCGATTATCGGCATTGATTGATAAGAATTTATTGGAGAGTTTTTCTCTTCAAAAATCTCAAGTCTAGGAAAAAGTATGGGTGGGGGATAAAGTCTTACTTTTCTGGTGATGATTCCTGATTCTGAAAAACTGTGAAAGCACGTGATATCGACTAATTGGGCCTAGACACTTGGCGCAAAGTCTGTGGATATCTCTTGAGCCTCTTCGGCGGATATTAAGATGAGCTTGTCTTATTCTTCCGCTCAGTGTGTTTAATTGGGAAAATGGTGTGATTCCGTGAGCTTAGCTACGTGTACGGTATTCTGATAGTATGCACTCAAACTTTCAACAATTTGAATCAATTTATTCTTTGAATTCTCTTCGACTACCCGTTCTCTTCCTCAACCTTTCGTGTGCGTGAGAGAATGTGTTCTCTGTGATGGCCGCAACGGTGCTTGCGTCCAACGCTAGGGAGAATGCTGCTATCAACCCTGCCAGGCGACCTTTCATGCCAGGGCCGTCACAATTCAAAATACCCAGACATTCCTTCTGAGTTCCATATGAGGTACCGCCACCAATGACTCCTACGGGAAGGGAGGGGAAATACATGGATAGCCTCAGTTCTCCCGTTTGGTAGTTATACTCTGGAGTCAATTGACTCCATGACCCGTCGACGGCACAAGCAGCGTCTTGGCCGCATGCTATAAATAGGGCTACAACGATATTGCTGGCGTTGATGTTGCTACCAAACTGACCATTCCGAATTTCACCCTCCTTTGCAATAACTAGAGTTCGATAAAGATCTTCCGAAGTGCATCTAAATACACTTTGGCAGACCTCAGTCGTGAGTTTACCCCAACAGATCACTTGCACACCCCGCGTCTGCATGACATTTCCCCAAGAGGGCTTTTTGTCCGATGTTAGTTGGGCTTCGGAAAGGATTTTCTCCACCTTCAGCTGCCTTGCGAGGGGCGACATCATGAAGTTGTCGCAGCATGCTTGAGTCGCGATCGTCACCATATTTTGACCAGCTGCATCTCCACAGCGAAACGAAAATCGAACATGGACGGTAGATCCAATAATGTGTGGCGTAAGCGTCTGCAATTGCACGTGTCGACTTGTACACGCGGCATCTTCGGCAAACCGGGGTTGCAGGCTGGGGACGAGCCGAGAAAACGAGACCGCCTCCTTAGGGCTCGGAAATATGAAAGTTGGGGCTCGCGACATCGCCTCGTCCAGGATCTCAAACTGTATGCCACCGCACTGATTGAATGCCTTGCAGCCCCGTGAACAGGACGCAACCAGAGCCGCTTCACATGTTGCTAACGGGGCATAGAATATGTCGCTTGTATTGTCGGGCCCTTCAACACGCAAAGGCCCAGCAATGCCCAGAGGGACTTGGGCGAACCCGATGCAATTCTCAATACTAACCCCATTTGTTTCATCTGCGTGGCGAGTAACGTGCTTGAGGCCATCAAGAAATGGTAGCTTATATTTTAATGCGGCCATGACTGGCAGGGACCATTCAGTAGTAGGCTCACGATATAAAATATGAAAAGTAAGGTGGAGTAAAAACGGAACAGGCTAGAAGAGTTCCATCCCAGTTCTCAGGATCAAAATCGGGAATAACAGTGAGAACGATATATATAACTCTGAGCTATACGGAGTAATGATCTCTGTTGTATTCCTTCGGATTGAGGAGGAGCATAGTATACTACTGTATTATAAAGCAACGTTAGCTTGTCAATTATTTATTATAGAGTACAGTGCAGTACTGGTGCATTCAATAAAAATGGTGTATCATAAGAAATTGCCAGAGAAGGACGTGAGCAGCAGTATTATATCTATGTAAATTTGCCACGACTCAGCCGCCCTGGTCTTCAGCGGCAGGTCTCAGAAGGCAGTTGGATTATGAATGCTGGCTGCAGCAATTAAACCCATTACCATGCCAAGCGACTACCACTTAGCCGTCCTGTTCCCTCAAAAATGCCATGATCAGCGCCATATCTTTCTCACTTCGTTACTGTTCCTGTATAGTTTGGTTCAAGCTGTGAACGGAAATCCCTCCATATGCTACATTGGCCATCTAAAATGCATGTTCCCTATTCAAATATATCCATCTTCTTGTCTCCCTGTGCTGCTGTGCTATCAAGCGGATTTCGAACCAGTGGGGCGCTCTCACCACTACCTGTTTATCCCGTTGTGTAGTGGTTCGCCACCCATTTAACGCAGAGGAGGTCGGATGGGTAGCTGCAGAGATTTTTATATTTGATTGCTGACGTGGCTCTTCTTTAATTGCCTATGATATAATTGCTGGGCGCGTACATTTGACTTGTGCCCTTACGTTATTGCAATTAGTTCATGCCGAAAAATACAGCATTCGATAATAAACGGAAAGCCAAAAACGAAAGCCTTGACGTAAGGCCTATATTGCAGTTAATCTAAATACAATGGCAATATAAATTAACAGTGAATCCATTTATATTCTACTATGTAGCATCTCTAACGTCCATAGTTATTTAATGGAAAATAATACAACATATATGCGACCATATACTGTAAGGCTTGTAAATTAGATAGGCGACTTTAAATGCGAAATGCGAAATGGTTGGGAGCGCCATTGACTGGCTGTCCAGAATGGTCAAAATGACATAGGGATAGCAGTGCGTTTAAAAAAATCTTCAAATTATAGATAACACGTTAATTACTGTTTTGTTTAGGAAAGACAATCTTCCCCGACTATGACAGTGGAAGCGGCCACCTACGGCAAGGCCACCCACTAGTGCAGTCAATTCAGACCTGTCGTATGTGTTCGCAGACTCATTATCAACTGGACACCGTATGGCATGTGATAGGTCATGACGATGGTGGGGGTTCACTTCTACCATATTCAACACTCTGCTGTCATCGGACTCATCATTGGTGTTGTCATCAAAGATCCCATTAAAGTGTATATTGATCTCATTCTGAGTTTAGCCATTTCTTAAGACGTACAGGTTTCAGCAGATTTAATCTCGGGTTCAGCGGAAGCGCAAAAATAAAAAAAATCGATACTCAGTTCTAATCAGTCGGAATATGCGTTTTATTGGTGATCTCACGCAGTCAAGAAGGACAGTGTGTGTACGGTTTGGCCGCAATCGGTCACCTGTCGTAGCGGTCGTAGGCATAAACGTGTTAAACCAACTACCCGGGCCAAACTAGGATGGCGGTTAGTCGGCGATCCTATCTGGAAAACCGAGATTTGACAGTGTGAGAGTTAACGAGCTACTGGCAGAGGCGGGCAATTAACTCCCGTGAAGCAGTTGCAGGAGGTAAGAACCCCTCAGTAAACATGCAAGGTGCTTAACGTAATCGGACACGGAACGTCGCAAGACACCAAATGTCGCGCCGCTCACCATGCCCATCCCCTCGTAATTTAAATACTTTTTAAAGTTATATATTTGTATACAAATGAAATACATTATTCAAAAATAAGTGTAGAACTATCTTATAGGGCACTTTAATCTATTATAGCCCTAAATAATGCAATTACTACATTAGGGGGCCTCCGTAGCCTTGGTGCCTAGCCTTTCCCTGAATTACCTCCTCCCTTTCCTGTATCATTTGTAGTGCCTTATTAGAAGTTAGACTGCCTATATCTTAAATAGACTGTCTAGGCACCTTTTTTTTTTTTCGTTTTTCTGGTACTCCTCAGCTACTTGACGTCGATGAAGTTTATCCCTTAATAAAGCTATTTACTATATAGAAATCTTATTACCTTTCCAAGTATCAGCAATCGATGGAAGAATGCCTGGGTTTTAAATCTGAAAAAGTTCCTCTTTTTGTTGATTTAACTAATAGAGATTATAAGGTGTTTTCCCAAGTAAAATAACTGGTTACTGACTAAAGAAGATGGTGGAGTTGATGTTCTAAACTATCTACTTTAGCTGTCCGTGTTAGCGCCATACGCTGACATATGTATTCCTATTTGTCGGTGCAAGTCTATTGACTTGGCTGCTGCTCCTCTGAAATTCACTTTAGTTTTTCTCGGTTTGAAGTTCCTCCCTCATAATCTATTAGCCTACCGAAAATCGCTATATTACGATAAGCATTATGGGGCCCTTGAAAAAGGCAAGGCCCAGTGCAGAGCCAATTGCCATTATAGGCATGGGTGTGTCAACTATCATCTACTCGGCATTCTTAGACACCAGCTGCTGACTTGTGAACAGCCTGTCGCTTACCGGGAGAAGTGAGGTCAATACCAGACCTCCTTGAACTACTGATGGCAAAGAGGTCAGGGCAATGTGCAGTGCCTCGTGAGCGTTTCAACGCCGACGCCTTTTATCACCCCAAAGGAGGAGAAAGGCCAGGTTGTATGAATATGAAGGCAGGATATTTCATCCAGGAAGATGTTAGGCATTTTGACAACAGCTTCTTTGGGATCAGTAATATCGAGGCGACCTTTATGGATCCGCAGCAACGAAAATTGCTCGAAGTGGTCTATGAATGTTTCGAAACAGCCGGTAAGACGCTTGAGAACGTGGCCGGAGCTAATATCGGTGTATACTGTGGCAATTTCGCAACAGATTATGAGGTTATGCAATGCAAGCATCCGGAGTATTTCCACCGCTATAGTGCCACCGGCAAGGGCCTGACGATCTTGGCCAACCGAATCAGTTATACTTTTGACCTTCGAGGACCGAGGTTAGCTTTGGAATCCCCGACTGCCTAACGTATGTGAGGCATACACACTGATCAAATCCATAGCGTTGTAATTGATACGGCTTGCTCATCCACTCTCTATTCTCTCCATGCAGCATGCGTCGCACTTGACGCTGGGGAATGCGACGCCGCCATTGTCACCGGTACAAACCTTATTCAATCTGTAGAACAGCATCTGAGTACAATGAAAGCGGGCGTGCTATCACCGACATCCACTTGCCATAGTTTTGATGCTTCGGCTGATGGCTACGGGCGGGCGGAAGGTGTAGGTGCAATCTACTTAACCAAGCTCAGTAGAGCTCTCGAGCACAACGATCCTGTGCGGTCGGTTATCTGCGGTTCAGCAGTTAACTGGTATGTAAACCTTGGTTCCAGTTAGAAACAGAAAATTACATTTGAGGGATAGAATGTCTGCGGGTCTACGCAGCTCTGACACTGCATACACGGATTACTAACCCCGATGAGTACAACTAGCGACGGCAAAACAAACGGAATCACCCATCCTAGTGTCGACGCCCAAGAGGCGGTGATACGGAAAGCTTATAAGAAAGCAGGCGTCGAAAGTTTTGATGAAACTACCTATGTAGAATGCCATGGAACCGGCACACCAGTGGGAGATCCCATTGAAGTGGAGGCTCTTGCTCGAGTCTTTCAGAGGTCCAGCGGGAATCCGCTCTATATTGGCTCGGTAAGTTCAATTTGTGGTCATATTCCCATGCAGAAAGGGAAAATTATTGACTTTTGAAGGTCAAATCGAACTTGGGTCACAGTGAGGCGGCCAGTGGTTTATCTAGTATATTTAAAGCGACATTGGCACTCGAGAATGGCCAAATTCCTGCTACTATTGGGATAAAGAATGTCAACCCCAAGATACGAGCAAGCGAGTGGGGCATCCAAATAGTAGAAGATAATTTGCCTTGGCCGAAGGCTAAGAATGGCACATCCCCAAAGCGAGCTAGTGTCAACTCATTTGGTTACGGGGGTGCAAATGCTCACGCAATCCTGGTATGTGGTTAGGAAACTGTGAGAATGAATCGTTCTGAATCACAGGGAGCTAAGCCTGGACTCATGAGTGTATCATCTAGGAATCTGCAGCCCACTATATCCCACAAAACTACGGTTCCCGTCCAGATTCACTCGTTCTCTCATCGATAAGATCGGCATTCTTGGTTCCGTTATCCGCAAATGACCCATCTGCCCTAGAAGCCATGGCAAATAATCTTTATTCCTTGAACCTGGCAGGGGTGTACGCTGTAGATCTTGCTTACACTTTGGGCGAGCGCCGTACAAAATTTACCCGTCGTGGCTACTTCTTAGTCTCCCAGTCGACAATGGCAGAGGATCTGAAGCCTGAAAACTTTAAATCGACTTGCCATGGTGGGATTTCTACAAAGTTTCCTTTAGGGTTTATCTTCACGGGGCAGGGGGCACAGTGGGCGCAGATGGGTAAGGAGCTCATTGGAGAATTTCCCGTCTTCAGGGAAACAATCGAGTCCCTTGACACAGTGTTACAGCAACTACCGCATCCTCCTTCATTCACCCTTCTTGAGGTACTTCTAGCACCTGAAGAAATGAGTGAGATAAACCAAGTGGGAAAGTCTCAGCCGGTCTGTACGGCTATTCAGGTAGCACTGGTTCAGCTGTTGCAGGAATGGGGTGTCAAACCAACAGGTGTGGTCGGTCATTCTTCCGGTGAAATTGCCGCTGCGTATGCTGCTGGGTTTCTGAGCGCAGCCGAGGCGATATGCATCGCCTATTATCGAGGATATGTCATCGAGAAATATATGAACTCATTGTCTGGTGGCATGTTGGCAGTCGCATTTAGCAGGTCCGCAGCCGAGACAGAGATTGAGAGCCTCCGGTTTACAGGGAGCATCATGGTTGCTTGTGTGAACAGTCCTGAGTCTGTTACCATCAGTGGCGATGCTCTGGCTATTGATGAAATGTACAAGTACTGCCAGGCGAAAGGCGTATTCGCGAGCAAGCTCCGTACAGATGGGCGAGCATACCATTCACACCATATGGCAGCCATAGGCAGAGAGTACGATAAACTCCTTCATGAAGGCATTTCCTCCATTTCAAAGACGGAACAATCTCCTCCTCACCAAGCGAAGTGGGTGTCGTCTCTGACAGGAAAAGAGATAAATGGATATATCTCTGCTTCCTACTGGCGTCAGAATGTGGAATCACCTGTCCGGTTTAATGAAGCGCTTGAGGTGTTAGTGAAGGACACTGAGATGAATTTAGTTGAGATTGGACCCCACTCGGCGCTGCAGACGCCAGTAAAGCAAACGATGAGATACCTAGGTCGAGGGGAAACAGACTACCGGTATTTCTCTGTTCTGTCTCGGAAAACAAACAGTGTCAGATCTCTCTTAACCGTTATAGGTGAGCTGTTCATGTACGGCCATGAGATCGACTTTGGGATAGTCAACTACGTTGGATCACCCCAAACCAGGAACCAGACGCGGAGGACGCAAGGTAAAGTTCTCACCAGCCTTCCTCCTTACCCTTGGACATACAAAAAACTACTATGGAGCGAGTGCAGAGCGAGTAGAGAGTTTAGAAACAGGGTTCATCTGCACCATGAGCTGTTGGGATCACAAATCCCGGGTGCAAACGCCTACGCGGTGGTGTGGAGAAATGTCCTCAGACTGGAAAACATTCCATGGATAAAAGACCACACTCTTGGGCAGGATATAGTATTTCCCGCGGCTTGTTATGTCGCCATGGCCCTTGAAGCCGTTTGTCAAGTGGCATCTTCAGATCCACCCTCCCTAGCTCTTCGAGATATGAGGATTCTTAAGGCGCTTGTAATGACAAGTGGTTCGCAAGGTCCTGAAATAGAGCTCCTTACCAGTATGAGACCGAAGATAATTTCTTCCACGAACATTTCGGAAACATGGTTTGAACTTGAAATTAGCACCATCTACGACAACGTATTTACGGTTCACGCTACTGGGCTTGTCGGTCTGGACGGCGAAAGCAGCTGGCCAGTGCAGACTATTTTCCCCCAGCATATAGACATAGAGCCTCGGCCTACTCAAAATTGGTATAATAAGCTTGGTAGGGCTGGAATGACATTTGGGCCAAGCTTCCAGTCACTTTTAAAGGTCCAGAACGCCAAGTATGGGAACATGTCATATTCTTCCGCAACAATCAAGCATTTCCCCAGTAGAGAAGACGGGCACAGTAGGCCATCTGAATACATTTTCCATCCAGTTATTATCGATGCTTTGTTTCAAGCTGCAGTGAATGCTGTGACCGATTCAAGCGCTGAGTTTTCCGGAAAAGTGCCCGTGTCAATTTCTTCGGCAAGATTTCGTGTCCCTGGGCCCGATATGGTGGTATCAGAACCAGTTGTGCATGCAGCTGCCGAGTCATTTGGCTTTGGATCGGTGAGGGCTCAATGTGAACTCTGCAGTAGTGTCTGTTTGGTGCAGACCACGGACGTGCGATTTGTGCCCTATCTGGGTGCATCCCAGAAAGACAATATTGTGGATCGACAGCCGATGCTGAGGTATGAATGTGCATGCTTGCTGCGGAGTGCTAGGAAGAAACTAACACCGAGTCTCGAAGGGCCGTTTGGAAACCAGATATTTCTAGGTACATAGGTTATGAACCAGTTATGATTGGGGGAGCATTGTTGCCGACTCTTCGGAACCACCATGGCGACGTAAAAAGCCAGGCTGATGATGCTGCTGCTATAGTAGAGCTGCTCATCCACAAGAATCCCCGTCTTCAAATCCTCGATCTTCGGGTGATGGATGTTGATCAGACTAAAACTCTTTTGAAGACACTGCAGATTAATACTTCTTATCCGCGATGTCAATCCTACGAGCAAGGTTACATCTCCGCGGCTGGTGAGGTCTATTCAAGACCATTGGAAGGTGCAAATGAATGTACTGAGTCTGTCAAGTGGACAGTTCAAAGAATGAGAAAGTATGATTTGGTTATTCTGTCATCCTCCGGAACATGTACAGAAGATTTTACCAAGCACATTTCCCATAGCACAGCGCTCCTCAAGCTCAGTGGGATAGTGCTGGCGACTGCCTCTTCATCGGCAGAGTTCACACTACCAAGAGAGTTTGCCATTACCAAAATCGGTTCAGGTGCCAGATGCACAGTTATTGGAAAACATTTACCGATATTAGATATTTCCCGAAAACGGGGGGAAATTATCCTTGTCGGATGCGACGACGAAGATCAGTTCACCAGCGACTTACAACAAACCCTTTCGGAGCACTTTAGAACGTCAATCCCGAGAATTTCGCCTGATGACCTCACAATGGACTCCATCAAGCCCGGATCCACTGTGATAACGACCTTAGAATTACATAGAGCAGTTTTGTCTATACTGTGTGAGGAATCGATGTCTCGTGTTAAAGTTATGACCAACAATGCGCGCAATCTCATTTGGATCACAGGTGGCCCACAACTCACAGGATCTCGGCCAGAACTTTCTCTCGTGCAGGGACTCTCTCGTGCACTCAGTTTGGAGCATCCGGGATTGAGATTCTTCGTTTTCAGTACTGAATACCCGAGAATCCAACCTCGGGTGTCCATCCGTAACATTGTCACAGTGGTGGAAGATGCCCTTGGGGCAAAGAATCCAGACACTGAACTTCTTGAGCGAGACGGTGTGGTATATATCAACCGACTTGTCCCCGACAACTCAATGAATACGATATTCCAAAAGATCCAATGCAAAGAACCATACATTGACACGCTTTCCACTGTCGGGCCTGCTAAGCTCACTATCAAAGTCCCTGGTCAGTTTGACACTTTGTGCTTGGAACCAGTGGCTGCTTTCCAAGCGGAACTTCCCGCTAACTACGTTGAAATAAACGTCAAGTCCGTCGGCCTAAACGCCAAAACCATATATGGCTTTGCGGGAAAGGTCGAGGTCAAGGACCCTACATCCGCCTCAGAGTGTGCCGGGGTAATCAGTAAAGTGGGCAGCGGTGTTTCCGCTTTGGCTCCTGGCGACAGGGTATTGGCAATGGCACATTGTCAGGTGTCGACTGTCGAGCGAGTCCCGGAGTGGTCGTGTGTAAAACTGTTGGACAGGGAAGACTACCATGCAGTTTCCACCATGCCAACCGTTTTTGGTACTGCGATCTACGGCTTGCTGGACAAAGCGAATCTCCAGGAGGGGGAAACCGTCCTAATCCATTCAGCTGCTGGCGGCGTTGGAATTGCCGCTATACAAATTGCCCGCTTGAGGGGAGCAGAGATATTTGCCACCGTTGGGACACCCAATAAAAAGTCCTTCCTGGTCAAGGAATTCGGGTTAAAGCCACAAAATATATTCAGCTCTCGAGATTTGTCATTCGTACCGGGAATATTAGAGGCCACAGGAAATCGCGGTGTAGACGTTGTGCTGAATTCATTGACAGGAGATCTCTTGCACGAAAGCTGGCGCCTCTGTGCCAAGTTTGGCCGCTTTGTTGAAATCGGTAAACATGATTTATCAGATGCCGGAAAACTTGACATGCAGGTTTTTCTCCGTTGTGCTACGTTTACGGCTTTCGACCTCACTGAGCTATTCGGTCCTGAGAACCCCGAATCTAGACTAACTGAACCACGGTCAGTACCAGCTATTTGTAGCTTAAACAGAGGACCAAAGTTGTTGAACAGTATGCTGCGAAGAATCATGGATTTGTATCGCACTGGACAAATCAGGCCCATCGAGCCCTTAGAAGTGTTTGACATCTCTGAGGCCGCGCAGGCTTTCAGACATTTCTCTTTGAACAGTCGCATCGGGAAAGTTGCACTCTCCTTGGAAGAAAGTAACTCACTAGTGAGGGTAAGCACCCATATAACTAAAGTATGTATGGGATGATAATGTTGATTCCGTAGATTCTACCTCTGCCTTACGCTTGCTCATTGAATCCCCACAAGTCGTACCTTATGGTCGGCTGCTTGGGCGGTCTTGGTCGAAGTCTGTCAACGTGGATGTTTCATCGCGGTTGTAGGAAATTTATTTTCCTGGGCCGGTCAGGTTTAGAGAAAAAGGCCGCCGCAGACCTAGTCCAGGATTTGAAATCCAAGGGTGCTAGTGTTGAAGTTATTCAAGGAGATGTCAGCAAATATGAAGACGTGGAGAGGTGCATTCAAGCCGCCGAGGCACCACTAGGAGGGATAATCCTTGCTGCGATGGGACTGGATGTGAGTTTTCTTTTCGCTCACCTTCCACCTCCATACATATTGTGCGAGTATTTCGAACACAACCTCTAAAAGTATACTAGGCATCCCTGTGGACCACAATGTCGTCCGACTCATGGCATTCTGCTGTTAGGCCGAAGGTCATGGGCGCCTGGAACTTGCACAATGCAGTAAAAAACAAAGAAACGGAGCTAGAATTCTTCTTGATGACAAGTTCGATATCCGGTATTCTTGGAGCAGCGACCGAAAGCAACTACTGCGCAGCAAACTGTTTCTTGGACAGTTTTGCTCGTTATCGTCGCAGCTTAGGCTTGCCTGCAACATCCATTGCGCTTGGGATGGTATCAGAAATTGGATACTTGCATGAGAACCCTGACGTCGAACGTCTCCTTCTTCACAAAGGGATTCAACCAATAAGCGAGGTGGAATTGTTGCAAATTGTCGACATTGCACTGTCACATGTGGGCAGTGCATTTGACTGTTGCGATCCTTACATGTCGAGTCATATAATAACTGGCCTTGAGCCCTTCACTTTCCGAAAGTTGAGGGCAAATGGATTCACAGTTAATAGCCTAACCGCCCAAGACCCTCGAGCAAGTCTTATAGAAGCTGCCTTTGACTGGAAAGAAGGCCCGTCGAATAAGGTAGCCGGTCTTCGCTCGGGCAGTGTTGCTTCCTTGTGGAATAACTGTGGCAAAAAGCCGATCAATGAAGCTATAGTAGACCTGATCAAGTCTCGACTCTCCGGCCTACTTTTGCAACCAGTCGAACAGATAGATGAGAGTCTACCGCTTGCAAGATTTGGTTTGGACAGCATGCTGGGGTCAGAACTCCGCACATGGGTTTACGAAACTTTCGAAGTCGATATTTCATATTTCTCGTTATTGTCCAACACAATGACGTTGAACAAGTTAGGCAAGAAATTACAAGAAGAGTCCCCCGCAGCACGGGAATAGTATGTGCATTCCTGCAGGTGCAGGGGCAGAGATATCTAGAATACTTCATACTATTGACAAAGACAAAGGAGTTAAAAGTTAAGGACTGGAAACATTGGAATAATATAGCATTTACTAAGAACGATAAGGGCACAAGTATTAAACTAGCAGCGTGAACAGACCAGTGCAAAAACGAAGCTATACTGCCACAAAAACGAGGCCTTTGGTCGTGTAAATTATGTAGATTAAAGAAACTATACAGCTAATTTTCAGAGGGCGCGGAATCACTGTGGAACCTGTGTTTTCCTTCCTCGCCTGTATATCGTAATATGTAACTTTTGTACTTCCTTGCTTTTCTCAGAAATACCTTTCTTTTCTTTTCCGTAATTAGTTCTATTTCCTTCTTGCTCCATTGGATTGTTTTGTATTATTTTAGAGCTCTATAAAGGCTTGTCTTGCGGCTTTCCTTTTTTTTCCACCAGGATCTTTTTTCCTCCACCTCCTGCATCTGCATACGCTTATTAGGCACCCTTATTCTTAGACCTTGACAATAAGCGTCTGCCTTGTCGCTGCCGAGTTATATTTTCGCTTTTCCAGTATGATTTCCCACTGTCAGCCTGGGGATGCCGCCGTTGGTATTCACACTGGTTACCATTACCCAGAGTAGCTTGTTTTGCAATCTTCGGCATCATCTTTTGGGGGACCCGCATAAGCAATGGTTTTGTGGACAAAACGAAAACTATCTTGCTGATGTGAAGTCGAATTATCTGTGTACGGTTGAGCTTGCTTTGCTTTTACTCCGTACTCTTCGGACAATCATTTCCCGGGCACACCGAAAATGGAAAGGTCGAACTAGTCCGGCTCGTAACTTCCCGACTCTAGAAAGCTGCCAGCGCAAATTGATTTGACCCTTCAGGGCTCCGCCTGCAAAAATGTCTCGTTAACTGATTTAATCACGACAAAGTAGCCATGTGAATCATGCCTTCGGCCAAGAGCACTCCCTCCCCACCTCATTTTCCGTATCTGTCCATAATTTTCTCCATTCTTTTTTTCACTGTCAGCAATTCTGACAATTCTGACACTAAGTGAAGGATTCATACCTCCAACCTCCAATACCGTACTAGGACTAGCAGTGAGCATGTTCAATAGACACAGAGCCGCGGCTCGAGACCAAAGGTCGCGAGCCGTCATCGCATGCGAGTACTGCCGCCAGAAAAAGGTTTGTGCATATCTTGTCATCCGCCCAGTTCCTCATGATATACCTGTGGCTAATATTCACTATAATAGCTCAAATGTAGTAACGATCGCCCAGCCTGCCAGCAATGCCGGGCCCGTGGAAGAGATTGTACGTACGTGGAAAACCTCAAGCTCCCACGGTAAGCCACTTTAAAGGTCTGAGCGATGAGCCAAAGACCTGATGCGTGATATAGACCATCCAAAGCACGCATATCGCGTTTGGAGGAAGAAAACAAACGTCTCAGAGATTCATTGACCAGATTCGAGCAGCAAATGAGCTCGCAGCAAGTTGGTGATACACAACGGCCAACAATGCTTGTCTCCCCATTGCAACAATTGCTACCAGTGCCTACCCCAGAATCATGGACTGGATCGAGGGCAAGAAAAGAGGGCGTGGCTCGTCCTCCTTACAATGTAAATGATATACCATCAAATTCTCAATTCACGGGCAAAGTTGACACTATCACGCAATCGCATGGACCGACAAGTGCTGTCGCCAATGAAATCACGTCAAACCTCGACATGAAGTATAGAGCACTTCCTCAGCATGTTGAGGAACCGGAAGTTCAAAACGCATTGTTTGCGAACTCAGCTAGGCTACGTATGTTGTGGTGCTAAGATGAAGTGAATATGGCCTGACACAGTTTAATGCTCAGGTCAATTGGAGAGAATCCACCTCGGTTCAAGCCAGTATGATTTTGACGGAGTGAATCCCGAGATTGCAATGCATCTCTTGTCGCTATATTGGGACCGCCAACTGGATGTCGGTGCGGTTGTTTATAGGCCAGTCTTCATGAGAGATATGGCATGCAATGGGCCATACTTCTCAAAGCTGCTTCTCAATGCCATATATTTCACCGCCTCAAAAAGCTATGCCAATGAGGAAGTTTTCGATGATCGAAGTAACCCGCTGACTGCAGGTCGAAGATTTCGGCGACGAATCACGGAACTGATTGGGGATCATATCAATACTAGCGAAATAGCCACAGTGCAAGCTCTTCTTCTATTCTCTTACTCCTTATTTAACTGGTGTGATGAGAAAAGTCTGTCTTGGCTATACTCTGGAATGGCTTTCAATATGATCACCGATTTAGGTATACACATCGGCCACGGTATTGATGGGAGGGGCAACAGATTGGCTCCCGAAGACGCCGAAGCCAGACAGAGAGTATTTTGGGGTTCCTATAGTGAGGGCAGCCCTGTCTAATATTATACCAAATCTTATACTAATACTGGCGAGATCAGTCATCGACAAATTCTTGTCATTATATCAGGGAAGATGCATTCGTTTGCGAGATGCTGACACGACCTTGCCCTTACGGATTCTCGACGAATATGAGGAATATGAGACATTAAATATGTCGTCCTATGCGAGCCTGAAAGGGGTTTCGGATTCTCCTGCGTATAACATCTCAATTCTGAAAAGTTACTGCTCTCTTTCCACCATCATGTCTGGCATACTGGACACTCTATATGCAGAGCGCAGCACCACCAAGAACCCAGCTACTCTCTTCGAGGCTTCCTCATCCCTATACCGCCAGCTGCAGAGCTGGCTTAAGGCTCTCCCACCCATCCTGAAGACCCCCCTTTCGGAAATACCTAGCAACATTGTATCGCCGCACATCCTTGCGCTGGGGTATGTATAGGGTTCCAGTCAAAAAAGCACGAGCGCTTTGGCATTTTCTCACTTCCATGCAGGGCATTATACCATACGTTGGAAGTCCTTCTTCACCGTCCGTTCGTGTCTGATGGACATTTGCGCAGTGCATCATTGTCGGCCACGACGGTAGCATTCAACACATGTGTCTCTGCCGCTGCCTCAATAGATCACATTCTTGGCTGTTACGAAAGAACTTTTTCGATGAAATCTGCACCCTACGTTATATCATACGCAACGTATGTAAGTGCCACAATTCATGGTAGGGTGGCTGCGCAGAGTTCTCAAGGCTCTCACGCCCATGCTTCACTTCAGAGGTGTGTTTCCATTCTCGGAGAGCACCAGAAACTATCCCTAGGACCGAAGAAGGCTCTTGAAGTTATTCAAAATCTTATCAGAAGTGTTGGGATTGACATAAAGGACAACACTACTATTTCTTTGGACAGTAACGAGACAACAAAAGAGTCAATAAGTATCCAAGACTCGTGCCGCCTGCACCGTGATTCGGCGAGAGCCGACCCACATTACAGTGCAGATTCCTATCAAATATTCTCTCCGTGGTGTAGGTGGTCAACAATGGAGGGATCTGGTATGCCACACGAAACATCTGAGTATGACATGGATTACATCTTGCGGAGCTTCAATATACCGCAGGGAGGCGTTTTACGGGCGTTACAAAGCCCCCCACCGCAGGACGATACTGAGAGAACCTGGGCGTCTAGTATACCAGATTTAATGAATGTGTCGCTTCCCTTGGATCCTTTATATGGGCTGGAAAATTTTCCTAGCCCTTTTTGAGCCCGGGGATTATGTAAATTTTTAGTATTATATGCAGTCATTTAGATGGAGAACGTGCGTTATCAGATTAATACCAAACCGACGTAGTTGTACAACGACTTCACAGACATAAGAGATGTTACCATTATTTTTTTTTTTCTTGTTTGCCCTTGTTTCTCGGATAGCCTCCGTAATCCTTGCTCTAAGTTTTTATAGCATTAGGTTAGTTCAGCCTTTGCAGTTGGAGATACAATTCCTTATTTACTGTTCTATATTGATGACAAGACATTAATGTTTTCTGGCTGCTCTGGTTAGCTTGCTTCAAAGGGAAGGTCTATGAGAGCGCTATGATTGATTTGGCGTCGTGCCGAAACCACACAGCAATCAAATCTCACAAATGATCCGATATATACCTTGCAAGGTCGTGTGCCGCTCACACCTTATAGTTTGAAATACATCTATATCCAAGATTACCACCCCTACCACATTTCCCAACATTTCGTGAGTTCATTCTCACAGCCCTCGGAAGGGGATGATCCTCAGCATGGCGAGCGATTAAATCTGGGATATCCCATTATTTTTACTGCAGAAATTGAGATCATGTTCATTGCATCTGCAAGATCAACTGACATGCATTTCTTTCAACTCCTTTCCCAGCCATTCATGACCTGCTTGTTCACTGGTATCCCTTGGCCTTCATTATAGTAAAAGCTTCTACCAGCGCATCTTGGGCATTCAGCACGGCATAGCCATGTCCCGCCAATGTGTTAACCAACTTTGATGCGTCCAACTTAGCATTTGTGCGAGGTGCTTTTAAGACTTGCCTTTGCTCTTCAAGGCTGAAATTAGTCCAAGTTAGGGACGGCCGAATATACTTCTTCGTCAACTCCATGACCTCATTGTGAGTAAACGTCCCGGGGTTTGTCTAGCAAACGTAAGTTCGCTGTTCAAATGCTGGTCTCTCTCAATGGTGACTCACGAAGTTAAATATACCAATTTCGCGATGCTTGGCCAAAAGGATTGCAGCCGGGACCATATTTGTCATTATGGTACCAGACTAGGAGCAGTGAGCGTCATCGTACCGCAGCTTTTGTGAGGATACTCTCACTAACATTAGGAACGTTGACGATCTTCTCGTATCTCATAAGCTTAGTGATGAAATTCATTGGATGGAGATCAGCGGCAAGAGGATTGCGAAGGCGAAGTATCAAGACATTCGGGTAACTCTTGATCGCCTACATCAGCAAGCATTAGAATCTTCTTTGCAGAAAGGGAAATTGAAATGGTCACGACCTGTTCTGAAACAAGTTTAGAGTAAGAGTAGAAGGATGCCCCGTAGTTCAGCGCCTCCTCCTCCGTAAAGCCCCGGCCATCCAGAGGATGAGTATCATCTTGATCATAAATGCATGCGGAAGCAAAATGAGTAATGTGAAGACTCCGAAGATAACAACAGTCGACTAGGTTAGCAGCCCCGATAATATTGGACCGAATTGCCGCATCTTTATGGTCTTCACACCAGTCGGCGTTAGGGAAGCCTCGAACACCCGCAGTGTTGATCACATGGCTGGGCTTGACGCGGTCGAGTTCGCTTCACCAACGTAAGTGATATTAGCCAGAAATAGTACTTTTAGTTTTGTTACCTAAGAACAGCCTCGCGATTTTCAATACGGACCGCTGAGACTTCGTAATGGTCTCCATTCTTCTCCAAATATTCTTGGAGAAGTCCAGATACCCATCCGTTACCTATTTTGCTCATGTCAATGCGGCTGCAGATATGAGTTTCATTCATTGCGACCTGAATGATCAAGATACCGTCCTCTTTGCGCTTCAAACCTACCGCGTGGATTGCGTCATGCACTTTGCGGCAAACAGCCATGTCCAACATTCATTTAGTGACCCTTTCACATTCACACGGAACAATGTTCTTGGGACGCAAAGCCTCTTGGAAGCTGTCAGATCCTACGGAAAGGTAACACGCTTTATACACGTGTCCACTGACGAAGTCTACGGTGAGATGAACGGTGAAATGGCAACAGAGGCGTTCACACCAATGAGGCCCACAAATCCTTATTCGGCTAGCAAAGCTGCTGCAGAGATGTTCGTGATGGCATATCAGAAGAGCTTTGGCCTCCCAGCCATCATTGTACGCAGCAATAACGTTTACGGCCCTGGGAAATACCCCGAAAGTCAGTGTCATAAGACTGCTTCCCCGGTTAGAAAGTGGCGCGCTGACTTGGCGGACAAAATTCAGAGATTATTCCCAGGTTTACTGACCTGATGCTCAAGGGTCACAAGCTTACTCTTCAAGGAAACGGAAGCAATGCCCGTCGGTTTCTCTATGGGGCAGACGCTGCCGATGCATTTGATACTATCCTGCACAAGGGTCAAGTAGGGGAAATATATAACGTGGATTCGAGCTATGAGGTGACAAATCGCAAGGTAGCGGCCATGATCCTTGAGCTATTTGGACACGATCCAGTCAAGGGTTTCGGTAACTTGGTCAGCTGGATACCTGACCGCCCCTTTAACGATAATGATTACGCTGTCGATGGGAGCAAGCTTCAAGCGCTAGGCTGGACTCAAAGAATTGACTTTGGTACCGGGCTCGCGATGAGAGTTGAATGGTACAGGAAACACATGGCGAGCTGGTGGCACTACCATTGTATCCAGGATGGCAAGCAACTGGTTACAGAATCGTTTCCTGTTTAGAAAGTATTTTTTTTTGCGTTGTCTGTTTATATTGATGAAATGATGAAATAGCTTAGAACTAGTGACTTATTACTTTTTCTACAGGTGCAGCTTAGTATGGACTTATCAGCGCAACGGATATTTGTATCTGAACGTCTCTGACTCACACTGGGTCATAGATGGTAGCCTTGAGTGATTTGTTCGATATGAGCAAATTTAGGGGCTATTACACAATAGGGGCTATTAAACAATTTTCGTCGTCCTTGATCCCTGGTACTCGGATCAGCCCAGTTCAGGGCCGAGTACGCCCAGAAAACCCCAAAGCAGATATTGTGGACCAAATTATATTGGAGCAGAGAATTGTGCATGCACAGACACTTGTCCTTGCGAGGAAGTCACAGGCACCGACGGAATAAGTCATAACTATAATCAAATTATGGTTAACAGCGAAACGAGCAACATCGTAAAATATGGAACTGGACATAAAATGACACTGATCTATGATAAGCAACTTCCACAACACTGTCTCCGCTCTTGTTCGATGGGTTGGAATTTCTAATCGGTCCCACGGGATATGCTTCCGTTTTTTGTTGCGTACTTGCTCCAACTTCTGATTATGGGCCCATAGCGATAGAAAATGTACGGCACAGGAGTCATCACTGCACTAATACAAGCAAGAATTGTCAAAGTATAATGCACACCCATGTTGCGGTAAAATGGAATACCAGCAACAGTCATCCCGCCTGCCACATAATAACGTGAGACCGTCATGAATCCTAAGGCGGAGGCCGCATAAATGTCGTATGTATCAATCACATACATGTAGGAACTAATGAATACCAGAATGGTGCCATAGCCGACAAATGTGGATGCAACGATCGGCGACCAGATAGATATGAAAGGCTATATAATGGGTATCAGATTAGTTACAACCAGATTTAAATGGTGTCTGCCAAAAAAAAAAAAAATCACCTACAAAGTCTGTCCAACCCATCCAAAACAGACCAAGTGGTATAGCAGGTGCACCAAACATGGCAAACCACAATCGATTCTCTGGACGTGTGTGTGTGCCATCTTGAGTTGTCTCTGCTTTGCTGATTTCAATTTTTGTCCACCGGTATATCAATGGTACTAGCCCTGCTGCTAGCATCATTCCAACGAACATTGCCACCCAGATTATGTTCGTTAGGCCTTGCGATAGTCCGTGTACATTACCAAAAATGTAGTCGTACCCATCGAAAAAAAAGTAAATATGACAATGTAAATTACGGTCATATACAGAGAAATCAGAATCACAATTGGTTCACGAAGGGTCAAGAGGAACTCCCGCTTTAATGCACCATAAATTCGACGGAAGGGCCCTAGCTCAGCGTGGCTCATATCCATTTCAGATACGAATCGACTGTCCCCCGTCACTGTGCGGAAATGCTTAGCCTTCCATTTCAAAAGCAGGAGACTATAAGTCTCTGGCTGTAGAAAGACAACTATGCCGAGAACACAGCTGGACATGATCAAGATGATCCAATTAGCCCAGCGCCATGAAAGGGACCCTTGGCCCATGAACGAAGCGATGACTGGAGCGAGTATGGGCCCGGAAAACGAAAAGATGGCGTAGAATGGAAAAGCAAAAGTCTTCTCGAGTGGACTCCATAGATCTGCGATTGTACCTCCGGCACAAGTCAGAGGAGGAGAGCCGAAAACTCCTGATAAAAACCGAAAGATGAGCCCTGAACCATAATTCGGAGCAAGAGCGGAAGCCATGACGAAGATCATAAAAATGATGAGTGAGCTAAGGTAGACAATATTGCGACCGAATATCTCCGAAAGAGGTCCCGAAAAAAAGGGATCCAGTTGCAAAACCGAACAGGTACATGCCTTTCAAGTGGTCAGTCTATGGTCCTCTACTACCAACCTTTCCGAACAATTTTCCTATTATTGTTGTGAAAAAATGAAATTTAACATACCAGTTACGAGCGACCCAGCAATCTCACTCACGTTGAACGTCTTGCTACTCTGAGGCAGTACGGCAGCGTTTATGGACGAGGCTGCTCCCACAGCAAACGATAGTATGGAGACAAGTAACGTCGCGATCATGCGTTTGAAGAGGCTGAAGTTGCGCGGGCTAAGAGCATCATCTTTTCCTTCCCAGCCAACCACAAACAAATGTCTCGGCTGACTTCCGATAACATCAGAGAGCTTCATGGCTTGTACACCCTCCAATGAAATAATTTCTTGAGCGACATTCTCTGACAGTGCCTTTTCTGGATCACCTAGGCGCTTTTGATCTGTCTCTCCATTGAGTGAATCGGTCGTTGGTGTTTCTAAATCATCTGTCTGGGGAACTCCAATGGGCCATTCCAATTGGCGGGGCCTGCTTTCCAGTTGTCTGTTGACAGCATGTTGCAACCGTCTGTACTGGAGATAGGATTGCATTTTCGAGGAAGTCGGTATTGACAATACTGATATCAAGAATTTTCCCACGCTCCGGGAAAACTTAATATATTAACGACAGTCCAGAAATTGGAATGGAGGAAGCTTAATCGAGAGCGGTTGCAAAACGGCCCTCGGAACGACTGTACGTAGAAAATTTCTTCAAGACAACAAACTCTGTCAAATTATTTTCCTGGCCACCCCGGGATAGTATGGGCGTGGGCAGTGGTTAAGGCGGGCCGGGCCGTATCGCCCCGGAGGCTAAACTGCAGTGCCCAGCCCGTAAGACTTCATGTTTCCATACCGCGGTTCCAAACTCTGTCCTGCTTCAGATTCATATTTTTGGGAAAGAAAAGAAGAAGAAAAAGCACATGTCTAGCCTGTCGAATTGCCATTTCGGACAAAGTCCGGGACTGCGAAAATCGTTCTCGGCCACGTCAGCGGATCCCTATCAGAGTGTTCCCGAAGTCTTCTGGTTCCGAAATGCCCATCACTTGCATGCTTGGACCCGAGTTGGATTCAAAATCGGACAGTCCTATTACAGGAGACTTCGAAAGGCCCACCAGGGTCGAATCCCTATAAGGTGGTCCCGACCGGATCGCGGCGGCATGTGGGCCGGGAAGTTGTCCCGAACAACGTTTGTCTTCTGGACCGGGCTCCCATTTAATAATCAAGAGCCCACTTAACTTATGAACTGGGCGGTCCATTCTGGGTCACTGTCGTGCAGCTTCGGCTACTGACTTTCCGCGCTGTTGACTTTGATCCGTGGAAGGGATGAACCCATATTCGAATCATGATACTTTAGCTGTCTCGGAACTGGCCCACACACGTATGTAGGTGGATTTGACCCCCAGCGAAGGATTCTCTCCTTTCTCTCTTCGTGCTAAGTTTCACTTCTAATATACGGTTGGTCCCGTAAATGTGAAATGCATTCCGAGCCCAACTCAGTACTGCTGGCCCTTAGTTATTGGCCCGTGCCAACCTCTGCAAATTCAATACAACATCCACGAGCTCCTATTTCTTCTCTATTTCTTAATATTATAATAAAATATACTTAACAAAATATAGTAATATATATTAAAAGTGCTTGAGCAGTGCTTGATGAGTGCCTATTAAATGATTTATACTAATTATATATATTCTTCTAGGCTGCTATTTCTACCTAGTTTATATTATTTTACAGAGGCGCTCTAGCCGCAATAGAGTTTATCTATATTTAATACTTATAGATTACCCTTATACAAGTCTATCTACTTATTATTTTATACCTAATTACTAAAATCAGACTAATTGTAATGGATCAACCGTAGATGATATTAAAAAGAAACTAAGCACGAAGACAAAGGGGAGGACCCTTGATGGGATCGAATCCATCCGCCTATATGTGCGTTGGAACGTCGGGTTATCCTTATGCTCCAGGTGCCGGCCTGGAACCTCTTTCTTGTTCAGTACCCTGTATGTAACTTAGTTAACTATTTGTCAAATAATATGGCCGTTGGTGGACCAGAATCATGTGACTGACTGGATCGGGGTAAAAATCCCCGCGGGCACACAACAAAATAATCAATCAAGAATAACCAAGAAGAATAATCAAGAAGAGCCCAACCAGCTTAATTTATTCAAATAAGACCTTTTTTACCAATCGTACTCTATTTCCTCTTCGGGATTAGCCGTATATTCGACACTATTTAGCCTAGTTCCTGGGTGCATCCATATCCCCCGAATCCGAGACGACTTCATCGCTACCAACAATATGTGTGGATCCCGTGATCAAGGTCATGGGCTCAGATCTGAGGCACTAATCCACCAGAAGCACTTAGAATTCTTAATAATATAAGTAAAGTAGCTACTATTACAATACTTCTTAAGCACTATTAAGCACTACAATATTTAAAATATTAGCGTAATGGGGTATTCGGTGTATGGGTTGTGAGGGTTGTGGGTGCGGATTGTACATATCATAAAGCTGACGTAGCAGGGAGCTGGGCTGCGTAGTTTTTATAAATTATTATCACCCAACTAGTTAAAGGAAATCAAGCACTAACTACTTTCATTACTTTGCTTCCTCTTATATATTCCTATACTGTCTGCTTGCTCCTAGTAAGCCTACAATATTCCTCTAGTTTTTAACTCTAGTAAGATAGGCTTTATAGATATTCTACTAAAGATTTCATTAGTATTTTAGCTTAATAAATTAGAATTCATTCAATTCAATATCCAAAATTATTAAACCAGCATTAAATTATTGCTTCCTTACTATTCAGTAGGTAATGTAGTATGGTTGTAGTGGTGGTAGTAGGTAATATAAGGGTATTTAGATTTTATATAGCAATTTTAGGTGACAACTAATGTTCCTGACCGAAATGTGTCCTGACACAAGGCCAACTTGTGTCTCGAGGATTAATTGGCCAATCATCAGCTCCACATCTGCTACTACTTTAGGGAAGGAGAATGCAGCTAGGAAAATCCTTCGTCTAAAAAATTTTAAAGTCGCTACTTTTCTGGTGCAGAATTTATGTTGAGCTCAAAAGGGCACATTTTCTGGCCCCTGGATATTAATTTTTTTTTTTGTTCTTCAAGATAGCAGTCTATATTACTTGGCGATCCTTTTTTCCCACAGGCTTAAATAACTCATTGTCACTCTTGTAAGTTGGCTTGGATGACTCTCGGAACATAAATACAAGAGGAACCTAAAAAAGAATAAAAATAAAGCCCAACTACCTACAGCAACAACAGAGAACAAGGTACTACGTGTGGTGGCAGACGGTACTACTATCATATACTTGCTTAGGATGGTAGTAAATTTATCGAGATTCCTTTTGACATTCGTCTCGCCACTGCTCAGAGAAGGAATATCAGTCAATGATGTTATCTCTGCCAGGGCAACAAGGATTACTTCCTTCGCAGCGGCTAATCGGAAAAAGGAGCGCTCAAGAGCAGTCGGTTCAACCGCAAAGACGTGTACAGTCTGTGTGCCACGTCATCATACTTTGTCCTGAATACACGTGAAAGTACGTTCTCCTACCTTTTGGTCTTTCCTTATGTGAGGCTGATCCAAACGAAGTGGAGTTTCCAAGACGTGCAAGTTAGATATGGGTACCGGGTAATTACCAGGTACCTCATCCTTTCAACGTCAGTTCTGTCAGCAAGGATCAACTCTTGTCAACCTGTTCCGATAAGAGTCCCAGACGTGTGCCCGGTTGGCTTCCCTTATTTACCCTCAACTTGAATATGCCGTTCTCTTTATTTTTCTCCTCCCGTATTCCCCTGGCCTTTTTCACTCTGACTACACTTCTCACTAATCAAGAGATCTTAATATGGCGGACGAAAGTCGTAAATGGACCGAGACCGAGGACCAAGTTCTGAGAGCGACAGTGCGTAAAAGTAAGTCTACTAGGATTCGAGCCTCCCGATGTTTTGTCGATCAAGGTCCATGCAATTCCGATAACAACATCTCTATGCTACATGTGCTATGCCAATTGACTGGCCCTCTATAGCGACGCACCTACCTGAGCGAAGCAACAAAGATTGTCGCAGACGCTGGCGTCAGAAATTTGCAGAAAACACTAATTTTGGGAGCTGGATCGATTCAGAAGACGACCGGCTTCGCGCAGCAGTTGCGCTGCATGGCACAAAGTGGCCAGTGATATCTAAGGAAGTTGGAACACGTACCAGTGAGCAATACTCCAAACGTTGGAAGCACGTCTTAGATCCAAATCTGAATCATAGTCCTTGGACCCAAGACGAAGTAAGGACGCCTACTCTCATCAACATTACTATTCTTGTGGAAATTGATCAGGTATGTTTTGTAGGACGGCTTCTTGCTTGCCAGTGTCGAACAGCACGGAAGGAACTGGAAGATGATTTCTGAGATGTACTTCAAGAATCGAGCAGCATTATCTCTGAAGAATAGGCATTCCCTTTTGCTCCGTCGACGAAAAAAATCGAATGCGTTATCGCAGGGTTTCTCGAAATTCCAGCCGGAATCTCAGCCGTCCACAATCAACGTGGTGCCTAATAGCTTTAGGAGTAGACAGCGACTGGAAAATTCTGCAACTTGTGCCGAGAATCCCGGACCATCTGAGAAGGAGATACAGGATGAAAGTATGTTTGGCACCATCGATGAAAACGGTTTCGAAAATGAAACTGGTCAATATGATTGGGGTGACCGTGAAGCAGCTACCTCAGATGAGATGTTTGACCGGGAATATTTGTTCCCGAACGCAAATTTCCCGCTATCATCGTCCTCGTTTCAGGGCCAAGTATTGGAGGAAGATTTAGGCATTGACGATATCCTTGAAGGACCAAGTTGGGGGGCTCAGAATGTTAGTCCGCTGGCGCAATACAATATGCCTAACTCTAAGGGTAACTTCGAAGGTCTGCTGGATTTTATGCCTCGAACTGAATCCTTTTCACTGTATCCACCTGCCTCATTGGATCATCAGAGACCAGTCCAGGCCCCATCAGCGGCTCCAGCAGTGTTCATATGACTGCAGAAACGGGATTCTCTGAGGAGCAATCGGCAAACCCCATCGCGTATTGCCGTCACGAAGACTGGATAAACGTATTTAGTCTGACCGTCCGCTGTACAAAGGGGAAAATGGAAGCGATGAGACGATCTGTCCTGGAGACCACGAGTAATATGCTATGCACTGAAGAGAAAGATGATGATATGATTGAAATGAGGCTTACGATAGAAAGAAGGTCTCTGTTATGATCATTCGCAGGAATAGGTGGCAGAAGAACACTATACCAGCTACACGCGGTAGCCTACTAATGATCTGGAGGATAACAATGTTAACTGTATTGGCTGCTTGCTCAACCATCCTCTATCAATTACTATCTCAAGGAATGGAGGCGATTCAAGGGGTGGTCCCCAATCTCGTCTCAGGAAATTGGGAAGAGATTCCCTTTTCATGGGAATTCGGGATAGGATAATCCAATTCCCAAAATTTAGTATTGTTGGTCCCGTTTCCTGTCCCATTTCCTCACCCAAGATCCTGACTCCCATTCCACTTCCTAATAGGTATAATCTAAAGATTTATATAGTATAAAAATAAGAAATATTACTATGTAAAGCAATAATAAGTAGCTATTATCACATGATCAAAATAAGAGAAATTCTCACGGGATTTTCTCAAGAATCGAGATACTCCCAGTTCCTTCCCATGTATAAGTTTGTCCAGTTTCCCGTACCATTTTTCGAATAGAAATTAGAGGGGATGCTGATCTAGGGAATATCCCATTCCCAGAATCCCTAGTTCTCATAATTTCCTGGAATTGGTCCTGTTCCGTCCCTGTCCCCTTCGGGAGGGAAATCCCAAGGAGAAACCCCCTCCCAACGGTCAGCCTAATTAGCTGTTAGAGGTCAGGACCCAAAAAGAAGCAGTAGCGATTAGAAGGTAGCAGTAAGAGAGCCAGGAAGCCACTATTTATAAGCGAGAAGGCTTTCCAATATTCTATCAATGTGAGCCTCGTTCTCTTAAGATGGTGGATCCGGAAGCAAGTATCCTACAAAGCTAAAGAGTGGATCTGTGATACTAAAGGTCGGCGGTAAAACAGTGTCATAATAACCAAGATGCCTGTAGAGTATAACTTTGCAAAGCAAAGTAACTCCATGGTATAAAAATTAATTAGGCACCAGAAGATTCTAGGAAATCTTAATAATAATAGTAGCACCCCTAGCGCCTATTCCAGTAAGTTTCGCTGTATTTGTAACAGCATGGCTACTAGGGTTTCTAGTTAATATTTATGCGGCACGAGAAGGCAATTGGTTAATTATAGTACTATTAACTAATTAGTACTAATCTTTCTGCCTCGTGATTTCGGCTTTGGTGATTGTCTACAAGTTTTGGAAGCCTATGAGTGAAGCAAGAGCATCGTCTTAAAACTAATTATCTACATAGGACCACCGTACCGAAATAGGGCTGCAACAAGCATAATCTTTTACCTATATAAATACAAACAAATTGTGGCTTTAGAAAACCATGCTTTTGGAGAAGATTAAGGAGAACCAGCTGTATGAGCTTTCAAGATTATTCCTATGTGGTAATTGGATAGCAGGAGCAAAAGCTTCAGCCATTTCAAGAGTGTCAAACAAAACATTTGATAATGAGCTATCTCATGATGCATTTGTGTTAGTTTAAGCTTTGCATCTTTTTCTTATAGGTAGGAGAGAGAGGATGAGATATAGAGGCACTAGATGGAGCCACAGAGGAGCTATGCAATAGCCGCTCTTCAGCCTCATATAGAGGCAAAACACATAACTCCATGGTACATAGTGACACGTGTAAATATGCATAAATAAAGCTAAGCACTGGACCTCATTATAGTTTAAAAGAACACTTAAGGCGGAACTTATCTATTATTTACATTGGGTTTGGACCGACAGCTCTTTAGAAAAAGTGCCCAGGCGATCCTGGGACTAATTTCGCCAGCATAAAAAATTGCTATGGATAGGGCTTTCGTTCATACTTATAGACATCCATACCCCCTTTCCGCCAATGAGTAACCGTGTTCTTAGTCTTGCCATTTGAGAGTCTTTCATTGGTATACAAAACCCGTTCTCGACTATCAACACCACAATATTGTTCACAGAGCGGAGTGTCCTTGCAGCTATAAGCAAAATCGGGGGAGTATCAAGCTATAACCGCATACACCCATTATAAAACGGCCCCTCGTCATATTCTAGATCTTCGGAACTGCGGTCCACGACATACAAGATACTAATATATCCGTGCTGTCCTGTCCACTGATTCCAGCTGGCCGGCTCCATGGTTCCAGGCTCTTTCGATGCTAAGATGGATTGAAGATACTGCTTATCAATCATGAGGCAGTAACCGAATCGTGAACTGGCGTAAGGATTTAATCCGTACCTTTTTACCCACTCTCGGTGCTTTTTAAGGGTGACATCGTCACCCAGTAATAAAATCCCGGTACACTTCGTAGATAAGCTTATAAACATCCAACTACCCTGGCAGCAATTCGCGGTCGGAGCCAGCCTTAGACGGCTTGACTGTGGTAGAAATAACGATCAAGCTTGGCCAGGACAGCCGTCCAATCTTCCTCGGTTGCGTAGGTGGTCCAGTAGATAAAGTAGCCCCAGGGCCACATATTTCTCGAACAATTGTTGCATCGACGTACGCTCTACCCTCTCCTTCTGTTTAAATAGTTCTTTTTTTGATCCCTGAGCGACTCGTCAGGTGGGAATTCAGGGTGCGTCCAGGGCTCGAGCCATGACTCGTGGTGAAATAAGGATCCATTGCTGTCAGGAGAGGAAGGTCTAGTGAATGTAGGTAAAGCATTTTCCGACATAACAATATTTTTATCTTTATTTAGTTCTATCTAAACGACTCGAAGGATCTCTCTGTAAGAGTCATGTTTGCTAGATACCTAATCAATCAAGCACTCTATGAACTTGGAGAATATCCCTCTTACTTAAACCCCTCCAAAGTGATATACTCCGAATCCATCTGCAACAAATTCAAAAGCTCAATCAGCTAGACACAGAGATTCACTCACTTCTTATCATTGAGATTCTTCGATGGATGCCGTTTCTGCCTCATCTCATCGATAACCGCTTTCACAATACGACCAGTATGATCCTGAAAGAACCTACACCAGCAATCCTCCAAATTAACATCCTTTTTATCGGCGTCCTCGCATGCTTTGGAAGTCCATTCGAGATCGGTTGCAATGCCATCAAAGACCATCTGGAAGCGTTCCCGGGATTTGGGCAAGTTCTGGTAGCGGAACACCGCGATAGTCTACATATGATATTGTCAGTAAAGACCCAAAGGCAGGCAGATAGTAAAAGATATCATTCATCTCGCAATATCTGTAATGCCTCTCGGTAATTTCCTCTTAATATCACGTTATCCCAGGGGCCACGATTCCAGGGGTTTTAAAGGCCCCAGAGCTACATGAGGAACTATTAGTCTCCGTGGATAGGAGTAGAGGTTGGTTCATTCCCTTACGTTAACTTTCACGCTGTTAACTCTATCACTTTAAAGGCGGAAAAGATCTCTGTTATTCATGCTACCGAGCTCTTCCATAATGTGGTTTCGTGGCATCTTGGGATTTGTTTGCTCCTGGCACGGAGGGCGCGTTATGGATCATCTCCTTATGCTTTTTGTATTCGATTTACGAATATATTACGGATACTTGTATTTTAACATTATGTTCGTCCAGCCCTAATTAAGAGACATTAATGGTTAAGTACTCAGTGAAAACAAAAAATAAAATAAAATCCGACGAATTGAACCTAGGCACAAAGTACAAATTGTGATGAACCTATTTGGCCGGGTACATTAACCTGTTAGCTAGGTAAGATGGTAGAAAAAAGTATCACTATATTTTATATTAAGATATATTAAAAACTAATCCTTGATCTCTTCTCCTTTGAACAGATCAAGATAATATATAGAACGCCCATAGATAAGGTAACAATACAGTTAATAAAATCATAACAATATATCAATGTGTTATTAAGATACTACCATAGCTTTGCGTCACCGTATACTCAGCTTATCGATAAGGATTCAGGACCCGAGCTTGGCCGATTCTCGACCTATCCTTGACACAGATAGAGGTATAAGGAATAATATTCTTTAATTAAATAATTTGTAGCTTTTCCAGGATTGCCTTAAGCTTAGTGCAATCTGTATCATATGACATTACTAAAGAGTGGGCCCAAGTTTGCAGTATTTAAAGGTAGTCCCTGTTATACTCGAAACTTTTACAGTATCCTTTAAAAATGATACGACCGAACTTTTGAGATCAACATCCTTGGTTCTTAATTGAAGAATTTCTAAGATTCTGCTACTATCAGGTCCAGAACAAATGGTGCGAATAATTGGGAAGGAGAATTTTCCTTTAGGTAGGTCTTTACAAAACCTTTTGGCTTCCTAGTACTATATTATGTTTAGCTACACCAGGCTTAACTGAGCCGAACATAGATTTCGGTAGTTATCTTAATTTGGAAAATAATCCCTAATACTCGCGCTAACTGTAGGAGGTCTATCTACTTTTTGCTAACAGATTGCAAAGCCTTGTTGCGAGTGTGAAGAGGCCCCCGGTTTTATAAAACGCCATGCGAATATACTCTGCCTCCGTTGGGACTATACCGAAGTCTCTCCAATACAACTCCGCGCCCTGGCCTCTATAAAGGTTTAGCAACTCTTTATTAAATATCATTCTAGAGAAAGGGTGACTTTTGAGCCTTGAAAATTCTTGTATTATAAGAAAATACATAAAATTAGCTCTGTTGATTGTTTGCGCAACTGAGGAGACTTTATAGGCAGCCTTTTGGCCGCGGCGCAGAGAAGCGCCATCTTGTATATTGTTAATCCTATTCCTGTTAACATGGTCCTTTCAAATGGCAAGGAAATTACCAGGTTAACAAACAATAGTAAGGAATTATGTGGTTGATATAACTCTTTGAATAATTTTAAGTGAGTGGTTATCAACGTAAGATACTTATTAAGAGCGACAAGATATTGCCTTTGAAAATCCTTCCCTGGCTAGGAGCGGATATATGTATATGGCATCGTTATAATCTAGACGGAGTTAGATACTGGTTATTTTAAGGCAAAAAAATAATTTCTCACATTCTCTTGTGTGGTAGACCATGGAGCATATATATTCCAGCTAGGAGCCTGCCTTCCTAATACTGTGATGCACGCCATTCGCTCTCTTTTTGGCTATTTAAAGAAAAAGATTTCTGTCTATTAAATTTTGAGCCTGCTGCCTAAATACATATCTTTATTTTCTTTATTAGAAAAAGCCCCATATCAGTATATTATATAATTAACCTTTTGGAGTTGAAGCAAGGTCGCGGTTAATTGGAACTGAACGAGTAAGCAATAGTCTTAGCTGCGGACTGTGTAAGATAACATCTATTTATTTAAGCCTTATCTATGTTGCTGAACATGCATAACGGGGCCTAAAAGTAGATCTATAGATTTATAATTTCGCTTACCCAGTATTCCTTTTTAGCTTTTTAACAGAGTTGTGGAATCAATATTTTCTTTAAACAGCCTGGTGTATTATAACAAACTGATTACTATAGTCTGACGCTATTAGTAAGTCTAAAACATAATAATAAGACATATTATTTGGTGCACTAACTCAAGCAAGTTAAAGAAATTATTACTTAACTTGCGTAGAAAAATGCCAAAAGGTCTGTTCGTATAACTGCTATTTTCTCCTGTTTGAGCAAATCTTGGATTTCTTTAGCAGCAAACACATCCGAAGTTCTCCGTATTGCTCCCCAGCAGCACGTGCGAGTCTGCAGATCGCTGGGGAGGGGATAAATTTATGTTGGCAAACTTGCTTTGCCCTTTTTTTTTTTTTTCATTTTTTTTTTTTTTTTTACGCCGCGGGCGGAGACTGGAGTTTGCAGCCAAGAGGTATGACAGTTCTTGGATTGGATGGCACCGGATTTGGGATTTGTAAGGCGTTTGAGTGGAATTGCTCACTTTAACAGTGTTCAATTTTGGAAACATCCGGGAACTGCGCGCGCGGGCTCCGGATGTGGGGTTCTGTTTTTAGCCCCTCTTTCTTTCCTTTCATATTGGACCATAATACGCTGACCGCTCTACTTCAAATTGTGACTGATGATATATTCCACCGGTTAAGACAAGACATGCAAGACACAGCGGCCATGCAAAAGCGTAGTCGGCTGACTTAGTCTTCAACTGTACGATATGGATTTTCTTGCGTTCCCGTAATGGCCTCTCGTGAACATGCGTGTCTACACACATATCTCTTTGGACAAGGTCAACAGCCTGCCTAGCCGCGGCGGACATAAGGTCCGGTTGAGTGTTCCCAAGGTATACCGAGCGGGTGTATTTAACCTTATGCTTACCACCCTTATCCTTACATTCGAACATCAGCTTTTTCGCTTTGGAGCGCTTCTCAAGACGAGCGGGGACATCTCGCCGCTTTGCATAAGGAGTTAGTGGACGAGGATACAGCTAGTAAAGTGCTAAGGGCTTGAGCTCACCTGCTCGTTCCTTTAGACCTCTTACCGAGTCAAGGCTGGATGTTGCTCTCCGGCGTCGTCATTACAGAACTCTACCTGGTCACAGAGATCTTGTAGACACCAGATAGTTTTGTCAGTATTACCGAACATTTCGTTCCAGATGGCTGGGAACACAATAATGAATTTGGAGGTTTCCCTCGGGCCGTTGGATTTGTATGTATGCTGGATAAGTTTTATTCGAGTGAATCCAGGGCAACAGGTCGTCGCGCTGAGGTGCGGGAATTATGCTTTACAACATCCCATGCATCAGCATACGCCTTGCAGTGCTTAGTCTTGCCCATTAAATATAGCTCTAGCAACTCTGTAAGGTAGTCGATTAGTATATATAAGCCGTCGAACAAACAGCCTGCTGCCCGCTTCTCCAGCGAGCCCATAAGTGTGGGTTCTTCTGTGCACGATGGGGTTAATAGCCAATTATTAACTGCCTTGGAGAAAGCCTGTAGGCTTTCCAATGGGGTTTGACCTCGGTATATGATACAGGGTCACAGCAGTACGCCTGAGCACCACTTTTGTAGCAGCCCCAATTGTAACTGTCCATGGCCACGCGCGTCTTACCGGAAGGCAACCCGAGGCACATCCCTGACACCCGGATACTAGTCCACAGCCTTTGAACCACTCACTGTTCTCAAACCTGCTTGTCTTGACCTCCGTGATGCAGCAGTACTTGCGCTCAGTCAGATGTCATCTGGGGCATTCAGGGCCCATGAAGTCACCTGGATAGCAATATACAATGGATCATGATAGGGACGATAACTGCCCTAAGAGTGCCTTATAAACGTTGCATCAGCACATCCGAGATGTGCCAACTAAACTACCGACGGTGTTCAGTTCATACACTGGATAGTTTGTAGTGCTATAGTTGAGTGGATGGGCACTAGAAAATTCTGGATATTGTATTTCTTTACATTTGGATCGCGGTTATTCAATACAATACAATCCAATTCAATCTAAACTTTTATTAACCTGTTGCAGTCTAATTCGAAGCGTTTAGTTATGCACGCGCTTCACTAATGAAGCAAGGTCTTTAAACGCCATATAAAACCCATAGATCCCACATAAGAAAGAAGCCAGCAAGTGTAAATACAAAGGAAAACTCAGCGTCTTGTTGCGCTGCGCGCGTACAAAATAAAATCAAAAGGCCCTATCTCTCTTGCCACCCCATTGCGTGGCGACCTGCGTGGCCAACGGTGTCGATCCCTTCGTCCCCGGCTTCATGCTACTTGGTGGGATTCCGCGTGTGCGATTGCGTGCCGGCTTGACCCGTTCCCAGTAGTAATTCGGGGCCTCCTGCCAATCGTCTTTAGCATCTAATTCCATGGTCGCGAGGTATCGGGTTTGGCGTTTCCGGGTCGTAATCATGGTTAGTTCTGCGCTATTTTAGCCATGAAGCTTAAGTCCTGGGTGCCTGGTTCAGTTGGTAAAGCAGGTATAGAGTACCAGCGAGTATTTTGGCAGTAGTTACAATTTTAAACACGGAAGACCCTCTTTACCAAGTACATTGTCATAGACTTCGTGAAACTTGTTTTTGTCAAGTAAGCTAAATTAGAGTAAACCAGGATTGCGATAAACTTTTAATGAACCCTGGAACAATCACCTACTTTTCAGTGAACCAGTCCGGTAAAGAACTCAATCTAAAATCCATCCCGTCAACCACCGCCACCACAGGAGAGAATAACCTTGGTAATAACCCGCATGCTTGGTGCTATCAGTAGCTTGGTATGAATTAGATTAAGGTATGGATACTTCCAAGGCATAAGGATAAAAACCTGTTCTAAGCATTTAGACCACTGATTTTACTTTTGCACTGGTGGCAGGAAAATAGTATGACGTACATGCACAGTTCTACTAAGGATGTGCCTTTATAGTAACAGCATAAGAAAACATAATTCAGCCACAGAAAGCACTGTGGGGTCTATGTACGCACTAGTTTGGAATTATCATGTGTATTTTATATTAACAAATGGTTTTGAAAATCGTAATAATAGTATCATACTATTAAAACTTTCTCTTATAGCTACAGCGTATATCCCGATCACCAAAATACCTCAAGAAAATAGCTACATGACGGCAGCCCCATAGTCAGGTTCTGACTAACAATCTCTTTAACAAGCACAAACAAAGCCATGGCGACAACTGAAGCCAGCATGGACACCGGCAAAGGAAAAGTAAAATATCTTCCTGTAGGCTTCATTGTCGGAACCTAAACGCGTATAAGTAACCATCCCTCTTATAGTTCTCTTAGCAAAGAGCAGTTAATACCTCATATTCCCAGTCCCCTAGACCAGCTAGCTCGGTGATCCACCACATGTAGAATGACGTCCAGGGAAAAATGGCCCAATTGCGCCCAGTTTTGCTATCAATATACCACTATGTTATGCAAGAATTTGCTCAGCTCTTAAATAATCAGGCTGGATGGGTAATCCTACCGTGTGACACGAATTAGTAAACACCGTCTTCCCGAGTGCATCGTGTAATCGCTCATTGTAGGCTTTCTCACTGGCCAGTTTCGGCTCAACAGAGAGAGCTGACCCCGCAATTATCGGCCGAATTACCCGTGTGATAAGGTTTACATAGCTTTACAGAGTCAGCTTGAGTCCCCCCCATTCGGACAGCATAGCTGGTTACCTTTCAATGGAATGAACAGCAGAGGTGTGTCCGCGTCCGGAATTGGGGCCAAGGATATAGAAAAAGTTAGGAAATCCAGACATGGCGACGGTATTGAATGCTTCGATATAACCCATGTCCTTCCAGTGGTCGTTTCGGCGGCGTCCGTGGCGGCCTTGGAGCTCGGCGTTGAAATGGGTTAGAGAGAAGCCGTTGGCTAAGATCTGGGTGGGATAATGTTAGTTTCAGATTTGTGGAAATACATCCGGAATTGACAATACTATCACATCAGCGGGATATTGCGTCCCGGATAGGGTTGAAATTGAGCGTTTGTGAAGGTTCGTAACTGGATCATTCGTGAGATGGACATTGTCCCGGTTTAGAGATAAAATGTAGCCGTCATGGTCGAAGACCCGTCGCTGATCAGGTTTAGAATTGTTGCTATATATGGTACTGGGGGAAGTGGAATTATTACCTTGCATCCGACTTCAGAGTCAGGTATTAAAAGAGGCCAGTATTGTTCTATGAGATATCTCATGTTGGTCATGCGTTGAGAGTGGTTCAATTCGACTCGGAAGCTCACCTGGGGCATTATTTCTTATATATGATTTGCATGTTTCGGAAGTCTGCTTCCTCATTTTGGCACCAGAACCAGTAAGCTTGAACTGCATGGTCGAAGTCTCGAGGTATAGGAATATAAGGAGCCTTATCAGGCGAAGCACACCAGGCACAAAACGGAATATTGTCTGCCACCGAGGAGTAATGGCAGGATTGCTTCCTCTGGGGAGAAAGTATTGTGATGACTACAGGTGTTATTGTGGCACGGTGGCATTCAAATTGCAGAACTCACTCGGATAAACTGGGTGATGGACCGAGCCTCTGGTGCTATCGTCGGTATCACTTGAGTGGCCGATGCTGGTAAGGCTATTAGTACATCATAAATGGTAAACAATCCAAAGAAAATAAAAATTATACCTCCATTCCCAATCACAACCACGTTCTTGTCTCGGAGTGATACGCTGTGGTTCCATCTAGCGGTATGCATGATATCCCCTGTAAAGTTTTCGATGCCTTGAACATTGAAGGGCTGGGGGTTCTCCAACACTCCAACCGCTGATATAAGTATGCTACAGGTCTGAACAAAGTTCTGACCAGTGGAAAGATCACATAGCCTGACACGCCAGGTTTTGGTGTCGTCTTGCCAGGAGGCTCCGAGCCATTCTGTGTTTCCCACCAGATGCTGAGACACATTGAGTCGAAATGCCACTCTATTGATGTACTGGAGGACCTCCTTCTGTTTGGGAAAAAAATTCGAGAAATCTGGATTGGGTGCAAAGGAAAGGCTGTAGAAAACAGCAGGGATATCAACTCCGCACCCTGGATCTGAATACATCGTCAGTAACGCCTGATTCGTGTATGTGGCAGATCAAATCGAATAGTACACGTGTTGACCCTCCATGTGCCTCCGAACCCGGATTCTCGGTCGTACACCACGAAGTCATCACATTTAAGCCTATGTTTCATTTGGCACGCCATGGTCAAGCCCGAGAACCCTGCACCAACGATGATGACCTTTCTGAACGGATGGGCTTCTACACTAGCCATAATTGATAATAGTCGAACTGCCACAGCAATATATTGAACGTCAGTATGAACTGAGAGACATTAGGTACACCGAATATGGGTAGAGTTTATATACTTAAGCACTATCAACGTAGGTAAACATATCTAGCAACTGCAATTGGCGGATCAGAGACAACCTAGGTTTGTTCCGTTGTCGCTTACTTTATGGGTAATGGAGAGGATAAAGGATGGCGTATAACGTTATCGTTGACATTGTTTAAGTGGTTTTGGCTTTTACACTTGTATAGATCTCGCAGTCATGCGACGGGAACTATTCATGTGACATGTCTTGACTTTTTTTAATTTTTTCCTTTTGTATTCGAGGCCAGAGTTCCAATTGGACAAATGAATGTCATCAATCAACAGTAGGTAAACCAAGATACCAAGATGAAGGGCGAATATGGATACAGTATTTTCACCAGACATCCCATGCCCGCTCCAATTCAGGATTTGACGGTCGCCACCGATAATGACGTGCTAATCTAATTTGCCGTCCATAAATTAATGTGTATCAATTGTGGGCTACCTTGCGTTCGTAAGAACTGAGCTTCTTATTACGAGTTTCTGTGTCCTTGTTTCTGTCCACGGCTAGCTCATTTTGTATCCCGTTTCATGTCCTTCTGTTAGAGTTACCGCCAAGCTCAGTAGAAATATGGCGATATCGATAGGCCCTCTATCAGTTCTTCCTTGGGCCAAAAGTCAGCCAAAGGAAACTTTATATAATTAGGAGCAAGTCGAAAAAGGAAACTCGTTTACTTCGGCTTCAGATTTCTTCGGCGGTTAATAACACCAGTCCAGACAAGAGGCATGCATAACCCGGCTTCCTTGTCAATTCCCACATCATTGGATTGGTTTAAGTTTCTACCATTCATCCGCGGGACGAACCCGAGGGGGCAACCATCGACCGAACGTTCTCATTAGGTTGACTGAAGAAATAGAAGTGGAGATAAGTCACAAGCGTCAGATGCAAGATGCGTAGCAGCTCAATGGTTAAGAAAAGCCGAGGTCTGGAGATGGTTAACTCAAGATATATGGCTAATCCAACAGACTGTCATCCATGGAGCATGCGAGGGTCAGTGGCCCACCAGATAGATAAACCGGGTCTAAAGATTAAATCTCCTCTTTAATCCACCTTCCCCGGTTTTCCGGTATTATTATTGATGTATAGTCCCCGCCTTACCGAATAATCATTTTACGTGGCTCGCATGCATTTGGAGACAGGAAAAACACACTCCCTAACTATCCGGATACCATGTCTATTTTCCGATCTTACTTGTTTTGTCAGCGTTGGAGTATACTTGGCTATTATCATCGTATGTAGGTTGACTGATTCGTCTATGTTCTATCACTCTGAAATTATGCTGTTAGCTGAGCATAAAACCATGTGGGTCTACAGATGAAAGAATAAATTAAACAGTGAATTGTAATCTGCCCTCCACATACCAGAAACTAAGGCTCACTTCTTCATTATCTTTCTGCTTTCATACAACGCCAATATGTTTTCGGACACTGTCTGTTATTCTCTGCTCGTCTCGGCCGGCTTTTTAATAAACCTACTCCATCCAAACTTGACACAACTACTTCTGTTAGTCGTTTTGTGTGTCACTATTGCTATCGGATGGCTCCTGTCCAGGTTGACAGCAGCAGCATATCTGTGGCGGCGCTTGATTTTACTCCATCCTGAGACCCGGAAGGAATTTATAGGGCAGCCCCTGCTCTTTCCCGCCAGACTGTCCCATGCGCGTAGGTTCCCCGAAATAGAGAGATATAACTATTGGTATGACTACTTTCTGGTGGGGATTCCTGTTGGGCTTCGCGGCCGCATTGGGAATCTCCTCTCCATCGATAATCTCCCAGCATGGGAGCGTCGTTGGGAGAAATGCTGGTTTACTATTGATCCGGCCTATTATCTGGATCGTGGGAGCGGAGATCGATGTCTGGAGGAGAAACTGCATATATTTTTGAAATCAGTGGTTCGCGATCCTCTCTTTGACACTTCAATAGGCTCCTAAGCATTTCTAGGGCGAGAATCCACGAGAATTCCCATACGCATATCTCGTCAGCGTCCCTCGGTTCTTGTGCTTCCAAAAAAGTGCCATCAGCTACTGGTATCTATACTCAGCCAACCACGAGCTGGCAGCAATGATCATGGAAATTAATAACTCCTTCTATGAAAAACGCAATATCTTCTTCCGTCTGACCGGGGATGACCTCTCTGTAGATGATCCACCACGTCCTGCAACGGAGATAACAGCCTCGCCCAGACACACCAACGAACGGATGTCGATTCGTTTCCTATCATCTGCATCCAAAAGCAAGCACTATAAAGGCTCTTGGGAGAAGCTGGTTTTTGGCTCCCCGTTTGAAACGCTAGGGTCATTAATGACAGCTAAGTTTGTCGACCCCCTGTTAGGCCCATCGCTTCAATCCAACCTGAGCTCCAACTCTCCCGAGGGACAAGTCAGAGTGACTAGTCGTCTTGCTTCATGGGGCGAACCTGTTGATCCATTATCCAGCACGGGGTGGTCCATTGCACGTTTTATTTCTCGATGGACTCATGTGGGAGCGCTCTCTGCTCCTCGCATTGTCAAAGAGGCTCTCCGAATCCGTTTGCGAGGCAATTTGCAGTATCTTCAGAGACCAGAGGTTCGAGAGGGAAGTAATCCTCGCAAGGAAACGGAGGTAGAACGGTAAGTACCCTGAAAATGCCTTACTACTAGATGTATACAGGTCTAATGTACTGGACAGAATTTCGGAGCTATTCTTTCGAGAGTATCTCTCTCAACTAGCCTCTCGTTGCTCATCCCCATTATCAATCACCTACCTCCCTCCCAAATCAATCCACTTCGAGCCTATTGTATTTCAATCTCCCATTCCCCCGGCGTCACTCCACCTACAAGTCCTCACTGTCCAACCTCTCACCCCCCGATTCTACACCTCGTTCCTCGAGTACCCGAATCAGAAACATGCCTTCAACACAGAGTCATCCCTCTCTCCCACGAATTCCGACCCAGAGTCCCGCCGTCTCTCCATATCCGACCCGTGCCTCCTTGACCAAGTCCTCACCACAGCGGGACAGGCCCTTGAGTCGGAACTAACCAAGACGTCAGCCCACCATGTACATCACTGGACATCCACTTTCTTTCATTTCTTTATCTCATTTCTACGCAGCTCATCCACACCGTCATTCATGGATCGCTTCTTTGAGCATTTTTCCCCAGCCCCTGATCAAAGAGTCTACCACGCAGCGCGCGCGCATTACCTCCTAGCGTGTCGTCTACCGATTGAGTCACAAGCGATCGTGCAGCTGGGTTTTATTGCAGTGCGGACGATGCTCGTGGACGTTTTTCTGCATGCTGCATATCGTATATGGGCTAGGGAGAGAGCGGTGCAGTGGCTGGTTGAAGCTTCGATCACGCCGGGAGTCGGGGCATTGGTGTATGGTGGGTGGGAAATGGTGCAGAATTACATTGGGGAGTATTATTTGAATCCGTTTGCGTGGGGGGAGGGGTTGTAGACGTGGTGCGAGGATGCTGGTTGAACCTGTTAGTTTTACACTGCGTTCTGCTCAGAAAAAGTGCCTAATTACACTAGAAAGTGATGTTATGTCTATGCTTCGCGTGGTTAGGGTTTAGTTTATCTTAATAAATTTGATCTACCAGCAAGCATGCTTTATATGGTTATAGGAAATATTTTATCGGGTATATTTGTGATGGTTTGGTTGTCTCTGCGCTAGTAGAGATAAAACCACTTGACCTATAAAAAGGTACAAGACGACTGATCGAAGATCAGTCGCATCTAGCGCCCTATATAGTATGTTACAGGTTCAGCCTGTGACAATATTTATGGTTTATTTTTAGACATGTATTTCTAATTTTATTGCATCATATACACAGTTTTAATGGCGCATTTTCATTCTCCTTGACTCCTCAGTATCTATACTCTCCAATGTTCATGCAGTGCATATAGTAGTCTCAAGATAACTGTATTTTACTATTTGGCAACGCATATTTGTAATTCGGATTAATTATCTTGGCTGGTGGAATTAACATATGGCCTTGAGGCACCGCAGAAGGCAGATTAAAAAGCAACCATTCACAAAACACGTAGTTAGAGTGTGCCTATCTCAATTCACTAATATTTCCAAACTCGTTGTCATCGGCCCCACAGGTCATTATGTAAATCAGGGTGACGCTTATGGGGCTAAATTTCTGCTCCATGAAACAGAAACTGGATAATATCAAAAATTCACATCTGCCTTCGGTACTCCTTAGACTGCAAGCTCATTCATTTACTTGGATTACCTGTCAAATGGTGCAGATGATTAGTAAAATTCTATAAAATTATATTTTCAAGTGGATATTTACCCCTTTTATCTCCTTCAAAAATTTTGACTATCGGCATCTATCGGCATCTTTTAGTGGAAATGGTATGAGAAAAAGTGGGTACTTCAGGAGCCCTAAGGAAATTCATCGATAAAGGGATGAAACTGCAAATCCCATAGGCTTAGAAAAAAAATCTAATATATTTTGAGACAAATCAAGTTTCTACTTAAAAGGGTGTTTCATACCCAATTTCTGGAAACCTGCTTTAAATAGCTCTCTTCCTTTCATGATGGACCCTTCAGAATACATTGACGTAAACTTGACGCAAGCGGACCTGCTAGTTCTAAAGGAACTTCTGCAAGAATCAGATCAGAGGGGAAGTATTTCCAGGGAACAAGGTACGTGACATTTGTCGCCTTAATAACATTGACTAACTATGGCTAAGTGGTAGCACAAAGGAGTACAACGAGCAAGAAACTTGCAGCTCTAAATGACCCATCTTCACCTGACTTTGATCCTACTGTCTTCGTCAGCTTGGATCTGAAGGATCTTCAGAATTCACTGCCTTCTTGGGTGGATAAATGGGTCTTGAAGCCATACATCAAGCTTGCGAGGAATGTTGTCCGTATAGAAACGGATGTGGTGATGCTCACTCATCTTCTATTATATTTCACTACCTCTCTACCTAGTGCACTCATCCTATTCCACCACTTTACCTGGGTCCATGGTTTCCTCCATTGGGTCATGCAGTCCTACTATGTAGGCACCTATACTCTGATGATGCACCAACATATCCACATGGGAGGGATTTTGAAACGCAGGTTCCAGTGGTTCGACCAACTATTTCCCTACATCACCGACCCTCTCTTGGGCCATACATGGAATTCTTATTATTACCATCATGTGAAGCATCATCACGTCGAGGCCAACGGACCCAATGATCTTTCTTCAACGATCAGATATCAACGTGACGAATTGTTGGATTTCTTCTGTTACTTCAGCCGGTTTTTCTTCTGTATATGGTGGGAGCTACCTCTACACTTCCTGCGCAAGGGGAATATCCGCTTCGCACTTAAGTGTTGTATCTGGGAGCTTCTCAACTATGCATTCGTGTTCCTTCTATGGAAGCACGTTGGCTGGAAACCCACACTTTTTGTCTTTCTTCTCCCGCTGCTGCAACTGCGGGTTGGGTTGATGGTGGGCAACTGGGGCCAGCACGCATTTGTGGATGAAAATGACCCCAACTCCGATTTTCGATCGAGTATTACACTCATTGATGTAGCAGTAGGTCCAGTCTTCCTCTCTGTATAATCGTTTAGATTTCTGATCGCAATCAGAGTAACCGCTTCTGCTACAATGATGGCTACCATACGTCTCATCATCTTCATCCGCGCCGACATTGGCGCGACCACCCTATCGCGTTTCTTCGAGACAAGGACCGCTACTCTGCTGAACATGCACTCGTGTTCCGCAACATCGACTACATCATGATCACGGTGATGTTGTTCAGGAAGGACTATAAGTATCTGGCTAAATGTTTGGTCCCAATGGGGGAGCAGATCGGGATGAGTCTGGATGAGATTGCATGTATGCTGCAAAAGAAGACCCGACGGTTTAGCGAGGATGACATTCGACGCAAATTTGGGAAATTGGAATAGGCCAAATAGAGGATGGTAGAGCATTTTGCATTATACAAAACGCATTTATTCCCTCCAGGACCCAGCCGGATGGCCCTTAGGAAAGAATTGTTACCTACATCCTTCATCTCCATCCAGTTGATTCATTTCAAGCTAACGGTCTAAGAGCCAGGAGCACCAACTCTGGAGACTTATACTCATTCTCTCTAGGCGGTTGTGGGTTTATGTTTAGAGACAGATAGACTAGCCAGTTCAAGATAGCACCAGATAGCACAGTGGTATAGGTTCCTGCTGAGGATATAAAAATACGATTGTGGTTAAGGATGAGACGTACGCGAGAACCATGAATCTAGAAAATCCTGTTTAATCCTGTTTCCAGACACAAAAAAAAAACTCCTCCGCTATGATCCTGTAGGTTTACATGTCCAATTCTATGCCACTCAACATGGAACTAGACCAAGTACTTCAGATTTCTCTTCAATGCACTTTACCTGGCAACACTTTATGTATCCATGTCCTTTGAATGTGGGACCTGTCTAATCATGGTTCGAGCTCTAATATTAGGATCGGGATTGAGTCCAAGCACAATTTGCCAATTAAGCATGTCTCCTAGAATGATTGCATTCGCGATTGACTTTTCTTGTAAACTTCCATTGGTTTATGTACCTCGAGACTATGCTAAAGAAATAACAAAATAGTATTACTAAAAATAATTCCTATAAAGATGTACCAAACCTTATTTCTTTAAGACCCAGCCATCCAATGTCCAGGTAAAGGCCAGCTCCCCTCACGTACTGCTTAGAAGCATGGGCTGTCTAGCGCATAGCCAGCGCTTAGAGAGTGGTTGATACTCAAGACTCATGCATGACAATATTAGTACAGCCTAGTCAAAATACAGGGGTGAACAAATTAATAAGATGTTGAGGCCCCAGTGGAGATTGCCTGAGCATTTTTGGACAAAATGGGCAGCGGCACACTGGGAACCTGGTGCTGGTCCCTAGTTTTTATATGTACTACATATATAGATAGCATAATATTTGATTCTGTAATTTTCCACAAATTAAATGCGATTATTTTTACGGAGACCAACCATTTTTATGTACTATTTATTCAGTGAATAGTTCCGTCCCGTCAACCAATTCCAGGAGATTTCGTCCATTTCGATTTTTTATAGACCGATGAATTTGCCCAAACCTCTAAACAATACAGATCATCCATGCAAATACAATACAAATATGACTGCTAGATAGTCCGTATGGTTATTTTAGCAGATGGTGAAGCAAAATACATGCTCAAATGATCCCAGTAGTAAGCATCGGATCTCAAATAATTGATCAATTCAGTTGATCGATATTCATCATCACCACTAACACCACCCCACATCATGTCGGACACATCGCATTTGAAGGACCGGCTGCCTCGTCTGGAGAATGCCGTCCACGCCTTTATGTCCAACCCTATCCCGACGCCTTTGCGTCCTCTCACAAGCACTCGAACAAGTTCGGAAGATGAAATGTCCGAAATAGACCCATAGCAGGTTTGGGATTCTCCTCAAAACTAGCGAGGGCCACCACATTACACATCGAAATCGGATCTTACCCCGTGGGGACGACAATATCTTCCTCTTCTGCTAGTTCCAGTCTCCTTGAATGCACCACAGTTGATAGGTGAATTGTCTTTCCGACATCCACTCAGGCAATAATTCTATGGGAGGTCTAGTAAGAAAAAGTGGATCCCATTGTTCCTCTACTGCATAAATCGAATTTTTAAAACTTTCCTTATGGGCTCTGTATCGACAGGAGACTGCCTGGGCCTCGTCACAAAGGCTCTCGTTATAACTGTTTACCTGCCGTTATAGTCATGTCTGATACGGAATGTCTGCTCAACCTGAGCAAGAGTCGACCGGCGCTCATACAGCGCTACAAGAACGCTATCCAAAATACCTTCACTAGCGCCAACCTATGGCAGGCACACAGCTTCCGACTCCTTCAAGCCGCTTCTGTCTACGTCACCTGCTTTCGCAATCACACCGAAGTATCGGCCTACATCTAGGCCCTAACCACCGTGATCATCGGTAACGCGCGTAAGATGAGTCCCCATCACGACGGTGCGACCCCTAAGATTCAAGTCTTTTAAGATCGAAATGCGCCGCAGGCTGTGGTGGCACCTCTATGTTCGCGATATGCGTGCATCCGAGCAGCAGGGGACATCGCCGGAGCTATTTCGCGTGCCATTCGAAGTGCGCTTACCCCCTGAACATCAACGACGAAGACATCTCTCCTGCATTGACTTAGCCAGTGCGCGAACGTCTCGCGGTCACGAAGATGACGTCCGCCAATATCCGCTATGAGACCATCCGCACGGTATGGCATATGCAGCGAGACCTAAAGGCAGCCCGTGTCTTCGTGGCGCCGACTGTCGGTGCATGAACACATGGGATGAGATCAGCGCTCGTCGTCACTCGCACCCACAAACCGACTACATTTGTGCTAATAAAGTCATCTGCTCGGAAATGCAGTCAGGTATGCTCTGTTTGTCAATATATCCAACAGTGCCTTGGGTACATTGAGCGACTTCTCTGGGCCTGGTCGTGAACCCCTCGAATTTTCTTGTACTTTCGCCCTTGCCCCATTTCACATGAAATGACTTACGGAAAAATTCTTCAAAATAGTTCATTTACTAAGATCAACGTTATGTCTGCATGCTATACAGGGACTAGATGGTCCTAGCTACGATTGTAATATCTACCAAGTATTATCCACCACAAACACACCGCTCCTCTCTCTAGATCGATCACAAGAAGATATAAGGGACAGATATTCGATCAAATCACATCATATAACCAGCATCTATTTTGCTATCTAGTAGTATAATTCTATCTTTACACAGTTCTCACGCACCGTTCCAAATATCTCTTGATTCGCTCGACGTCATCCAATGCAGCAATCGTTCCAACGCATCCATCAGGCCGGATGACCGCTAAAGCTCCTTTGGCTGTATCAACGCCGTATGTACTGTACGCATCTTCGACATGCTGGCCACTGTGGAAGCGCATTTCAGAGTACTTCTTCAGCGCCGGAGGCACATCACGCCATGTGAATGCCTTATCAAGACGAGGATAGATGACGACTTGCTCAACCACAGATTTAGGGAAGCTGGGAAGGATAGATGATCCAAGAATGGTCAATGTCTTCGCTGATGTGCCCCAGGGATCTAAGAGGTCAGACGAAGTCAGACAGAGAATCCGAAATCGACCAGTGGAGGGGAAATCTGTTATGATTTATTAGCCAAGTTATTATGCCGTCGACCATGCATTAGAAACTATACCATCCTGCAAATGAAAGTGGGTTCCATCAGCATATTTTTTTACCTGCACATCCAGCAATCTTCTACCTGGTCGAAGAGTGCCGAGTAGATATTCTGTCCCTTGAATAGGATCACTGCAGCCGGTATCTTGTTTCTGCTCTACAATCTGATTATCGGTATATTCGATGCCACATCCAGAAGTAAATCCATTCCCGGTCTTGAAGACCCCCAAAAATTGCTCATGAGTTAAGCCTTCGACGCCATCCTCAGCAGGGCCAATCTTTCCTGAGAACATAGATGAATATAAACGATCGAATTCAATCAGTTCCTGTGCTATTGTATGACGTTCCAGGTGATACGTGTCAAGGACAGCATCCGGGTTCCCTGCATTGGCCGAGTCTGGGATAAGACCAAGAACGGAATAGGCCAGCTTCCACGCTAGATTATACGAGTCCATCATAGACACATTCATACCTTGGCCAGCCTAATTGTGCCACATGTTAGGTAATAACTTCTTACTAGAAATATACATGGCTTACCTTAGGACTGTGCGTATGACACGCTGAAAAGTTGGCCAGTTAGCGCCAGTTAGCGAACGCCTCAATATATGTGTTGTAAATGCACCTTACCATCTCCTACAATATAAAAACGGTTAATGCCTCTCGAATCCTTTACTGTAAAGCGATCTGCCACTCGCTGGCCTATTTGATATGCTGTCCACCAGTCGATTGATGAACCCTCTTTCGGTCGAATGTAATACGGCTGAAAGGCATCGGCTGCTTGTTGAAAGATCCTCTCTAGGGTAATCTTGTCTCTCCGTTCTCTGGTAGACTCTTGGCTTGGGTTCACAGATCCATTTGATATGTCCTTCTCCACACCTGCGTCTTCCGGCACCTGGACGTACAGGCGTGTTAAGTAGTCCCCAGTAGCGATACGCTCGCGTGGAATAACCATGACTGATCCTGCTGGTGAGTGGATGCCGCAGGCCCTTCTAATATCGGGGAAATTTGTATCCACGACAAAATCAACCACGCCCCAAATATGGTCGGTTGACTCGCCAACAAATTCAAGTCCCATACAGCGTCGTACCACCGAATGAGCACCATCTGCACCAACCAGATATTTTGAACGTATCGTTTTACGTTTTCCGTCTGTTTCAACGTCTGCAACAACCGGAAATTCCGAATCCCCCGCTTCATCAATCCTCACATCTAGGAGATTGGTCTTCCACTGGACTCCCCGTTTTGAATATCGATGCAAATCTGCCTCCAGAATTCGCTCGATGCGACCTTGATGAATGGTAACAATATGACGATATCGCGCCGGAACAGCCACAACCTCAACAATCGTGGTCCTCTCGATCGCTTCCTCCTTGTTATTGGACGGATTCCAGATAGCCGCTTCCGCTATGTGACACCCATCGTTCAGGATTTCATCTAACAACCCCAGAGACTTAAGCACTTCTAGAGTACGGGGTTGAAGACCGTCTGCCTGTCCGGATTTCAGGGTACTAGACTTTGCGTCGATACACAACAAGGAGTCATCGGTCAAGCCGTACCGCGCTAGAAGCACATTCAGGATTAGACCCGCTGGGCCGGCCCCAACAACGACTACCTCATACTTCTCGGACTCTGTATCTGGTGTGAAAGCCGGGGATAGGCGAGGTAATGGAGGAGCGAAAGAAGGAAGAACGCGAAGGTCCCGCGATGGAGCGGCATATTCGGTGAAGGAAGGCATAGCCAATAAGAGGAATGGCGGAACACAGAAACGAAATTACCAGATCAGACCCACTAAGGATCAAAAATCGATTGAGCTATAAGGGCTATCACTCAGTTAAATAGTACCTCAGCTGGCAAATACATATCCTTTCCGGTGGGGCGCGGTATGATGGTTTTTAAATTAGTAAAAGTTAGTCCCACGTCACGTCGTACAGAGTAAACGTAAGGCTGCTTACTATTGTCATATCTAGTTGGGATTCAGTTCTTGTTCCTAGTGGTTGTCCATGTTACATAGCTCCATCTCCACTTGGTTCAAGATGAGTCGACAACGCGCCAGGATCCAATGCTGACATCAGCTTACAGATATTAACTTAGCTAACTAAATGCGATAGTTAGGACCAGCTGACAAAAGTTTTGGGGGGTGGTATAGTTTCCTTTTTTGTATAACTATAGTGGTGTATGGCTTTATGACTGCGAGTTTTTTAATATATAGGTTTGTTTGCTTTGCTTGTATAGTCCGCGGGTGTATATAACTGCTCCCCTAAGCTCATTTGAGCGCTCATCTAGTCATTAAAATTCCATCGTAGAATGCGATAGGCACACTGATCGTTATTGCCAGGCAGGTTCCCCCACCGTGGTAACGCCGAATCTGGACTAATCCAGGGCCTCTTGGGACTATGGTCAGCCCCCTGTAACTAGTTCTGCAGCCAAGAATGTTGATTATAGTGATCTGGATGCTTATTCGTGGATTGACGATATAGTCTGAAATCACACCTTCCTAGTGTGGGTAGATCCCTGATTCCACGGATGCAATTTAATTTGTTGAATCACTTAGCTGGCCTCTTTCCCATTACTACCGCGCCCTAGTCCCCTTAAATACCGCAGATAAGTCACCCTAGGTGCGCGGAATCAAACACTTTTGCTACCGTTCTCTCGGATACTTTTACTTCCAGTACGTCTCTATTTTATTAACCGCATTTGGGTGTCCTGTACTGTTGGTGTTCAAGTATATATATTTTCTGTCATGCAGGTTACAGGTCGGGTGGCACCGTTCTAGAGGTGAGACGCCCCGCTAGTCAATCACATGACCTATTTTACTGTTTCCTCTGTATATAATACACAAGATTAATTACCTAGCAGATGACCTTTTCAGCCTTCTAACCATGAAATTTAATACCTTAATTATAAGTACTTGGTAAGTACTTTCTAACTGATTCTTAGCCACTTATTCAGTACTTATATCAAATATTCTGCCTCAAGTAATTAGTTGTTAACTAAGAAAATATAAGAAAAAGCTGTAAGAATATCTCTTAAATACATTTAAAAATTATCTTAGCTTTATTAGTTAAATAAAGTTAATTTGTTCCCAAGTGGTTATAAATCAGTTAAGAAGTACTTGAACGGTAGATAATTGAAATCAAATTTCACGGTATATAGTACAGTATTTAAAAGCTCAGGTGCCTCGCCCCTGCTGCCAAGACCTGTGGGGCGGGCGCGCGGCTTCTCGCAAGGTGTACATGACCTGTGTACTCTGCTTCTATTGAATGGGTGGCCGGGTGGCCGCTACTACTAAAAGCTAGCTTACATAAATGATGACTAAGCGAGGTCGAAACCGGGGGCAGGCGCCCATGCTTGGCAATATGCTCTAACATACTCTCTGTCATGTCTTAGTATCCTGAACTCTCTCTATTAGTAAGGAAAACATTTCCAAATCTACCTTCTCTTATAGGAAATATTGCTGAAAAGTCGTCTCCTACACCCGTAACAATGATCGCATAGTATCTGGCCTCCTTGGCTACTGCAGTAGATAGAGCTACCTATAGGCTGTCATACAAGAGTACAGTCGCCAACGCACTTGTTCTTCAACGCGCGTATGCAAAGCTGAAGTATATGCTTAAAAATGTCCAGCTGCTTGCAGGTGCCCAGCCAGCCGATAATGCTCCACGCACTAACGACGTCTCTCAGCCAATCCATACTCCAACACGGGCAACAGGGCGTTACCGATCTCGCCACCACTGCTTAAAGCTGCATTGGTGCGATGGGGCGGGTGCACCCGGCCTACGAATCCTGGTGCGCAACTAAGCTTTTCGATAAAGTGCAGAGCTTGATCCAACATGTCTCTGGAGCTACCAAAATTTAGATCTGTACGGTTAAACTCACCCGAGTAGAGATATCAACGTAACTGCGAGGTAGTCGTGGGTACAGCAACTGCGGAACGGCAGGAAGGCTCGGGTGATCAGTAACCAGTTCTCTATACTAGTCCACTTGGTCGGAAAGTCGAAAAGGCGCGGTTCCTTCCAGAGACATTCTAGGTAGGAAAGAAGCAGAAAGTGCCTAAGTTGCGGAGCTTTGCTTACTGTAAGCTCCCACCGTGCAACGGACACGAATGTCTTTCTACAAGGCAAGTACTACTTGCAGATTCAAGACAGAGCTCTATAACCTTCATTGCCGTGTCATCTAGTGTTCTCGAGGCTAAAGTTTTAGACACGTCCGATGTGGCTGCACCTTACCCCTCAGTTGTTTCTTCTACAGTGGAGACCATGATAGAGCTAAATGCTAAGGATTGCTCTACATACACTAACTACTACAGCCCGCACGCTTCCTGCTACAATGATTGCCTGAGTATGGTGTAGGAATGGAAATACCTGGAATAACTACAACAGAACAAGCCTAGCAGAGAAGGAACGAGCAGTAGAGGTGGGAGAGGCGCTGGGCCCTGAACAGTCGAGCATCTCGGGCAGCATTCTAATCTAGGATAAATCACCTCCCAACCGAGCTTCCCTGAATCCGTCTTAGAATGTTCACTAACCCCAGCGGCCAACGAGAAAGGGTAACACAGACCACAGTAACAAGCACTTAGACTATGCAGACCACACTAACCAGTATTCTGATCGGACAGATTACTCGCAGTCAGATTAATCGCAGATTAATAAATCAAGAAAACTGGAGAGTAAAGATGGAATCGACACTGGCAGCGTGCGGCACCCACGGTCAGCCCTTCAATTACCTAGCCCGACTAGTAGCAGGAAGATACTGTTGCTGTACGAAGGGCTCTCACTGGCAGAACGGAGCGTACTAAACCAGGGCCAGGGAAATTGTCCTTAATGCCTTTCTGGCGTCGGTTAAGCACCGGGGGTACTGATCGGTATCCCTGCGGGACAGCCCAGCGAAATAGTGCAATGTCTATACTTCTACTCACCCTACGAAGAACTGCGAGCTCGATACTGGTGTGATACCCAGTTGCATCCGCGTACCTGCAGCAGGCACTGGGAGATATTAAAGTGAAGTGAAATCGGCCTGGATCCTCTTGGATACGGGACGGCTGACCAACATGGCCACTTTACCCGAGCCAGGAGACCCTGCAAGTGATGACGACAACGACAATAACAGGTGCAGTTAGGTTCTCTTATGGTTTCCAACAGCGCCAATAAAGGGCCCCCAGCCATGGAAAAGGCCGGGGATGTCGTGGTTGCTAACGTCACTAGAAATCAATTATATCCTCCCTTTCCCTCCATTTGCCGTGTCGAACCGGCCATTCGTTTCCAATTCAACGTTCTACATGTTTCAATTGTGACGGGCGCTGGGGGCTACAAACGGTGGTCAGAAAACGCGTGGCGTGACAATCGTGTGGGAAACATATACTTTAACATCGTGAGACTTGGGATGATGGCAACCTGGAGACACCCGTTGGATTTGAGCAGTTTAACTTGACGGATTTAATTGATTCGAGCGTTTGACATGGCTTCTGCTCTCTAACTTCCATCTGTGTGTACTCACTGGCCACTGGGCTTTTTGGCCGTCGGCGACCCTTGAAGAGCCTTCTTCGGAGGGCTAGAATATGGTATAATGCTATTTCTCTCTTTCACTCCCTTTATATGCAACACAACTATTACTTTTCCTCTAAAATAACATGGGCTTATAGTCTCCAACATACAGTAGTAGAGCTACTCATACTGATTTGAGATATATATAAGCAGTTATAGCGGACTCTATCTTATATCCTTCATTTTAAAACTGACGCTGTTACAATAATTTCATGGAACTCTACGGCAGTGTGCCGTCGCAACTGAACGACTCCCGATATAAGGAATGAATGTGACAATGCGAACTACCTCATTTGTTTTCTTTCTCTGCAGTTCATGCAACTACGTTCAAAAATTACTCATACTAGTGTCAATGTATAGACATGCTTACGCTTCGAGATCAAGTATAAGAGCTAATCGGTGTTCTCTTTTTCTTGATTAATATTAACTCTCGAGTTCTTATGTAGGTCGTTCAGCAACATAAATGTTTTTTTTTTTTTTGGTTGCTTGGTTAGACTATCTGATAGCGTCAGAAAGTCTAACTATAGCTACTACTGGAGGAGAAACATTATATCTGCTATAAAATCAGGGGAATTGATACGTAGGGCTCTCTAATGGATTTGGATATGGATACGCATGGATATGCAAAGGACCGAACGGAAAGTGGCTCAAACTAATTTTATTGTCAAGGGCTGACTTAGACCCTCAGACATCGGAACAGGTATGTTCCGAAATTACCTAATCTGGTAATTCGTCTGAGGGCCTTTATTACATCAGCATTTCCATTGACACGAATCATCCAAAGACCAGGACCCAACTCATCTGCAACCGAGTACTCCTCTTCCATGCTATCCACCTTCCTTCGAATATCATTCCCGCACTACCCAACTTAGATAACATCAACATGGCCTTAACCATTCAATCCTCAATACTATTTCCAACGACCCTCAAAGCCTGCTCAATGTTCGCCATGCTCACCGGATCAATGGACGTCATCTTCGGAGCAGACATGATAACCTCTGCAGCAGGGCCTCTTCCGCTCGGATCCCCGGCCATCACGCTGCTAGACAGTCAGATTCGATACTTAGGAGCCATGTGGGCCGGGTATGGCGTGATGCTTTGGTGGACGAGCAATGATTTACAGACCAGAAAGGCTCCGCTAGACCTCCTTGCTGGTATCATGTTTGTTGGTGGGATTGGACGTCTGGTATCGGGGATGAGGTATGGGTTTAGTGCGAACTGGGTTAAGGGGGCTATGGTTTTTGAGTTGGTAGGGCCGGTGGCTATGTATATGCTTTGCTAGTGAAGATTGTGCTATTGATCTAGGTGATAAAGTGAGATGTCCCAGTATTATATATCAAGGCTTGATTCAGTGGACAATAGAGTTTCATATATGGAATCATTTCGCAGAATGCTAGATTGATTGGAATTTAATCTGGTGTCTATCTTGTATAAAACGTCAATTTCTCAAATTAGAATTACACCGATCCCAGCGATAAATAAATTCCTGGCAAGCGGCTAGAACAAGTCCTACAGAAACCAAGACGATCATTACCAGGATCCCTCTTGGGTAGCTATAAATAATAAGAAATTAGCATGTTAATACAGCACAACTGTATAGGTCCATACAATTCTGATGCTTCGTTGTGACGAAATATTTGTGCCCCTGCCATAAGACCACTTGTAGCGGTCATTACAACTAATAATAGTCAGTATGGGAACATTAGCTCAAGAGATGCGTCTTACACATTCTATAAGTTCATGTTAACAGTTTTCACTATCGGTGGACGGAATGACATACGCAACACTTATACTCCTTTCTGCCGCGCTTCTGCAGTTGATTTGGATCCACGCATTATGAATAGGATGATAGCCCACCGCCAACCCATTGACCAGAGTCCATAGAACGATTCGATTCCAACGACTGACATGTGGCTGAATAGTTCTCAGCAGAATGAGTGCAGTGAGATAGGCTGCAACAGCAATTATTACTATAAGACCATGTCTCCTTGTCTTATCACTCAACCATGCAAAGAGAAAGATGACAGGAAGGGTTGCGAAGCTTCCAATAGCAGCAAGGGCGTTTGATTCAATTCGTGAAAATCCCAACGACATTATAATACTTGGGGTATAGGTTATAAGGGGACTCCATGTGGAAAACACGCACGCGGTGGCTAGAAAATGTGGCCATTTGTGTATGTTGGTTAATGTTTTCCACACGTCCTTGGGGGAGATTTTCTCGTCATGAGCATTGTCATTGACTAGATTATTCGATTCCTCTTTCTGGTCGGGACTGTCATCACTCAGTGCAGTTTGCTGCCGCTTATTGCGGGTCTTCTCTTTTAGAAAAAGAAGTAGACATATGGATACCACAATTGAGAGTATCCCTTCAACTATGCGCAATCAGACATAGTCGGTCCATTATTCGAAGATACTAACCTAGGAAAATCCACTGCCATCCGGCAAGGTTACCCTTTCCATCCAGTTTAAGCAATGCCGCTCCTAGGAGCGGTGATACTGCGCTACCGCCAAACATACCGAAAAAGAAGACAGCGATGCGCTTTGTCAGTTGCTCCTTCGTATACCAAGTCGACAACGTATACATAGCGCCGGGAATAAATCCCGACTCAGTGAGACCGAGAATTGTTCTTGTGACGAGGAAATCCACGCGATTCTGAACAAATATTTGCATGCTCGCCACGGTCCCGAACGCCAATACCTGGGTGCCGATCCATCGTCGCGGTCCAACCTGTATAATCCCAGTTATACTTATTTCTTTATGAAGCAGTACTTGTTGGCTTCCATACCCGCTGAAGTATAAGATTCGAAGGGATTTCCAAAACCACGACTCCCATAAACATCAGCTGGTTCCCCAGGTTGATTGTATTCCGATCCACGGAAATAGTGTCCGCGAAGCCGCCAGTCAAGGCACTGCCGATATTGGTTCGATCTAATTGGTATACTGCGAAACAGATCACAAGCAGTGGAAGAACTTGGTAATCGGCACTTTTAATGGTTAGCTAGTTTTGTGGTAGTGGGGTTCTGGAGGATCACATTTTTCGAGTTTCATGAGAGGTGATTTTATGCCCACTGGGCTGAGAACTAGAGCGGGATTCGTTTTCTATATCCTGCAACATATTGAATCATAGAGGAGAAGGTTTCAGGTGGGAAAAATTTCTAGGAAGTCATTGTTTTATCTGGGGCGCTTTACAGGGACCTTGGCGACCAGATAGACCGTGAGAACCTTCGGGGAGATAAGACATATTTGACTCGCAGTTCCATTATCGACTGTTTGATTACAAGGCAGTTGGCCACCTGGTCGGAAGGGATTTTATAATGGCAAGAATACTGTTAGCGAAGAAATTGAGGGCGTCTGGATTCAGTACCTCGTCAATAGCTACGGCTTGTACACAGCGGCCTCGTTTAAAAATAGTGTAAGTATTCCTCCTCTGTCCGGGAGAATATCCATAATATATTTACATGCTAGACATCTGCATACACGGCTCAGCCAGGAATAAATAGCAGTACCATCGGATCTGCGTACAGAGCAGGTTTTTCTAGGAATTATCTGTATAAAAAAGGAGCGGGTATTGGAGCGGCTTATAGTAGCAAGGCAGGGTCAGAATAAACTGCAGCCACTAGCTTCTTTCCTGTGAAAATAGCCTATCGCGGAGCCACCTGGCGGAGATTTTTGTGTTAATAACTGCAGCGAGTTCTCCACCTGCAGGTGGGATAAAATGATCGACGGCAAGGGGTGCTGTCTGGTCCGGGACCGGACTAACAGCATGCTCCAGAGTCCGCACGTAGGGATTAAACTAAGGAAATTAATTATAACTTCTGTATAGTATGTTGTCAGCCACCTAATACTCCCTCGCCCACAGACCACGTTCCGTCTCATTGTTGAGGAACCAATACATGCTATAACCAGGATCTGCTATATCTAACAAACAGTGGTAGATCCAGCCCTAGGACTACATTTACCTAACCTTAGAAATAAGCAAATTGGATGATGGTGCCAATGGCGGAAAAGGTGAACAAATTATTTAGCCAATAACTTCTAAAAAACAGACAACCCTAGTACCGGTCCAACAGAGACTTTTCGGCCAGCCCAAGTAATGGTAAGCAACGTGACAATCTATGGCCGCGGTGGCAGCACCAACTATCCACCTCGGTGGAGAGCAACAGGATGCCGCAATAAGAACAGCTTTTTAACTAGTCTTGGTGGAAAAGCAGGACTCCCGCCTGGGGGTTGGCATTTATACCACGGCATATTTAATACGGTCACCTGCAATGGGCAGATATAGGGAAAATACTATCTTAGCGCTGGTGTTTACCCCCAAGGAGGAGACAAGAGGCCATGGGGTCCTTTGTTGAAATAAAAGTGTAAATTGGAACTGACAGAATGAGCTCCGACATGAAATAAACAGAGCGGGGCATGCCGTGACTATTGGACCTTCCCTCTCGAATCGACGGGCCAAATTTCCTCGATGACACCTCCCCGATGAGCGTAATAGAAGTCATGCAGATTCACCGTGGGGTCGATATGACTCGGAACCATCTCAACACGATCACCCACTGAAAGCGGCGGTGTACCATCTTCCCAGCTGAGCGAGCCATGCTCGTCACCAAGAACTCCATAACTATATCTGGAGTCCTTGCACTCCGCTAACCCACTGTCTGTTGTCAACGACTTCAAACCGCTATCAATCGTCACCGATCGGGGACCTTGTTTGCTGAGCACCGTTGACAAGATAGTGAGACTGTACGAATAAAATGAACCCACAGCCCGTTGGTAGTCCGTATCCATGAAGATGAAAGACCCAGGTTGGAGCTCTGTCACGCCGGGCACGGTGGCACAGAACTCTGCGGTGCCTGTTCCACCGGTGGTGACCACTTCGATGTTAAAGCCTGCGTTGCGCAGCGTGTCCGCAGTACCAGTCAGGATCTTCATAGACTGCAGACATTGAGTTTTCCGGTCTTCCCTATCATGCACATGCTGCAAATGACCCTCGTAGCCTTGCACCCCAATCAGCTTCAGATGCTTCAGTCCGTCGATATGTCGCGCCAGGGCCACGGCCGAATCTCCCGGCTGCACTCCAGTCCGATGAAGTCCAACGTCGAGATCGATCAACACCATGATCGGGTCTTTGATGCCCGCGTTCTCCAACGCCTCGTTGATGGCAGTTGCACCGACTTCGCTGTCCACCACGATCCTAATCTTTCGATGTTTGCGAAACAATTCCACCAGTCTCTTGACTTTGGCTTCGCCGATGATCTCGCACGTAATGAGCAAGTCGTCAAATCCAGCAGCGGCAATCACTTCTGCCTCGCTTACTTTGGCTACGCAGCCTCCCTTTGCGCCCGCAGTGGCCATCTTTCGCGCGAGGATCGCGCTCTTGGTTGTTTTGAGATGAGGGCGGATATCGAGTTCAGTAGGTAAGAGCTTGTCCATCAGCTTTTTTATGTTGGCCTCGACAAGATCGAGATCCACGATCATGGATGGCGTATCTAGCTCATCGATCCTGTTGCCGACCTCGGGGGAGTACATGTTGAGTTCAAAACGGAAGTCTGAATCTATGAGATTCAGAGCTGTTCTGCTGTCTAGTGTGTCTGTAAAGGTTTCGGTCGGGAAGAGCGGGGTCGCAATTTATAAATTTGCAAGAGACGCAAGGGGGATAGATTCTGGCCCTTAAATCAGGATCAACAAAGCCCCCTCATACCGTAACATCCAGATCGTAACCCGCTGAATAACTGCAATCGGATGCTGGGATTTAATTCGCGTGTTCTTGTATCTACACCCACGCTGACAGTGTTAGTAGGTGTACCCCCGCGCTAATGAGGAGTGGGGGTATCTTTCACAGAATGCGGGGCTATTTTTGCCTGAGAATATAAAAGGTGAGTTAGTTATTGCTAACTAACTATGCCTTACGCTGATGTCATGCTTACCCCCTGGCTGCACTAGTCATTTTGAGCCTTCTCTTCTGGTGTTGTAACAATATACTGTCTGGAATTACTTTGGAGTATTAGACCTCGAGTATTTGCTTAATAAATCAATAATATATTAGTATATGGCTATACAATACAGAGACGAGAATTCACTGGTTAGATCGGTGTTATTTGCATAATTGTTTGAACTAGCTCTCTGCCCTAGGATGTTCTCTCAATCTGGCACAATATGTACAATATATGCAAGGCTAATTAAAGACTAAGAACGCCAAATATCAACTAACCGTAAAAGCTAAAGTTCTAAAACTAGCTCACAAGCATAACAGGGTATTGGCTATGATAAGTGCTCAAACAGATCGATCAGAGAAATTTGGAGAAATGGATAGAACAAGGTAGGATAGACATTGTGTGTGCAGATATTAAGGCAGCTGAGGCATACACTCGTGCTACATCGAGCTACAAGGATGCCTGTCTGCTTGCGTCTATTTGAACCACGTAGAATGAATTGAAAGAAGGATAGCATTAATGGATATCACTCTTCCGTCGTTTCGTGCCAGCTTCCTGGCTGCCATTACCGACAGTCATTCTTGCTCGGTTCAGGGTCAAGAACGGGTTGGGTTATACATACGGGATTTCAGACATTTCCTGGGAATTAGGGGTGCTATAGCCCCCGGGAATATTTATGTCAATTGGTTCATTGTTCACCAAGCAATTCCTGGAGCGATGCTCTTGTTTATCTGGTGTCTCCTTCTCAGCTGCTGGCTCGATCTCAGGTCCTGGTGAAATCAAAGTTCCAAGGGCTTTTTTCCTGGGTCTTCGAGGGCACGTTGGGTTCTTTGTCAATTGAGGGCCATCTGCTCTCTTGCCCAATCCGCTCATAATCCGTGAATAGGCGATGGCGCAGTATATAAAGCAGTACACGTTGCACGCAGCAGGCACACTGTATAAGCACCATAGCACTAATGCCGAAAGGAGTTTCAAATGAGTTGTCGGGGCCAACAAAAAATTAACCAGAAATTCTATATTCTCCCAGCCATCAATGAGGATCAACATGCGATCCCCAAAATAGGGCCACATCCAGTACATGGCTTTGCGGATCGACTCCCTGCCAACCCTCATGCGACATTCATATTTAAAATAATCGAAATCAGTCACGTAAATCCATGCTTTCAAGCGTATCCGGAGACATGCTTGACATGAGCTACCACCGATGTCCTCATTGGAGTGGCATTGAGCGCTAGGGCATCTGAGATGACTGAATGCATCCCCTCCAAGAAGATCAAGTCTATCCGTCCAGAAAGGAGAAAGCCGAAATGCCTCGTCATAAGGATTGTGTTTCAGCCAGCTGAACCAACTAGCAACGATCTCTAAGGCCTCATGGTTTTGTCCGGTAAAGTATTCTCTGTGTACCGTGAAGCACTTGCAGTCGAATGAGTACTTCATATTCGTGAGTTCAGCTTGCGCTAACGACTCCAAACGGCCGAACCCTCGAATTTTCCGCTCTCGGGGTACGACATCTATCAATTCGAAGGTGTAATGTTTGCACTTTTGGAGCCCTTGTACGCGCCTCATTGCGGTTTTGGATCTTCCCACTTTGAAATATCCTGCCTCGTTTTTCGGATCTCCATATATATAGGCCTGGCCCTCGTTTTCTAGTTCCGTCTTCGTGGCGTCTTTTAAAATGATATCTTTGATTTTCATTTCCAGCTTCCAAATTGGTAATGGCCCTGCGACGGGTGAGGGAGGAGTCGCGGGAATTGCGACTGTATCATGGTCCCTTGGAGAAGCACTGTCATTTGGAATGTCCGATGACGGTTCTGGAGAGCTCCGAGGTGTGTTGTGAGATGCTGTAAAGTGATATTTTTTAGCACACTGCCAGCCACTGATTGAAATGACCCAAACCTCGTACCATTCTCGATTGTAGCGAGGTCCGATTCTTCGACATGCTCAATATCATCCCGCATTTCTACATTATCATCTCCAGAAAGAGAGGAATCTCTATCATGACGCCGGGTCTTTTTAGGCTTCAATTTGTCCGCAGGCCGAGGGGAGGGCGATGGACTGTTATCAGCTAGTTGACGAAGAGGTCCACGAAGAACCTCCATACTTGAGTCGTCTAAGTCATCAGAATCGTATATAAGTATGGGGTTGTCGATAGAACTACCCGAATCTGGTGGGGTCACTACACTGCGGTACAAAGTAGTCAAGGGCGGAGTTTTCGGCGCCGTTTCGTCGGACATAATGGATTCTTCGTGTCGAGTTGGGTTTATTAGAAGAGGCAAAGAATCTAGCCTCGGGGGCAGTCGCTCGAGAATATGGAAGAAATATGAGCTTCCAGCTGCGCCGCACAACTCCATTTCCATGTCTGTCAGACTCAGCTCAGCCTCTTATATAGCTAACAACACAGCCCAAGCGCTCAAGGCTTCGCCGCCCGCTTAATTATGGATCGAGACACCCCATTTCAAGCGCACATGACACTATCAGGACCGGAGGCCGTTTAGCGCCGAAACCCCTGTCAGAACTTGCAGTAGTTCAAACACATGGATGGTCATCTGTGGCTCGAGCGTTCGCGGGATTGGGAATCACCCGTTTAGCGCCCCGGAGCTACTGCATGCACACTGCCTCCTGTGTTTCGATTTATAGGGGGTTGGCCTTTTTGGTCCCAGTCTGCTGGCGTTAGGCTTGGGCGCTCTCCTAGTGATTCCGTGGTTCTTGCTGGTCTGTGCAGGTTAATCTTTCGAGGTCGTATGAGTACTGAAGGGCGGTAGCCAGAAATGGAAAGCACTCACCTGAGGTAAAGTAGTTGGTGCTGAGCTTTCTTTGCTAGCTTATAGTCGTAATGGCTCGGACCTTCTCCAGGCGCTTGGGGGCGAGCCAATGTGGTAGGCAACAACCATACTGTAGCTAGTGCTAGTGGCTGTTGAAAATGGGGGCGCTGCATGCATAAGGTACTTAGCAAATACTTTTGCTTCAATACTGGTGACCGAGAGGCGCAGGTATCGAGGATGAAGTGCAGTTTCTAGCTGACGATATGTATACATTTAGTAATAAACTAAATAGCGGCTCATAAGACAGCAAGATCATAAAAATGAATGCTTGAATATTGGGCGCATAATCAAATAGACATTAATGTAACGCTTGATAAAGTAGCATGCATCAAGGCAAAACTGAAGAGGAAATCCATGTCTATATAAATGACGTCATATGTTTCCGGGTCACCAATGCCTGTTAATCATCCTTCTGTTTCGTGCTTTTCCTCGTCTGTAATAGACTCGGGACCAAATATCATTTTTAATAAATTGAAGAATTTTCTTGATCCTCCTTGGTAGAGTACTGCATGTGTGGCTTAAATCATCATTACTTCCAATTCACCACTCTTTCAAAATCCGCTCCTCCTTCTCTGCAAGCTTTCTTTGCACAGGTTCATCCTTCTCTTTTATTTTTCTCTTGTGAAAGTAGTTCACGTCGATCATTCAGATCCCCTCCAAAGAATCGACGGTAGATTCTATCCCAATATACTATATCCAATACACAATTATATACCCAAAAATATCCATTTTCCCAGCTCTATTTCATATGACTCGCGAGACTTTCAGCCGGATACCCCGACTGGCTGCACTTTCTTCGCGTTTCTCAATTTCCTGTAAGAATACCTCTAGCCGCTGCTCATACTCGCGAGCCCAATCATCTAGTCCTTTCTCCCAGTATTCAGGACGCTCAAGAAGAAGTCAGAATGGTGGACTAGAAGCAAACTCTAGAGTGGTAACATACAACAACTCCCAGCCTATCGCCGCTACGGCTCTATACTGAGCATTTACCGGAACATTTGCGGGACCCAGATCATCACATATAGACATGAACGGGCCATAATTGTAGCGACAAAGTCAGTTTTCTCGAGCAAATTTTCGAAATCGACACAGGTAATGTATTTCTGTTTACAGTCTTCTGCGGAGTGGATAGCATCGTTGCGTTGTGTAGTCAGGTGTAGACAGGTGAGTCATGTGCATTACCGCGAGGGAAACGAAATATGCAGAAGCTGTTGTAAAGTCTGCGTTGGCCGCGTGAGAAGATGCTGAGGGAAGTTGCCAAGTTGAATAAGTTCATTCATGTTTGAACGTCCATGTATGGCAGGTGATAATTCACATGCCATCAAAATTATCATCCTCATTGTTTGATATGCGTCCAATCATGTCGAACGAGTGTTTTGTTAGTTGAAGTATAATATCTCCCATGCCTCCATAGACAAACTGAAGTCTTTTTTTGGAAATATTGGGATCGGGAATCGGCCGCCCATTGTCAGAGATACTAGGAGTATTAGAGCATCTACAAAGTCAAAGACACTTTCAATGTATTCCATCACGATAAACGCGCCTAGCCCAGCGGGGTTTTCTTCACCTATTCTATCGAACAGAAGATGCAGAATTGAAATGGAGGTATGCCGCTGGATAAAGTGTAATACCGAGGCTTCATTACTTCATGCGAAATATCAGGTTAAATGAACCTTTTCGTTGAGCAAAGTTCATGAGCAGCTCGACACGGTAGTTTATAATTGTTCTCTCAGTCTCTCGGAATACATCTTCGTTAATGACTTATCCAGGCTGAGAAGATTTCGTCGCTTCTAACACAGGCAACTTCGTCAAACCTCATACACATCTCCATTATAATAAGGTCCACCATGATCGAGAACCAAAGCCGAGTAGGATGAACTAGGACAGGATACCCAGAGAATATTAATGTCTGGAGAGCAGATGATTAAGGGAAAACGCAGCTTATCTTGGCTTTGAAGTCCTGAGATTTGCCTCTTCTAGATACCTGTCATTGTTTAGCGCCAGGAATGTGAGCAGATTGCGGGGGATACAATTTCATTTAGCGCTTCGGCTGACCAAGTGCAGCTGCGAATCCAAAAATGCTTACAAAAAGGTGATTTAGAATGAGATAATCATTTCCATGGTCCTTCAAATTCAGTGACTTGGATAAGCAGTGTGGAGAGTATACTATCGCTCAAATACACCTCCATATTTAAATTTGGCCGCACTAGATTCCCTGTATACCACCTGCCACTCCATCATAGCCCTGATAATGTTGAAACCCCTAGCTATACGCTACTAATGCGGCTCACTAAGAGCCTAAGTTTTAGTAGTGAAGAAATATTCTAGCGGGGCATCTTCTGTCCTGGTTGGGACGGGATGTAGCTAAATTCATTCGAGTGAAAGCCAGAAATGTCTCCCAGAGAAATCGATTCACATTAAAACTGGAAAAATCGGAGAGATCATTTTATGGGCTTCGTCTCTATTAAACGACGACCTCAATAACGCTCCTAGAACCGAGAAAGTCCGCGATAAGCTGGACAACTTGCCGAATTCTCTGATCAAAGTATACGACCGAATATTAAGCCGGATTGAAGAGGATGCCGTCGACGATGCCAAACTTGTGCACTGGGTAATCCTTAGTTGGCGACAACCTACCCGATTGGAGCTGGCAATGATATGGACCTTGGACAAGGAAAGAGGGAAAGAAAGCTCCGCTCCAACGCGTTCGTTCTTGGAAGAACATCAACACTCCTACAGGAACTGTGGAACCCTTGTTTCGTTGGATGATAACACCGGCCTTCTTTATCCGATTCATCCATCGTTAAAGAATTACTTATTCTCATACCACCCGCCATCCAAGTATATCATCAATCCGAATGAGATAAACTCCGGATGTTTGAAATTTGCTGGCGATATCTCAGTATGGAGCTCAAGCAAGGCACGTAGATAATCGCCTCCGGACGAAAAAGTGAATTATATTATCCCTCCGTACCTGTGCAGTTTCTGATTGCACACTGCTTTCTCCGATACTGTAGTGTGGAATGGCAAATGTACGCAATAGCGGCAAGTCCCAGTGTGGCCACCAATCCAGGATGCGTTGCCATCACGTGGGGAAGATGCCAACCATCTGGCATACGGTTGCTCCGAGTTTCCGAGAGCGGGCACGAAGAGGTGGTGCGTATGCTGCTCGAGATTGGCGCGGATGCCAATGCTGTCGCCGCTGCTAATGAGACGGGGATGGGAGCCAAACAAACATCACTCCGACTGTTACTAGAGAAGGGAGCGCACATCCACCTGAAGGAAGAACAAATGACCACACTAGACCTGGCAACAAAAACTGCACACAAGGATGTTGCGCAACTGCTGCTGGAGGAAGGTGAGAAACAAAGGGAACCGAAAGAGACCGTATTGAATTTGGCGGCAAAGAAGGGCCACGTGGAGGCTGTCCGGCTGTTGTTAGAGAAAGATACACACGACATTCCAGAGGGAAAACAGCGACAGCACTGCACCGGGCTGCAGAGTATAGACGCAAGGCAGTGGTGGAGCTCCTGCTCGAGAATTGTGCAGAAGTCAATTCAGAGAAAGAGGAAAGGGAGGGCTACTCCGAGTCGAAAAGTCATGCGGAGAAGAACGACGACAAACGAAAATGACAGCATTACACTGGGCCGTTATGAACAGGCATGAAACTGTGGTGCACCTGCTGCTGGAGAGTGGCAAATGTCAGTGCCAGTGCAGTGCAGGTGGTGGAAGCTAAAGAAGAGGAGGAGAGCTACTGCGGTTCAAGGAGAACCATCACAAAATACATTACGACCAGATAAAGGACGACACTGAGTCTGCAGTCACGGGTAGCGATAAGCACGGAGTAGAGCGGCTTCTGCTAGAGAACGGTGCCAATGTTAATGTAAATGAGAGGGAGGAGGTAGTACAGATGAAAGAGGAGATGGATGAGAGGGAAGGCTGCTGGAACTTGAGAAAGACAATAACAACAAGAACGAGAACTGCGCTGCACTTGGCAGTCCATAATGTGCCTGAAAATGAGGGGCTGGCGGAGCTGCTTTTCGAGAAGAGGGGTATAATCAACGCGGAGGACCAAGAGGAGATAGTCGTGATGAAGGCGAGAGAGGGTTACTGGGGAACCAGTGAGAACATTATGAAATGAGCAACTACCAAAAGAAATCAAACGGCGTTACATTTGGCCATCCAAAACGAGGATAGGAATGAGGGGATGGTGCGGCGCCTACTTGAGAAGGTTGCTGTTGTCGACGCTGTGGTAGAGGAAGAAGCCGAGGGAACGAGGACAAGAGAGACAGCCATACGTCTGGCAAACAGAATTAGGTACGTGGATATCGTGAGACTGCGTCTTGAGCATGGTGCTAGTCAAGATTTGGAGGAGGGTGAAGTGAAAGAAGAGAGACATCAGGGATCAAGAGGGGAAAGCACTCAGTTAGCTCTGCGCATGGCTACTGAAGACAGGCATGAGACGGTAGTGCAACCACTTCTTCCTCTAAGTCTCCAAATGTGTTGCAGAAGCTGAGGAGCAAGTTCAAAGGTTGATTTCGAGATTGAATGTGACCTAGTGCAGATAACAGCGACATTAACGACAATATGGAGACAGCTTCAGGCAAAAAGAAAAAAAATGTCTTGATCAGTTCTAATCCAAGTAAGCTAACTCAGTTTACGGCCTGTCTATCACGGATTTAAGAATTCGTTATAAAATATAGGATATTGGAATACAGATCAAATTCTATAACACCCTGTACGTATATCTGACGCAATGGTAGAATAATATATCACCCCACTAGTACTTTGCTAATAGCCTGTATGTCATTTATATTAAGAAAAGCAATTCCCATGGGAATATGGGACGGGACTAAAACTCGTCCGGTAACCCGAATCCCGTCCCGACGATCAGCCTACATCCATGATAGTAGAATGCATTATAATCAAGACTGAGTTTAGAGCACCAGAATGGATCATCCGGCAATACCTCTAATCCTCCAGCATGAGAATTAAGATGGCCATGCTGTATTTCGACCATGCTTACACAGACATAAAAATTGTGAAGGCCATCCGACTGCAGTAAGACAATCCATAACTTGAATTCAAGTTATGGCCAAGTTATGGGTAGTTTATTCGGTCCAGATTTGCCTGGCAAGCCAAGCCAAACAATATAGATAACACAAGTCACACAAACGTGAAGCACTACTTCCAACAACGTCATCAAAGTCTGCGAAAAGGGGACTTGCAGTCGAATAGAATGAATCCACCATTAAAAATCGATGAAAATCCCTAGTTTTGGCGATTCTGAAGACATGCTAGGCTACCTTCGCAGTGGGCGGGAAAATAAGGGGAAAACAAAGACAAACAAAGGTGAGATTTGCACACGTCCCCTAAGGGATACGATGTCATCCAGGCGGACTTACTAAGGAGAAATTATGAGGTGGATGGTTATGATTGAATGGTTGGTTGTTATGATCCTTCGCTCAGGGGAAGGAATCACTGTACCAGCTACACGCCGGTAGCCTACTAGGGAGAATAATAATATCAACTGTATTGACTGCACGGCGAACGCGATCACCGCGTGCTCTCTCTCCCTATCTCTAAATTACTATCTAAAGGAATGGAGGTGATTCAGGGGGAATGACGCTACGCGCTCGCGAAGGTAATCGGATCCCAAATCACGGATATTTCTCTGTTGTAGCTGAGGAGTTTCGACTTCGCCTCGGATGACGTAATTTATAATTTTGGTGTAACTACATGTTAAGGATAACAGTTGGAATAGGAAAAGATAGAAAAAAAAAGAAAAAGAAAAAAAAAGAAACAATAGGAATGCAATTTATGCGCGACACCTACAGGATAAAAGGAATTAAAAAATGTGGACACGATCTGAACGCTCCAAAAAGATAAAAACGACAAGGACGCGATTTGAACGCGCGACCCCTAAGGGATAAGATTTCGTCCAATGAGGATTCAAGTCTTACGTCTTAACCACTCGACCACCTTGCCAAAGACAAAGTGAAGTTTTTATTATTTCCATATATTTGAATTTCATTTACTCTAAACCTATACAATTGGACTTGTAGTCGTGTGGCTTAATACTGATCGTCGATGCCCATACTGTCCATGAGTAAGTTTATACGTGTTCTCAAATATCTCGTAGTGTAGCCATGGCTGGGGCCTGGGATTTTCATGAGGCCCTTGTTGTCATCATTCTCGAATCTAAAGGAAATACCTTCAAGCGCAAATCTATTATTTTCCAGTCTCTTAATAGAATTCCGCGTCAATACCAAAACAACAACCCACCGATGCCCCTCTTGATCACTCTCAACAAGCTTTTTGTAGACCATCCTAGCAGCTGTACTATGTCTTTTCAGGTTCGAAAATATCTCCGTTCAATAGTGGGGAGGGAGGCCGGAAGGGGGTCATGTATGCTCGCGGTATGAATAGACTGCATCAGGCTTAGACGGGCTGGCTGATTCGCAATCAATAGCTACAGGAGATGCCTTTTCAGCAACTATCTCTAGAATGATATAAAATGTGACAGTTTCAAGGAATGGGACTCCCGGAAAACAGAGAAATGAGTTGAGTTTCTGCAATAGTAGAAGCAGCAAGGATAGTAAAGTTGTACAGCACGATAACAGTTGAGCCACCATACCCATTGATTTTCTTTCCTTTGCCAAACTCAACAGAACATTCGCCTGCTCGTACAAGGCTGGTTTTCCATATACTAATACCCGGTTCCATCCATACTCGGTATGTTAGTAAATAGTACTATGGATTAGTATGAATTCAATACCCGTCCATAATGCTTGGCATTACTTTGTAGACTTACAATATTATCGATAATACAAGATAATCATAGATAGTTCTTGGCATTACAGGTCTATTACTGTAAATTTGGTTTTTAAACCTCCATGTTTCTAAATTTAGTCTAAATGTAATAATAGTGTAGCGGATAGTAGATAACTATAATATTTAAATATTATTAAAAATTTACAGAAAGATCTTCAAAGTTGGCCGAGTTCTAAGGGGTTGATTTGTTGAATAATAGTACAATAAAATTAATGGGGACAAGTATTCCATCATATCCATACTACATAATTCAGGTTAACGTTCGTACTGAGTGACAAGCTTAATAAGACTTGTATGGAAAACCAGACTCGTACGGTGTACACATGTCACATCAATAATCAGCGACGTTCCACACCACACTAAAAGACGTTGGCAGCCATCTACGTCCGATCCTTGGGTGTATATGCCCATTGATAGTGCAGTTTAGCTATTTGCTCAGTTAATTGAGGTCTTTTTTGCGCTCTCCGGTGGCCATACCCCGATTCTTTCAACATGGGCGCAACAGTGCGTGCATAAATAGGCTTGTCAAGTAATTTGCAGATATCTGTCAAGGGCTAAACCTCTATAACCTAATAACTAGGGTGGATACAAAAGGAATCGTCGAAGAGGAAAGAGAAGAGGAAACAGCGATGAGACGATTGCGAGATAGGGGGGAAGAAGTCACATGATAGAGTGTACTAATCAATATACTAATCATGTGGCAGGCGAGGAGAAAGGAAACACGAGGGCTGAGGGCCCGAGTAGGCTAAGGGGCTCTAGCCCCTTGCAATATCTTCTGTTTTAGTAAAGGGATCCCACTTAATTTATAAAAGAATATATCGTTTATCAACAGCAGAAAGGATCCCTGGCCGTCCGGAGCGAGGAGAACTAGCCCCAGTAGTAGAGGTCTGATATGTTTCAATGGTTGTTTGAATAATTGTATATAGCAAATTCAACGCGCGTTGAATATCAGCCTTTTTCTGGCCTGCAAGAAATCTACCAACTATAACTCCGGGCTGCAATGGTTTCAATCTCTGTCTACTGGTTTTATTAGAACTAGTAGACCGTAGAGGAGTGCGAGGCTTGATCTAGGTGGTTGAAAAGATAAAGCATAATATTGGGTGGCATGTCGCGTGGCGCGGAATTTCATAGACTTTTGTCATGTGACCGTAGAACCCTCATACACCCATAGTATCCGTGTTTTATCTTTCTCTTTTTCTTTCTTTTCTGTTTTATGGAACAAAAACCAATCTTCATATAACGTCCATATGGCACTCATCTTTGGTCGAACTGCGAGCGTAGCCTTTCATTTAATAAATGTTGCCGCATTCGGCGTGATCCAGCATTAGTATGCCTGTATCATTACCCAGCCATTGATTTGCATGAAGAATAATCTCAAAAAATAGGTTGCCAGCATTCACCAGCGGTGCGCAGATAGGGACTATAAATATGCTTTGATAATTTTGCTTGAACTGCCCTTCCAGATTCGAGCTTATGAAGGGATAACTTCTGTAATCGCGACAAAGCAGATCAAAAAATAGTTCTAGAGAATTATGTGTAAATGAGGTATCTGTCCTGCACAAGGTTCCATATAATAGCCAGAACATGACCTTCCAAAGAATATAATTAGCTAGGCTATTGGGTATATTATACTGCAATTCCTCCTCAGGTCGAAACAACTCCATTTGCTAACACTACTTCTAGTGTATTCTGGTAATTCCTTCCAGTTTTTTTTAGTACAGTCTGAATGGAATACATTTATTCAAAAAGCATATAAAGATAAATCTATGTCGTCATTATTACCTTAAGAATTAGCTTCAAGGCAAAGTTAAGTCGACACACCGCTGCGGAGAGTCGTGGGAGAAACCGACTTATGCGTTGTACGATTCTGCTGCTCGTTAGATCTACTAAGCCAAAGAAATAGAATAAAGGTGCTTGCCTTGAAGCTGAATATTAGGCGAAATATCACCCTGCTAACTCGGCTGGATGCGCACCAGGCACACTGTCACCATTCAATTCAGACACACCTGTACCATCTAGCTGGGGCTTATCATAGGTGCGAGAATCCTTTATTGCAACAGGTGCATTTGAAACTACGTCACGTTGAGCCCTGCGACGCCTCCTAAAAAAAATGATTGCGGCCATCCCAAAAAGGATCGCGGGTATCCCGATCCCAAGGCCAATACCCAATCCTAATTTCAGCTGCTCTGTATTTGACTGGTTTCCTGTTTGATTAAATAGTGTCGTAGTTGTTGCACTAGCAGTACTGGCTGGGGCCGAGGTTTTCTGCGTTGCTGATGTCGACTGAGTTGCTGATGTCGAGGATGAGGCGCCAACAGTTGCTGGCAAAACAAATCGATCCGATTGAGCACAGCAAGAACTGGGAGACATAGAGCCGCAGCACCATGATTGATCTTCAAGGCATTGAGTCATAACAACGTTGCTGCTTGCATTACCATTAGCAACCTATGAGCAGGGATTGGTCAGTATGTATGATAAAATGGGATTAAGTTCAATCATCATGTTACGGTTGAGATTGTGGACCTACAGATGAATTTGTGCAAATTCCCCGCAAGCAAAACGGACTTGTCCAAGTTGGATCGGTACAAGACTCGCGCCAAATCGCCCCTCCTGATTCCGAATTGCATATTCCATCTAGGCGGCAGGGATTGGAGCAGAGACCATTCGACATGCATGAATCTACCGTATATGAGAGCCTTCCCGATGTTGCGCAGCACATGGAATGTGTTGTGTTCGATCGGCAGGGCTGGAATTCGCTGGATTCAATTTTGGTGCCATCGGGATTGTAACAAGAGGTGGCGGCCATGCGATGTGGGAAAAAAAAAACTAAGAACCCAATTTTTAAAAGTGAGTGTATCCGTTGCATTATGCTCTTCCGAAAATAGTGCACAGAGTGTTTTTGGACGGCGGGTGATTCTGTGAAAGAGGGAGTGGCAGAGGCGTGGGCGTCTATTTATTACAAATGGAATGATAATCGAAACTAACCCAATATAGTCCTTGCGCGACACAATTGGTTTGGAGAAACCGCCGGCCCCTCCCGAAGAATGCGGTTGATCTGCCTCAATTTCACTGGAATGGCGCCCGATAGGTCCGCCAGCGTATCTGGGGGGTCTCATGTTACCTATACAGTCAAAATTGTTATAGACTACAGTACATCCGGTTGTTGGCACCTCTAAACTTGGCCAGGGAATGAATGGCGCTACTTCATTCATCTTTTCTTTTCTTTTTCGATAAATATTTAGACAACACACGGATATAGATTAGCTTCAGTTGGAGGGCACAATGAAACTGACACAAATCAAAAATAGCCGGTGAAAAAAAAACATACAACAGCATTAGTATGATTGTGCTCACCCAAACCCCTCGTGGGCGTCCCGCCGCTTTACGCGCCTCTTCAGGGCCCTCTTCAGTGACCTGAATAATCTTCACCTGAAGAGCCAGAAGGTGCTTTTGAACATTTGCGCTAATTTTGAGACAGCCTTCATATTTAACAGCATGGAGCCGTCATTTTGTCTTCGCTCTTTCTCACCACATTCTAGTCTTCAGGTGGAATATAAATACCTCTACAGGTGGTTGTCTTCTCTATCAGCTGCATATCAGAAGCATTACTAGCGATGTTACCTGAAGGCTTCAAGGTGATCAATCTCGACAACCATGATAATTCCGAAATACAACGATCTGTCCTAGATCGTACTGAAAGAGAATATGATCGAGTCCTTAGCTATTTTGATATGTAGGAAACCATCCGTTCTAACATGGTTATCCGCTGCTGATTATGCCCAGGTTTGTCACAAACCACCCAGGTGCTGTCTCACCGCCAGATATCCGAACTTACAAAGGGTTTATGGAATTCTTGGCGATGAACCTGAAAGGCCGTCTTAGTGAAGACAAAACGCCAGTTCTGAGTACTCTTGAAGGCAAGAGAAGAGATTTAGACGCCGGCCTTGCTCGGCGGCGGAATTACAATGTTCCAGAGCATGTCAGTACGACAATCAGGGAGGTTAGTAGGCTTGTGCTTAAGGAAAGTCAGTAATCTAACCCGGTTATGTAGTGGCTTAAGAAGGACCTGAACCGGTTGATACACATCCCTGATATTCAAATGTCCAGAGACGGGTTCTCTCGAAACGATCTTAGAATCGTCAAGAAGCACCTTTGGTGCCAGGACGCCTATGAATATCGTGGAAAATATCCGGAAAGGACTAGAGTGGAACTCAGTGCGTCAATGCTCTTATACTGCTTTACGTCAGCTAGAACAGGTGAGGTGCACGAGTCTACAGCTCGTCGGAGTCTGGCCCGCGAACGTGGGGATCAAGACGCTGAGAAGAACCTACGCGCGGCTGTGATGGCAGCGTGCTACAAAGTATAAACACCCTCCCAAATCTCGCAACATACTAATTGCGTTATAGCATTTTCGACTCTGTATTGAGTGGGTTGAGGGCGAAGTCATGCTTGTCCTGAACTACAGCCGAGACTACCTCAAGGGGTACTGGAGGAAGCAAGAATCGGACCTCCCAATACACGGCTTCTATGAGAAATATACAGAGGAAATGCCAATTTTCCTTAACCTTCTGACATTTTTCCTACCTTTAGCATTTGCTGATCGAGCCTTCCGTGACTATGAATCCGTAGACGACATCCTGGACGAAGTGGAGTTGCTTAGCGGTACTCTTCAAGAGGGGGAGGATAAAGTTATCGACACAATTCATTTTAAATCTGATATACTGGAGACGCCGGTATTTCGCCCTCGAGATGAGCAAGCTATCAAAGCTTCTACCGGGAGGGCTAGAGGAGCAGACGCGTTTGGTAAATTGTTTGCTGCACTTGGACACCGGGCCGGCTATCCTGACAATGTTACTGTCCGAGCTTGTCGTCGATCGGCACTTATGGAGGCTGGTAAGTATTCCTTCTTTGTATAGCGGCTAATACTAAGATATAGCAGACAGGAACCACTCAGAGACAGCCCGCATGAAGTTTGCCGGACAGACAAAAAGGGATACTTTTGGAAGATCATATGCTCACCGTGTTGTTGAGATCGATGGAGCCGCTTCATTCCTTGGAATTAAAAGCCGACGTGATCATATTGATAACCACCGCAGCATGGGCGTACGCCGTAACCCTCAGCTCTACCAATCTCTTCCAGCTAAAGCAGAACTCGAGTTCCAGGACCGTGTCGACATCGTTCAGCTTGATATCAAAATTCAATCTCTCAAGAAACAGTTAGCAGGGTTAGACAAAGAAGAGGCTAAGCCTATACAGCAGCAGCGGCGCCGTCTTGAGAACCAACGGCAGCGGCTTTATCTAGACGAATTAGCCTGTGTGCGGCGGGATCAAACTCGTCAGCTGGGTTTCCAGCCTGGCAGTGTGGAGAGGACACTTTTTTACTATACGCGAAAAGTCATGCCGGAGCGTGACATGCTGGCTGGGATCCTCCCTACTATGGTCGAACTACGCAGTCCCACCGGCCGTATGGCGCTCCGCGCATTGGAGGCTATCTGCTCGCAGGAGGTTTCAATTTGCTACCTTTCTAGCCTTACACCTATTGATGGGAAGTGCATCTGTGGCGAGCTAATTGAGAAGTAAGAGCTCCTTGCATCTCCCCTGCCACAGAATATTTACATGGCTAGATACTACCCCCATCGGCGATGGTTACATCTGTACCGTTGCTACGCTAAACGCCTTTCCGCTATGAGTCCTAACAATTTCGCGGAACTTTGTGTTGAGTGTGACTTTTGGTATAATGATGACGGGAAGTGGACCCAGCACTGTGAAGATCATCTTAGTGAGAGTCAGAAATTACTTCGTTGTGACCCGATTATGTTTCGCAATGCCCCAGTCAAAGCCGGCCTCTGTCCATTCTGCCTGGGAGACGAGATTTTAGGTCCTTGCAAACGGATGACACAGTATCTTGATCGCAGTGATTGGTACAAGCATGTTCAGTCCCATCTCAGTTACCGGGCGCTGTCAGGAAGATTTCATTGCCGCCACCCTGCCTGTCAGGAAGACTTTCACAACTTGGCGGACTTGGAATGCCATCTCCGGGATGTGCACTTCTACAACCCTCCGCGCGGAAAAAAACGAGTTATGCGTCCAGCAGACGTAGAAATCCAGACGGGGACTAGCCATCCCTAGTTGTTAATATTTGGCCACAGTGAAGGAGAGTTTTTCATGTACTGTTGTTGGATAATCACCTCTTCTATCTATTATAGATAAGATTATAACTTGCTACTTTCTTTCTTATCTACTATAATTAAGCCAGCATGTCCGTGCATTCACTACTCACAGTTGTGTATAGAGTGGTCTCGGATAGTCCAATAATGATTGAGACGTTTATATAAACAGTGAGGAATGCCAGCACGGCTACAGGAACCCAAACTTAACTGTGCCTAATAGTCCGGTAAATAACTTCCTCACACCTTAGCATGTTCCTCCGGCAAATGCTACCAAGGTATTACTCCTGCTCCCAGATAGAATGATGTCAATGCTCAATGAATCTCTCCATAGGTTGGCCAATATGTAAGGTCTGTTTGTATATTAGTTCATGGAATATTTGTCCTAGAAAGGATAATACAAACATCGACGATTGCTTTCCAGCCTGTGGTCATAAGGTGTGCAATGAAATCACCCTCAACATGGGATGATAAGAATTCGTAAACCGCCTTTTCGTTCCATCCCTTTTCCTGTCCTAGCCAGAGCTCTGGTTTTTTCTTGCGAATTCGTGCCAGTTTACTTGTAACTGCATCCGTGGTTCTCTCAAGCTGAAGTGCAGCGACTGATACTCCGGGGATTGTGCCTTCCTGGATTCCTCGCACTTCGGCCATCTTGCTTGTGAGGTACTTGGCAATTGTTGCATGCCCAACTCCCCGCATATCGAGAATGGTAGCGATGGCAGTCTCCTCCATAGTCCAAATAATTGTCATTATCGCTAATATAGAATGTTTGGGGATTCTTAAAAAACCTGACTAGCCAGCCTCGTTTTGTACTCGTGGTCTCGTGCTGAAGGTACTTTTGGTTACTCACATGCCGCCAATAAGATCCCTGTTTTGGCCATCTTAGACTCATGATGGATGCGCCCATATCACAACATTGATTATCACCACAGCCTATCAGCTTGTGTTATTCTAGAGTAGGCAAGGCCGGACCATGTACGGCCCATTCATCCTGCTTCGCGAAGGTGGACCGAATTGTGGCCGGTCTATGGCTCTACCATGGACTAGTCTACTTGCCAGGCATTACGCATCTCCACAAATAGTATTGCACCAAGAGGAGTTTCTATCTTTACACATTTGTTGTTGTCCTAGGGACTGGCTTGCCTGTCCCGGGCTTAACGCCCACGAGCTATCCGTCCTATCCGTTCTTAAAATAACAACGACCCAGCCTATGCAGCAATGTCCCTCCTCCTTCCACAGACCCAAAAAGGAAAACAGAAGAAAGAAAAAGAAAAAGAAAACACTCAGTGTTACACCCTTTTTCGTTTCCGTGAACTCAAACCTCTTTTTCCATCCTGCGTGGAGGCTTCTGATCTCCCTTTAGTCACCAAGACGTTCAATTCACGAAGATAATCTTCAATCTTATCATAGATCCAAGTGTTATTCACGTCACTCGGCGGGGAGCCATTTAGCAGAGCCTTCACAGGCTTATCCAGCATCCTGTAAAACTTAACTGTTTCCGGATACTGCTCAGCAATGTGGCTAAGTAAACCTAAAAGGTCTTTTATGGGAGTAGTCGAGTGTCTGGTTTTTGTTATTAGAAGTAATCATAGGAGGTACAGTATAGGAGCATACATAATCGAGCTGAATCGTCTTCCACCTAGCATTATAACTCCGAATGAGAGCTTTTCAGCTGTGATTGACCATCGTCGGCCATAATTTAGCTGCTTTCTGAACTTCGATTTGCGCCTGGTCTGGGTTTTCTGCTCTAACGTTTCCCAGTCGGGGCAAAGTCTCTTCATCAGGACATTTGAATTAAAGTCATGCTCGTAGCTCTTTGAAAGCTTGCTATATAGAAGTTATGGAAGCAGAAAACCCATTTCCAGTTGAGTGTGTCCCACATATTCGCGATCTCTTAGTTCAGTCACATACTTTGTGACCTTCACTAGACGTTGGAGGGCTGAATCGAGGAGCGTTGGAAAATATGGATTAAAAGAGACCCTGTAAAGCACATATTAGTGACAGTATGTGCAATCTCGGTTGCTGAGATAAAATACATGCGAGATCGGTTCAAAACAATGAGGTCACGAGTATAGGATTGCTTTCGTACAGAAAGTGAAATTATCTCGGGCCATTGATGAGGGAACCTCGTTTTATACAAAATGCCAGCGGAAGTACAATGCCGGATATGGAGTACCCCAACGTTCCAACGGCTTCATGCTTATGGACATAATGGCAACCTTACCACTGAAAAGTATGCGAAATGGGAGGAACAATTGCCCAAGTTGAGGCGCTTGACAGAAGAATGGGATTCCCGGCGGAATTGCCAAGCAGTTACTGGACTAGCATGGGTTGCTATATAGGTTGTAAATGGGATTCGAAATATTATGAAAGAAATATCGCGTTGATAGTAGGCATGGTATCCCTGCTCTCTAGATAGCCGTACCAGCTGTGATGGCTTGGCTCTTGTGCCTTTTTATATGGTCAAGTGGTTTTATCTCTACTAGCGCAGAGTCAACCAAGCCATCACAATTCTGCTGGCTTCTATTACAGCATAGTAGTAGTTGTATGGTACTTAAAATAGCCTTTTTTTTAAAACTCTAACCTTGTAATTATTTTTCAGCTCCGAGATTCTGGATGTAGCAAAAATGGATCTGAGCCCGACTGCTTCTAAGCATCCTTGGATTCCTGTCTAGACTTGTTAACCCGCGAGTTGGACCGGGCTTCCTGGGCCGGGCCTAACAATTCTAGCGGCCACAACCATTTTTGTCACCTCCAGAATCTCGTAGCCGAAAAACAGTCAGTGGCTAAATAAGGTTAAACCACCGCTTACGGCAAGCCATTAAGGCCACTCCGCTAGTGCGGTTTTCTTGCTGTTATCCATGGGTAACCGTGGTTAAACCGCAAACCTGCGGTTGTGGTTGTGGTTTTCAAAGTGATATCTAAAACCGTAAATTTGTGGTTGTGGCTTTGACTATGATACCCAAAATCGCGGTTTTGCCGCAGTTTAAACACAAAGATGACGCGTTGATTCATTTTCATGATCTTATTAAGTGTATCGTTATCCTATCTATGGGTGTTCTATATATTATCTTGATCTATTCGAAGAAGAAGAGATCAAGGATTAGTTTTTAATATATCTTGAAAAAGATATAGTGATTTTTCTTCTACTATCTTACCTAGCTGACCGGTTGATTTACCCGGATAAGTAGATTCATCACACCATACGAGGTGAGGTTGGTTGAGTACTGTACCAGCTACCTATATGCGCAAACGCCTTACTAGGCTCAACAATCTAATTATGGAACGACCTATGTGCCCACCTGCCAATTGGGAAGGAATGTACCCCCTAGCTAATGAGCAAGCGATCGGACAGTGGGCGTATAAAATTTGTCAGAACACATTAAGTGCGGTGGGCGCTCTAACAGTGGGAGGTAAAGTTGCTGTTGAAGGGGGGGAGGACGACTCAAACTACTGCCTTGACGGCCCCGGTGGGCGAGTGAGTGCCAACGATGGCCTTATAGAAGCAGTTATTGTCGGCTTACGTGCAGATTTGGAAGCAGTTGGGCAGTCCGCGCGATGGGAGCGTATCGCCACGAACCTCATGATATCCCACATGGCTGGATATACCACCCGCGATCTCCTCTCCGCAAACATAAACAAGCGAGACAACTGGACAACAGATTTGGTTTTGGCGGATATACACAGGCAGCACTGCAAGCCGATTGCAAAGAAATCACCGCCCGCACTCGAACCCAATTGGACTCGTGAGGCACTTACAGCGGTCGGGATCCAAAATCACGCAGTCTTAACCCCCACTATATTCAGTGTATGGCTCTGGTGGACACATGCCATAGGAGCACTGGATCCGGATGCCTTGGACCTGACTACTACTGCCCTGAGTGAGATGGTGGCGCTTGACGACTGGGGGCTGGGTCGAGGTGGCTGGTCTATTGCTGACCAGGGGAGACTTTTTCTTGCGTGTGCGCAGATCAACCGGTGCCTCACCTTCGTGCACGCCTTGCGCGGTGACATTGAACGCGCAAGCATGCATCTCGCGGGGAACACATACTGTTCCCTAAACGTGAAAGTTGAACAGCTGTTAAAGTTGCTCAGAATGCAGAGGACTGATATTGACGGCGGACGTGTAGCTGCTGAGGCTGACAATGGATTCTACTACCGAATTGAGTGTGCTACTGTTTGCACTTTGGGGACCCGCCTGTTTTGTGCCACAACTAACACCATTGCTGCTATACCCACAAATTGGAATGACCTGGTCGACCTAGCAACAGACTACTGGGCGAAGGAACCCCGTAATGCTGTATGGAATACCGTTGTCTATCACGGAATTACTCTTGAGGCAGCAGCAAACCTGGTTTTCTCCACTGCGGTTGAAGTCGGAGAGTGCTCAATGAGGTCTCGCGACTCAGGGGGAATCTCGCATGTCTTCGTGAGCATTTATCCATGGCATGTACTTTGTCTACGATACAATGTGCTTAGGCGGTACATCGATTCTGCAGTAATACCGAAGTCCCAATTTCCAACACTCTCACACATTCTTGAACCGGACTCCGCGGGCTCAGAAGCCAGAAACCAAGGAGCTGTGACAGGTACAATGCTCAGCGCAAGATGTGCTGGCTGTTGCATTAACGACTACCGCGAGTTGTATGACAACTGTGGGTCATGCCAAAAGGGCGACTCATTGGTTAGAAACGGTCAAACTACCCAGCCAGGGATACGTTCAGAGCTATCGCAGCCATGCAGCACTATACACTACCCGGAGTGTCCTGCGCCGAAAACATACGCCTACATTGAGTACTCAGCAGGTCCCCAGGGAATGGAGAGGATATCCAAGTCCGCCAAGGTTAATAGATGCTCGGGCAGCTGCTTGAACCCTGAGCACTACGCTGTGGCCGAAATCAGTGTACGTGGGGATGTTGCGGCAATGACTAGATTACACTGGCTAGTTTTGGAGCCTATGCGGCTGCGCAAGACACTAAAGACAGCGATTAGTAACGCAGATAGCACCAACACAGCAACATACTCAGTCCAACAGCAACTCGAGGGGATAATATTAGAAGACGCGAAACTTATGGGAACAAATCAATTTAAACCGTGCACACTTTACACGTTCACGACTTACGCCGCCCATTACATACACCCCTCAATACCAATGGGAGCAGCAATGGCAGCGATTTTAGAAGTCATATCTGGTCAACGACCCCCCCCGGACGGTGGCGATAAGGAGCTGCCTCTGTAAGGGCGGCCAATACAAGGGGTCCTGCTCGGAGGGTAATAAGGTTTTGATATCATCCCGAAACAGGTCTTCATGGGTGAAGGATAGACGAGCTGAAAAGAACCACGGCTCTTGGAGTTTTTGGATTGACCCGCCAGGGAAATCAGGTGTATTTGGACTGGGAACTGTCCGTTTATGCCCTTCCGTTGGTATTGCCCGATTGCCTCGGTTCTTCTGGCAGACTGCGGTGAATCTGGATACTCTGATAGGTTTTCGATATCCAGTATTCCTGAGTGCGACATTGCTACCAAGGCTGCAAGGGCAGCTACTCTTTCTAGCGTCTGCATGTCGAGCACCATCTTGTAAGAAAGTTCAGAGTATGGAGCTGAAGTAACAGATCTTTAACAATGGTTACCAGTGTGTTGGCATCTGGGAGCGTAACTCCATATAGTGGTATGAAGTGCGTACAAAAATCGGAAAACAAAAGTCGTAAAATGGAAAGCTATAGTGTCAACATGCTAATTTCTTCATTTCTAAAAATATCCAGTATATCGTGGGCGCTAGGTAATGGTGGCGCTACGAGTAAGGTGTCCCAATGGCTTGCCGTAGTAAGGGGAGGTCAAATCCATCCTAGTATTGAAATATATAAGGGAAAATTCGACCGGCTATTTAAGGAGATATCAATAGCAATTAAATATGAACAATTACTAAACTGTACTAGATTTATAACAACAGAAGCAAGAAGAGCATTACAACAAGAAAGACGAAAAGAAAGTAAACAAATACCAAGGTAAACCAAGCGCGATCAATATCAATTTATTCGTATTTTTATACACCTCCATGGTGTGTATTTTTGCTTCTTACTCTGGAAACAGCTATTTTCGTCTGTAGCCCATTATTGGTCGTCTTCCCATCCAACTCGCCGGGACGCGCTACGCCTTGGTTGGTCCTGCACAATCCCAAGGAGTTTGGTCTGTTCACGGGAGGTAGTATACCGAGAGCCTGGAGAGACTTGGGACTGAGGTAGGGTTATCTTGTTGCTCCTCCCGTTTCTCAGATTTGGTGACAGTAGCTTGCTAATTTGCTTTGACTGCACCTTGGTGTTTGATTCCCTCTCTGGGGAGGGAAGGACCTCGTCAAGAAAGGGGTTTGGCTTCTTTATCCTCCTTCCCTCTCGTGAGTTCCTTGTTCGCATGCGGGATGATTCCAAGTCTCCCCCGGTGGGGATATCTCTTCCCTGGAGATCCGATGGCGATACAACCAGGTAGCTTGGTCTTTGTCCAGTTAGTGACTCTCTGTAGTCTCCGTCCTGTGAGGTTGCCAGACGATACAATAGAAGGTCGACTTGGAAATTCGTCAATTCGTGCATGATGCACTTGAAACCCGAGCGGCTCTCCCAGGTCCACACTCCATCAAACCATTGCACCCAAACGTATGTCTCCGGGTATGAAGTGACTTTACCCGGATGTAGAGACAAAGTCGGGTCTAGCTCATGCTTTGGGTCTACTTTCCATGCCACAAGACCGATACCTTCGACCAGCCTTGAGTCGTAGTTTATTTCATCGTTGAGGATCTGCTGGGCGCGAGAATTGAGCTCAACGCTCATATTATCGTCAACATGAGTGGGAAGAGTCATTGATTGAATCACACGCGCTATCTTTTTTCCATGATATTGGTTGCCGATGATCTGAGAATATCCAGACCGGTCGTCCCCTGACCAACCCAAGACAGGGCCAGATATAAAGGGGATCCCGTACGCCTTTTCTGCTTCACGCCGTATATCATCCAACGGCACTGCGCTTTGCCAGTTTGAGACATTTTCATCAAACAGCTCGTCCAAATCTGACACTTCTGACTCGTAATCTTCTGGGGTGCCGTTAGATGACACTTGCTGGCCGTCTTGCGACTCTGGATAATTTCCGTCCATTCTCTGGAGGGCTTCGCAATATTCGGTGAACTGCTCTAGCTCAATGTTCCAATCCTCTGGCCAACGGAACTCTTGGATCGCATTTCGCAAGGTTTCCTGCAATTCCAGGAATCTTTCTTCATCGGATCCCGCGTCGACTGTGGCTGCCTCTTGGAGCTGGTCGCCAAGAGATATAAAGAGCTCAACATTAATTAGGCCCTCATTTGGTCTGCACTTCGCTTGAATATTCTTTGTTTTTATTTGCGTATTCAGTCCTTTGAGTTGTTTAATGACATGGCTGGGTCTCTCACCCGGCAGACTCCAGAGCAGCGACGCAATCAAAGGCGTTGCGGTCTCGTATTCTTCGCTGTAAATTGACATGTCGGGGTTATTTGATCAGAAGGCCTCGCATATGTTAAGACTGGAAGGAAGAGCGGTGTTTATAAGTCCTGGAGTTCGTCTAGCATGCTCAATGCTACAAAGCTGCATTTGGTACTTCTGCTGTTATGATGTTGTACTTTGACAAAAGCTTCTTTTGACACCCCGGTCATCCGCTACCTAATTGGGGGCGGTGCGTTCCTTGTGCATATTCCTATCCGGCTTCAATGCCGAACCTATCTCCCAGCCCCGTGAACCTTGCATGTACTATTATAAAATATTTTAGTCGGGATCTTAGTATTTTCGGATAAAGCACATATTTATTGGCAATTTTATTATACTTAGGCTAAATACAAATAACATGGCCTTCCAACTCGAGCCCGCAAAACATTCTAGACCTCCTGAATTCGACGTCCCGTCTAAACAGACCTGCTGTTAGACCCTCTTGTATTTTCTAAGGGGGATTTGAGACTCTCCCTGTGATGCTACCTTTCTACTATCCGGCGTCTTCCCTCGGTATCTAACACCTGTGATATGCTGGGACGTAGCGGGGCGCCTGTTATCCGTATTCCTTCCTGTAGTGCGACTCCCATTGAGGGGAGGCTCTCTATGGCGCGCTGTGCCTGGGCCTTGCCTTTCCGGAACGGGAGATTCCCTTGGAGGAGCGGAGCCACGGATACTATTAAATCTTTGCCTTTCCGAAGACATATCCCGGTTCCTAGCTGATGATTCAGGGTCTGGCCTTCGATTTGCAGGATACCTTTGTGGCTCTCGACGTGCATTATTAGGAGCACTTTGACGAGATGTCTCTGGTGGATCATTCTGGTTTCTAGTGGATGATGGGCGGTATGGCATTTGAATTGCAGGATTTCTTTGCGGCGTGCGAGGGACATTGACAGGAGGGGCACTCCGACGCTCCAGCGGATTATTGCGGTTCCTAGCGGATGGTCCAAGGTATGATGTTTGGCTTGCAGGATCTCTTTGCGGTGTGTGAGGGATATTGACAGGAGGGGCACTCCGACGCTCCAGCGGATTATTGCGGTTCCTAGCTGGTGGTCCATGGTATGATGCTTGGTTTGCAGGGTCTCTTTGCGGTGTGTGAGGGATATTGGTAGGAGGAGCACTCCGACGTTCCAGCGGATTGTTGCGGTTCCTAGCTGGTGGTCCATGGTATGATGTTTGGTTTGCAGGGTGTCTTTGCGATGTGTGAGGTATATTAGCAGGAGGAGCACTCCGACGCGATGTCTCCAGCGGACTATTGCGGTTCCTAGCTGATGATGCACGGTATGGCATTTGGTTTGCAGGATTTCTTTGAGGTGTTCGACGTGCATTAGCAGGGGGGGCACTCCGACGCACCGTTTCCGTAAACCTTCGTCCTTCCTGAGGCGGATTATTCAAATATCTGTCTGCTAGCGAGTCCTCCTCTTGGGTGTGGGCAATATTTGAGTGTCTGCCACGGATTGGTTCCGGCTCTCGAAGATTCCTATCGCCCAGGAATTGAGCAGATAGATTTGGGGGTTGGTCGGGTTCATTAGGGTTCCTGTAAGTCCCTCTGTTCCGCACTAGAGGTTCAGCTGTCTCCCAGTGAGTGGGATCATCTTGAAGTGGGTCGTCACTAGCGATGCGAGGCCCAGGAATATCCCGTGAAGAATGTGGTGGGCGGAAAGCTGTATCCTCTTCACTCTCCACGTCCTCAACTTCTTCAGCTTCCTCTTCCTCTATTTGTACTACCCGCTTATTTTTCCTTGCACGTGGTTGCAACCAATATGCCCCTCCAAAGGCATTCACATTCCTCCAGTGTTTGTTTGACATCGGCCCACCGTCTGGAAATTCAGGTCGCTGGCCAGTCAAGGCCTCCTGGAAATCTGCCTCTAGAGAGATTGCCTTTCGATATATCAAGATATCGACTTTATAAGGATCATCTCCGTACACGAAACGCAAGCCATCCCTGGACTCCCAACTCCAAGTGTTATCGGCCCAACGTACTTGGATATAGGTTTCTGGATACCAAGCTTTTTTAGACGGCCGTAAAATGCTGGTTGGATCCATTTCATATCCACTCTCGACCTTCCAAGCAATCAGTCCAAGTCCTTGGATATGGTCCCTATTCCTGTACTCTTTATATTTAAATTCTTTGTCTTCATATATTGGTTTTCGGGCCCTAGACTTCTCAGAAATATGTGGCGCATCCTCGGGAATACGACGCCGCCCTCCGGCTTCGAGACGCGCGATTTGACAGCCATCACATTCGTACCCAACAATTACTGAATAGAATCCTTTCCCTCGAAGGCGGTAAGCCAATATTTGTCAAATAATATGGCCGTTGGTGGACCAGAATCATGTGACTGGATCGGGGTAAAACCCCCGTGGAGCACACAACAAAATAATCAATCAAGAATAACCAAGAAGAATAATCAAGAAGAGCCCAACCAGCTCAATTCATTCAAATAAGACCTTTTCACCAATCGTACTCTATTTCCTCTTCGGGATTAGCCGTATATCTGACAATATTTCGCCTCTACTCATTAGTGATCCCCAAACCTCCTGTGTATCTTGAAGAAGATCGTCCAAAGAAACGTAATTCCTCTCCCAGGCGTCTTGGCCTTCAGGCGTTGAGTCTTGAGAGACGTCTCCAGTAGTTTGTTCAGAACGGCCATCGCTGCTGTAGTTTTCTTGCGATACAGGGTCAGGCTCTTCAGTCTCATAATGGCCGTCTCCTTCTTGCTCATATTCCTCTTCAACAAAGGCGTCCCCAGGCAGCCCGGTTGGAGCATACGCATTTTCAAGCTCTTCACGACGATCAGTGTCATTTTGTCCAGCATCTTCGTACTCCTGCCGGTCATTCAATGGAGGGCTTGGCTGGGCTTGGTGCACATATGACTCGTGAGCCCGGCAGAAATCTTCAAATCTATAATCATTGACCGAAAAAACATCTGGAAAACCACTCGACTCGAAGTAGTCGTTGTATTCATCACGTATTTCCTGGTACTCTGAATTATCCTGACTGACAAGGTACACGATTGCCGCATTCGATAGCTTTTCGTTTAAGTCGTTATATTTATCGGCATTAAGTTTGCCTCTAGATAGGGGCTTTCTATGTTCTCTGTTGAGCTTCTCAATTTCTGCGTTAATCGGACGTAGTTTACGGTGAGCTCGATTTCTTTGCACTTCGTCCCCCCATATAATTGTTTCAACCAGGGGCCATGCTTCCTCATATACTCCATGGTATATGTCATCCAATTTTGGTGAGGACGCCATTCTGCGCTGCTTCCGATAAAATGATCAGAGAACAAAATATGGAGTAGGATTCGAGCGCCGAGCGGCTTTTATAGGGGTAGCACCCGACTTGTAGCGTAAAGTAACATCCTCACATTTTGACAAATGTAGAAATTACGAAAATTTGTTCATTTATAAATGGTAGCCGATCCCTTGGAGTAAGCGCCTACTGTACAACCAATATGTCCACAAACATACCAAGGTATTTCCCTCCCCCGCGAGGCTACCGCACTCGCTGGGACGGACCCACTGGATTTACTAGACGCGATAAAGAGGAGGGTCCATACGGGATATTTATCGAGACTGACATGAGCGATGCTGCGATTCCCCTTTCTGAGTATGATGATATCTCTCCCATTGTATCCCTATGGGAAAGTGCCAACCGTGACATCCATTCTCTCCTGTGGGGTGACCAGCCCGAGCGCGAGGTGGCCGCGATGAGATTGAGAGACCTTAATTTGGACATACGGGCGGTCACGGGATTCTTCGGATTAGGGATAATTGAAATACAGAATTGGTACAACGCTGGGCAAGAGCTGTTCAAGGCAGTAAGAGATTTTCATATGTATGGTTCAACCGCAGTAGGTCCTCTTTATCATATTTCTAGCTGCGAGAAAACTGAGTGAAACTAGCGGTTTGAGGATGTTCGAGATTTTATCTGGGAGCGGATTCAAATTATGCATTATCCAACAGAATGGAGAGTGAAATTTGATGATTTTGCATGGAAAATTGACAGCTGTGCTGGATATGTTGCAAAGATTCGAGAAACTCAGCCGGTGGATACCGATGACAGCGTATTTAACGAATGGCTGTTAGAAAACCTCCCACAGCCAAATATTCCTCCACCTTCATATGAGCACAGCCAGATGGTAGACGTTCAAGGCCCTGCGGCACTGAGGTCCCAGACTGACGAGCAAAATCGGGGCTCGGCCACGGCAGCATCCCAGGTGGTAGCGAATACTGGCAACTCTAGGGAGGCTATTAATAGACGGCCCGTCCGTCAAAGGTCCTCTCGTCGGGTAGTTACCCGCCAAACGCAACCGATTCCCGCGACAGCACGCCCAGTGCCCAGTCTTAGAAGATCCGCCCCTTCTCGCCGACCTGAGATAAACCCTCGTGGCGCAGGATCCAGAAGGAGGGCAGATGAGAGGAATCAACCCTCGTAGTGTGAAAGGAGCAAATGTGAATGGGATATTTGGAAATTTTTAAAAACCCTAGTCTCTGTTAGCGCTTTTGAGCAAATGTCATTTTCTACTGTATACATAAATCAAAGGCTCCTTCTAGACCGAAAAGGCAAAGTAGTCAGTGGTCCGACCACAATGTCTTTAAACATTCCAAGATACCTCTATCCTCTGAAGGGCATAAGGAAAAGCGAGGTAGGACCGGGTGGGTATTCAACACGACGCAACAAGGAGGATAGCCCTTATGGGATTTTTATTCAGTACATAGACGAGGAAGCATTCCCGTGGGAGTTTGAGTTTGACTGTGAGAAAGGATTGGAATATGAATCTCTCTGGAAGCGGGCAGAGGGTCCTCTGCACGCCCTATTGTGGGAAAGTGATAACGCGCGTGAGCGGGCAAGGAGGTCTCTGGAGACACTGAATGATGAGATACGAGAAATTGGTCCAGTACCCCAAGAAGGGCTACTTGAGATCAGGAACTGGTACAATGCTGGGCTGCAGCTGGAGAAAGCTGTGAGGGACTTTCACATCTATAGCTCCACTGCGCGGTTCGAGGATGTTCGTGATTTTATCTGGGAGCGTATCATCACCATGAACTACCCGCACCAGTGGCGGGTTAAAAGAGAAGACTTTCTACACCGCATTGAAGCTACCGCCCAAAACTTTGCACGCCAGCAGGGTGATTTAGATACTGAAGATGCCATATTTCAAGAGTGGCAGCTGGAAAATCCTCCCGAGCGTCCTGGCTCCAGTCCTCTGCCTTCATATCACACCAACAACCCCAATACAGAAGCTAGTCAGTCAGGGTCAGATCGGAGGCCAACACCAGTTAGTAGCACGCCAGAGATACTAATGAGGGAGGCGGGTGGACATCGCCGAAGAGAGGGGCCTGGTTCAAGGGTCTCTCCCAGTGCAGCGCTTCGACGCCCCGCTCCCCGGTTAAGAGGACGGGTTGCTACACGGCCGACACAGTCCCCACATTACGTTCGACGCGTTCCATTTGAGAGGAGACAGAGGCCCCAGAGGCCTCAGCAAGGTGCCGAGACACGCCAGGATGACTATCCGGAGGAATCTCCTCGTATGCGACGTTGGCTGAATTTGAGATAAGAGCGGTTTAAGGCATATAATGACAATGGCTAGCCCCATGCCTTTATTTTCTGACTCGATTTCCAAGGTGCACAGTATACTTTTTAATACTGGAGCCTGTAAATAAGAACCATAGCATTTGAGAAATACGCCCTGGAGGGCAGAGTACTCAGTTCTACATATAGCTTGCGAATCAGATGAAAGCAATAAGAATGGATTCAAGCAATGCCTAGCCAACTTGGCACCAGGGTTACTCCCAGATCATTATCAATCCAGTCTTGCAGTACATGTATAGTAAATGAGGTCATGAACTGAATAGCATCTATTTCAGCTCCTCCACCCGTGCGCCTTCGATATTTGGGGTTTGATGCTGCTCATGGCAATGATGGCACTGCAGGACAGCGAGCTCATGTTTGAGGCGCTGGTTCTCGGCAGAGAGCGCGGTATGGGCTCGGTAAAGCTTGTCATAAAGACGATGAAGAGAGTTATAGGAACTACGCTCTTCATGGTTCCGTCTACCCGCATTTGAGAGTGACTGTTCGAGTTTTTCGATGTGCTGTAAATGGTGCTGCTCGCGCGAGAAGAGGTGGCGAACCAGGGCCCAGGTATTAATCGCGTCAGCGGGGTTCTAAAGTACATATTAGTCAGATAGGTTGGAACAGCTTCTCCAAGAGTCATACCTGGGCAGACATTCTCACTGCACTTTTAATAAGGCTCTTTTGGTGTTAAGTTGGAAAGAAGATATTTCACATTCTACAAAGCGGATTAAGTCTTATTATATGTACTTGACGGCGCTTGCGCGACATGGTTGACTATAATTAGGTTCTATCATCCACAAATGTTTCATTAATTGGTTATCCCCACTTTCCCTACGCTACTTGCACCTGGCCACTCAACGCTCTTACTCCGTTGATACTTGATGCTGTCATGCAAATTAGAGCTGTTCTAAATTAGTTCGGGAAGAGTGTCATACTGTAAGTAAAAAATCCCTTTGAAGCTGCCGCCATTTATTTTCAAGCGCAGATCGAGTTCGTTGACGATCTGGTGGCATGTTCCAATTATATTGCCTCTCAATTTCATTCCAAGTGAGGCCTAAGTCTTTAAGCTGGATCAACAGTAGCTCCTCGCTAGGATAATACGTTTTGTTGTGGCCAGAGGCGACGGAGTTGGATTCGTCCGAGGACATAGTGATCAACTGTAGTAGTGAATTCGTGGGCGTCTCGGGACGGGATACTGAAAATAGATTAACAAAACAGGCCAGAAGTATGAAAGCTCGTGGGCGTTGCGCACACTCTCTGTACCTAAATAAAAATAAATTCGTGGGCGTCTCGGGACGGGATACTGAAAATAGATTAACAAAATAGGACAGAAGAAAAAAAACCAGTGAGCGTCGTGCACACTCTCTGTACCTAAACAAAAATAAATTCGTGGGCGTCTCGCACGCTTTATATACCTGCAGTTGAAAATTGATTCGCCGCATCGATGGGCATGCTGTGGACCCGGCCGGCCCAGATGGCTATAAAGGGAGCCATTTCCCCTCAGATGGCACAGCTAAGCATATCCAAATCCAGAATCAATCTGACCATGGAGGACCTATCAATGGACGAACTTCTCAATTGGGGTACTGGGGAATTGACGGAATTTCCCGATTTCGACTTTTTTGATTCTGTTATCTCCCTCGACAACCAGAGCCAATTTCTGGAAGACGTGCCAGAGCTCACCCCCGATCACCAGCCTGCGGCGCAGGACACGATCGACGCCATCAATGCCATGAACAGACTAGTTGGTGAATTATCCAGCCGAGTCACGGCCCTTGAGGACCAGTAAGATCTCTCAAGCACCTATGTGATAGGAGATGAACGCTAAAGGATGTCTAGGCTTCAATCCGAGCACAGGTAAGAAACATTAGAACGAATGAGGTCAGCGGGGCTAATGGCCAACCAGAAAGCGGGAGGCCCTGGAACATTATATTGAAGAATTACAGGCATTCTTGGGACAGTTCAGCTTTGCCGTTCAGAAATAATAGTTAATAGTGCCAGGACATGTGATTGTTGGGTAGTAGGCGTTTCCATCCTGAGTCTTCCGTGATGTTGCTAGGATTTTGATTAGCTGTGAATTTAAACTTCCTGGTCCTTGCGTCTAGTAACCAATTAAATTTAACTGTCACCCACCTTTGTTAAGAGCCGCGCCACGGAGCTAAGGTAGAATTGTCCAATACCGGTAAGGCCAAAACGAGTCATGAGTGATCCACCGGATATATCCCGTCAGCAAAAGTACGATCCCTGTGCGCCCGACAATTTCACTGCGGCAACTGCCTAATTTCCTTTTTTTCCCCTCTCATCCACACACTCTCATATAGTACACTACAATGTCTACCTCTACAAGTAAAGGCAGCCCCGCAGATAGCCCTTGTGAAAGCGGTAGTATTTTTACAAACAAAATAGTTAGACCATCTGGCCGGTTTTTGGTCGCCCACAGCTGACATTATCCTAGGAGTTGCAAGAGAAGCTCTCGTCCATTGAAGAGAAAATACGACAGCATATTGAGGCTCTGAAATATCTTGCTCAGTCGCGCTCCATGATCAACCAGTTAATAGATAAGCTGGCAAAGAAAACCGAAGACCTTGCAGCCATGAATCGGGAACTAGAGAAATACGTTAAGAGAATGTCGGAGGCCGTGAGCGGTAAAACAGAATAACCTTTTAATATTGTCCTTGCCAACAAATATAAATAGTAAACTTCGTTTTCAGTTGCATCTATGCACATTTTTACATTATTACACCGGTAACTTCTGCTCCCTTTTATTTATAACCCCCTCCTCGCCCCAGTTGTGTCATATCGAGGGAGTCAACAATATTATCATGGCTTCTTGTGAGCACGTCGTGTGCCTACGCCACGTAGAAAACGAACGGACAGGTGAGATTATACTCGAGGACACCGGTCGGCTCTGGCGCGTGATTCAAGAGCTGCCAAATCCCTCCACTCAAACACCCCAGCTGGCGCTATTCATCGGTACTAATGCCAAGGATACTGCCCTGAAAAACATTTTCCCGCAGAACAATATTAGCCGACGAGGGGAGAAGGGGAATATCAACCTTCGCCTTCAAACGGATTCAATAAATCATGACGCCCCATTGTTCTTCGCCGATAGTAGCCCGTTCGTAAAAAAAATCCAAGCGAACGCAGCCATGTCCTTTGTCACGAAACGATTTCACACCCTGCAAGCTGGAAGCCTAGTCTGTATACAGTCATTGATATTCTCTACGCAAGACTGTTATTCCTGTTCAGTGATGTTATCTGTGTTTTTGCAGATGACTTCTCCAGCGTCCAAGCCGTTCTTCTACGTTTGATGACATGGGCGGAGATTGGAAGCGCAATGCCAATCCTGCCAGAACTACGCCCTCGGTTACTCGTTGTAGTCTCAGAAGACGGTCCGCATGATGCTTCACAGTATGAGGAACTCCAAAATATGCTTCAGTCTTATACCATACAATTGAAAAATACCTTCTCCGCGGTTAAGATCTTTCAGCTTGCAGGCACGTACCTGTCTCCATTGGCACGATATCAAAGACTTCAACTTGAAATTCGGAGCCAAACTCAGCAGATGTTTGATATACGACAACGAACCCACATGCTTCTGTCTGCCTTACATTTTGCATCCCTTTTTGTGAAGGCGGTCGAGCAGACAGCCCAAAGTACTTCTCAAGATTTTAACTTTATCACCGTATCTCGCATCCGCAACGAAGTGGGCAGTGACTACCTAGAGCACTTACAGACGTTTCTCGAGCTCGCTCGCCGTCATAAGACCCCGTATGATAGCGTCGCCTCGTTCATTGCCTCAAGTATTATAATGGACGCATATCCACCTCGGATGCACCGTCAGTACCCCCTCTGGCTTTTGCAGCTAAGCTAATCTCTCCAGGCTTTCCAATTGAGCATGTGTTCAATGTGCTATATCGTGAACACTGTTACAGGGCGCTAGAGACGTCCTACAATGACATGTTTGCACGCCATTTGTGTGGGGAAATTGAACGCCACTGCATTCACCTATTTGATCGTCTACAAGGGGGGGATTCATCTCCTCAAGTAGACTACATTGGGGTAATATTAGACACCTTGATCTATCCATACCCTTATATAAGAGCAACACAACTTGTCTATATTGTCTCCGCCGATTGCCTGAACACCACTTAAGCTGTGGACACTGCGTTTGTAACGAATGCATATTGATTTTTGGGGCTGAAAATTCGGGGAGGGAAAAGCGGATCAAGCTGCAATGTATCCTTGACGATCATGGTAAGCTCACAGTTGACCTCAAACCCAAAACCGCCGGTATCAGGGCTATTGGTGTGGATGGTGGTGGCTCTCGGGGTGCGACATCTCTCGAATTCTTGGAAGGACTACAGAAACTTCTTCACCATTTGCCGCTGCATGAAATGGTGGATATTTCTTGCGGCAGCAGTTCAGGTAAAAGGCCCCTTTCATCTCTCACAAAGCTGTTGATGCTTATTTTCCTAGGTGGCATGATTGTACTCGCAAAATTTCACTTGCAATTGCCAGTAGAACGGTGCATTAAAGTGTTTGAATCCTTTGCCATTCGCTGTTTTAAGCGCTCCAAGTCCTTATTGGGATTCATCAAATCTGCCTTGAACTACGTCGTCACAGATGCGATTTACGACGAGACTCTGATTGAGAGTTTGATGAAAGAAATTTATGGGTCCAGCTCTACATTCTTTGGTCACGCTTCCAATACTGTCCCAGGAACTCGAGTTGCAGTCACTGCAATGACCCATGGTAGCCTTCGAACAATTTTTACTAATTACAATGCCTCAGCCAAGATACACCAGGATAGCGTTGGTAGTTCCCTCACCCCTCGATTCCAAGACACAGGCTATATTGCAATTCGACCAAAGGAAATTAACGAAGAGCCCTTAATATGGGAGGTGTAAGTAATATCTGTATCCTGCTATGCAAGCAAGTCTGACTGATCAGAGCCCGAGCTACTTCAGCTGCTCCAGTGTAAGCTGCACCCATTCATGGTTTTAGTAATGCTAATATGGCCAGATTTTTCAAACCAGTTAAGATGAACACCGGGGACTTCTGGGATGGTGCTCTTGGGTTCCCTAATCCAACTGAGCTGGCGAGTTGGGAAGCTTACAGACTGTGGCCTGAGAGCGTTGTGGATGTGGCGATCTCACTCGGGACCGGAGAAGAACCAAAACCTCCAAGATCAACGAATTCACGCTCTCGCCTCCTAGATGCTTTTAACCTCCTATTAGATGGACAGCTACAATATATGAACATGAAAGGTGCTAGCTCAGATCAGGAGCTACTACGGCTGAACTCACGATTGGCGCGGGCCATCCGGCTTGACGACGCTGAGAGTATCCAAGAACAGAGACATTACATGCACCACTATCCACCCACACGTCAGAACCTGATTGAAGCTGCAACTGCTTTGCTGGTGTCTAATTTTTATTTCCAGCTTGATCGTCCGGTCATGTACAACTTGGGGGTTTACTATTGCGAAGGGTCGATCCACTGTCGTGGAGATTATCACCAGGTAGCCCATGCCTTGTCCGAGCTTTACTCCCCGCAAATAGAATTCTTAACGAATACGGAAATTCTTTCAATATGTGATTTAGGACAAGATATCTGCGCAGTATGTCATCGATATCGGAAAGAGGTAAGCTTTACGGTGCGGCATCCCACTGATTCGATCACCATCTCCATGCGCATAGACAGCCGTGTCACTCGGAAAATCAGCGGATTCCCCCGAAGCATGTCCTGGTTTCAGCAGCATCAAGGATTTAATAATCATTTTGGCACCTCCAGCCATGATGCTCCCGGGGAAATTCGCTGTCTTGGTTGTACTAAACACAGTGACTTGGGAGCACAGAAGCGAAAGGGGAATCCCTCTCTGTATAGATATCCAAAACGGATAAAACACTAGACGTGTTTTTCTTTTACTTGACAGATTAGATGAAGACCAGAGGAAAACCCCGCTGTATTGCTTTTATTTTTATTTTTATTATTTTTTTTATTCAACCCGTTAAAACCCAAGGCGCTTCTGCAGGGAATATTGTTCAGCTGACCGAGGATCATCGATCAAGGATGGCTGCATGATCGGACTAGTTAGCGGGTACATTGCGAAACGCCCACGAGAATTACAGTTCCTTTCTTTATTTAGAAATCCGAATTGCTAGAAGTTGACAATTTACATGTGTTCAAAATAGTATTCTATTTCCTAAAGTTCCTATATATAAGATATCTCCTATCTCATCCCTATTTCCCTGACGTGAAAGCTATTATAAGTAGTGCGACAGAAGTTCTACGGAAAGCACTCGTGGCAATAAAAATGGATCTCTCCGCAGAGATGTTAGTTGACTTGGACAGGCATGAGAACCTTGTCAGCCCTACCAGTGAACTTCTCCAGGCAGAGAGGCCTGATTCCACCTGCACTAATTTTCCAAACAGCTTTGGTTCTACCGACCATGCTGACAATTTCGGCCAAGGAAGACCAGATTCTACCTGTACTACTTTTCCAAACAACTTTGAATTCAACCCTGCCGGTGAGCATATCCTGAAAGAAACTGCCCAAATTCCACCTAGACCAGTGAAGTAAATCTGAACTTCCCAACCAACAGAGAGGCCCGACACCAGTACCAGCGCTCCAACAGGAGACCTAGCTGTCACCGCCACTGATATCACTCACCGCAAAACGAGTGCGGCTGTTGTACCAGCGGATAGATACTCTGAAGCTGCCGGGGCCCCAGACAGTCGGCGCGCTAAACTGAAGCGACGATTACCTATCCCTGTGAGACCACTGTCCAATGAACAAAATCTTAACCTAAAAAGACGAGCATCTCTTTGCGAGGAGGGTTCTCCTTGGTTGAAATACAAGAAATGCATGGAAGGCGCACCTGGGAAGACATGTCTAGCTTATGAAGTTAGATCGCCGGGTACAGTAGTGGCCATCAAACAATACAAAGATGCTCAGACCAGCCAAACACGGGTCCTTACTAAACCGTCGCACACAAATATTGTCAAAATATTGCACATATTTATAGAGCAAAAAACGGTTTATTTCGCCTATGAACGGATGGAAGTTACGCTGCAACATTTGTACTCTGTTGTGTCTCTGCAGGAACTAGAAATATCGTATACCTGTAAGGAGGTGGGACAATGTTTCTATCGCACGCTTTGACATACTCCACGCTAATATTTTAGCAGATCTTGCACGGTCTTTGGTACATCCACGAGCAACTTGGTATCTGCCACACCAGAATCCAGAGTGACAATATTTTTATCAGCGCACAGGGAGTTGTCAAGATTGGTACAAGATATTATTCAGTATATGGGACAGTGCTGACCCATTTTATAGCTGACATAGGCGCATGCATGTTAGACCGTCAGCGGGGTTCTAAGGAAATGGACATCAAAGCTGTGGGCAAGGTGCTGACGGAGCTAATGGAGCCGGGGACGAGGTATTCTACCGGAAGTATCAATCTCCTAGAGCCCGAGAAGTGGAGCCAAGAGATTCGAGATTTCCGAAGGCAAACAGATAATTCCTCTATTCTAGAACTTTTGCAGGTAAGTCTAGTAACCAGCATCCACAAGTAACCGCTCATACTAACAGGCGCCATAGCATCCCTTTCTAATAAGTGCGGCGAATTCTAACTCTGGAGTGCTCGTTGTCTCTGTTTTACGGGCAAAGGGGCTTGTGCTGCATAGTTACGAGTAATATCTGAACTGGCAGTGGAGATGGAGAGAAATTAGGGTCCTATTAATATAATCTTCAATTTGCTTCTACATTTGAAATTCGATCAATGAATTTGTAAGGGTCCCGGCCTATCAAGTGTCGTAATGGTTCCCCCAGGTCCGACAGCCTTGGTCTTGGCCCAACCAACACTAACCGGTCCCGGCACGCTGCAACCCAAAGGGAGCTCCATGGCTCGACATACACCCTACGGTCCTCACGAATAAGGACGAATCGCTGCTCCTGGTTTGCTAAATTGCCAGTGAATTTTTCAAATACCGACCGTTGTTGAGGGCTTGTAGAGAATTTCGCGTACTCTTTTCTCTCCCAGGCATAAACGACTATCAGCCCGTCCTCGGACAAGATCTGCTTCACCGTACTTGATGGTCGTCGACTCTCGACAGCGTGAAACTCGTTCATTGCAGTATCATGAGGGTCCCAAGCCCAATCCGATAAATTATCCAGATCATATGTTTCTGGTCTCACTGCCGCAGCGCTAGATCCAGTAGAAATGGAAGCGGTTACAAATGATGGGGATGCCTGTTCGGCCCGAATACCCGACTCAACGAGAGAACCAAGTCCATCTTCACCTCGCGGTAAATATTCATCTGTCGAGCTATATTCAGTGTTCTGATCAGGCTCCCATTCACCCGCTAGTAGATGATCGTTCACCCTGGCAGTGTTACTGGAGCCGCGGTCTTCCGTCACCGGTTCACCCGATAATGGTGGCAGATCATACTCCCCGAAGTAAGAAACAAATATGTCACGTTGGATTGCAAGAGACGTTGCATATGCCTGTGGAACCGGGTTATAATTGTACATGACGTCAATATATAAAAATTTTCGATCGCTCTCATAATGCTTGGATGATGGTCGGCTACAGCGGAATTTTTTGGAAAGGTTTTCAAGGTTAGTAGTAAACCTTGGCCGCCCATGAGCTGCTCGCAGTCTCGCCATAGCAGGTAAATTCTCTCCAATGTAGCTAGTGAGGTCTTCAGCCTTTTTTGTGTCCACAACATACCACGTTGGCGGGCGGACCTGCTGGAGAAAGTCTCGAGCAACTGCATGATCTTGATTTGGCGCAGCCCAGTCCCGGATTTCCTTTACTTGGGGTGTATCAAAGCCAAGTTCATAGGCGAGCTTAGCCAGCTTGAATAAACTTTCCGACTCAGTGCCATGACGGCCCGGTTTAAGTTTCCTCACATCGCGGTACGGTGCGAGATTACTAAGAACAGGAAAGTCACGCATGACAGCCAGAAAGAGTTGGCGGTACCCAATATTGGGGTTAATGCTTGAGCTGCCAAAATGATGGTTAAAGCTAGCCTCCTCCGTTTGGATGCGACATAATCCAGGATGTTGGTTTATTCCTTTGTAGCTGTGCAGAAACCCGCTGGAGACTGTTCGTTTGGATGTGTGAGGTAGGAGCTTTCGTAGTGCAATAGAACAGGCTTCAAAATAGATAAAGTCCCTCGTGAACGTGTGGAGAGACAGGATTCTTCCACTTGTACGCAGGATCCTATTCAAAATGACTTGACGATCACTCGGAGATTCAAGGGTAGGGAAGATTTTCCTACGCTCCATCATTTCCTCAATAAGAGCCCTGTCATGGAGAGAGCACTCCGGCATGAGTGTCTCGAGTAGGGTCACGGTGTTAGGGTCTAGAATTTCTGGTGAATAACCTCCTAGAATGTTGTCGCATTGCCTGTAGAGGCGCTCCAAGTAACGAGTCAGTTCCTAGAGGATATTTAGAAGGCCGACCACTGCTTGGAAGTAGAAGAATAGCATACCTCTGGGCATAATACTGAGAGCCAGCGACCCAGGTATGAGAGTTTAAGGGATTTCCAGAGCCCTACAAATGGCAGTAAGTTATCCAAGCCTCGCTTAATCCGCTTAAAATCTTTCTCCATCCGTGCCAAATCTCGCCGACTGCCTTCACTAAGATGGGCTCTCCACTTTATCTCTGAGTCCACATTGCCATTTCTCTGGTGATATCTGATGTTCCGATAAATATCGCCGTCGCAGTATGTGTGGGCGTTAGGGTGTTCCTCTTCAATAAACTCCTGTGTACGTGGAGGGAGATCTGTGGTTTGTTAGCCTGTTCAGCCTTCTTAGCAGGCTTTCTTACCATCACTGTATAGGTGAGCTATCCACCATTTGTCCCAGAGGAAGCGTTCTGCCGCTAACAGCCGATGTTTGCCATGAAGAACTGGGAGCTTAACATTCTCAGGGAGATCTAGCATATGAGGTTCTCCAGGTTCAAACAGGTCAGTCTCACTCAAGCTCTGTCTGCTTAAAGATTGTTGCAGAATTTCATCACTAATTAGCACCTTTACAAAGTTATCCGGATTAAGGCGGAGGCAGCCCTCTGATTCAAATGTGTTTACGAGAGCTTTGATATGGCTTTCGCGAATCGTTCGAACGTCTGGAATATTCCTGTTAAAAGCAAAATGCTGTAGGCGAATTTTTGCTGCTCCTCTGTAACTGTTCACTTTCTCTGCAGATATCTCCTGGTCAAGCCCAAGTTCTTGCCAGGCATGCTCCTCGCTAGCTGGCATGGTCAAATTGGGAGCCTATATGAAGGGCGTGTAAAACAGTCGAGTTGCGTGAATAAGCGTTTAATATTCGAAGGGCATAAATGTATGCGTTAATAATATTAAAGGTACTTAATATTTGAAGGGTGGTAAAAATATGTGTCAATAATAATAATAGTGTTTAAAATTCGAGGGGCCATAAAAGTATGCGTCGATAATCTTATAGCTGGCTTAATATTCTTGCTGCTCGAATATTAAACGGCTATAAGATTAAGACAGTTTAATGTTAGGGGTGCGGGAAGATTATAAGCATTAAAAATTAAACCAGCGGGAATATTATCGCCTCGCAAATATTAAAATTGTCTAATATTCCCGCTACTCTAATATTAGAAATACGATAATATTCTGGACGTCCGGTGTTATCATAGGCTTAAGACCGACGACGACCAGCTCATTCAGACCCCCCCGGTCATTGGGCGGTTGGTGCAGCGAGCTGATTGGCACGCATCGGTTGTAACGCCGCCGATCGCCACGAACTTAGATATCCCCAGAGGTTCTTTTGTCACTACGCTATGCTCCTTTGCTCCAACCGGCCGGCTATCTACTTCAGTAGGCTTTGACTTGGAAAGCTGACCAGTCGCTCGTGATGGGGTGACCAAAAACTTGTTCTAACAGTCATCCCTAGGTCCCCACACCTGTATCAGGGCGCCACCATGCTTATCATGGATTCGAATCCCGAATTAGCTCCGTGGGACCGCGTGGCACGAAGGTGGGGTGCGGCCGCCCTCTATTGGGCTAGTGTCACATTAAGGTTGCAGGATCGACGATCAGGCCTCTGGTGTTGCACTTGCATATCTGCGTTGGAAAGAAATATACACAACGTTCTGTAGGGTTCAATCGCTACTAAAAATAACCAGGTCTTTTAAAATACATTTAAAAATTAGCGAACAAAGATCAACGGAGCTCAGCGCTAATATAATGGAGCTCTGGTCTTTTGCACATATGTAATTCCGTTCAGTATCCTGGAAGATTTAAGCTAATGTATGAGGTGGGATAATGCTGAGAGATTGTGTAGGCCCAATGAATTCTACTATAACACTATCCTAGTACACTATTCTAGTACACTACTCTAGTGCAGCGTATTGAATGCATAAAAGACGACAAGCCAGACACAAGCCAGGTTCAAACCAATAATCTGCATTGCTCCAGCTGCCGACCTAAAATTGGTTTCGTGTGATGATGGAAACACTGTCGGGGTATACACAGAAGTTGTTCCAGATGCCCTACCAGAAGCGGTAACAATGGGAGTTGGTGCTTCGTGACTCTTCAACAGTGGTTCAGAGTGGCTGGTGTATGGACTGGTCGAGGACCGACGATAAGCGCTGCTCATCACGGGACTACTCGCAACACGAGATGAGCTCATAATGCGAAAGCTCGAACTAGTTTTCGCTGCTCCATATCGGCCAAAGCTTTGGCTGGTATATGGGCTGCTTGAGGACTGATGATGAGCGCTGCTCATCACGGGACTACTTGCAATATGGGATAGGCTCATAATGTGAGAGCTAGAGCCCGCTTTCGCAGCTCCATGTAGGCCGAACGTTTGGCTTGATAGATGTGGTGCATTAAGAATAAAAAGCAAGTCCGGAGAACAGCCATCGATCTTTGCTGGACCACAGAAGAAGATACGAGGCTCTGAATCTCTCACGACAAATTGTTTCTCGTCTTCAACCAGCGCGGCTTCAGGGATTCCACATGGGTACTGAGACGACAGCAGATCGCACGAGAGACCTTCAATTTGAAAGCTGACAAGATCTCCAACATTGACACTAAGCTGGTTAGGTTGAAAGCGTGGCTGCCCATCGCCAACCTTAACATGGAATGTCTGGTGTGCGGCAAGTGCGGAGGTGGTTGGGGCCACTGGAATCAAGCTAAGGTCGGTGATAGTTCGGGTCACCGGGATCACACTAATAGTGGTGGTAGTTGGGGTCACTGGGATCACGCTAAGACCAGCTTGCGCAGATGACAAGCGAAGCAGGATAAGAAGGGCTATAATGGAGATAATCATGATGCCGGGCTGGCTAGTATCTAATTTCGATATCAACTACACTCATATATATATATATATGTAAATCGCAAAATTCACCATGTCACCTTTGAAGCTTTCCGACTATCTACACACTGTCTCCGGCGGCAATGGCGGTCTATTTTTAGTACATGAGCGATATATATATGCAGGTATGGGTCTTCAAAGAGAAGGCAAACAAAGATGTCTACCCCAGCGAACAGAAAGCGAGCTTTGGCGCGGGCCACTTGCCGCCAGGAATTATCAGAACATCTTGGTATGTCGCGATCATCTTGCCTCCACCAAGCTAACAAGTAAGAAAACACACTCTCTATCACAGTAGCCGCGTCCGAGGTACGGCTCCATCCTCTTCCAAGCGACCCCTATAGATGGCAGTACAGTGAACACTATAGTCATCTATTTAAAAGAAACCTCAGCGACCTCTCTACAAAAAACTATATTGATATTCCCGGGGCCCTGCGGAACGGTCACATTTGGGCAGTCAAGCAAGTTGATCCTTATGAGCGAACAAATCCAGATCCACAGGAAAGAGACACCAACAAGAGACTTCAAGAAGAACTGGACAATCTAAGAAAAGAACGAGCCCATCTGCAAAGCGAAAATGAACGGTTGCGGAAGCTTCTTCACATCCACATCCGAAGGTCAAAAATCTTGCACCTATCGCTCACAAAAGCCGGTGAACAAACAGGTTCAGCGGTTCACATTATAGAACAACTCAAGAAGGTGCTGGGTGGGGATCACAAGATAGCATAGTCCTTCGTGTGTGTATCATCTAGAGCAATGCCGTATGAAAGAAGCAACTGTGCTTCCAACGCCGCAAGTTTTTGGGATACACTACTCAGGGATGCGCGAATTATTGCTCCGGCCTTTTGTGTGGTAGAAGACATTATAATAAAAGCATCTGACAGTTCATGCTGCTTCGATGCCGATTGTAGGGCATCCTGTATTGAACGATATATCTCACGCGCATCATTGAATACCCTCATCAGAGATATATGCGCTTCCTGATGAAATGCAAGCTCCTGTCGAAGCCGCCCAATCTCTCGTTGGAGGTCTGGTATAGTTAGGGGGGTATCGAGCTTCGATTGCCTCAAACTGCTTGACATCCGCTCGATATTGACAGTTTTACCGCCATTCTGTAAAATAAGGTGGTCAAGTGGCGTTGGTTCTGGGGAGTCCATTATATGCAGATGGGTTGAAGGGAACGAAAGTAGATTGTCATTCTTCGCAGTAGGTACAGTACATGAAAGACTTAAATACTAAATTCTACCTGCAACTGCAAGCCCCAACCAGTGGGCGCTTCTGGAATTATCACTCAACCCTCCTGTACCTTGGTATGTCCAATCGGGTTCTGACTACCTCCTGACGATACGATCGGGCCTCAGACCTTGGCCTTAAAATCAAGAAGTCATCGTTGGTTCTCGTCCGCGGATGCTCTAGAGCCTGATATAATTAATTTAGGATTTACACACCACTTTAATAGGACTCACATGTACGATAGCAGGTACATCATCATGTGTTTTGAAAATCCATTGGCGGTTCATATTGTCAGTCAAGACCACCACTGCGTGCATGTCAAACTCATTGCAGAGTTGGCGCAGTTTGCGGAAGACCGTTCTGCGCCGTCGGCCTTCGGATGATTTCGATGTTTGAGGTTCCATGATGAAGAATAGTAGTTTTGCGCTTTTGCAATTTTGTATTGTTGTGGGAAAGTGATGATGAACGAAGGAAGAAACGAACCGGGCGATACCCTGAATTTATAACTTATTGCTGCGTTAACGCTGACGAATGTCAAAAATAGTACGCTTAATCGCCCACGAGCTCGGAACTGATAGATGCCGCTTGGATTGGTGGACAGAAGGATGAAAATAGTGATGTAGTCGCCCACGGGATCCGAAAATAGTTCACATAACGCCCACGATTTCTAAAAATGAACGGAGCATGTGCTCGCTGTTTCTGCCCAGAATATTTATTTTCGAATGCCCTCCCCAAAGTGGCCAAACCAAGGAGAAAATGGATTCAACTCAATTATACGCGTGTACCTTGGGGGGTATTATTGTCTGTCTGCTTGTCTCTCGTATTATCCGATCTTGGGCGCGACGGCAACGCTGGCCACTCTGGATTGTCCGCCCGAGTAGATTTGTCTACCGGAAAATAATCTTCTTTCTTCTCAGGCATGTCGTTTATCCCCAAGTGTTTCGTAGGTGCTCGAGATACTGGGTTCTTTTACAGTCTATTTACTGGGCAGGGACGCTCACCTGCAACTTTATCAAAGCACACACCCTTCCAGCAATAGCAGCGCGTGCCGGAAACCTTGCTCTTCTAAATCTTATCCCCTTATTATTTGCCGGCCGACTGAGCCTGGCTGCGGACCTTCTAGGTCTGCCTATTCGATCCTATATCGGGATGCATGGGACTTTCGGAGCTATGACCTGTACTCAGACCGCTTTGCATGCCATTATTTCTATTAAAAATAGAGGATGGTCCCCAGCGCACCCGATCCAATTCTACGGACTCTTGGTAAGGCCTTCTCGTTCGCTATTCAACAGCGATACTAACAGGAGCAGGCACTTTCAGCTTTCTCATTGTCCATTGTTCTTCTTGTCGTTCGAAAATGCCTCTATGAGGTATTTATTAAGATGCACTACTTCCTTGCCATGGTGGCTTTGGTAGCGATCTGGCGTCATGTGCGACTCCAGAAGGTTTTTTTGCCCAGATATACATGGTGGTAGGCAGTAGCATTTTAATTGGGACGACCCTACTGCATTGGGATTATGCTTCTTGTCCGGAATGTCACTGTTCACCGATTTGGCTCGAGGGCCCAAGTCTACAGGGGTAAGGATTCAGCTCAGATTGTCATACCAGTCAATCGGCCGTTTACAGTCCATGCTGGCATGACGGTATATATTTGGATGCCCGGAGTTAGTTTCTTCTCGATGTTCTACAGTCACCCGTTTTCCATAGCATGGTGGGAAGTTAATGAGCAAGGGAAAGCGACGAGCATCTCCCTTCTGGTCCAGAAGAGAGATGGGTTTACACAAAGCCTTATGGATCACCAGGCCAAAGAGTTCCTTACGTGGTTTGACGGGCCTTACGGTGAACCGGTTGATCTGTCATCATATAACAATATCCTGTTAGTTGCATCAGGAATGGGAATCGCTGCCCAGGTCCCCTATATCCGGGAGCTGCTCAACCATCGCCCGAAATATATTTTTGTGGCGTGGGAACTTGATGACAAGAGTGAGTAATTTATCTTTTCTATAATTCGACGAGATCTCTAATAGCCGCCAGCCAATCTCGATTGGGTCTATCAGTGGATGGACCAGCTTCTTTTGCAGGATCGGGACTCCTACGTATGTCGCACCTTTAAAGATCTGGGGTCTTATACTAATAATGGCCAGATCCTTCGGTTCGGCCTTTATCTGCCCAGTCGTACAAATAGCCCAGAGCAACCAGAACCTTGGAACAGTAAACATGATCGCATCTGGAAGCTGTCCGGTGAAATCGACCCTTGGAAGGTAGTATCAACTGATTTCTGGACGCAAAGTGGAACTTCATTGGTGACAGGTAACCCTTGCCAACAAATATTTGACGCTCAGTCTAACGTGGTAGTTTCTGCAAATAAACGTATCCGAACCAAGATCACGGAAGTCATACAGAAAAGAATGGGGAATGTTGTTGATCTACTTGAGCTCCCCTTTCAACCAACGAGCCCGCAAATACAGCGATATCAGAAAACTAATGCTGGAGAACGGGTATAGCGATCCAATTATATGATGTATTTACCCGGATGGAGACTGCATTGCCTGGCTTGGATTCTATGGAAGGGTGATTATTTGACCTGTCAGCAGAAGGGAAGCAAGTTGGATAGATTTAGCATACAAATTTAGGGGAGTAATCCACATAACCAGTTTAACCCTCCAAAAGGAAGAGCTGCTCTTTCAACTCAGCCAAAAAGGTCCAATACTACAGAAGCATAAGTTACTTCTTGCACCTTGCAGCTCAGATACTTCAGATCATCCGCAGCCGTGGATCGGCTTTCGCGCATTGTATATATGTAAGACATGAAAGCTGTGGATGTTTGGGTTGCAGACCTCCGTTTTCACGTCCGTGATCAAACGGTGGATTTCCTCTGGAGTCCATCTAAGGATCCGTGTAAACGGGGCGAGGCTGAGTGGTTCAATGCTATCAAAGAATACTCTACCATACCAAAGGCCAATGTGTTGTTTCTGGCAGCGAAGGTGCCACTGATTCAAGGGCAGCGTGATTTGCTTGTGCCGAATATCGGTAAACCCAGCCTTCTGCAACTGACTCAATGTCGTGTTACATCGATGGTGTATCGGTCTTAGAGTGACTTCTGTTGCCCATTTCAGGCTTTGGTACCAATACTGTAGAGCTGAACCATCCTTGGTGCGATTCTCACACCTTGGTTCAAGGTCGATCTCAAGTTGCTCAAGCCAGGCACCAGGACGCAGATGGGCAAAAACCTGATTATAGAGCTCCGGCCAGCTGGTAACACTCCCACTACACATCTGAAGCCGGATAACATCCCAGAATCCACTGCCCATTCGCCAGGGAAACTCAAAGTCGAAGGGTGCATAAAAATCACAGTTCTGAGGGCTGTTAGAAGGTTGAATCGGAGAGAGATCGACTCCAACGACAACTGCTTCTGGGTATGCTTTTGCCAAATCAATAGCCCAAATACCCGTTCCACAGCCTAAGTCGAGAAACCGGCCAGTGGGAGGGAGAGGGACGTGGATCAGTTTACCAGTCACCTCCAAGAGCGCTTTGTGGAAAAAATCTAATCGATCCTGCTCTATCTCATCGTTCGGTAACATGTACTTTCCCGCATGAAACTCATGGTATGTCCGATCATTCTCAGTGTAGTCAGCCGCCTTCTCAATGCTTAAAGGCCGGGAACCGTGATGGCTAGAATCTCCGCTCGCGTCGAAAGCAGACTGGCCGGGCTTCAACGGTGGAGAGCTTGGGTGGATTATCTCACGGATGCTCATTATATTTGGCCGACGTTCTGGCGGCTCAGATTGAGCTGGCTTCATCTGACCAAGGGATGAGAGCTGGGAAGCCATCTCAATCCAAGTACGCAAGTTTTCTTGCGGCATCTGCTTCCCGTCAGCGGTAGATGGCCAGGGTTATGGGTGACTCACCACCTTGATAAGAGAGTTTTCCACAATGGGGTCGGGGCTTTTGGCTTTGTGACTATCACGATAGAGCATGACTGGATGAGAGGAAAAGTTGGAATCAAGCGGCGCAGTCAAGTTGCAGGTGCATCGGGCCTAGGCCTTATTATATAGTTTATCGCTTAGCCTTATCAATTTTAGCACTACGCCATTCAGCCTCAGTGCGCTTACCAGGTTCGGATTCTAGTTGAACTTCCCCGGATTAGCGTGTCGTGCCAACGCCGCAAGAGGGTGAGTTGCCGCAACACCTTATTGGCCTGGTGGCATACATTAAAGTTCAGGATCGGCGAACGAATATAGAAAGCTAATATTACAGCAAGAATAATTCCGGCTGAACGCAAAGAGATTCAATTGCTTAGACTAGAGGATAAACTTTCTAACTCACATTTTAGCAAGAGTTTTAATCCTATTACTATTGACTCCAAGGAAATAGGCAGGCTTGCGGGAATTGGAAATGATGTGTGTCCGGATTTGTTATCTACTATTAAATATAGACTACGCAGGGTGGTTGTGTACTTATCAAAACCTTTCCCAATTAAGTAGATAAAAGCAAGAATGCGATGGTAATTGAGGCTTGATGTTTTTATTTTATCCAACGCAAAACAATTAATTCCTTATAAAGTATATTAAAGAACACAATATGTAATATAAATGGGAAAGTTGATGAGCCCATAAGGGCCCTCTCCAAAGTGCAATTCTAATTACAGATAAGGCACTCTAGATTATACATATACTAATAGTCTAGTGGTAATACATTAGGTCTAGTAATCTAGAGGTACTAGGTTCGACTCCTAGTAGGTGCTTGAGTCTATATTAGATCATCTGTACAGCAGTTGGCTAATATCGATTCGTCCAGTGAAAGTTTTTGCCCAGATATGTACGTGGTGGTTGACCACGAAGAGTCATAACCTACGGGTTTTCAACCGAGTGCCTCTGAGCCACTATCGCAAAAGCCTCGAGGATAGTCTCTTTGTGCTTTCCGAATATTTTATACTTACTTTGACCTTGATCGCTAATCTAGCCCTCTATTCCAAGTTGTGCCAGAAAAATTGGCTGGGTGCATGTGTTCTTGATGACGGAGATTGGCTTACTCTATCCCAATTTTCTCGCCCTTATAGGGAAAAGAAAAGAGAAGAAAAACCCTTGTCTTTCACAAAGATATTAATTTTTCCTTCTGCGTACATGTGTTTTTTCTTTACTCTTAGAATCTAGATGATCCGGAGACATACTAACCTCGAGACACATGCTCACCAGCTGTGGTCCTGTTCACATCTAGAATTCTCTATTTTTATCCTTCGCTTAAACCTAATTATAATTTACAGTGAGGGTGAAACAAGTACAATTTGTTATAGCGAAACATCTTGTATCATATCTTCCTATCTAAGAAGTGTCGCTAGTAGACATGAACACACAGTGAATAACGAGCTCTTTTTTACCTTTCTCAGCAACCCAGGTCTTTTCTATGCCAATAAACACATTCGAGAAGAAGAAAGGGTACAACATAGTTGCCATAGTTGCCACACTTTATAATTAAAGGCCGCTTATTATTTCATGCTGGATATCATCTGTCCATTCTTTTTTGAATCCTTCGTGAGCGAGATAACTTGTTCGCTATTTCGTTATAACTTCTCGCATAGCCCTGGGATTGTAATTCCCCGAGTATGTCTGTTAATTCTTGCTGAGACACCCGCTTTTTCGAAATATAAGGCTGCAGAATTGAGAATTCTTCAGGAGTCCACCTTTTAAAGCACTTAAGTTTATATGCTTGTCTCAATTTCCCCATTTTTTGCTGTATTGCCCTGTCAGTTCTATGCGAACCCTTCCTGGCCAAATGATCCCTGATGGTCTTCAGCTCCTTAGCATTAACCCGGCTCTTCCCAACCCATTCCCATAAAACTAAGATCTCGTAATACTCCCAGCAGGAATATTGTTTATCGGAAAGCGGCGGAATAGAGGGGGAAGTAAGAAGATTATGAGACTCTGCATCAATGCTACGGAAAGCACTATGGGAAACAAATATTTTAGAACTTGAGGGGGATAAAGTATACATTATCTCATGGTTTAACTCACCTATTCCCATACATATTCTCTTTACCCCCTAGAAATAGCTCTCGCTCTTTCGGGTGTGTCTCTGTCGGGAACTGTCTCGGTACAATGTGGTGCTGAGTTGGTAATGCACCAGTACTGGTTCTTCTGAGGGTGATATCCCGTGCCGGATCATAGAAAGTGCTGGATGATATATTTTAGTGTTAGATTTGCTTTAGAAAAATAGGATTCCTACCTTTCCTGATACGGCATGTGACAGTTTAAGGTGTTTTTTTGCTCGAGCCCTTTATTATTATACTTACTTCCCAATTGACAATAGATTTGCCTACTTTGGGGGAAGCAGCAAATTTTTTCATCAGGTTGCATGATGATGGACCTGCACCCGCGGATATAAGAAACAAAAGGATTTCCCACTTGCCTACGCCGGGGCGAGGGGGTACTTAATGTGTAGACTGCATCATTAGTTCAGGTTTCCTAAGGCTCCTACTACCCCTGCAAGGATCCGTATGCCAATACCGAAAAGGAATGTGGAGGGATTAGCATCTTCGAGGACATCTTTAAACAATTACAGGTTAATAAATCAGAGAAAATGCTGGTTTATCTGATATGTTACCTACCCAAACAGTCAGCAAGCTAAATAATCTGCCTTCTCTGGGCCAGGCTTAGAATAGCTTTAATAAGATGTCTGGAAGACTATTAGACTAATATCACCCGGCTACTTGGGATGGAAAAAATGGTGAGACTCGGCCTTGGCCTCTTAAGAAACTTTGGGTTGCCCTTTTTTCTTTTTTTTGTTTTTGAAAACGCCCCTGAAAATTTCTTTTCTAAATGTATCTAGGCACGGGGTGTGGATGCACTCTCTCCATTGGATATTGGATATATGCAATTGTTTCTTCTTTGCTCCTAGAATGTGGGCTATCCAGAGAGATATTTCTGGCTGTATAGCTGACCTTGAGACACAAGCTTACCGGCTGTGGCTCTCTTCACAACTACTCCGTAGAAATTCTCTGTTTTATCCTGCGCTTAAACTTAATTAAATTTACTATAGTGATGAAGCAAGCGCAATTTATTATAGTAAAGTTCTTCTTGCCTCACGTCTTCCTATCTAAAGGGTACCGCTAGTAGACATGTGATCAAACACACAGCGAATAACTTGCTCTTCTTCACCTTCCTCAGTAACCCCAATCTTTTCTATGTCCTCCATGCTTGCCCACTTGAATGCGTGGTACTCTCCGGGCTTTATTGTGACATGATTCTGCCATTCTTCTTTTCCTTGGCCACTGGCTTTGATAATAAGGTTAAGCCTTGCCACTTTCTTCTCATTCTGAATAGACAAGGTTTCTTTCGCAAAGTCCGTCCACTCTGCTACTCCCCAACCTGTCTTTTCCTTGATTTTGCGTGAAATAATATCAAACACTAATACATCTCCTTCACCTTTAACTTCTCCCTTAATTCCTCCCCATATACCATTTTTCTCCTGGAGAAGAAGAACTCTTGTATTGGCAGTGTCAACGATAAAGGTGGTAAAGGTAATTTTAAAAACACCAGGCCTCTGTGATTGGAAGTCGCGCAACGGAATATTATAAGGATTTGGGTAAAATGTGCTGATTCCTTCCTCTTGTAGTAGTCAGTATCAGATAAATTATAAACTATAGAAAAATTGCAGGATAACGGAAAATCTCGATTTGGCACTTACTTCCTATGGCTATTTCTAATGAAGGAGAGAGCGAAGAAGTCCTTTCACAACTCATATTGTACACTAATATTGTAAACCATACGTTAGTAGAGGCTTGCTTATGTGGATAAACCGTTCTTACCTCGATAATCCAAATAATACTGGAAGAATAGAAAGAAAATATGAGAGAATTGGAACACTCCTAGAAATAAATGTAAACGTCTCGTTATGTAGCTTAAGGATCAAATAGCTGCAGCCTTGCCTCTTATTGTACCCCTGCTTGCTCGCCATTACAAAAGAAAGCTGTACCATCTGCAAGGATTTTAATTCGCCCCTGCCACATGGGTCCCCCTTTTTTTTTTTTTTGAGACTATTTACTCTTAGGTATCAAGAATAGTACAAGGACCCTATATACGTTTTATTTTTTTTAAAAAATAATTTTGTCCTGGAATTTAAGAATATACGAGGCATATATTTTTTTCATTTATAACTATGTAATGCAACTAGATGTCCGTAAAATATATACCTATATTCTTAATCTCATCCCGTTGTGGGCGGTGGAGGTGGTGCTTCTGGCTTCGTAACACCAGGGGTATCGTAGGCGCCGCGCACATTTCCTGGATCTTTAAAATCTTCATTCCAGCATAAGACACCCTAAACCCGGTCAGCAACTTTAGCTTAGATTTTGTGGCCTATCCTGCCTTGTTTGTCTCTTTATTCTGCGCCATTTTTCACCGCACTACCTTCTAGATAGATTTCAACTTTCGTATGATTAGGTCAAGCATAGGATCAACTCGAGCTAGAAGTATTCAAACCTTGTCACAGGTAGAGGAAGGCCAGCTGAACTTATATCTGACTGTTCTCTGAAAGAGTAGGAAAGGAGGGCAACAATAACAAAAAGAAACCAAAAAACCAACACCAACTCTAGGAGAGATTCCATCGAGATAGCTGTGAAAATCCTATCTTGACTATATGGTTCGATTGGACGCAGTTCTCTACCATGTGGATGGTATGTATAGCTTATATTTATTTGTCTCTGAAATCCATTATTAGACTTTTGCGAGGATCTTGGATAACGGAGATATTTCACGAGAACCAGTAAACTACCTAGGACTCCAATTTGAGCCTCTCAGAAGACTCGAACAATTTACATCAGATAAATAAAGAATTACCAGTAAAATCCATACCTACTACTGTGAATCAATGCTTTGGGGGAAAGAAGACGCCGGAGGTTTTTTCTTAATCCAGCTTGCTCCTCCTCTTTAAAAAATGGTAATGGGCAGAGCACTCTTCCAGTAGTTTGATCGAAATATTTCACTTTAAATACCAAGAATGGCTCCAAATCAGGACCATAACACACTCCCCCATAGCCAAACCAAAACTGGATCTTGTTGCAGATATTTTTATCCAAGATGCAGCTCTCTCTATTTTGCTTTTTCTAAGTTAGCTTCTCGATTAAAATACCCATGCATGACTCACTTACCATCTCGGAAAGACTTGGGAGTATGATCGTCCTGTCACTTTCTACTGATGACGTCCTGGCAGTAGAGGCAGCTGATGGGGCCTTGTCCATGCATATGCCTGATCCTTTAGCAACGTTAATTACTTCGCCTCATCCGAAAACCGATGGTAGAAGAACTTACGAGGGAACAAAGAATAGCTCCGTTCATTGGTTGGCTCACTCTGTGGGTCAGCGCACTGGACCTGGCCAGGAGCAGGAATCGGATGGCGAGCGTCATCTTGTCCGAACGGCAACGGCGTCGCGTTATCCAGGCCATTGTCCAGGTGCCGTTCTAAGTCAGTTATGTCCTCTGAGCGGCAAGTGCCAGGGAGAAACTGCCTCAACCAGCGTAGAATCATAACATGCAGGAATTGGATGTTCAAGCAAGGCATGATTCGTCAAGACAAGAGCCAATTATGCTGTGTAGAGGAGCAGATCTGAACGTACTGTCAAGTAACTGGACTAATCCTGCCTTGTACCTAGGACGAACATGCGGTGAGCAATTCGGGCTTACCTCTGTCTTATATCTTCATATGCGTTTTCTCGTATAGGAATAGATTATCTGGGCATTTGTGATTCCTGGTACCGCGTGCTATTCAGTATTGTGATGCAGGACGCATAAAAGAAATCTCGAACCCTTAATCTGTATAGCAACTTGACTTAGTAGCCAATCCCATCGTCGGAAACTGGTCAATTGATAGGTGAATGATATAGTTAGTGGAAACTTAAATTAATCAATCTATGCTTGCACTTAGGATGAATGTAGGACATGGCAAACAACATCCACCTTCAAAATCATTAGGAATACTCTATAATTGGTTTGTAGGCTGGGATAGGTTAGATAGTGACTGGTTTACGGCCCAGAATAGGTTAAATCATGTACTGGTTTACGGTCCAGAATAGGTTAGATCGTGCATCAGTTTACTGCCCAGAATAGGTTAGAGAGTGACTAGCTTATGGCCCAGAATAGGTTAGAAAGTGACTGGTTTATGGGCCAGAAAAAGTTAGACCGCGCACTGGTTTACAGCCCATAATAGGTTAGATCGTGACGGGTTTACGGCCCAGAATGGTTTAGATCGTTACTGGTTTATGGCCCAGAATTGGTTAGTTCGTGGACTGGTTTACAGCCCAGAATGGGTTAGATCGTGAACTTGTTTGTGCCCCAGAATAGGTTAGAGTGAGACTGTTCGATTGTGACTGGTTTACCTGAGTAGATGAAACACCAGCTCCCAACTTACATCTAGTACTATTGGGCTGTAACTAGGGTCACCGCTGAAAGCAGAGCTGGATACCGACTATTTGATTGCATATACCCATAGTGCATTTAGCGTACTTGAAGAGATCTGGTATCCTGTGAATGAGTATATTAATCCATAGATCGCCCGGTCTTGTGTATAGAGATATATCAGTTTCCGTCACTCTACTTTTCCCTAGCCAATCCAATTTACCTATCACGGTTCTTCTCTTACAAAATATGTCCAGGTTTATAGCTCGCTTCAGTATCTTTCCCAAGGAACTTTTCCGTCTAAATAACGGTAACACAATCCGGATCCGTGACCGAGCTGTCAAGCGGGTTGGCAGTTTTGATGTGACAACTGAAGATGGAAAGGTGAAGCCAAAAGCTGTTGATCACCCTGACACATACCAGCGTACGAGATCTTTAATCTTATGGGTGATATAAACTAATAACATACAGCACCAAACGGTGCCTCGATGAGACCAAACACTAAAACACAGCACGACCTTGTCAAGAACTTCATTGGCAAGGATATGATTGTCTATTCCGTTCCCTTAGGTATGGTACAGTATGGCGAACCATCAGATCGGTGCTAAGTACCCATAGGTACCAAGCTCCCTGACGACTTGACTCTCGTTCATGAAAAAGGAGACCATTTCTCTCTCCAACCAACAAGAGAAATGACTTTAGAAGGTCTGAGTCTTATGCTCCTTCCTAATAATCATGCTAACGGTGCTTATAGAATTTAATTCGAAAATTAACGAGTTTTATAGAATGTCAGCGAAGCAATTCACAAGGGAGCAATGGCTCGAGGCCTATCCGTCACCTTCGGAAACAGCTTAAATCGGCGGACATGTCTTCGAAAATCGTTGATGCGAAATCGCCGCAGTTTTTAGATAAACAGGCCATAGTAAAGTTATGAGACATAGGACACTTGCCGAAAAGTTGGTTTGGACAGCGGGAACTTGTTTGTTATATCGAGGGCTCATAAGAGAGCAATAAAAAGAATATCTTATCTTCGGCTGTAGTACTATCCTTGTGCAGTGGGGCGAAAAATATTTGAACCCCTGATTTGTCTTTGCACGCCGCCTACCTAGTGTCTGACGGTCAAATCCTTCGGATATGAAGATTTAGTGGTAGGTATGATAGGCGGCGGTACTACTATTCTTTGTCAGGTCTTCCATGTAGGCTGGTAAAGTTTTGTGGAGACATCTAGGCTAGTTTCGCCGCTTGGCATTATTAAGTTAGATGTTTGTGGTGTTTGCATCAAACCACCCCGAGTCCCCCAATCCCCATAAGTCGCATATTTATAACTACCATTCCTCTCCTTCCATTCACACTTTCTTCCCTGCCTCCAAATTTCTCTCTGACCTTGTGGTATCTACATATTGAATCTGGACGCTTATTTAATTAATTATTAAGACTTAACTCTGCACCTCATACAATGCTCACAAGAACCAACATTTGGTCTCATCGCACTCGATTTTTACGGGCCACTGCTGAGCGCCAGCGGAAATTCTCTTTGATATCTGTGCACTCCAGTTTCCCAGCAACAATGCATCGCTTCCAGATGCAACCAAAATCGCAACTCTTCGACTTCGAAAAACAGCAGGGACGTTATGTGCGAGACAGCCTAGTAGTATCAGAAGGTGGCCTGGTTTTTCCTAAACTCTCTGGGTCTTTTCCTTGTATGAACGGGCTTTACACTACCTTATTAGTACCATTAATATCTAATCACTTGCAGACTCAAATGGTCCGGTGTTTAGGCCTAATACTTGTTTAATGCAGGAATTACTTCGAACCGACTACGATCGCTATGATGAAGAAGTGGAAGGTGGTTATTCTCCTGCTGATCCGCAAGTTGTGTCTATTAAAAAAGGTTATAATCCAACACTGTACGTGATTTGGTGTCTAACTTTAATAGGAACGGAAATACCCGAAAGTTTAGTGCTCTTCCGCGAAGATTCCTCTCGGTTCTCACTTCAACCGTCACGCCCATTGTTACTGGATGGTAAGTTAATGCACCGAGTATGACATTCTATCTACTAACTTATTAAGATTTCAACAACATACTAGATGAGTTCTACTCAACATCCGCCATCTTAACTAATGCGGCTGATTGGATGGAAACGCATGAATATCACAACGCTTTTGCGGACAATGCAGAGGAGGTTTGGATACAACACTGAGCATTTATCTTGTTTTCTTGGTTTAAGCCTCTTTCTATCCTAGGCGCAACTTCAGTCCATACGTTTCCCAAGTCATATCGCAAGTCGCCAAGTTTAAGAACCACGTTGTCGAGGTTAAAACCTAGACAGTATCATCAAATTGATGTAAATGGAATACGAGGAAAAGAAAAGAGGTCACTATGTTTGACAACGTTCTGGAAACAAATGCGGTCCCCTCTTGTTCCAAGATAGTAATGTAGCTATTATCTATGTCCAAGAGTGTGGTCGCTATTCATCAAGGATACTAGAATGTATATTCTTGCACCCATAGCAACTGTGCTAGGTATGCTATAGGCATGTGTCACACGCTTAACTCCTTGCAAGTTAGAAAGAACTAATACTAAGGACTTTAACTGTTCAAAGCACCTAGAGTATTGGCAAGTAGCAGTAACCTGGGAATAAACTATTGTACTTACATTGATTGTGCTTCAGATTAACAGATTACCTAGAATGGAAAAGATGAGGTTATCCGGGGAGATAGCATGAAACATACACGTGTATCACCAGGTCTCCGAGCCAACAGTGTGCACATAGCCTCCCTGTATTTATTGACTGTGCATCAGTTCCCAATTCGGCCTAACGTAGCATGCATTAGTCAGGAGCTCGAGGAATAATATTAAACCAAAAAAAAAAAAAAAAAAGTGCATGCAATCAGCAGCCCGCGTACCTCGAGTGTTTCGAGATACTTAAATTTTTTCCCAAAAAAGATGCTCATATGACCATAAATCACGTGATTTATTTATCACCACCTTAACGGAAAGATCCTCCTGAGCCTAACCCCGCGCTACTGCCCCTCCGATAATAATTTACCTAGAAAACCTGAGTGCAAATCAGAACAAGAAGCACAATCTTTCAAACAAGTTAAAAATACTGGGTTTATTATCTCTAAGTGAATATTAATTTCCCCCGGATCCGCGCTTGAGGCAATGGAGGAACATGGCTTTGGCATCATCGATTGCGCGCCGGCAGATCCTGACCTCATTATGGCGGCAAAAGCAGAGTTTCAGAGTTCACTACAAGCGTCTGAAAAACATTCATCCAAGAGCGGTTGCGTTGCAATAGACAAATTTGGTCCCTCCTGCCGAAAATTGTTTTATCATGGTATAGATGTAAGATACCTACACACCTCTAAAGTTGGCATTGGTTCACCTTACTAACTACTCGAAGCTGACTAGTAACGAGTTTATTATCAAACAATGTGGCCCATACGATGACGCAGCTAAAGATGAAGCTATTTTTTTAACTGTTACGAATGAACCGCAGCTTCCGCCATGGAGAGCGGGACCTGGAAAAGTCCTGCTCTTCAAACCGATAGACCATGTATTAAGTGAAGAAGTTGGGTTCCTGAAGTGCTTCCAGGGATCACAAAAGGGAGCTTCAATAGAAAATTTGCGCGAGAGAAGCATTCATGTTGGGCTAGATAAGGTGCTCGTGATGGATGGAGATCTGGTTATCAGATGGCCCAAAACAGGAGGTGGCGTTTTTATGCTGCAGGGAATCATGAAAAAATCTCACAGATAAATGCTTTCTTTGTTTATTTTCTTTTTTATTTTTTCGCATTGTTCCACCTTAGCATATAGGACATTAAATGGAGTTTTCGCATTAGGAAGTCAACAGGTTTAGGATTGAAAAAGCGTGTTCATTATAGCAGGATCTGCCTCGAACTGGGTGAAGAGTGCCCCTGAAATAGACGGGTCACTACTAAACGGGTCAAATGAATTATTGTCCACCGTGGGCTCAGGCTGTGAGGATTCGTGACCGTTGCGAAGATCAGAAAGGTAAAAACTCATTCCAGGCAGCGAATGATTTGCAGCAGGCGTGGACCCGTACGGCGCATTTTGACCATTATAGGAATCAGAATATAGGGGGTTTAACACAGGTAGTTGGCTGCTTGTAGTATGGCTGTCACTGGAACTATTAAAAGAAGGGACATCCATTGTTGGTGTAGGAACATATGGATTTCGGAAATTATTCAGTTCAGAAACAACAGAAGTCAGCCCAGGGAATTGTTGGTTTGGAGCAGACTGGTTAAATAGAGAGTTGTTTATGCAAGGGTCAGGCTCAAAAATATTGTGACCAATACTTCCAGAAAGTCCGTAACTTAGAGGAGTATTATTAATGCACTGGCTAAATAGGGAATTGTTAATTCCGGGGTCCGGTTCAAATAGATTGTGACCAGTACAAGAATAGTCTAGTACACAGTTTGAAGTAGTATTGTTCATTAATTGGTTGAACAAAGAGTTATTGATAGCGGGGTCTGGTTCAAAACTTTGGTTCAAAGTATGGGAGGACTCATATGTTGGAGCCGTATCTTCAATAGATTTGCTGAAGACGGAGCTGAATATAGCGGGTTCAGGCTTTCCATGGCTAGTGTACGTAGAACCTGCCCCTTTACTGTGGACAATGGATCTATTGAACAGGGTATTGTTTATACCGGGATCTGGCTCAAATGGATCCATTTCAGGTCGCTGATTAAGCACCTCATGGAAGGGTTGTGTTCCTCCGACATGCAGAGGAAGCTGAACATCATGAGAAGATATCTTTAGACCATTCAAGCCTATTAAAATTAAGTATAGTGTTAACATATCTGGCAATGTTACTAAGGACATTGCACATACTAAATTGATTCACTGACGCGAATTGGTCTTCACTGGGCAAATTTTGAATACTCTTCGGACATTCGGCAGTTTGCTTATCTGTACTGGTCTCGACTGGACGAGCTTGGAAACATATAACCGAAGCATAATCTGCGAGATCAATTAGAATCCATTTTAGAAATTCGAAAATACCAAGAACAGTACCGCTGATCCCTTTGGCCTTTCCCACTTTCCTTTTCTCTTGTCTTAGGCCCTGGCATCGGTGCTTGTGTAGGTGCTCAATAACATTGCATTGCTGTTGAAATAGCTTCCTGCAACTTGGGCAACGGAACCTCTTTGGGTCATCTAGTGCGCAGCCCCTATCAGTAATACTATTTCAGTTTGTTGGTGGGAGCCTCACGAGTCGTTAAGTGTCTCTTTAGCGAATAAGCCTTGCGGAATTGGCGTGGGCATAGATGACAATGAAAGAAGCCCCCGTTGGGTAGTGGACCATCCTTTTGGAAATAACTGTGGACAGAATCTTGCTGTCGCCAACAGAAATATACAGGGTCTTGCGTAGAGGTAGAACCAATACTAGACATATTTCGACGCGTTATGGAGTACTCCGTATACCACTCCGGATCCAGAGGGCCGTAAAAAGTGACCAACAAATAATGAAACTCCAGAGTGTGAACGGTGAAGCGGGGTAGGTATCCAGGCAGGCTCCATCAACAGTCAGCATGACCCACATCGACAATGGGGAGTAGCCAATAAACTAGTGACGCTTATATCTTAGTCGAACCCAACTACAAATTCAAGGTGCGACCAGATATAATGATCAGGTTAGGAGTCTGAAATGAGCTAGGCTTAGTACCTCTTTAAATTAATTATTGTGTATCCTAACTAATTCCCGGATTTATTAGTTAACACTTTCCAGCCTAAAAATAATTATTGTTAGTTTGATACGTAAAAGCATTTTGGCAACAAACAGCCAAGCGAAAAATGCAACGCAAAAAAGGGGCGTGGGCAAAAAAAAGAAATTAAAGGACACGTCAACCCTTCCAGGATCATATGGCTGGTTGAGTACAGAATAGAGAGGGCATCAAGCGGTTCAGTCAGCTTCAGGGGACTTCAGGTGAAGGGGTGAAGGAGGGTGAAGGTAGGGCGGCACGGGCGCTAAACCCGACGAGTCAAAAAAAGCTGGTGAAGACGGACATACAACAGCCGGGATTCGCTGGTGGTCACCCACCCAACTACTAACCGGCCGGCGTGTGGCTTAAGTACGGCTGAGCGGACGGGAAGCCCTGTTCTCCACACCCTGTGGTCGTATGTATCAAATGGATTTACTCTAGTCATTCATAATAATAATGCCGCATAAGCCACTTGCCATCTTGGGCTCGCCAGAAACCCCCAGTAATTTCTTGTATAGCCAGCCCTATCGAGGCCAACATACACTTCCTGCTCGCCCGCCACTTAAAGAACGTGGTCGTGTCAATGCGCCTTGAAACACAGAACAGAGGAGAAATTAGTATGTTGGAGTCTGAAAGAAAAATAGTTTACCAGCTATATATGAATCCTAATATGGCTTATGATGATAACGCTTCTTGATATATAAGGGGCAGTTGTTTCAAATTTGACTCTCGGGCCAATTACCCATTTGTCCCTGTTGTCCCTGTTGTCCCTATTGGCCCTATTGGCCCTCTGTTCGCGAGGCACAATTCTCTTCAATTCAGGAGCTCGGGCGAGCTGACTATCTAGATGGGTGACTAAGTGAGGCCACGTGATCATACCGAATATGGTAGGTCCCTAACACACTCGAAGACCCACGTGATTTCATTCGTATTTGTTTACCGTCCTTTCTTTCCTTTCCTTCAACGATTCCTTTTTGCACATAGCCTATCTTATGTCAGATATACGGCTAGTCGCGAAGAGGAAATAGAGTACGATTGGTAAAAAGGTCTTATTTGAATGAATTGAGCTGGTTGGGCTCTTCTTGATTATTCTTCTTGGTTATTCTTGTTGAGTGCTCCGCGGGGGTTACCCCGATCTAGTCACATGATTCTGGTCCACCAACGGCCATATTATTTGACATGTTATAGGTTCTACGGGTTCAGCCCCCTGACAGATGTGACTCGTAGGCTGACCGTTGGGAGGGATTCGGGATCCCGAAAGGGTTCAAGTCCCGTCCCATATTCCCAATGGGAATTAAATTTTGATTCCCTTCCCATGCCACGCTATTTGGGAAGGGATTCCCATTATATGGGATTCGGGAGGGGATATTCCCATTCCCTCTTATCTTAAAAATCACGTCCCGTTTCCCGTCCCATTTCTTAACCTAAGATTCCGAATCCCGTCCCACTTCCTAATATGGTATAGTCTAAAAATTTTTATAGCATAAAAATATAAAATATTACTATGTAAAGTAACATAAAGTAGTTAATTATCACGTGATTAAAAAATTACCATGGGATTTTCCTAGGAATCGGGATATTCCCACTCCCTTCCCATCTATAAGCTCGTTCCCGTTTCCCGTCCCATTCCCGAATGGGATATTCCCTAAAATCCCTAATTCCCATAAATATCCTGAAATTGGTCCCGTTCCCGTCCCGGTCCCATTCGGGAGGGAAATCCCAAGGGAAAATCCCCTCCCAACGGCCAGCCTAGATGTGAGCCTCAAATATCTCTGACCCTATTATCCAAGGATTAAAAGAATATATAACTAAAATAATATTATAGAGAATAACTATATAGCCTAATATAACCATTACTTTTTAAAGAACTAGAACCTAGGTTGGAAAATTATGTAAAAAGACATGACATAGAGGTAGTTACTTCCACATGTCTATTCTAGGAATCGGAGTATATTAATTCCACGATAACCTTAACTTTATCTACGGATAATACTAAGACCGGAGTATATGGACCAATAATAGACTCATATCAGGCCATAATTAGGACAATTTGAAACACCATGAGCAAAATACTCCGCGGCCAAATCCCAGCCCTCCACTGAACACACCGTGATTATCCACATGCCACGTTTAGCCATGATTTTTGTACCTGTTGTGAGAGCGCTAGATGATGCTGTACTCATGAGTTGTATGTATTCGACTTCGACCTCTTCAACTGAATACACATCAATCGGACCCAGTATAATTTACACCTGAAAGGCCTGAAACGCCATCGCACCAAAAATGAGTCCAATACGTCCATCCCTATCTCCAATAATATCATATAATTTGATCAATATGTCCCCTATGATCACTGACAACCCCACAACCCCCCTCGCCATACCCGAGCCCAAATCCATGACCGTGTCCGTGAAGGAGATAGCATCCAATACCACTCCCTCATTTCCAGTGGACGAACACACACAAACGGCAGAGACCCTCCTCGCCGTGCTGAAGCCCTATCGCCCAATGCCCACGATCGCTGGGCCCAGGGCGCCGCTCGATTCGTCTCCATCATTCGTCGCTTCGTCGAAAACGACCTCCCCGTGCAGATGTGTCTGCCTGCGTTCCCGTGGAAATCGGCAAATAAGGTGTACAAGGTGCTGGGGGTTTTGCCGGATAAGGCGGAGGAGGTGGCTCTCAAACGGATGAATACTATCTGTGAGGAAATGGGGAGGGTGTATAAACCTGGTGCGGAGTTGCTGGTTATTTCCGATGGGTTGGTGTATAATGGTGTGCCATCTCTCTCTAACAAGATTTATGTCGATGGTGTTAATGCTGGAAGACCTCCTGACGATCCCCGACCGTGATGTATGGGCCTACGGAGAAGGACTACGGGCTATGGCTGTTGAGAAAGAATGTACGCATCTCCGATTTAGTCGACTCAAGGATCTGGTGCATATGCCGGGTCTGCCGGATCCACTGGAGGAAATCACCTACGTGGCTAACGCTTCAAATTTCCGACGGGCGCTGCTGAATCAGTTCGAAAAGTCGGATCTCAACGTGACCAAGGAGATCGCAGAGAAGGAGGACACCAGACTGACGTACTATGGGTATACACGATTCCTGGAGAACGACCTGCGGCATATCTTCGAACGGGGAGAGAATCGTAGTGGGATGAAGTATCGGAAGGATGTTAAGTATTTGGCTAAGCAGATGATTGCACGAGGATATGTAAGTTTCCCTCTTCTTGTCCTTTTTTTTTTTCTTCCCTTTTCTTTCTTTCCTTTATATTTTTTGCTAATAATGAAAAGGCATTCGGAGCAGCTGTCAAGCATAATTTCCCTGACTATCTCCGTCTCAGTATCCACCAGTCAACAGGCGAGCACAAGGTGTCTATTAGTCTGTTGCCGACACGCACGTCGTACACGACGCCGTGGCACTGCAGCGTAGCGTTCCTGGCTGATGGAAGTCTGATCAGTCGGCCTAAGGGGGAATTTGAGGACGATCCGAGGTATGAGCTGGTTTGTGAAAATGGGAGACCGAGCTATTTCAGGGAGGTGGCTATTTAGACTTGACTTATACTGTCTTATATCTATTAGCTTATATCTTTGTCTGTTGAGTCTGTTATTCCTGTATCTATTTTATCTCTGCATGATTGTTGATTGAGGTTTAGTGGATCCTATTGCTATATTTATACTATCTGACATTTTTAGGAGTATATTCCATATTGTATCATAGTACAGCTTCTTGAAGGGTTAACACGCCGGGAGTAACGATTCTCAGACAATGTACAAGTCACATCCGGTACAATCTCAACCCTTCCACAACCAAAACACAAAACCACATAAATGTATAAATTTAACATATATAGACATTTAAATATATCATACATCAAGATATAAATACGTATACGTACAATATATGATGTTTACAACTGCAACCTCTCGCACCTATTCCCAAAAATCATCAAACCGCAACTCTCGCATGAGCCCTAACAATCAAAAACACGGCGCGTAGAACAAACAGATACGCATCTACAATACCCTCTATCGCATCCCCTGCGAAAATCTTCCTGATCTCCGTCGCGCCGTGGCGACGACACGCAGCGGTTCCACCCCTGGCGCCGTGGACGGAAGTCTCATCATCAGTAGGTTGCTGAGTACGGATTATTCGGCTCCGAGGGCGGTGGAGGAGCCAACGCATAAGGAGAATATACTTTATTATTATATATGTAGGGAGAGGAGTGAGATAGACAGAGGGGGAAGGTCGACTGACATAATAACATAGCCGTGGTAGAGGCCAAATCCTCCGGATTAGAAGTCGCTTGAGCTGCGATAATAACTAAAGGTAAACCGATCCATAAGCTAGACCCCCTAGAATATAATACCCGATCCACTGAGCAGCAGGGAAGTAGCATGCAGGGTGTAGATAAGGCCAGAGGCTGTGCAACCAACGCCGCAGCTCAGCAGGAGTTCGTTGAAAATGGGTCGCAGCTGCGGACGCACCACCACGCAGAGAATGGCGTATCTTCCAGACGCGATACTGCTTTGTCAGCGCCCACGATGGCTTGTCTGATGATGAGCACGGTGCTGTTGGGGTCGACGTCAATGTAGTTCTAGTAGAGAGTGTGGAAGGAGTGGTGGACCACAGAAATCAACGACCCGGGGGCGAAGATAAAGGGGGCAACCAAGAAGGCATATTTAATAGATAAGAACGGATAGACCTTGCCCCCTGAAATTGTCAGACAGACAGATAAATAGACAGAGAGAGTAAGACCAGAAAGGTTGGAAGCAAGCCAGAGCAACAAAATAGGCCGAAGCGTACCAGCCCACAAGATTGACAAGTGGAAGTTATCGGCGATACTCGGGATGGCCGTCGCCATTATGGTCTATTATTACTAGGATTTAGGACAACATGGAAATTTAAAGACAGACTGACCCTATCCAGACCGGCCAGGAAGAGTCGCAGAGCGACTCCGACCGAGACGCAAGACGCCCGGAAAGAGCTGGGATATTCGCTGGAATGCGGCTGAATCTTGTCGGACATGATACAGTCTAGAATGTAGCGAGGATTTGGAAAGTTCAGGTTCAGGAGAATATTTAATATCAGTCACACACCAGGACTTTTGTTAGCAGGGCTAGACCAAGCTAAGCCCTAAGTCGGAGAGTAAAAATCCTCCAAAGCAATCCTCCGGTCGCTGTCTACACAAACCTACGCTGCTACAAGTTATGCCAATATACCATGCCAGTATTTCATTCCATACAGGAATTAATCCAATTAACTTTGTCTGGGGTAAACCCGCACCCTCGCTGTTACCCGTGAAAGACCTCTCGCAAGCCCTCCAGACCGTTCTTACCGATTCCGATGCAGCCACGTATGCTCTTGAGTATGCCGATCCTGTAGGTCTATCTGCCCTGCGCTACCAGGTATCCAGCTCACTCAGCACCTTCGATAACACCCCCAATAGCTTCGATGAGATCTGCATCACCGGTGGTTCTAGTCAAGCGCTAGCTACAGTACTATAGACACTCGCTGAGCCGCTGCGCACCAAGCGCATCTGGATGTTATCTTTCTGTTTCCACTCAGCATGTCGCGTCTTCGGGGATGCCGGCTTCACGGATAAGCTATGTGCCATAAACAGACACCAGAATCTACCTGGACACTCTCAGCGCAGACTCATTCAGCTAGAAGACACACCCAACGAGACCTTCCAACCAGGAACCAAACCCATCGACTTCCTTAGAGAAGTCTACTAGTCTACTGCCACTTAATCTACGTAATCCCCATCTTTTCCAATCCATCAGGTCGTAAGGTACCATTAGCTAAGCGCGAACATCTAGTCCTCCTAGCCCATTGCTTCACCGCTCTCGTCGTCTCTGACGACATCTACGACTACCTGAGCTACACCTCCGACTCCCTCCTGTTGCGTCTGGTGGACATCGACCACGTCCTATTCGGGGACCAAAACGGGGGCAGGTTTGACCACACACTCAGCTGCGGCTCATTCAGTAAACTGATCGCTCCGGGCGTGCGCACATGATGGGTATCGGCCTCCCTGGCGGTGGTGCCGGCGCTGGCTCACGCGGGAGCCAGTATCGCCCGTGAGTGTCCAAGCCAGATGGGCGCCGATATCGTGACGCAGTTTCTGGCTGCGGGACGACTGGAGCCGCATGTGGTGGATGTCGTGCGAAAGGCTCTGGGACCTCTCGAGGTATGTATTATGGAGGCACGGGGTAAGGTCGAGGATTACTTTTTCTGGTTGAGACTTCTGGGGACGGTGGATGCTGGACGGGTGGCAAGGAGACGTGCTGAGAGAGAGAACCTGGCGGTATTGCCAGGGGAGGGGTTTGCAGTTGTAGGGGATTATACAGGGTTGATTTGAAGCCGTATTTGAGGTTGTGTATTTCGCAGGACGAGGAAAATCTCAAGGAGGGAGTATGGCGGTTTGAAAGAGTAATTCGAGGGGTTCTGAATGGCTAATTGGCGGGAAATAATAATTAGGATTAATAATAATTAGAAAATAAATATACCCTGAGTTTGATATCTGTATCTAATAATGATGTCTATCACCATGAAATGGATTAATTATAATTGGAAAGTGGTCTATGGCTATGATAGTATGTAGCTCGACAATAGGTAATAAGAGTGCGTAGTTAAGATAGACGTGTGAATGGTTTCTGCAATCATCTGAAATCCACTAGAGCATATTCCATGCAGCATAAAATTATCCGCCGATATAGATTCAACAGTCCAAGCCGAGTAATTCTCCGATTCCTCCGCGGACAATTGATCACAAGCGGGCAAATACTACATCATTTAAGCCCATTTATTACTTCCACAATAAAACCTCAACTGAACCAGATATCTCGAACACCAGCAACCACAGTGGCCTCCAAAGGCTACTGCAGACGCCTAATTATCACACTCATCGACGAATTGGCCTGCGATGACCCCCAGCGCGAGGTATATTCGCTACCCCTGATGCGCGCGTATCCCAGGGATTCTGGCAGCACCCAGGACTTTGCCAATTTTGCCAATTCCGTCAATCGAACGGCCTGGTGGATCGAGTGGAAACTACGCAGGGGTGAGTCGTTCTCAAATGTGGGATACTTTGGTCCTTGTATGTTGCGTCCTCGTTGCGCTGGCAATAGTAACGCGATCAGCGAATGATTTCCGACATATCTTAGGCTGCTTCAAGGCTAGATATAAGGTAAGAGCAACACCCTTAACAGTCAATGCTTCATATTAATCCTCGGCAGACTCTCTTGCCAAAGGCGACCAGTGGCCTGTTTTCGAGACAAGGGTCACGCTGGATAAGAGCGCGAGTATGGCACGGTTGCAGCCGGTGGAGGGGTGGATGAGGGTGTGGTTGGAGCAGTGGGAGTATTAGTTATATACACATGAAATGAGAATGAGATGTTATTAGATACTAGATTCTAACCAGTTCCCAAGAAAGAGTAAAGGATGCTATTGAGTGCAATAGTAGACTAAGACCTGGCTTAAAAATCATCCAGGAGCCTCATCATCTGATGACTCTGATGGAATCCTTCCCAGCTGGATGCCTGGAGTGTCCAGCTCCATACCGAAGCCATGAGGTGCCTGTTGCATCACCAATAATTTTGAGTTTGCTCGCGACAGAAAGCCTGACGTATGGTTCATGACCTGGCCTTCGCTGTTCCAGTAGGAGCACCGGACGCTTTTGGGCCCTATCGACTGACAAAGCAACCGGTACGTGAATGACGAAGGGGAAGGTGAAGCTGTCCGGGGCCAAAAGGGGAAGGTGAAGCTGTCCCGGGCCAAACAGTGCTACAGCTCAGATATGTGTTTGATATCCAGCTCAATGTGACCGTCAATCATGTCCCCTTCTCTTCTTGCCTTGACCTCGGTGTACTTTGCGCCAACATCGGGGATGGACATACAGCCATGTACATGGCGCACAGACAGTCTATATTCGTAATTATGTGGAGAGAGAAGTTAGATAGGATCGCTTCGAGACTGTCCCTGCAGATCAGTGCTTGCGCATCGTAGTTCTGTTGACTATATCGTCTTCAGTGTTACTCAAGCACTCGGTGAACAGCTAGTAGAGGCTATAGTGGAAAATTATCAGTTGCGTGCCTGTCACCGATCCGGGCGAGCAAGCCTAAATGACATATTCGTTGAAATCACCCAGAGATCCAAGTTCCCTTCTCTTGGCGCTTGGCCGTTGGGGCTACTATGACTGACGGAAGGGCTACGTAACATTATCACAAGGTGGACTGTCAGGCCGCCAAAGTGTTGCCGGAAGACGGGCTCGGGAGAACTCTCCGATAGAAATGTGGAAAGAAACAGTACAGATTTGAGGCTTCCATGCGTGCGAAGAGAAGCGACTCAGTCTTCCGGACTCGCGGACCGCTGTGACTCCGCACCGCAAGTAACCAGCTGGACAAAGGGGTCTTGAGTTGGCATCCATCTTCGTCTATACCGTGGTGAGTACCTACACTTGTCCGCTGTGAGATTCGGTCCCGTAGGGATCAAGAGATCCGGATTAGAGATTTATAATGTGCAAACCCCCGACTTCAGCTCTTTGCGAATTTCCATGCACTTTGCTCCTTACAGAGCCAGGTCCATCTAACGTTGGACAAAAGAATCAGCTATGAATTGTGGAGTCGTTTACGACGTAGGGTTGAAGTTCGGAGATCAAGGATTCTCGGTTGAACCCTTCGATCCCACTCTTGTAGAGTGCGACATGCGAGTGATCGCCAACGACTTGTTTGCCAACGCTGTGCGAATAGAAGGAAATCCATCGACTGGTAACTGCTACAGGTTCTGCTCGTGTAATGGTACTCAGTATTCTTTAACCTGTGGAGGATGAACGAAGACATTGATGAGATACACGCTTATCCCGAAGAGGCCATGTAGGCGGCGAGCGACTGAGGAACGAAGGTGCCGATATGGTCCTTGTTTCTGGCTGCAAGTACATGATCTTCAGCAAAGGGATCTTTCCTGGCGAATCGTTCAACAGGCGTGCAATGTGGCTTGGCACTCACCTCTCTGGTAGTCATATGTCGCAAGATACCATCCTCCAGGTCTCACGTGAGAAGAAAGTTTATGGTCTTTCGCTGAGGCAATCCGCGCCAAGTTCGGTGGGCCCCTGACATATTCGGCTGGGACCTGGGAGGTAGTAGATTGGGACATCGACATCGTGGGCATCGACCACTATCGTCGACGGGAGACGAAAGAGATGTATGTAGCCGGCCTTGCGCGTCACCCATTCGGCAAGCCTCTCGTTGGTTGCTGTGCGTATGAGGTATCGTCTGACTGCGGTGATCTTCGTACTACTGAAGAGCATGAATCCTGACGGCAGCGGCGCTTTTGTAGACGGTATCATACTGACCCAGAGTGAGCGGGAGCAGGCCGATCAATTAGATACGCAGCTTAATCTCCTAGCAGATGCAGAGGTATCACGTGGTCTTCGTCTATTTCCTTTTATTCCCCTTCGTGCCAACGGGCGATGGACCAAAGGGCCTTAACATGATGTGTTTCTCGTTGGTCAAGTCCTTTCCTGACTGCCCTGTGTAACTGACTTGTTTCCGTCCATCGGACGAATTTAGAGTGGTGCTGAACTTATAAATGACTATTCCCTTGTTTCTAAGACCTGAATACAACATGGCAGTGGATAAAGACATACCTGTCGGAATTATAGCACATACTTCAATATTATCCACCAGAATGTCCAGCTTTGGAGCGAATAAATGCTGGTATTGGTAATATTTATATTTATATTCGTATAATCATGCTCCCGCGCATAATCCATCAACCTACGCAGATGTCCAAACAATCAAAAATAAACCAAAAATCAATACTAACTCCACACACCCTGCTATAATCAGACAATCACTTCTTCTTCTTCGCCCAAATGTCCACGTAGACATGTCCCAGAGGCCCAGCCTCTGGGCTCCATCCCCCATGCGTGACGCGATACTTGTCACTACTATCCAGCATCTCGACGACATTAAACTTTTCGTCCTTGCGATTGTCCCAGTGGAGCTCGCAGATCTTGTTATCTCCATCGAACAGATCCAGACGGCCCTCGCTACCTCTACGACTGCGGGCGCAGATCTCGCCGATGCCGTCGGCGGGGATTACCAGCTCGTCGATGTCATCTTCGGTCATGGGTTTGTTGTTATCGGGGTCGTGGAATTGGCCACTATATTATTAGTATGTGATGAAGAATATCGAGGAGGAAATGAACTCACTCTTCAATGACACAGTGTCGGACAGAAATCTCTCTATTATCCAAATGGTCACGGATATGAAACGAGACCCATTGGGAGTTGTATTTATCCAGAGCCATGTTGAAATTGGATGGGATGGATGAATAGTTGAAGAGAACGTTAGTTGCAAATTGGGAAAGTGGTCACAATACGTGTAGTCCAGTACGATGGAGGATAGCCCGGATACTACGGTTACCACCCCGATCCTTATATACGGATTGATCAACTGCGGGCCGAGTGTAACACGTCATGCATTCCAGCAGTGGCCGATCAGTGGACGACCACATGACGGCTCATCGTACGATGTGGTTGGCCAATTCGTGGCGTGATCCGTGGAATGACTTTCCAATTTGCGGGGAAACCCTGGGGTTTTGTCTCGTTCGATCCATTTTTGGGATTCTTTTCCTTCCAGCTTGGTTTAGTTTGAGGTATTTACCAATTCTTCCAATTCTTGGTGAAGTGGAAGTGAAAGTGGAAGTGCGAAGCGAAATGTATGGTGTTCTTCTCTCGGGCAATGACGTCACCATTATTTTTCCACGGTTACTGATGTCTGGTGCCTGTGTAAATAAACAAATATTTCTATTTTATTTAGTAAGACTTGTCTCTAAATAAACAGGTCTGAATATATTGATCCGCCTGTCTGGCATCCATTTATTGAAGTGTGCTTCTGACAAGTTGCCTACAAGTTGCCCTTACCTTACTGATGGAGGCACTCATCATACTTTTGCTTAGCCTTGACTAAACCCTTCGTAATTATTCAGCTTGCATATATTTACATTAATCAACCTAAGTAGTACAGGACAGAATAGTGGTGATTTAGCCCCTATTTCAAATGTCCTCGTGATACTTCAAGGTGGCACGACTGCGGATCCTCACTGTATAACCTGATGCGGGGGTGAGAAGCAGCCAAGCCGCGGAATAGCACCCGACCAGTGTGCATCACGAAATTGGAAGAGTCTCAACAGGATTCAATTGCAAGGGTATGCCACGGGATTCGGACACTCGTATCCCGGTCGAGACTGACAGTCGTAGGTGTCTAGAATCTAGAAAGCAGGTTTGCCACCTCACTGAAGATTTACCTAATGGACCTGTAATGTAAAGTTAATCCAGCGAATATGCTTAACTAACTAACTTTCAGGGGCGGAATGCTATTGTCACACAAAAGTAGAGAAAGGAGTAATATTGACCCAATCATGGTCGAAGGAAAGGGCAAGTCGCGATTGCTCTCACTATTGGTAGAAGTGTGGAGCAGTAAAATATGCGGGGTACGCTGTCTACAGCAGCGCGGATCCTTAGGCTTGCCAATGTACAAGATATTTTGTTAGATCTTATTCTGGCTGGTCTTTTAAACAAAAGTGTATAAGTTTTCAGTTATGTGGACAGGTGCGGGGAATGCTTTGGAACTACTTTGCGACCTCCCAGGCCACCTTGGCTGCCGAGTCGCTCGTGGATAGGTTACGTAGATGCCGGTCACCTAGAAAGCACACAGTCAACTTAAAGGGGACTGTTTTACAGTGGAGGCTCCAACAGACCTTATAGCTCCTGTATTAAGAGATTCCTCTACAGTGTACTAAGGCCGACGTGTAATGTGTATTTGCAACGATATAACAGCCGGCAGCTAGAGAAAGCTATTCTGTCGCCCTAGTTATCTTAAACGTTTTCTGTCTGGTTAAGGTACTTGTCCGCCATCTCACCTAAACCAGCAGTTCTGGAAAAGGACACAACAGGACGCTCATCAAGTCAAGCTACGCCCCGAATAGTATGCTCCCATTTTGAGCATAGACATGTCACTAACGCAATTACAAACAATATGTGATCCATTAAAATCCGCAATATAAGCCCCACTCCTCCAACAGTTATGGCCCTTTAGCTTTCTTTATGTCTAAAAGAGTTCTATGTGGATGAGATGAGCTCTTCAGGTTATTACATTTTCTCCAGCAGATTGATTTCCGTCCAATAGTAGGACTGGGGGGCTCTTTGTCTATGTTTATTTCTGCAGCCATTTACTGGTGTTGCGAACTGCTTAAACGTATAACAGCACTTCGAGACCTCAGTAGCAGCGTCTGTTGCTGGCGGAACCGGCATTGATATGACACACAGCTACAAGTATGGTGCCTACCTCTACTACAACCTGGGCTATGGGGGATATGCCAATATCCTCGATAGCACCTGGAACTGGCACTACCAACCGGATTTCCTGTATAACACCCGTGCCATAAGGTACACCATCTACAAGAATGACAATGTGGCCTCCGATACGACACACAAATCCAAGAGGAATATTAGAGCAGGTTCGGACAACTAGCTGCTCGCCAAGATGGGCGACATCCTGACAATGAGGAGGTGGTTTGGTATAATGGCCATCTGGAGCCCTATATCACACCCACACCCAAGCTTTGTCACAAGAGAGAAACCCTACAGCACTACAATGAGCATGATAAGACATACCGGAACGGCACATTTCCTGTGACGGTCGATCATATTATCTAGAGGAGATCAGATTCCGATTTAGACAACTGGTGGCTTCTTTGGATGATTTTGTCCTCGATTCGTCGGACGATATCTGCCCGGTTTGGGGACAAAACGCCTTAACTAAGAGGTTTCATTTCTTGTTTTCTGTAGTATTTTCGTCATAATACAGCCCCATAGGGGCATATATATATGCAGGTCTCGACTTAGAGAAAACTCGTTGCCATCTGGAGCATAGAATTAAAAACCAATTCCCTTACTTTTCTCTCACTCTGGAAGCCATATTTCAGAATAGGGAGGGCCCGGACTCCCACCAGGGAGATAGGTTGAGCCCAGCCCACCAGGGCCCGTAGAAAACAGGGGGGTAAAAAGGCTCATCCCAACGTCCCTTAAGCCATTGTCCATAAAAACCGCCGGCTGTAAATGCACTACACTGTGACTAAGTTACTATATTCCCACAATTATCAAGAAAGATATGCAAGGTGTCCCCCTATCCCAGACTGCCTTATCTTCTATAAAGAGATATGTCACCATACAGAGGCTTGGTATGGCCGGTAGTAACTCGTTCAATGCTCTGGCCCCCGCTCAACTTGCTTTCGCTTCAACCCATTCCGCATCGGCCTCACTTGCTTTCGCATGTCCTAAGATTCGGGACAATGCCCATTCTCGTTTGGCCACATTCTCAACGGCCCAGCTATTTGTAACACGTTCTGGGAAGATGTCTAGCATCCCAGCTAGGTCGGCAGTTTGAAATAACTCTTTATCATTGAAAATAAGAGAATTCTTCCCAAATGCACCACTACTCTCCACAGAGTCATCCCAGAGTAATTCATGGGCGTCTTGTCAGTGTCATAGCAGGTGCGGACCCAGAGGCCTCCTTCTTCAATAGTTGTGAACACAGCGAAGCGATGGAAGGACTCCAGACGCAGTGGGCGAAGGATGGTTTCAATCTGGGATTCACTTGGCTGGAGAGGGGCCAATTGTGCGCGTGTATCGTATAGCTGGTTTCGTTTAATTTAGAATATTTATATAGATAGATATTCCTCAACTTACTTCTCGACCCTGCACCCCACGGTTGAGGAATTGCCGCACTAGACGCCGTCGACACTGATCATGGGTATCAGTTGATGTCCAATGTATCCCATTGTTCCTTGTTTAGTTTAGTTAGAAAGACGTCTTTAAAGTCTTGATATCGCTCTGGTAGGAGCAAGCCCGCAGTGGTTGCTCCTTCTAGATTTTGCCATGTGCTTGGGGCTCCTGCAGGTCAGTGATATTTACCGTAGACCCGAGTTCCAGCTTTTAAGCTGCTGACCACGTCTGTCTCAGTGATGATTTCCACAGGCTCTCTTTACTTCCATGTGAGGATTCACTGTCCAAGTTAATAGTTCCGAGCATGGGAACTCGAGGATAAGGTTATATGTATCCATTCTTTTCGAGTTCGGGATTCACCTTGGATGTTTGTAGCACAGGTCTGTAATTGGTGCCCCCCATATGCGCGTATTATGTGATCATCTAGGGCTGTTCGCGAGGTACGATTCTCTTCGATTCAAGGAGCTCAGGCGAGCTGTCTATCTAGATGGATGGCTAAGAGAGGCCACGTGACCAAACCGAATACGGTAGGTCTCTAACAAGGGCTTTCACCCGACAAGGAGTAGGCTTTTGCCCAATGTTGGCTTATTAAATTTTCTGGGACGCCATAATCGAGCGGGGCTCTCGCAGGTTTTAGACACGCAGGCGTTTGCAGTAGAATAGTAATATCGAAAGAATTATCTGTATCATTTCAAACGTCTAAACGTAGCGCAGCTGCTGCTCTGAGCACTAGGCCACCTAGGTTTTTACCATGTCTTGACCCTCGGAGTGTTGTCTCTTTTGCGGGGGTTTCAGGCAGTTTCCAGTCCAGTGGCCGTAAGCTCCACAATTTGCACACTGGTTCTTATCAAATGTTGCGGAGAATTCCCTCTTCTTGTAGTTCTGTCCCGCATTTCCCCATGCATTTCCTCCTCTGCCTCTAAAACTTCCACGGGATCGGCTCGCAAAGGCCCCCCTGATATTCACCTGTGGTGCAAAACTGCGGTTATCTCTTGTATTCTGCTGATTCGAACCCCGCGAGTTCTTCCTAGCTGCAGTAAGTTGGATTCCTCGGCTCGGGATTTGGTCTTCGATTGTTTGTAGGTGTGCCACGTATCCATCGTAGGTATCGGGTTCGTTGGGATATTTTAATGACTCTATGCGAATCTCATCTAATATACTTGCCCGCAGGTGATCTTTGCGCTGGCGCTCTGTATAGGGCTCGGGCAATTGAGATTCCCATTTACTTATATAGCGCACAAATTCCCGCACGGAATCCTCTGGTCTTTGTCTAGCAGTTTGATATTTAAGATTGGCTTCCCGCACGGAGTCCTCTGGTTTTCGTTTAGCATTTTGATATTTAAGCTTGGCTTCCCGCAAGACATGAGTTGGATCATTTAGCTGGTGAAGTAGGAAGGTGGTGAATTCTTCCCAGTTAGGTGGTGTCCGCAACTCTTCGTGATATTCCTCCCATAGTAGGAGTAAGTTTGAAGAGAGGTAGGACGCGCCGTCAGCCACTTTTACCGCATCGTTTGTAAAGTAATAGCTGTTTCTAATAAAGTGGTTTCTGGTTCGGGCTAGAAAGGTGCGGTATTCCGTCATATCCCGTCCCTCATATAGGTCCGTCATTGCTGGCCGGCTTGGTGGTATGGCTGCATTGCCCACAGGGTTCGTAACCTCGGTCGTTTCATCACGTGACCACACAACTTGCACTTTATTTTCCGGTTGTCCTTGCGGTTGTGTGGCCCTTTCCAGCTTGGCTCGCTCTGCAGCAATGAGCTCGTCTAGCTCTTTGTCTCTTCGTTGTAGTTTTAAGCGGACATATTCCTCCTCTTTCTTGCGTATTTCTTCTCGTAGGGCAGCAGTGTCGGGGTTTTGGTTGTCAGAAGCAGACGACTCCAGTAAGTGACTGTTTTCATTTCCCGCAGGTGTTTGATGGGTTCGTTCAGGGGTTTCCTCCTTAGTAGGTTGTTGGGAAGGTGTATCATCTCCTGATCCCGATTGATTAAGGGGAACTGCTAAGGTGCGGGGTTCAGGAGGTCGGGAATTGTTCATTTTCCCTTTTGCCATGGTGTCGGTATGGAGCTTCTTCCAGACTGGTGGTATGGAGCAATCAGAATTGTTAAGGTGCGGTCCTGGCTCCAGTGGGGAGGTCCATATAATAGGAGGTACAAGATATACTGCGGTATTGGCTCAATAATGGAAGTAGCACCTATGTACAAAGCTGATTGCTGACCAAGAGTATTTTGAGGACTTGGTCACGTGTGGCTGAGCTAGTTTCAGTAAAGCCTCCGAACTTGAGCCGTTGTGGCTCCAATCCCTGCAGATATGTCAGAGACTGAACCTGTAGAACCTATAGGATAGGCTATGTACAAAAAGGAATCGTTAAAGAAGGGAAGAAAGAGGAAATGGACAGGTACACAAATCAGGTGAAAAGTCATGTGATGTGGGTCATCGAGGGCCAATAGGAGACAGTAGGGCAGTAGGGACAATGACGTCAAAAATTGGTCGAGAGGTCAAACGGGCTACATGATCGCTTTATGCCTGTAAGTTAGCTCGATAGAATAGTTATATCTATCATTCACCAATCATGTTTGACTGGGAGCCAATCGTGAAGATGTTAGACTGTCCATGTTCAGTCAATCCCAAGTCAAAAATTTATTCTCGTTCCCCATCAAGGTGGACAAAATCAGGAAATGCAAATTCACTTTTAACAATGGCTAATCTCTCTTTATGATACATTATGCCCTACATATTGACTTTTTGATGGCGGCCATCATTATCCATGCCTTGAATACCTTGTGCCAGGAAAGACTTGAGAGAAAAATGTTGGCGCCTGAAGTGGCGGCAATAATAAGTGGAGTGTGCTGTCTAGCATCCTGACCTATTGTCGCGCGTCGGGGCTTGGCGGGAAGAGTACAGAGCTGTGTTTCAAAAGTCATGAGCAGGCACTAGTATTTTTTGCTGTCTTGGCGGTAAGGGTGTTTACATAGTATTTTATATGGGAAACCTCTTAGATTCATGACAAGTCATAAAGCCATATTTCTCAACAAAAATTGCTTTTTTTGAAGCTATTCAGCTTCTGATTCTTTAATTCTTTTGTCTGCTAGCCTGCTCACCTACCTACCTACCTACCCACCTACCCCCAGACACCTAAGACCATGCAGGGAAAATATTATTTAGTTGGAGTTTAAATCCAAGCGCTTACTTTGCTTCATTCTGGAACAAATCTTAAAGAGATTGAAGCTATTACTGGCATGTTTCGTCAAGCTGTCCAGTTTGGAATTGAAAGGCAAAAGAGCGTGGATTCAACCCAGATATTAACCCCCGGTTCTTCTTGAATATGTGGAAGATAAGCAGCGCTCTGGACAGCCCCCAGTGGCTAAAGATACCGAGAAAGCTATTATTGAATCTGTTAAGAAGGACCGGAATGGACGTGAAAAATCTTGTGAGATCCTTATATTTAAAGCTTCTATTTCTTCCTCCTTTGGCATATTCTTACTCGATTGGGCTTTTATTCTGTTAAACCTACTACTAAACCTGGCCTTACTGACGAACAAAAAAAAAATGCTTAGAGTTTTGCCTTGCATATAAAGATTGGACGCTCGAAGAATGGAAAAATGTGTGATTTTATAGATAAAACCTTTGTTTCTCTTGGTCAGCGGCGCGGAGGCTTAAGAATATAGCATATAAAAAATAAGGTTTGTGAATTATCTTGCATACGCCGCCGCTGGAAAGGAAACTCTGATTTTATGGTATAGGGCTGTTTTTCTTATAATAAAAAAGGCCCTATTTATATATGGAAGCCTGAAACTACACAACAAAAGCAGAAGGCAACAAAGGAGATTAAAGCTTTGAACAAGGAGTTAGAGCCTTTAAAAAAAGAAGAATAGGAGCTTACCAAACAATGTCTCGAATAAAACTTCGTGAAGGCAAAACTCCAGGTAGAAAGCCAGTATGGCAGTTTGCCAAGAAAACCGGCCGCTTAGAAAGAGATTCAAAGGGTGGAATTGACTGGTATTGATATTATAAGGTTTTATCTTTTTTCTTTATAAGTTTCTACGCAATATCTAACATATTTCTTTTTTATAGGAAGTTCTTGTGCCCAAACTAATCCCCTTTGCAAAAGAATGTATGATTAAGCGTCCAAATACTACTGTATTAGAGGATGGAGCACCTGCTCATCGCCATTACTTTCAACATACAGTATATGACATTTATAATGTGCAACAAATTCTGGATTGGCCAGGGAATTCTCCTGATTTAAATGCAATTGAATGTGCGTGGGGATACCTTAAGCATCGAACAACCTCAAGAGGGGCTCCAAGAGATAATAAAACAGCAGAATTAGCTTGGATAGCCGCTTGGAATAAGATGCCTTAAGAGGATATACAGCACTGGATTGAGCAGTTGGTACGCCACATACAGGCTATTATAGAGCTTGAAGGAGGCAATGAATACCAAGAAGGCCGTACAGGCAAGGATAACCGTGATTTTAAAGATACACGGCTACGGGGTCACTTATCAAAGCGAAAAGAACTTGGAGAGGGTCCTCTCTTTTAGAGGAAGGAAGAAAGTCTTACTTTTTCGGGTCTAAATAGCTTCATTTTTTGTATAATAATCTGTCTGCACCTGGAATGCCATGTCTAATTGGCCATACAAGTTAGTATGGGTATCGGTACGATGGCATTACAGCCAAGACTTTTAGCGTCGCTCATGACATTTGAAACACACCTCCGTATATAATATATAATTATTTCTACTTGTTTACTCCCCCGCTGGAATATGATATAGTTATTTCAACTGGATGTCCCTCCAACCAAAGGAAATTGAGATCTGCCTGATGAATTTTTTTCAATAATGATGTAATTTAAGTATAAAAAGGCGCTGCAGTCCTGGTATGCCGACCCTACTCAGCATCATCCCATCACTCTTGATACCAAATTTAACAAGCTTTTTTAAATAGCCTCTACCTCAGTCCATCTATTCGGCTTTAAATTCACTGTACCTATTATGCTATCCTTGCTTTTGCAAATTTGCAGTGGATTTACGGTCGCTATGGCCATAAACAGCTATTTTTTTATACCCGATGAAGGGTTGCCCCATGAGAGGACAATCATGGCCTGGCCAGGGAACAACAACCCAAATTATAAGGAGGCCGGCTGCCTTGAGCGAATGAAGGTCGAGCTCACGGCCATCGCCAAGGCTATCTCTGGTTTCGAGCCGGTGACTCTTTTGGTCGGTTGTGACCAGGTTTCCGACGTGCGGCGGAAATTTGAAAGTTGTGGTGAGTATGGCGTGGACATCAAGGCCATAGGGACGGATGATCTCGAGCCATGGATGCGTGACGTTTTACCGACGTTCGTGTTCAGCGAGGAGTCGCATTCCGCACTGCATGGGGTCGATTTCAATTTCAATGGTTGGGGAGGACGTTATCCGTCAGATAGCAATGCCCATTTGGCCCGTCAGTTCCTAAATGATAGCCGGATCCCCCGTGTGGAGACATCTATCGTTGTTGAAGGTGGATCTCTGGAAACTGACGGTGTAGGAACTCTGTTGGCTACAGAGAGTTCGATCCTCAACCCCAACCGCAACCCGGACATGACACGAGGCGCCATCGAGCGGGAACTCCACCGAGTTTTGGGCGTGACAAAGGTGATCTGGGTGCCCGGTGTGAGGGGGGAGGACGTGACGGATGCTCATATTGACGCCTTAGCTCGCTTCACCGGCCCCGGAAAAGTCGTGTTGAGTCGTCCCACTCCGGACAATCATGTATGGATAGCGGTTTATAATGACATCAAGCGCATCTTGTCCCAGGCAACTGATGCCAAGGGGCAGGTCCTACAGATCTTTGAACTGCCCGAGGCGGATGTCAACGATCTCAACACAACTGAAACAGACATGGTAGTGGGCTACGTCAACTATTTGCTTGTGAATGGCGCGGTCATCGCCCCACGATTTGGAAGTCCTAAAAGCGACGCAAAGGCCAAGGAGGTGCTTCAAGGCCTCTTTCCTGAGCGAGAGGTGGTCCAGGTCTACCTTAATGAGATTGCGGTGAACGGTGGTGGCATCCACTGTATGGCGCAACAGATCCCTGCATCGAAGCCATGAGGGCCTCGGAGTGTTTGGAGGCTGACTTAATGTTCCTAAGGGTCTATGATACTGCAGACCCTGGTATTCGAAAAGCTAATGATACAGATATATTTAAGTGAATAACCTGAGATGAAGTTAATTCTTTTCTGTACTGCTTTGCATACACTTAAGTATATGATCATATTTGCCCTGTAATAATTCACAGACGATATAAATTAGGCAACACAGCATGGTGACGCCTAGTTGTGGCTTCTTAGACAAATATGTTAAGGTACTCTATGTCTGAACAACTAAACTAAAAAGGCTATGCATACGTTTGGCTGGACACTTCCACCTCATTGTACAATTATGTTGTTGTTCTGACGGTAGAAATGCTTGTATACTTGAGAATGCTTGCCATAATGTTGGTTGTAGGAGATGTGTACCGAGCGGTGAGAAGCTGTAGGCAATAATGCGATGGTCTTAACAGTATTGTATCCTCCATGTTCTATAAATGCTGGCTTTCGAGATCTTAGGAAGTATCTTAGGTCAAAAATAAAACGAGAACATTTGGCCCATAATAGTATTAGTAATTAAACTCACTACAGCATCATATAACTAATATTCAGACTATATTACTTAGCTTCACTGCTATATACTTCGTTCGCGCCAATTTAATCATTCCAACCCAAAAACAAATGCCCCATCTGGTTTACACAGGGCTAATCAATCCTCTCTCCAGCCCTATCTAAGCACAGGTAGGTAGTCGCGGATAGTATTTGAGGAGGAATAGAGCGCTATCTTTTCCTCCGTGCCTTAAGCCGTAGTATCTAATTATTACTCCGATTAATGAATCTTCACTTGTCTCCATCGCACCATCAGACCAATATCTGTACTGGAAACGACCGACTGATTAGCATTCTAAAGATAAGCCACCAAGTCGAAGATTTTATCCGAGTAAAATCCGTCGCTCGGCCCCTCGCAACCAATGGAGACTGGTGTTTTACCATCCCTGTGATGAATCAGATGAACGCAGGTGGCCATGAGATTTAGCGAATGAGATAAATTATCTCATGAACTATACATGCTTCAGCGCAATAAGATCCTACTAGGAAGTCCACATTAGTCTGTATGCCATGTGTACAAGGCCACCTACTTCTAGAGAGGATCGTTGACGAGTCTTCATTTACAACAAATACGGGTGTTGTATCCCATTCTATCCTTATAGCCCAGCTAGCATGGAGCTGACCTGAGTTTCTTCTCGTCGGATACGTTGGTGGAAACTATGATAGGCAATATGACGTCTCATTTGGAGTCTTGTATTGGTCTCCAATAACTAAAACGTCTGATATTTGTAAGTCCTATTAGTGCCTCCCCCACTAATTTCTAGGTTGAGAAGTATGAAGAAACTAAGGTGAACCATCACCCATACCACTCAAAGTAGAATATCCGAGTGAGACACCAGCCATGTGGCTGACTTTTTTTTTAATTCTGTCTCTTTGGGAATATGGCAAATAGTGTACCCTCTCACACTCTCTTCCCTCTAACTTTAGTGACTCCACCGTGGTCCTTGTGACTCGTTCTTGATACCTTGTCGTTCTGTATTCTGTACGCATTCCAACGTTAGACACTGGTGTAAAAACAAGATATTGTGATGGTAGTTATAGTGAATCCAGGTGTGATCTGGAAAATATGCATGTTCAAAGGGAGAGGATATTACGGACAAAGCTCTCCTGGATTTCACCTTGCTCCAATATATTCAAGATAGCCTCTTGATCGTTGGACGTCCCGAACTCGTGCTCAAGCGTAGCACTACTGGCTTCGTCATGAATCCCTTGAGACCCATGTCTAGCCAAATTGCAGGATTCGGTTAGCAGTTCAGTCTTCCTAGTCCATCGGGCTCTGCATTGCTGATAAGTGTACCGCGTTCTCTTGCCAATGACATAATATGTTCCTCGACACGTCAAGATGCGCATGGTTATAAAGGATGCACTTACTGATGAGAGGTGAATATCTTCCATCCGTCGAGCACTTGTGCAAGCGGAGTGGAATGATCGCTTCTCCAGTTCTGCACGGCGGTAGCATCAACGAATATGACAAAGTCTTCAGTCCGTCCTTTGTAGAATACTTTGGATTGTCTTTTGTTTCCTCGTGTCATTCTGAAAGCTTTCGATTCACTCGTATCTCTGCTGTAACTGCAAGTTGCTACTCTGAATCAATGGTGATAGAGTATTTTGGGAGAAACTAGAATAGAGAACTCTTCATGGAATTTAAGTATGGGCGAGGCAGAACAGATAGCGATAAGGAGTGAGGAGAGGCGCTACCATATCTCATGGCGCGTCATGATGACGCATGAGAACACTTCAACATATGCTAAAACATACGGTCGGAATAATGATGCAACAGCCATAGTTTTGTTTACTGGGGTCTTGTAGGCTAGTACACTGTTAGTAAACTTCTCCAATGATGTTCTAATAAAGCCTTGCAAGGCTGACGAATATACCATCCATCGATCCAACCAAATCATACAAAGAGATCAGATCAACAATTAACCTCCCCTATCCTGTCTCAGAAAAGCTCTCCACTCTATATATATTGATGATGGGCCAGAATCCGTCGGGAAGGGGATTTTGATATGTCCTTTTAGAGACTCAGAGGAGGTGAATCTAATTTTAATTAAACTGTTGACTCAATTTGCGATAAATGGCATGTAACATCATGCGCTTAGCTAGGCTTCAGGAATCTGTTCTTTCGGGAGGGCTGGATATTTGCATGTTGGGGAGATTACTCAGTGCGCCCGGTGTCAGTCGGCTGTCCTTATACCGCAAACGTGATCTCAAATCTGTGCATTGTGAGACAATGAACGTGCATCTGTCGGTGTCGAATGCATAGTTGGTATTAACAGAATACGCGACCACTGAAATAAGACAGATTCTCCGTGCTTGAATAGTGCCTACCTTATTTCTTTTTACTCCCCCCGTCTTTACTCCTTTAAATACCTTATTATACAACCCCCCAGAGATTCCTCCATCTAGGCTTGGGACCATCCCCATCCCTTGCCGTGGCGCGCTGCTCGAGCTCGTCCAGTTTCCTGATCTTCTCCTTCACCTCGATGATATTCGACAGGTCTTCCAGTTCCCATCTGATGTTCCGCCAGCCGCCAGACCGATAAGTTTTAATGAAAAACCACAGAAGAAGGAAGCAGATCGGCTGGATAATACCAGAACCTAGTTAGAGTGACAGCTTCCAGTTTCTTTCCGAGATGGGACTTACCGCCAAGTAGGCCGAGAGAAATGCAGGAGTATGGAACTCATGCCACAGAGCGGCGCCATCCGCCACGATGATGATAAAGAGACATCCGACCAACGCGAGATACATGGTTACTGGCTGGCCGTGGGAGCGCCAGGGGTAATAGTCGGGGGTTCCTGGGTGATGGAAGCGACAGACATGTGCGTATTGTAAAGAATTGTTGAGGCTGACCTGGTGGAGCTTCATGCTAGACAATGTCAGATGGAGAATAATAAACTTGAAGCTAGGTCAAGGAGGGCTAGAGAATGGTTCAGCACCAGTTGTAGAAACGAATGAAAGCCCAGCATTCGCAGACCCAAACGATGAGACAGCTGACGGAACCCAACTGCGATAGAACCTCGAGGAGCTACCAAGTCCAGGAAACAGTCAGTCGGGTGCATATATCAGACTTATATTGGATCTATCTCACGCTGGTGATGGTTGTGTCTCGCGAGCTCTTTGGCGATAGATACAGAAAAGGAACCCATAGGAAAAGGCAGGACATGAACATGGACCGCACTGGGACGTGATAGTTATTGGTTCTCCCAAAGTAGCCCAGCCATCTCCATTGCTTCCCATGTAGCTTTCGTGTCATCCCGAATAAAGTCCGGGAGGCGACGTACAGATTCGTATTCGCGGCGGTCAGCGCAGTGATCAGGAGGGTAATATTAAAAACACCCGCCAGGCCGCTAATCCCCGAGTCTCTTGCGCTGAGAACAAACCCAGAATCTGCTGGCTTTCTTCCGTCCTGGTTGTGATGATCCAGCCATCCTGCCGTGGGTAATTCGGGACTATCCCAAGGGACATTGAGGGTCATCACGAATCCCGCGACAAAGTAGAGGATCCACGCAATGAAACTGGTCCAGGTCGCAGAGAAACGGAAAGAAATCCGCGGCCGGGGCTCCTTGACCTGGATGGTCGGTGGATTGGTCTGCATCGAGGGACGCGTCTTCGCAGGACGTGCCTCTAATGCTACGGCGGCGGTTATTTCCACCCCAATAAAGGCAAAGGCAGCGGTCGAGATGGAGACACTGGTGGATTCAGTACCTAGCGTGCTCATATCATGTGTGAGAGATGGGGGCAAATTTACAACAGTGCCGACGCCCAATTGTCTGCCCCTTTGTCATCATACTGGAAGATGGACCGCTCCTCGTAATCTAATTAATATAGACATCAATATAAAAGAACAAGACACTGCCAGCACCACTTACACTTTGTGCCGATGTGGCCTTGCACTCCCCCTGTGGACTGTCAGAGTCAAAGGACATTTTGCAGCAAGGATTTAATAGATAGAGGCCAACCGCCGATGTTAATCACGATCATGCTGACAGTCACGATGATAATCCCGAAAATCTTCAGCAAGCCTCCGACCACCTCCGTCAGGCCATATATCTTCAATTACTCAGTTCAGATAAATAGTCACACCAGAGATACTTCGCAAACCTACCTCCACGCCGAAGCTATTGAACAAGACCAGAAACAAAGGGACCAAGAACATGATAATTGTACCCTGGAGCGCCTTGGTACTGTTCCAGAATTCGAACTCCCCGGCAGCAGCCACGATCATGGCGGCAAAGTTCAACGAGTAGCATATCCTGTGGACATTAGGGATGAAATTAGTTGTGCATTGGGAACAACCTACCAATAAGCAATCCCGACCGTTGTGCCCAAATCCTCGTCGACAAAGGTTCCCACGTATTCTACCAGGGCTCCAGAGATGGGCCATATGGCAAGTAGTTCCCCAATGCACTGCATAACCATCCATGCCAGCAGTCCTACAACCGTGAAGGAGATAAGAACCGCCGCAGGTCCTCCTGTTCGAAGGATAGATCCACTTCGGAGATAGAGTCCGATTCCTAGGACACCACTTATGGTGATCATCTGGCCATTAGAAGGTGAGTAGGGATGAAGTTCTGCTTCTGTAATAAATTAGTACTCACGAACACGTGGATCCCTCGCAGTTTTCGACTAGAATGGCAGAATGGTCAGTCTAAACGATGGTTTTTACACCTCCATTTCTGTTGCAACCCTTACTTCACTGTCCGGTCCTTCTCATCCATGATTATCTGTTGGGGCCTTTCCCTCTCTTGTCGATTCGCGAGTATGCTATTCGGAGGCCTCGACGACATTGAGCTCATCGGTAACTGGAACAATTTTTCTGATCCAATGGTTTCTACCGTCCTTGTGGCTTGGATAGGATTGTTGTCGTCCATCCTAATATCTTGGTCCACACTACCTGAAGAAGCCATACTGTCTCCGAAGTGGATTTCTCCAAAACAGCAAAAAAAAGGGGGGGCCATAGAACCGAATATACCTGACTGGTTGGTACCAGCTAGCCCCGCACAACACAGGTGATACTCGAGATGCTGGGATATGTGGCATGAGGGGAACCCGGTCTAGAAAGAGACTGATTGGGCATGCATCTCCAACCCTGGCGGATTTCTCGTATTAGTGCATGAAGGATGGACTGAGTTGGTAGAGTCAAAACAGAATTAAATCTCCCTCAGCCTTGTATAACCACATACTGGTCCCATTTCCCATGAGAGTAGCTCAAACCAGAATATAGGCGCCCATCATGGTCAAACAGCGGACAAGCACCACTTCATACCCTCGACAAGCAACACCCGCGCGATACCTCCGGCGGGAGAAACTGCAACACCTCCTGGAGCGACTATTTCCTACTCATCCAGACCTGAATTTCCATATCAGGGTATCATACGTCCTTTCCGACTTTTTTTGCGAATCGTCTGGTGTAGTAACTTTGACGTGACCGTCTAGGTTGATGAAGATATCTGGTCGTTTGATGCTCCACACAAGGTGTCAGAAGTAAGCCGGCCTTGTCTCCACTTTATGTAGGGCCCGATTATACTGACTTTGGATAGGAACAGCTAAAGTAGGCGTTGTTCTAAGTGGGCATTTTGCCCGAGGCTATGCTGAATGGCTGACAGTTCTACCATTTGTAGAGAAGCCTCAGAGTAATTGAACCCCGCCCCTGAGTGGTGGATAGACCGTGAGGACAGGGCAGTGCTTTCAGCCGCACAGTCGAGGGATTGCTCTATATGTCTATATATTTGGGGAACGAGGGCTGAACCATACGAGCGGAAGTATGATATAAATATAATTAAATTTTCACGACTATTTTCGAGTGTACCCACACGAAGTAGGTTTAAATATTCGTATCTCCGTGCCAGTGGAGCCAAGTACCTAATCTCCAGGTCTCGCTTGATTCGTCCTAAAAGAATGGTTGCGCCACCAAAACCAGATACCACGGCCCCCGGGCCGGATGAATTCGATCCTTTTTGTTATATCCCATATCCCAGAGATTACAGGAAGCGAGCAGAGTCTCGCAAGTGTTTTCAGAAAGACGAGTCTAATGTGCAGGTGGACTGGACCGAGGTTAATTTGGGGGAGTCTGGTGAAAGTCTGGGTTGTCCGCGACCATACAACAAACACTACAGAGTCTGACCTAGTCTATATAGCAATAACTCGGTCCTTTGGCTCTTTGGCCGATTTACAGAGCTATCGAGCTCAAATCCGTGGGAGGGCGGGTACACTGCGTATGATGTAGGTAGCTCCAAGCCAATTCAGGGGAAGGAAGGAATGCCGAATCTAACGTCCACACAGATCCATCAGTCAAGCCAATTCCTGGAGGCCATTGAATGTTACCGTGGAGATGCTCGAGGAGATAGTGAGTGCCACGGGATGTTCGTTACAGCTCTTGAATCTCGCGCTGTCTTTCTGTGAGAAATCAGTAGCCACAGAAGAGGCTTATAGCAGTGCACCCATGTTTAGTTACAACGGACGCTATTTTGGTAAGGGTCTCTCTACTTGTATTAGAATAAGATGATGCCACTGATATCTGCAATAGAGGTCGCCTATATTTTCAAGTATGCATTCCCAAAAGCAAAAGACAACAAGACAGAGGCCTGGGCCTTGCGTCAGACTGGAGTATACCACAAGTACGACTCTGAAATAGACCAGTCCACGTGGATCTTTATGAATCCTACGAAATCCTGCCTCTTCCAGGAACGTCTCGGGCAGATGCGACTATCTTCAGAATATGACACAGCGTTCAAGATACATCCCCTCCTAGTTCATCACATCCTCTTCACGACGTTCTTCCCGAACTGGAGAGACTACCTGGCGTCATATGAAGCCAGGGTACTGGCAGTGGTGGGAAAATTTTATCGCCATTTATGACCTTCGATGTTACTGACCAGCCTATCTAGTCCAACACGACCACCACCCAACGCGTTCAGGAGACACTGAATGTCAACCACCAAACGCTCACCTTTATTCGCTCAGTGGAAGCTCGGTGCTTGCCGCTACGAGCTATCTTCTGCTCCTTCGACAAGACGTTGCAGATACTGCGGAAAGCCAATGATGTGCTTCGCGACTGTGGCCGAGTGGACCACGCACCGTGGATGGCAATGGAACAGCTGCTCGGAAACTATAAAAATCACCTCGAGGCATATTCCCAGGGCGCAGCGTTTCTTCAAAACCGCACGGCCACCACGGCTCACTTGATCACAGATACCTTTTCCTTCAAGAATTCCCACAGGGCTCACGAGCAGACTGAACATATGTTGGATCTGACTTTGTCTACAGTTGATGACTCGACGACCGTTCGGGTTATCACGGTCGTAACGCTGATATATCTGCCTTCCACCTTTGTAGCCGTAGGCCTCTCTTCCCCCGTTCCGGTTTGATGTTGGAAACCCACTGACTGCGCGCAGACACTTCTTGGAATGAACTAATTCTTTGAAATGGATCCCGTCACACACACACTCATTGTATCCCCACAGATTTGGATCTTCATCGTGTGCTCCCTGCCTCTCACCGCTGTGACTGTTATGTTCTGGTGGCTTTGTAGGAAACACAATCCAAGACAAGTGAAGAAGGGTGTACTGGCTGTATAGGCGTTTGTCTAAGGGTGAAAAACGGGATTCACAACATAGCTTGTCCAACGAACGACATATCCACGGTGTATTCTCCGGCAAGTTACCCTATACATAGAGCTCCATTAAGTATACAATAATTCCGATCCAGTGTCTAAGATTATAGATCATGTTCCATCTGGGATTCTTATAGCAAGGAATTCGCCTCTCGCCGTCGCGACTAGTAACATCCTTCGCGATCTTGTGCCTTGTGCGAGGACGGCACTGTCCCGGGCCGCGCTGTATGAGCTCAGATTACTCATGGCTATTTCTTTAAGCTCAGGAGGCCCTGAGATTGGGATCGGCATGGTGTAGGCCCTTAGAAGACGGTCGTCGCCATTATTTCCTAGAAGAACCAGTGCCGCATCATCGTCACGCGCGAAAACATTGAAGATGTGGCCGGGTAGGGTATGGACGCGATGATCCCAACTCCAAGAGCTGATATAAAGCAGATATCTGCCTTGACACAGTATAAATAGGCTGGGTGTATGATGACACATAGTACATGCAGTGAAGAGAGTGTCTCCCACTATGGAGGAGCCCTTACAAGATCTCAGAGTAAGTGCTCCGGAAGGAGAATCAAAGCAACACTTGGAAGCTTACCGAAAATGCTATGTTCAGATCTGCGCAGAATGAGCCACAGTGCGTGTCCCATGCTCGAATGCACAAATGCTCAGGGTCTAACTGACTGATTATGACTAGATACTGGGCGTCGCTGGAGAAGATGAATGACCGGATTTGTGCCACAGGTCCAATCTGCGAGCCTTGCGAGATAGTGCCCCCCCCGCTAGTGATGCTGTCGGAGCTGTGACCCTGGACAGGTGAGTTCGAACGACTTGATGGTGGAGAGGAGATCCTATTGAATGGTTTCTGCATTAGCATCTGATTCCTGTGATTACGCAGCGGTTGACCTTACGCATCGCTTGATACACCCACCAGATCTTTGGTGCGTAAAAGGTACACCAGAGCATCTGAATCCGGCCCGTAAGGACTGCGCGTGATAATAAAAGCAGCCCATTCCCCATCTGCAGATATGGCTACCTTCTTGATAGACCCCATGTGAGGACGGTAAACTCGAGCGTTATTAGGAAGACTGGTGAGTGATGATTCGGATGCAACATAAAAGTAGCACTGGGGAAGGTTAGCAAGTATATCACATTCCATTATATAGATATACCTCGAAATACGGAACCGCAAGACAAGCGCAAATCAAAGTCGAGCTGTTTGCGATACATTCCAATCGGGCGTTGGGAAGGAGGATCAGACGTGGCTTTGGGATAGCAGCGTGCTCTTCCATACTGGATACAATTTCATTCGGGGAGAACACCTGGGCCTTCGGTAGAGAGTGGATAACCAGGAGATCTCCTCCGGGAGCAAATAGACTACTTTGTATGCCCAGACTTTGATCCAAAGGGAGCTTCTGATGCTGAGGAATATACGGCGGTTGTTTGGAGTGTGAAAATCTCCATTTTTTTACTCTGGAGCCCGATATCTCGAGAGGCTGGTAGAAACGACGACTTATCTCAGACAATTCGGCTTCAAGTCTGGTTGCCATAACCCTTCGGTCGCGTTTAGGATGAAGTACATCCTTCTGCAAGAAATCGAGCGTGCGACCTACCACCTTACCTTCCATTACATGAGGACTGGCACTCGCCCTCTTCTTCAGATGACTGAACCAATTCTTCACCACCGGCGAAAGCTCTGGTTCTCTTCCCCTGCGTTTTATGGTATAAAAGGAGTCACCATGTTCCTGTTGGCGCCGTTTTGTCGCAAATGCCACCACACCACTACGGCCGGCGTCAATGTAGGACATCACCAAGCTAAAGATGCATCCAAAGGACCAAACATCACTGGCGGAGCTCACCCTGCCGTTGGGCAAGGAGCATTCTGGGGCGAGATAAGTACCTTCGCCGCGTCGATTCATCGTCGATGGTTCTTGGAAATGCCGGGGTCCCCACTGGGCCTTTCTCAGGAATGGCATCACCAGAGCCACGTCCTCGTCCCCGCCGTGCCTTCGGCCTTTGACTCGGGAAAGACCAAAGTCAGTTATCTTCCATTCCTCGGAGCTGGTATATGCGTTGAAGACGAGGATATTGTGGGGTTTGAGATCGAGGTGGTAGCACGAGAGCATTTCCAAGCTTTGGTTCCGGAACTCAGTGTGAAGGAAAGCCAACGCTCCGGCCAGAGTGACTCCACGCCGGTAGATGGCGCATTTTTCCTCCCAACTCCAAGGAGGAGAGTGATCTTCCGCGTGCAGATACTCGGCGAGGTTGCAGGATGCCAGGTCAAAAAAGAGGCTGTAGGTGTTCCCATACTGTAGGCTGGCCAGTGCCACCATGATGTTCCGGTGTCTTCGGGGTTGATCCAGGATCCGATTCAAGATCTCGCGCTCCTCCTGAAAAGCCTGTTCCTGATTCAGTTGGAAATCCTTTCGCGCATACTCCAGGGCCACTGTCGTCTCTGTGTGTTTTCCTCTTGACTGCAGATGCCGTTTCTCAATGCGCACGCTCCAGACCTGACCGAAGGCGCCTTCTCCGATCCGGCTTTCTTCCAGATACGGCAGCGGGCACTTGCATCGGTCATCCTTGTATATCACCTCTTCTCGTTTCACGAGTGTCACTGCGCAGAACTTGAACTGCTTTTCGTAAAATTCGGCCCCTTTCAGGGGAAACGTACCGGTCGCGGTGGACCGTGACAACGGGAGGTCATCGTCGGTGACCTTAAGTGTCGCACCGTCCCCCCTTCCGGCGGCTTCGAGAATCAGGTCGAGAAACTGTCGCAGGACAGGCACTTCGTGTCGTCCACGGACCCAAAGCAGGATGGCGAAGACGGTGCTCAAGTCTGATAAGGTTCGCTGTACGAGCAGGGGAAGCAGGTCCAGTGAGATCGCATGGAACTGACACAGGTGTCGGAGCAGCTCGCGTAGATCTTGCTGATTGCTGTGGAAGACTTCGGACCCTGTGCCGTTGCGAAAGAATCGATGCTGACGGTGGTTGCTTGAAGAGTTGTCCCGGAGTCGGATGACGAACTGCTCGCAAAGCGAGCTGATGACCTCCTCACTCATCAACGCCGGCAGAATAGACACGAAAGGTGTAAACTCGAAAGGTGTAATTAATCTTTAGCATAGTTGGAATATGACCTGGGGAGTTGAGGAGTCTCCGCATCGTCAGCACCAATGCCCCGCCAATTTGTCGAGTTGTGCAAGGGGCCCCTGTTGTGCTTAGCCCATCAGGGTTAAATGTAGGCGTCAGCAGTGCTGCCAAGCAACTGGCTAGATATATAGGAGTTGGTCTCTTAGGAAACTATCTATAGAGTATCTTAAAAATAATATATCTTTCACTGGCTGGCCGGACATCGAATCTAGAAACCTTTGTAATTATTATACCTACAGCACTGGATTTGAGCTGCTCATCCTACAAGCAAAAGGGGAGGTATGTGTAGATTGAAGCAAGCGCTTCCTTCTGCAATGGCCATACAAGTTGTGCCAAGACCAATGGGGCCGGCTGACATCTTCTCAGAAGCGGCACCTGACCTGTGTACACCTTTGCCATTCTGAGTAACAAATGTCTGGCCTTCTGTCGTCATTCCTCTGCTCAAGGGGATATCACCGGAAAACCAAGCGACTGTCACCAACATCTTAAAACTTCTTCACAGGATGACCGATTCTTCTGGCGGCGTTCCTTTTCAAATACAAAATATGCGAGAAAGGAACCGATACATCAAAATAGGCGCAACCCTGTTCCCATGTCCATTATTCGCAAATATCTCAGACCTTCCCCCAGATCAAGAGGTTATTATCGTTCCCAGCAAACAGATGGGCAGGATTATACTTGAGCATGACTTCTCCTACGCGACCAAATCTGGGCATGGAGTGCGACCTGCTGAGGCTGAAGCAATGAGACTTGTAAGAACACCTCCGTTCCTGTGCCTGAAGTGTTTTACACAAATTTTGGTCCTGACTGTGGGAGGATTGAGATGGCTCTTATTCCGGGGCATCCCCTAGAAGAGAAGTGGGATACACTGGATGAGAAGAGCAAAGAGTCTGTTTGTCTTCAAGTCTGGGGTATAATTTCCAAGATACGAGCTATCCCACGTCCATCAGAGCACAATGGTCTTTTTCAATGTGCTGCTGATGGCTCTCCAACAAGGGATCCATTGCTTGAGGATTTGAAAGATCCGGCCCGACCCTTGACGAATGATTCAGATTTGCGAGCTCGCATTTTCGAGCGCTACTTCTATTTTGGAGGTCGTCAATATGAACATCAACTACTTAACATGCTGCCGCGGTCTGACTGTGCAGTGTTTACACATGCCGATATTGCGCGTCGCAATATTATGATTGACGAGCGGAACAATGTCACGGGCATTCTCGACTGGGAATATGTAGGATGGTATCCAGATTATTGGGAGTATGCACAGATTCTGAGGCCTGCTTTTTGGGGCGACTGGTCAATGTGGATGGATCGGACTGCACCGCAGAGATGGGATATTAGCGGTATTAATGCTGCCAGGAAGGTTTTGTTTTAACATCGTCATCTAATGATGATTGATTTAAGGCACACGAATAATTACTTTACGATATGAATAGTTAACTTGTTGTATATCACGGTGGCTGAGGCTTATGGCAGGGATTAGGAACAGATATATAAGGAGCATCCCGCCTCTGTAAGAGATAACTTTTGACTAGTCAATCAATAAGTCAATCAATCGAACATCTTACTATCACTTGTTTTAACAGGTTATGAGCCCGGAATTGCTCACAGCAGCTGTTGAGAATACTATCTACAGCTAAGCTTCCCCATCAAGTGATAGCTCCATTAACTCAAAGATCTGACCATCTTCACTCAGCGGAGTTCACAAATCTTCTACCTTAAGACGTGAGGAGGAAAACCGGCCTCTAGCACCCACCGACGGGACAAAACGGTACAATCTTTGGCCCAACAGGTGTAGAAGCTTCCGGGAAAGTCTGCCACAATATCCTGTCGACCGTCTTCGCTTTCCCCACTTCTCCAAGTCGTATAAAAATCACTTGAAGTTGCACGGGGTACCAGACAGAGACTACAGTGACTGGTTTAAGTGGAATCAGAAAGTCAATGAGTTTATTCGAATATCCGCTGTTGCCGACGATGGAACAACTCCACCGTTAGAAGAAGACGAAGCAAGGCAATGGACTCATTGCCAAAAGTTCTACTCTGCGATGATCACGGCGAAGTTGACACACAACGCGGCACAGAGGATCAATGCCTTCGAGATTTCTCGAGTTCAGTCACTCATAAAGGCAGTAAAGGACAACCTCAAACCAGAAGGCACTGGCACGTATGTTAACCTCCAGCGACGGTATATGTGCGTCACAAGAGAGAAATGCGGAAGCGCCCAAGCCCTCGGGGCCGAGATCAGGAGGATCCATGCTGAAAAACTCCTCCTTGACCCTGACTGTGTAATCTCTGAGATTGAGCGAACATTCTTTTTCATGCACGCGCTAGGGCCTTAGTATGAAAGCTTCCGCGATCATATATTTAGGCAAATAGACCTTGTTAATGAAAGGGACGCAAATGGAAACATCACGAGAGCGGCGCCCACATTCGACTACATCGAAAACAAGGAAATTGAGGAAGAACATAGGAGGGATAATTAAGCAAACAACCAACAGAGGGGCAGGCGCTTCCTTCTCTCGCTCTAATTCGAGGGCCAGGTGACAAGAAACTCATACCGTCATCGGACGGAACTACATGTCGAATCGAGATTGATAATGTTCCCTATTGCTCATTCTGTCGTAAACCTTATCACGTGGACTCCGAATGCTTCAGCAAGAATCCCAGACTGAAGGATCAGAAAAGGGATAGAAAAGGACAAGTGAAAGCCAGGCAGTTCACATACGGGCGCACGCAAGCCGTTGAAGAGGCGGCCCACCACTGATAACGAAGATGACGACGTGGGTGGCCCAAAGGATCCAAAGAAGCCCACCTTCATGGCGACAGAAGTCTCAGGAGATGTTAATAAGGCATTCGGAAAGGATGTCGAAGGCAACTTCGCCGTGTTTCCACATCCCCACAATGATGGCTACGAAAACTCTCTCGATCCGCGACGCCTGGATCGTTGACAGTGGATGTGCTCAGCACGTCTGCAATAACGCCTCGAAATTTATAAATATGGACGAGTACCATGGACCACCACTGAGAAGCGTCGATACCTCAACGACTCCCTCGGGAGTGGGAACAGTAAATGTCCTGTGCAACGTACGAGGCAGAAGGAAATGGCTTGTGCTTGATAACGTCCTCTACGCGCTCGATCTGTGGACGAATCTCACCTTTCCCTCTTATCATGTTAGCCCGCAAATGACACTGGCATAACCGGCTGGCCCACATGAGCGATGCGAACCCACAGCGGCTCAAGAAGCAGGCCCACGGCGTTAGGGACATGGAACCACGTCGGCCATGCAACCCATGCCCGCGGGGACGAATGATTGAAAAGCCTCACAAGCTCTCAGGACGAAGCAGAAGAGGGGATTATGCCATGGAACTCCTCCATATCGGCGTTTCAGGGCCTTTTGACGAGGGCCTTGATAGCAGTCGTTACTGGCTCACCATTGTCGACGACTTCACAGGGTGGATAGAGATTATCCCTATACCACGACAACAAGAATTTGTCATAGAATCACTACGTTTCTTCCTCGATTACAACGAGCGTCCTGAACGGAAGTGTAGACGAATACGCCTCGACCGAATCCCTGAGTAAGTGGGAGAAGAGATGAAGTTCACACTTCTTCTCACGGGCAATCCAAGCCGAGATCACAGGGATTGATGGGTTGATCAACACCAGCAGAATGGGGTTGCCTAAAGAGCCCATAAGACAATCTACGATCGAATTGGGCCTACGCTAGCACATGCGAGGCTACCATCTAAATTCTGGCCAGAAATTGCTCGAACTGCAGCTTTCCTCTCCAACCGGTCGCCGTCATCAAAGCTTAACATGACTCCGTATTAAGCTTGGTACGGCGACAAGCCTGACCTATCGCGACTAAGAGTGATTGGATCCAAAGGGGAATACTTAATCCCACCCAAGCAGAGGAAGAAGCCCACGGAGCCAAGAACAAGGCCATGCATCCTACTAGGCTATGAAGGAAATACCAACTACCGTATCCTACTGGAAGACAGAAGAAACTCCAAACTGTCAGGGCCTAGGTCGAACCCTGCCTGAGGCACCAAGTCTGCTGCTTTATTCACTGTTGATCCCACAATGTAGAGATTTCCCACATTTCCTGTACGATAGAATTCTTCCTTCCTTCCTTCCTTCCTTCTCTACGTTTGACGTTTCGTTAGATCGCCACCTTAGATAGAATCCATCCATTTTACCAAGGTGTATAGGATCATCACACAAACGCTGAATTTCACGAAATCCTTACAGCTCCTTACACACCGACCATAGAAGATGTGGGAGCCAGACGAGACGGCTCACCTGAGGCAATGGCTGCTGCCGCAGGGGGGAGTGAGACGGTGGGACTAATAAATAAACGTCGGTAAGCATACAGCAAGCATCCGTACCAGCCTCTGGGCGCCAATCGTCGATGGCACCAACAGAGCGAGCGCTACCTAAGTCGAGGAACGATAACTCGCACATACTGCCTCGATCGAGTAGAGATGACTCACGAGTGCTAACCCAGTCGAGTGACGAGGACTCGCAGAGACAAGCGTCGTCTCAGTCTAGTGACGATGACTCGCAGCCACCCGTTGCTGAACAGGGAGACAGAACCTTGTCGCCTACACGGAGTGATGATAGCTTTGGACCATTTTCAGATGCTCTACAAGATATTTTCCAAGGGAATGGCTCACCACCCGGCAGCGACCAGCAACAAGATGACGCTCAACAGGGTCAAGTTTTAGGAGAATGGCAACGATATCCAGAACTCCAACTTGACCGCCCAGTTCATGCAGTGCGACAAGAAGCACTAGAACATCACCCTGAACTCAAAATTCGTGTTCCACAGGCCACACTAGACGCCTCTGATGACAGCGAAGAAGAGCTTGCGTTAATGAATATTCCTAAGGGAACGCCATCCCAACGTCCTCAACATTAGTTGCAGACGAAACAGAACCTTTTGAGCCAAAGACTATTCAACAAGCGAAGAACGACACAAGCTGGCTTGAGTGGGAAAGCGCAATGCTTGACGAAGTGAACTCGCTTAACCAAAATAAGACGTGGGAGCTTGTTGATCCTCCCAAAGATCGGCGGATTCTCAGCGGAAAATGGGTCTTTAAACTCAAACAAGGACCACATGGCGAAGTCATCCGTCACAAGAGCAGATGGGTAGTAAGAGGCTTCACACAAGAAGAGGGTATCTACTATAACGAAGCTTTTGCCTCAGTTGTTAAGCCAATGAGCTACAAAGCTCTATTCGCAATCGGAGCGGCCCTAGATCTAGAGATCGAGCAAATGGATGTCAAAACGGCATTCCTGTACGGGAACATAGACCACGAGATCTACGTCGAACAGCCTCACCACATGACTGACGGCACGTCAAGGGTCTGCAAACTTCGAAAGGCACTCTATGGCTTAAAACAAGCTCCTCGTATCTGGTACCAGACCCTTACAAACTTTTTACGCAATCTCGGCTTCGAGCTAATCAACGCTGATCTTAGTATCTTCGTCCGGAGCAATATGTACATCGCGGTGCACGTTAATAACCTTTTAATTGTGGGGCCAAGTATTGCAGAGATAAAGAAGATCAAGCGGAGCCTCAGAAACCGTTTTCAAATGCCAGATTTAGGACCGTGCGGCTACTATCTCGGGATGTCCATCCAGCGAGACCGTCAAAACAGGATACTGTGCCTAAGTCAAGAAGCGTATATTAACAAGGTCGGTTATTAGTTCGGAATCAGCAACTGCGCTCCCATCAGCACACCGATAGAAACCTCGCCACTTCCAGAGAATAATCCAGGATACAGATGCCCTCCAGATCAAAGGACCATATACCAACGCATTGTCGGATCTGTGATGTACATTATGCTTGGGACTAGGGGGCACATCGCGTATGCGGTCTCTATGGCGAGCAGATACCTAGCAAACCCTGGACCCCAACACATAAAACTAGCTCGATGCATCCTGCGGTACCTCAAAGGCACAAAAAGCCTCAGACTCACGTACAACGGCCAGATTCAGATGTTGAAAGGCTTCACAGACGCAGACTCGGGTGGATGTCGCGACACAAGACGATTAACAGCTGGGTATCTCTTCAATATCGGGAGGGGAGCAATTAGTTGGCAATCAAAGCGCCAGAGTGTCGCTGCCCTCTCAACTTGTGAAGTTGAATTTCTAGGGCAGACACAAGCAACCAAAGAAGCAATCTGGCTGCGAAGACTCTTCAATGAATTAAACATGAACCAAGGAAAAACCGCAACGTTCATTTGTGGTGACAACCAAGGAGCCATCGCTCTGTCCTCGAACCCGCAATACCACTCCCGCACAAACATATGGAAATCCAACGCAAGTGGCAAGGAGAGGTCCAAGCCGCTGGAACAGTAGAACTGAAGTATGTTCCAACTACAGAGCAAATTGCCGATGGGTTCGCCAAACCTCTTGCACGAGAAGGATTTGAATGGGTTTCGGAGAGGACTTGGTATCGAGTGATGCCCACGCCTTATAGGTACTTATTATTTATGCTAAAAATATACTAATATTGTATACAACAGTCTGATTATATATCTGATATGGAGTTCTCCTCTCGGATCCGACGTGGATGGGAGGTCTTCGACAAATACTATAGTAAATCAGACGACTCTCCTCTTTATGCAGCTGCTCTTATCCTTCATCCAAATTGTCGTATAAGGTATATTCGTGCTAATTGGAAAGCAAAGTGGCAAAAGCCAATGTTAAAAAAGGTTAAAGATCTTTGGATATCTTATCGAGAAAAGGTTTCTCCTCTTGTTTCTTCCTTGTATGAGGAGAAGACTTCTCAAGATCAAGATCTTGATGCTTTTGATCGGATTGCTCAAAACTTAGGCAAGTATACAAGGCCAGCAAGCGAGGATGAATATGAAGATTATAGTAATGGAGACCCATATGATATTGGTACAATATCTGCACTTGAATGGTGGTGCCAAGCTCAACAAAGAAAACGCTGGCCAAGATTATCCTCTATGGCAATTGATATTCTAACAATTGAGGATGGGACTTACTGGAAATCAATCTGATAACTGAAGAGACAACATCCTAATAAATTCTGATGTTGTAGCTGCAGAGGTTGGAGAGAGATGTCCTTGCATGTTAGTTGGAATGTATCGGAGGTCAATTTATCCCGCATCAAGGACAGCTCTCTGATAGTGAAACTCCTCGCATCTGAGGCCAATTATTGCCCCTACCGTTTTCTATCACGATATAAAAGACCCGAGTACGTTGCATCACAGCGCCTAAAGCACGGACGCTTAGTGCTATATGAGTTCACCGCACAACAGGGTATTGAATGGAAGCATCCTCTTTAACACATGGGATGTTGAAGAATTTAGAGGCTACCTGGATAAAGCTTACTCCTGGAGACAAACAAAGCTCAAAACCATTAAGGATTTGGGGATTTAGTATGTGACAAGATTCGGAGGAATTTTTGTGGGTCACATGATCACTCTAACGATTCCTCTAAATTTTAAGAGTAGTCAGATTTATAGATGTAATTAATTCTATATGAGCTTGAATATTCTCAAAATTCGTTGTGATGTGTGCTGACATTACCCCTCTTCTGGAGGCACGGCTTAATTATATAGCCACGTCACTTTATTACTTCACATCATATCCCAATATGGACTAGCTTAATTCGGACAAGATTTTATTGTTGGAAGTGATTGCTTGCTCTCCTCTATCGAATGGGTGGCTCGGTGAGTGGCCGCTAACTAGTTAACTTTTAACTAGTTAACTATTAGCTAACTAATAAGAACTAGCTTACATAGATGATTACTTATCTAGGTCGAACCCAAGCGCCCATGTTTTACTCCCGGTGTACTCCGTTTTACTCCCCGTGTATGGCGGTATGCTTCAACATACACACAAGATCACGTGTAAATCTGTATAAGTTAAATATACATTGGAGAGCACTGCCTTTAATAGAACAGCCTAGAATTCCTGGGTGAAGGGAGAAAATGAAAAGAAGTTAATGAAGATAACGGATAAACTATGTGCGTTCCTTACTTCTAACATTACCGTGTGTGCCTAAACAGATTTTATTGTTGGAGGCGGTGTTATTCTATTTCTATGCCGACGTCCGGTTACGCACATATATGACGTCAGAGTATCGTATGTATTGCATGACACCCTGTAGTAATTTAAGAGGAAGATTGGTTGTTGTTCTTATTCTTGTGTGTGAACTTGAGAATTTTATGTGGAAGATAAACATCAGATTGATTAGATCGAGTCCACAGACTACGTTCTGTAGGTATATGAAACTCTGTTGTTTACTTGATTGAGCTTCGATTCATAATATTCCCCCTTAGGATCGCGAATAGAATCCAAACCAACCGAGTCTCGTCCAAACCACATTCTGAGATCCCTCGGTATATAGTATGAACTATTATTTTGCTTCCCCAACAATTAATTTCCAATCATCTGCCCAAGGCTGGCATCATACTCGATCATCGGCTCTGGAGTCTTCGCCGCAACAATGATATAGTTCCCCAACAACCTCCTACGAAATGCGGAATAACAGTAAGTAAAATAGTACAGCCACTGTCGACGAAATGCCTCTACCTCAGCATCCGATGCCTCAAGGTGTGCGGCACGGTAGTCCGATTCAATTGTCTTCCAGTTGCGGAGGAAGTTGTCTCGCCATGCAAGAAGGGTTTTCCCGTAATGTGGGCCAATATTCTGAGTGTAGGTGATCTCCAAATTTCCTCCAGATCCCCGGTGGAGGGAATCAAGGAGCATGTGGATGGTTGGCAGGTAACCCCCTGGGAAGATGTAGCGGCCGATAAAGGTTGGGACTTTGGGTTTAGTCTCCCGGAGCTGTGGGTGAACTGGTTAGTTTGATTTGACTATAAATAACTGAAAGCTAATGATGTGCAGACCTTATTGGTCATTGTGATTCCATCAATGACCATCACTCCATGAGTAGGGTGCAGAAGCCGAGAGATAATCCCAAAGTACAGATCCAAGTACTCAGGACCGACATGCTCAAACATTCCCACTGAAATCACGCGATCATAGTACCCGTCATTGTCTTCCGGTCCAGAGATATCCCGATAATCGCAAAGGAAGATACGTACCCGATCTTCCAGCCCAGCCTCCTTAACCCTCTGATCCGCGAGACTCTTCTGCTTGTCTGACAGAGTTAACCCTGTCACTCGACACCCCGTTGTCTGAGCCGCTTTGATTGCTAAATGGCCCCATCCACATCCAATATCCAAGACATGGTGTGATGTTGCGATCTGTGCCTTGTGTAAGAGATAGCTGACCTTGCGCTCTTGGGCAGATTCCAGGGACTCAGTTGGATCGCCATTCCAGTGGGCGCAGGAGTAATTCATATCTGCGGAGAGAAAAGCGGCAAAGAGTTCGTTCGAAGCATCGTAGTGCGACGAGATGTTTTGGCGGGCTTTCTGGACACTGTTGGAAGGTTGGAAAAGCCACGCGAGACGGGGAAGCAACTGGAAAAGGTAATTGCCGGAATCCAAATTACTTCTGTTCTTGATGTAGATCTGCTCTGTCTGTTAGATGGCCTGAGAGGAGACTGGGAGTTAAGGAGAAGGTCCATGTCTATGGCCGTAAATACACACATCAAATAATCGGCTCAGATCGTCACAATCAATTTCTTGAAATATGTAGGCCTCTGCAAATCCCTATTTAAAAGTATCCAGTCTGTCAGTGACTCGTTGACACCATCTTTATAGCCGGATCTAACCAGCGGAGCCCTACTAGGTCAAGACAGGAACAAATCCTCCTCCACAAAGTCGGACTTCGAACAAACAGCGTAACCATAGAGTCGGGCTGCCCAGAGTCACTAAAACATCCCACCTGTATGACCTCTGGAGGATCTTTATACTGCAGAATAACCTTGAGGCGGGCGCCCGAGATCCGACGGAGGGTGTGGAGGGCGAGTTCTTGGGCGTAAGGGTGAAGGAAGGATGAGACTGTGGAAGCCATCGGCTAGGTTTGAGGCGGGCTGTGAGTGAACTTTACAAGCCTAATGGTACAGGATATCTTGGATATTATATAGTAGGTTTCCGTACGATAGTTCTCTGAAATCTAGAACATCTGCACGACAAGAGGTTACTCCGCCGGCGTATGTTGTCTACCGAAATAAAACCTAAAAATAAGTGAGGATTTGAAGACGTGTGAATTTCGTTAATGTAGTGATAGATAAAGAGGCGAACGCAGAGTCCTGGAGGATTTGACCAAAGTTACAGCACAGCTGTCATGGGTTTCAATGATGTCATGCTGAATCCAGATTAAACCAGCGGAAGGAAAACATTCAAATTCTTCACATATGTCCGGGGAAGAAGTAAAACATCAGATGCTCATATCAAGTCAGCGAAAGGAAAATAGGTGGCCTAACATGACGTATACGACATGTGCGTGGGACCACCAAAACCGGGCCAATGAGATCGAATCAGATAATCTATTCCCCTCACATTTTCCACCACGACGTCATTACCACCATGATTACTTGTATACAATTTAATTAGCATGGTTTGCTAAAATGTCCCAGCAAAATGTTCTTGATATCCAATGATATATAACATCAGAGTTAGCAATTACCGGTTTACCAGCATCCTCCTCTTTACCGGAGTTTTTATTGATTATACAGTATTCACTGGAGCCTCTGAGCGTCATTAACTTTTTTACTGTATGCATAGCTATGGAATATTGATTTTATGTAATATAATAAATAGAAAAGTCTAGAAAGTGTTTTCCTGGTTATAGAAGCAAGTGGTTAGTGTAAATAATTGCTTTAGTAGTAAGGAAGTGTGCATTTGGTGGTTCGCTCCGGCAGATCTTCCGTTTCTTTCCCTCAGCCAGCTACTGACGACTGTAACAGGCGACATGGTCCAGTTGGCACGGTTCAGACGAGGTGCTCACATCACTTGGACAGAGATTGCTGCCCCGGACAATGAAATAACCAACAAAACCAACCAACAGATTACATATCACGGCCACGACGATGTTCCTCTCAACAGCGCTGGATTTGCACAGCTAGGGCCCGTGGAGGTGTACGACGAGGAGGCCCGATATCAATTTGATTTCAACTTTTTTAACCTTCTAAGTTTCACCAGAGCAATAATCCCACATATGCACAAACACCAATCCGGTGTCATTGTGTTGTTTAGCAGTATTGCGGGCCAACAAACAGGGATTGGGTATGGCCTGTATAGTGCAGGTAACTTTGCAATTGACAGTATTGTGGAAATACTTTCCCTGGAATTGAAGCAGTTTAATATTCGGGCTCATGCCACTGAGCCTGGATTATTCCGAACGGGTTTCCTGCACCATCGAGCTGAGGGAGAATATTTCTTCAAATCGATTCAAGACCATACGGGTGTAAAAGAGATCACCAACGCAGATGGTGTGCAGCCCCATGGCCCGAGGAAGGCAGCAAAACGGATTTTTGAAGTTGTAACGGAAATTGAAGCAGAACAGGGAGTTGAATGAGATCTCAGAATCCTTTTGCGTACTGACGCTATCCAGGTGGTAGAGAAAAAGACTCAATCCCTACAGAAAACCATCGAGAAAACGAGGCTGCTTGCAAGCAGCACCGATCCGGAATATTGAAGGCTCATCCATTAATAATAATATACCCACCACGGAGCCCAAGACTGTGATGTCTTTGTGTTTGAATACGGAAAAAGAATGTGGTGCATTTGTGACAATTCACGTGGCTGGAGTCTCTCTCACGCTGGAAGATTCTACCCACCAAAGAACATAATAATATATAGGTTAGTTTTCCTGTCCTTTCCACTTGATATGTATTTTAATATTTATTTATTTTTTTTTTGTCAGTATTGGCTGTTCTGTTGTTGGGGAAAAATCTTAGATTAACTTACCCAGCATCACCGGTAAGGGTTGTCTTTAATGGCGCATACATTTCAGTTTTAACATACTTGTAGCTTGCCCAAAATACCAGCTCACACAAATTGTAAGATGCACAGTAAAATTTAATTGGGTTCTGTTCAGTTTGTGGTTCTTGGTTCGTCTACAAGTCATGACATCAGCCTGACTCGTTCTGTCACTTTTATCAGAGGTAAAGGCTTGTAGCTGTACACCTCGAAAACAGCATTGGCAAAAATCCATTAGTCAAGCTAGATTTAAAGTATATGGGAAAGTTATAAATACTGCTGACTGTCTAAGGACTGCCAAAAGGTTAGCCATACGTTACAGTATGTCGCAACAGCACTAGCAACATTGCACCGGGTGGATCTACAGTGCCAATTATGGAGACTATCCGAGATTCAGCCTTTGGGAAGCTTGTACGCATCTTCAGCGGCAGGCGATGGCTACGGTACCCTGAAGAGATCGACCCGTCCATCTGGACTGAATGTTTGAAAACGGAGCGCCAAGTAACAGACGAAGAAGCAGCAGCATTGGCAGACAGCGAAGTAGATTCCTTTGGCCTATACACGGTCATGTCGCAGGTTTCTTCTAGGGTCTCGCGCCGCTTGACGTCGACCAGTCACGGCGAATATGGGGAGAAACGACCTCCTGTTGTGATTGACTGGCGAGGACTAGATGATAGTGAGGTGCGCATATACATTTACTTTCCTACGCCCTTTTCTCCTTTCAGCCATGTTTGTACTTACAAACTTGAAGAACCCTCAGAACTGGAGTGTGACCAAAAAGCTTCTTGTTAGTGGTGAGATTTGGCTGTTGACCTTTGCCATCTATATTGGTTCTGCAATATACACCCCAGGAATTCCAGGTGTTGCAGAGCAGTTCGGGGTAAGTCCAGTGGCTGCTACCCTTGGACTAACTCTCTTTGTGTTTGGATATGGTCTGGGTAAGTATTTCCTCATGCATCACTTGCTAACAGCCATACATTGAAAATACTGACGCCTCAATCAGGTCCAATGATTTGGTCTCCTCTATCGGAGCTTCCTGTAGTGGGCCGAAGTCCCACTTACATCATTACTCTAGTAGTTTTCGTATTCTTCCAGTTTGCCGTTATTTATGCAAGGAACTTTGGAATGCTTCTAGCTTTCCGGTTTCTAACCGGTTTCCTAGGCTCCCCGGCTCTTGCAACCGGCGCAGCATCTATGGGAGACATGTGGAGCGCGAAAGTACGCGACTATATGATCGCTATTTGGGGTTGCTTTGCTATATCAGCACCTGTTATGGGACCTCTTGTTGGCGGATTTGCCTATTCAGCCAAAGGATGGACATGGACTATTTGGCAGTTGCTGTGGGTCTCTGGGCTTGCTCTAGTCCTATTATTCTTCTTTCTTCCTGAGACTTTCTCGCCGAATATTCTGTATCGACGTGCACGACGTATACGGAAGATTACCGGAAACTCAAACTACATGTGCGAAGCCGAGATTGAGCTTCAGGCTGTGAGACCTCAGGTAAGTACTTCATAATGCTTCATATTCTATCTCTGGGGATCCAGAGCAAAAATAATTTGTTTTTCAAACAAGGACGTACTATTCGAGTCACTCATCCGCCCATTTGAACTTTGCTTCCTTGAACCTATTATCTTCCTCATGAATCTGTACATCTCCCTCATCTACGGCATCCTCTACATCTTTTTTGAAGCGTTTCCCATCATCTTCGGCGAAATCCATAGCTTTAACCCCGGTGAAATTGGACTAGCGTTCATGGGCACACTTGTCGGCGCCTTCTTCACAGTCTTCGGCTATTTCTTCTGGAAATATAAATACCAATCCCAATATTTTGACGAAGACGGGAATATCACCCCAGAGAAGCAACTGCCTCCGGCTTGCGTGGGGTGCTTTGCTCTTCCCATTTCATTATTCTGGTTTGGCTGGACCGGAAACTTTGAGAGTGTGCATTGGATTGTCCCCATTGTCGGGTCTATGTTCTTTTCCGTTGGTGGTTTTCTGATCTTCAATGGTATCTTCTGTTATCAGGCTCATGCATATCCAAAGTATGCGGCTTCTGTGCTTGCTGGGAACGACTTCATGCGGTCCTCTTTTGGGGCTGCGTTTCCTTTGTTCGCGTCCGCCATGTTCCATAATTTAGGTGTTGGGTGGGCGTGCACGCTCTTGGGTTGCTTGACGGTGTTGTTTGTGCCCTATCCATTTATCCTGCTCAAGCTTGGGAGGAGAATTAGGATGGCGAGTCGATATGCGAGGCATGACATATGATTGTTTTCCCATCTCTGCCCGTCAGTTCGATGGTTCGAGAAAACGAACAGGCAAATCGAAATCGTCAAACTGCTCCTGTTCACCAACCTGGTGATAAAGCCTGGTTAAACCTTAAGAATGTCCACACCGACCGATAGTCAAAGAAGCTTGATGGATCCATGTAAAATACACAATGGTTAAAGCCCCTAGAATCTAGATATTCCGCCAATAGCAGAGACAGTATAGAACAGTAGTTGATGTTTTACGACCGGATAATTGTAGATTGGCTATTGTAGTACCCTCTGCAGCAAAGGTGCAGACGAAATATATAGCGCAATATCAGAACCAATGATGCATTAACATTGAGCTATACGATTCGAAAATTATGGTGTATTGTCTATATTTAGGTATCAAATCTAATTACAATCTGATTCCACCATCCGAGTAAGCTATGAAGAAGTAGATGTAATCTCATGTTCCTTGTCTACAGCAATCTGTACCTACTCACTCTCTATATGCGTTCCTTTATCTGGGTGCAACTCTCAATTGCGAAATTATTTCAGGCGTGTATATATTCTCCTCTTATAACATTGAGCAAGAGGATTCCACATGCAGCTGGCTGGGAAATAGCGATACAAGACAGAGCAGCTGACATTAACTTCGCGAGCATGGCTTGGGCACTATACCGCAACTACCCGGATGTTGGAGCATGCCTATGCTCTGTAGTCTCCAGAGGTCAGGCATCTTAGTTCTATCAATCAGAACGTGTCCGGGTATGTATGTTATGAATATGGATCGGCCCGAGGGATCGCGAATCCTCGCATATATATGCGTTCCCACAGATGAATTCCTGTATACTAAGTACGCTCGTGTAATTCAACGGCTTAGTTCTCTCTATGTAAATGTCAATTCCCCTGACCTACCCTCGGTTCGCAACATATATTAAAGGGCCGTCTGAGAATCTGGATATTTAGACAGGGGGAGTGTTTTGGTACTTCATAAATGACACCATATTTTACATGACTAGTTTGGTATTTCAATTGTGTCATTGATGGTCTCCCAACAGAAGATCAATTGAATGGACTGGCGGATTTTTACGGTCGGAATATGGATGCAAATTTTACCTTTCATAACTACAAGCTGCGGCTTCGGTTTGTGACATTCACGCTCCACCATAATATAATGTCAAGATGATTGTAGTTCATACGTGGAGAATAAGCAGAAGCCTGAAAGGCTGAGCACCAACACCTCCATTTAAAGACCCCTTTTCTTGTTGGACTATCATGCCTCTTGAACCGCTAGACGATAAAGCGGAGTGAATTCCCTCGCCAGTCTGGGATGATTAAGTTTACTTTCGTGTTGTATGTCGGAGCCATATTAGCGAGATTACTTTATGCTCCGTTCGGAGACCCTTGACAACGTGGACATGTCTATGCTAGACTGTTCATACTAAGGTATTTTAAAAGAGCAAAGCGAGGAGACTGAAGGCAAAAAGATAAATAGTAAGCTATAAATGTTTCATGTCCTTTTATCACTGCCTCTCGCAGACTGCCATGAATGGCGACGTTACACCACCCAGGAACAACCGACCCGAGATGGGGTCATGCACCGCGGTTGTGGTGGTAGGAAGGACCTTTGCCTCTGCGTCCTCCACGACCTTGATGACTTCATATGCCGCTTTCTCTGCTGGTGCATCATGATCAGCTGTCTTCTTGCGAATCATTAGCACCGTTGACGGTGCGCCCGTCCGGTACGGGTCTTTGAATGCTTTCAAAAGTTGGATGGAATTCGGGAACGCGCCCACGAATATGTTGCCTTTCGTATCAATTGACACATTGTCAACTCCCATGGACATGGGAATTTCGTCAATTTGGACAAGTCGGTTGTCGGCCGTCAAGCTGTGGACAGTGACAACACCCTTTCCAGACTGCGCGACGTAAATCAGGCCTGAAGACGGATCCCTCGTGATGCCGTTAGGGAGGGTATATTTGTCTGAGGAGGTAATATGGCACTGGCCTGTATCCGTCCTACAGTATGAAATGCTGCCACCTCCGAGAATCGGGGTGAGTTTCCGAAGGACGCCAGGAGCCCTGGTGTTGTGGTCGTTGGTAAGCAGGAAGCCTCCTCTGCTATTGTCGTTGTCGTCCAATGCGACAAGGTTGTTCGGCGAGATGATCGCGTCGCTAACAATTGTCTTGACATGTTCCAGGTAATTACTATCTCCTCCACGACGAATATCGAGATCGTAGACTTCGATAGTAGAATTCGCCCCCACGTTGCTAGCGTCTAGTAGCTGCCCCCCCGTCAGCAAGTCCAGGGGCGGCCGGTGGTTAATCAGCCAAAACCGCAGTCGATTGCCGTCAATCACGCGGACATCGAAACCATGCAGATCCAGTTCTTCCACATCACCATCTTTTCCACGGAAATTCAGGGCACGTGCGCCGTACAACCCATCGGGGCCGGGCTTGTCAACATCTAGCACGGTGATGTAGTCGGTACCACCGCCAGCGGCTGTCCGGGCTGCGAGATCGTACACGTTCCCACCCGGACTCCACGCTTTGCGCTTGGCTGGGCTAGAACATGCGGCATACAGCTTACGACCAAATGAGTCGAGCCAGAGGTCTTCGCAGCTCCCTAATAGTGGGTGTTGGATGCGTTGGCAGCTATAGTTGGGGAAGTCCTCGAGTGGCTGGATGGTACGGCCGATGCCGAAATGCAGCACGATAACATTGTGGATGTAGAATTTGTAAATGCCGAAGAGTATGGCGAGGATTGGAACGAGCAAGCCTCTACTAGAAGAAGTCATGGCTATCATTGATGATGTTTGGAGGGGCATTGACGAGCGAAATAAATAAGCAGACGGACGTTGCCGGGTCCAGCCCGAGTTGGCTATTACCAACAGCGTAGTACCATTTATGCAACTGGACAGACAAATAACAGTCATGCATTAAGATTTATTCAGCTTAGTTTCTACAGGGGGAGAATCCTTCGTCTTAAATCTGATCTCTCATTGATTCGTTCGGGTATAAGGCAAACGGAATGTAAGCCCCCGTGACCCGCAACTGTCGGCATGTGCTGTTCCGACAAGGCATACGTCACAAGCAACAGTACACGTGAGATTAACTAAAAGGGAATAATGTAATTACTGCATATCTTACCTTGGTCTATGAATAATAGTGTCACGGTCTAGCAGCTAATTTAATCTACATAATAGATTTGTACTAAAAGAACTCGCTGAGGGGCTTATATCTGGGGCTGCGGCGGCTGTATAGGTAAATGTGTGCGAGGTAAACGAGATCACATCATCGGGAGAGTTCTACACGACCACTCGAGTGCCCGGTATATGGGCTCGAGCACTTTGCGGGTCCTGCCCGCTACAAATAGCAGTGGCAGCATCCTCGAATTCCTTTGGTTTTATAGCCTCTATTAGAAGATCTGTATCGTCAATGGGTTTATATAGAAAATTTCTCTAGTGTTAGATGTAAGATTGCCTTATTAGATCCTACACTCCTCTCTATTTACATGTTATTGTTATATTCTCGAATCACGTATGATACAGAAATATCGGGCGATAACCCCTAGCACCTTGGAGCGCTCAGCATCGTCCCCCGAATCGCACTCGTTCCTTTAGATAGTTGTTAGTGAGAGAGAGCACGATGGCTACGGTAGTTGAATCAGTGGATTGTTGTTACTACCGTGATGAAGATCCTAAACAGGCTACTGGTGTTCTATTCCTTCGCCTGAGAGAATGATCATAGCCTTTAGATACCGCTATTCCGCTTCAACCCTAGATTAATGAACGCCTGCTCGTTGAAGTTATTATTTGCCATAATATGCCATATTTGGCCACTCCAAATGTTTACTCCAGGACAAACTACGGAGTACAGGCACGTGCAGTTCCCCATTGCACCCGATTCAGGCACCGCCCGAGTAGGTCGACCCGCGGTGTCGACCCGCGGTATCTACGTCGATCTGCCGTCATAGTGGATCTGACAGCCACACTTGACACCATCGACTCTGGCAAAGCAAGATTTCTGGAAGAATGCATCTACATCGTCAGATAGTTCTAGAGGATAACCAAGATCTTTGCGGTGGTCGCATCGGCCATAATGCTCAAGATACCACCCATGTTGGTATTTTATTTTCTCGTAAGGCACGTGAGAGAGTAGTGGTCATTGCACTACTACAACTATTGTTTACAGCAGTGAAGTTGCTGTAAAAGAGTTAGAGCTCGTTTAACCTATAGGGGCTATTAGCCTTATCGCCCCTAAAAGAACCTGACCGCGGTAAGCCTCACCAACCAATTATTACAAGTATAGATAGATGAGCTACACAGTAGTCTATATTATAATAAATATATCAAAAACCCTTTTTCAGCTCTCGTTAGCAGCTAAGTCTTCTAGATTTTGCTAATTCCCTTAGTTCAGGCTCACGAGACTTCCTGTAGGTCATCTTTAATTTTTTATAATTCTGATTCCATTAGCCACCATGTCACAGAGTCAAATCCCTCAGTTCTTCGACAAACATCCCATATCTATCTTTGAAGATATTTCTTCAGACAATTTTACCTTCCTTTTATCTGATGGTCCACAGCCATTTATTTATCCCCGATGCTTTATATAGCCAGCCAACACGTACAGGAGTTTCTCAATCCCTCCCAGAAAACAAACTGCTATTGTTGGCCCACCGGGGGGTGGTAAATCCACTATTGTGCTGATAAACGATTCTACGACCTAACGAGCGGGAGCATCTGTATCGGGGCGCAGAATATCCAGCACGTCAATGTTTCCAATCGCCGAGGCCAGATGGCTTTGTACAGCAATAGTCGCAACCGTTGGGCCGGTCGACTGTGGAGAACATCGCATATGGCCTGGTCTGGTCGGAGTCGGTCGAGCATGCAGACTTGGCCGAGTGCATCCCAGATATGAGCCTCCCTGGCGAAGAGGAGGACCTTCTCATGGGCTGCGATCTGTCAGAATAAAGCTAGTTTATGTTGTGACATCATATGAAATAATCAAGTGAAGTGGCTGATCCTGAAGAGGGGTTAACACAACACAACAACGAACAACACAGAGAATATTGAAAGCTGTCATAGAATTATACATATAATTCCCACATTGCCAGAGTAGGCAAATATACTAGTGCTACATTCAAATTATAACAGCGCTACTTTCTCTGGTGTAGTGGTATATCCGACTCGATCCAAGAATCACTGACATTTCAGGAAAGCAAAGGTGGCAGCAGACAAAGCCAATGCCCTTTCTTTCATCGAGTCTTTGGCATTTGGAATCGTAGCCAGTGTTAGGACCCAGCAGGGGGGGGGTCTTAATGGTGGATGAAGGCAGCATATTGCCCTTGCGACTGCTCTTGTTCGTGAGCCGAAGTCACTCATTTTGAATGAGGTAAAGACTGAGCGAGCAAGTGATTCAGGCTCGTTTTGTCAAATCTTCTTTTTAGCACTCTCATGCGGCCAGTTGCTTGCCCTGGCCCCGGACCTTTCGAAAGCACCGAAGGCGGCCTCCCGTATCGTTGACCCCGAGAGAACACACCCCAATGAAAAGGAATTCGACGGCGATATCCACAATACTATAATCCAGGAGCAAAAGAGCCCATTTTGGATATTGAGGCTCCAAGGACCCCGGAGACAGTATCCCCAGCAATTGCACAACCACCGGTAGGCGCAGGGCTCCATGATGTGCGATTCTCATTGCATCACCCGATGGTCCTGTGCTAAAGGGAATAAATATCACCTTCGAGTCAGGGAGATACTACGCCCTATTAGTCACCAACGGGTCCGGCAAATCAACCATATTCGCCATGTTAGAACGATTCTATTGTCCCTCTTCCGGCCCCATCGTTATTAATGGCCAGGATGTCACCCGTATCTCATCCACTGATTTCAGAGGAGATTTTGCTCTCGACCCCAATAGAACGTTCACTTCGAGGGAACTGTGGCATTTAATATAGCCTTAGGCGCAAGACCTGGATATAAACCCACCCGAACTGAAATAGAAGAGGTGAGCCATTATATTATCACGAAGCTAACTTAAGGGTATGAGACAATCTGTGCTCATACGGGGAAGGAATTCGCAGGCAGACTGCGCCAGGGTCTCTCAATCGTGAGGGCCTTGATCCGCAAGCAGCGTCTCTTACTACTTGATGAATCTACGAGTTCCCTTGATGCTGACTCTGAGCGGAAGATCCGAGATGCCTTGTCTTGGTTTGTGGGGAAACCAACCACCATTTATATAGCGCATCGCTTGCGGACTATTTATCATGTAAACAAAATTTTCCTCATCGAGAATGGTCGTTGCGTTGGCCATGCGACACATAAGGAACTGATTGAGCGAGTGAAAAGAATCTCGAGAGTGTTTTACACCAGTGGATGTCTGATATCGGAGCAGATGGTAGGTATATTGTCATGACTATATACTTGGTCTATATAGATCTTTGGTTGTATCATGGTTAAGCCGTTTAGTAGTATATTTTATAGTATAGCCTGCAACTTATTAAAATTACAGATTTAGAAGTATCAGTTATTTTTACCAGGAATGCAACAATACAAGTAGTAAGGTTAATTAATTGGTATCCATAAAGACAATTAGCTCGTAAAAAGACTGTTATGTACATGTAGTGTGACGAAGAATCGCTAGGATACTTGCACAGGATATTAATCAAATCGAACAGCGAAGGCTCAAATTGGTACTCAAGTAGTGCCTCGTCTCAAATACATTCCAAAATGTCTTATATTGTAAGAGGATCCAGCTCTGACCAGGTATTGATCGGGTAAGGAGACAATGGATCAAGCGAGAAATACCAGTCGAGATCTAGGTCTCTCTGAAGCAGGAGAGGTCAGATATGGACACACTCTAAACGGTCTAAAAGTTTTTAACTCACAAGATTGCCGCCTGTGACATCCTCCTCCATAATCGTTGGCTGCATACTGTTCCTAGACTCATTCGTATGGTGTGATGAATCTGGTCGCACGGTTGTTCCCAAATCAGGACCCTGTACTGGAAGGCTTGCGTGGTCCTATTTTATTGGGACTGGTTATTACTCATTCACACGGCCGAAAAAGTGATGCCAGAAGCTAAAAGAACTTACGGCCGATTGAAGAGGCTCATGATGTCCCTCTCTGTTAGCCCCTGAAGCATTAGACGTTCCGTCTCCCAGTAATAACTCTCGACACCGACGAGACGCCAGAGGGCAAGCATCGTCTATTGTTAAGACTGTCCCGTCAGAAGTTCCGTCGAGGCGAGAGAAGCCTTCCGCAGCCAACATTTGGCTCTTGATTGAGGTCAAGAGCATGTTCAAGATAGTAAATGCCTTAGTAGCCCGTTTCTCCGTACAAACTTTGAACTCAAAATATTTAACCGCGTTCTCCACGCTCCCAAAAAGGGCCAGGCGCTGATAAAATGCGCTTTGGTCCATGAACCCTGAAATAGTACCAGGGAAAGGATCAATTACTCTGTCCTTGGCCTGCAAGCGGAGCTCAAAACAGATGGTCGTGGCAGCGTGGAATACATCATCCCGGAACATTCCGCCTTTGAGCTGCAATACGTGGGAGCAAAAATTACGGCCACTAGCGGGCTGCTCGTCAGGAAGACTTCTTGGGGAATGCTCCAGCTGAGCTAGCAATGCTAAACTGGTCTGTACACAAACTCTTCGTGAGAATACAAAAGGCTCACCCAAGGTTTCTGCAAGCCTCAGGAAGAATGGTCTATGAAGAGCGAGAAGACATCGGTAGTGGAGAAAGAGGAAAAATGACTTCCGGAATGCTAGGCAGCATTCGTTACCTCCAGCAGAGTTTCCGGTGCTAGTGATATCTCGTAGCTCGGGCGGAGCATGTGAGAGCCCCGTAGTGAGACTTTCACTGAGCTTGAAAACATCATCATATCCCTCACTCAATCTCACGCGATTGACGATCTTCGAGACCCTCATCCTGGTTCGTAAGGTCTGCGCAAGTACAATCTGGAAAGAAGTTCTAGTCAACGTAGTAGGTGGTTTGGAAGAAGGCAGGTGGCGTGATTCGACAGAAAAATCTTCGTCGTCTAAGTTAGATGGGAGAGAGCAGTCGAACTCGTCCCAATTTATCGCCAATGGTATTCCGCAGTACAACGATACCTGAAGTTCCAATTCTATAATCGTCAGCCAGAGCCGTTTCCGCATTTCTGCCCAGTAGGGTGAAAGATCGGAGAAATTGGATGGTTCCCGATGAAGTCCCATCAACATGGCTTCTCGAATAAGGGACCCCGCGGCCATGCCAACTAAATCCCCTTCCCATGCAGTCGCCTGCCGCGCGAACAGTAACAAGCATTTGATTTGGATCACATCCAGACTGAGTTGAGCATGACCCCTCATGAGCCCTAACCATGCTGCAACTGCATCGATCCACCTGTGGCACATCTGCATTAGCAACTGCTGATTTAACCCTGCCGATTCTATTGGTTCCCCACTAGCAAAGCAGCCAGAGCAGGCCATCAATGCAAGGAGCTTTGCAATAAAAATATCAGCTGATAAAGAGTCATCTGACTGCATTTCTAGGTGATTCCAGAAAGCATTCCATTCCCCGACGAAGGAGGGAACATGCAATATTCGGAAGGTATATTCGAAGGATGAGAAGTATAGCTGCATTAGATATTCGGAAAGGCCACGACCGGGTAATAACTCTTTCAGCTTCACTGAGTGCAGGTTTTGATCACACCGCCACCGTCTAAAAGGGCCCCTCAGATCTTGTTTCAGCCGCTTCAGGGACAAGTATTCGGCGAATTCCGGGTTGGTAGGGCTTTGTTTGTTTCGATAATAGTCATGCAAATGGGCGTTGAGGTCAGGGAACTCGAATTGGGTCCGTTAGCTAACGAATGGTCGACCGGATGAATCTCCCTTCTTACCATGCCAAGTGTCGTCGCCCAATGACTCCGCCCGAAGAACCTGGTCCTCTGTTGCTTTCCACGAAACGATAGCGGAGCCAGGGATTGGGTAAAAGAGTCAGCTGACGAGGGTGGGATTGGACGTCTGTCGTCATCAGAGTGGATGTGAGAAATACTAGAGACCCTCTCAGGAGTCACACCGTGGTCCGACTCCGCTGTAGTAGCCAACGGTGATGACAGATGGGAAAAGTCTCTCGCTGGCACACGCCCGCCGGCGATACTATGCCTGCTTTTTCCATATTCTGGTGCGTTAAATGACACAGGAGTACCGAGTCCAGTCGATGAATTGCGTGTAAAATCTGGATTCTGCGCGTGTCTTACAAGCCGCAACCTTTTCGAGTTCGCAGCTGTTGACTCCAGTGGAGATAGAGAAGGCGTTGCTGGAGGTAGAGGGTAAGTGCAGGTATCTTTGGTGTTTGACCGCACACACTGGCCACAGGGCTTCAGGCGGTCGCATTTGATCTTGCGTTTGCGGCAGGGAGCACACGAAAGGACAGCCCTATGCCTTCGAGAGGAGCCAGCACTTCTCTGGTGGTTCACTCTCATGATGCTTCGTTTCGCTGCCATTAGCTCATCCGGCTGTATGGGATCCATGGTGGAGTGGGGCCAATCGCTAGTTTAGCCTCTTTGAGCAACGAAGATAGTAGTAGGATACGGAGATTAATATTGGGATACAATCCGATTGTCCGAGAGAAGCTGATGACTATGATGATGATAATGATGGGGACTCGGCATCCGGCTTTGAAGATGTCCAAAAGGGGCATGAAGTAACTCCGTCCCGAAACCATGCTACATTTGGTATGGTTTATCTCGGAGTATCCTATTTCCCAAAGTAGTAATATGCACACAGTAATGGTAAGGTCCTTGGGGCCTCCATGTTTTTTCTGTACTATTGGGATTTTCAGGCTATCTGATTCATGCCACAGGACGCATCAGCTAGTCAATAAATCTCAGACTACCATCACCTGTCTCGGTATGGTAGGCACATTCTCCCTCCATTCTATTGTTTGCGGACTTGGCTAGTTCGGAGCAAATGCGAGTTTCTGTCAGAATAAAACTGGTCCATATTGGGATATCTTGCGAAGTAATATAGCGACGTGGCTATATAAGCCGTACTTCCAGAAGAAGAGGGGTAATGACAACACACGTCAGAAGGAATATAGAGAATATTCAACCTCTCATAGAATTACACCAAAAAATCGAATAGTTTCTAATACTACTTTGTACCCGACCAGGACGACCCACCCTTCCGGGTCTAGGCAGAATACTGGGGCATATAAGAGTGAGATATCATGCCTTGGAACATCGAACTTGATAGGCTTTTTATGGTCTTATATAGATTGTCACTGGATATTTTTTATACATTATTTCCATTTAACTTTTCTCTGTTCTGAACTTCGGATATTTCAACAAACAAATCCAAGTCTATTACATAGTGACCCCGGATTTGAACTTTTTAACCACTCTCTCTTTATAATAACCTAAAATTAATTCAACCCACCATTCCAAAGCCAGACTTAGTATTGAGGACTGCCCTATTCACAGCACGCTAAGTCTATGCATAGCTTTCCACAGAGAAGCTGACACCGTCCTGCATACTTGTGATTTTGGCCCTTAGCGCCATCTTCCAATCCATGACTAGACACCTTCACCATTCTGTCTTCTGCGGAGGCTTGGGCGCATGTCTTCTCTCGCGGTGATACTTCTGGCTGAAGCGTCACAGAATGAATTCCATATGCATGGAAGCACTCGTTGACGGTTATGGCCAGCATATTGAAATCGAACTCAGCATCATCCTCCAAAACAAGATGTGCAGAGGCAAGAGATTTCTTCTGATTCAAACGCCAAATGTGAAGCTCGTGGATGGCGCGAATGCCTGGTATCTAGGACTCATTTTGTTAATTAGACGTCGAGGGAGAAAGTCTGTGTGCTAAATACCTGTTCTAAGTCATGCTTCACATCCTCATGCTCAACACCTTCCGGAGCGCTTTGGAGTAGGATGAGGCCACTCCGCTTTACTGCTCTGTTGTCAGTTGTCCACTGTGGAAACAGGAGCATATATACTAGTAATATCTTACTTAGGGGAAGAGATGAGATGAATATCATAACCGCAATAGCCATACTCACAGCGGGGTCCGCGTAATACCTTGCCCTGTAATCAGCGAGCCAAATAACAAGACCTGCGATGATGACTCCCAGGTTGTTCGCGCAGTCGCCCATGATGTGGATAAAGACACCCATCAGGGCCAAGTCGAAATTCCTCTTTTTAGGCTTGGTGGTGGAAGAATTTAGGTAATGTTTATGGAGGATATGCTAATCTTGTAAGTGACCGGAAGTCGCTGAGAGCCTCGGGCAGCCGGATAGTAGAACCAACCTTCTCATTGACTAAAGCATCGGACTCCGAATTGCCTGTATTACCAGATTCACATTCAGCGTCTGATTGCTCCTTGTCATGACTATGATCGTGTCCTTGCCCATGGCTATGCCCATGTCCATCTCCGTGATCGTGCTCTGTGTCGATCGACAGGTCAACAGACTCGAACCTCCTATGAGATGACGATTTGAAGAGGCTCACCATGTAAGAATAGAACACTGAAAATGTTGAGGCCAAAGCCTACGCAGCCAACAATCATAACGAGCTTTGGTTGTTGGACGTCTGCAACGTAAGAGTTCAGCATTTGTCGTTCTAAGACTATTTCGGGGAGGAGTTGACGAACGCTCCAACGTGATAAAACGTTCAAGAGACTGTAAGAAAATACTAATTCCAAGTCCGAACAGTAGGACTCCATTAAAAAACGCGCCCACAAGTTGCGACCGTTGCCATCCGAATGTGAGTGCTTGAGGTGGCGAGGGCCTTTGCTCCACCTGATAACAGTTAGCCTACAAATAGAAACTGTGATCGAAGCACTGGAATACTTACAATGGCAGCGACGAGCGCAACAAGGAACCCAATAATATCGCTCAGCTGGAACACGCCGGTTAGTCTCTGGTGTTGTCCAAGACGGCTCGCACCTAGGATCCGATCAACGTACATAATGGAAGGCATCTGCAACAAGAGCTAGAGAGCCAGTCTTGAAACCGACTACACAATATCGTTAGTCAATAATTTTTCGACCGAGGCGATGGTCAGTAGCTGACCAGCTATTTCCGCTATAAAGAAGGATGTTGATATCCCAATTACAGCACTAAGCCGCTGGATACGGGAGAGTTTGAAATTCATGTTTCGATCCGCGTAGTGGTGAGCTTGCGACTTTTAGTCCTTTAGAGTTGAGTTTTTCAATACACCCTGGCGGGGATTCCTATATTAATATGTAGGTGATGTGCGGTACGATTAGTTGTCTCTCTGTTACTGATCAACACGGAGTTAATCTTGCCCCATTAGGAATTCCGGAATACCGACGGTAGACGGACGCTCGGGTTGTCAGCATAGAGTGGACCTCTTAACCACCTTCGGAATAGCAAATCGGCATACTTCAACTAGAAACAAAATTTGCCGAATAAGGAAGGTCGTATGTCCGAGGTACATTTCCTCCAAATGGATCGTCAACAATCTGGCCACCGTTCGATAATCCAAGCACACGATGGAGGGTGGGAAAACCTGCTCTAGACGAGTCTAGCTACCGCTAAGCATATGGCTACAGATTCTATTCCGGAAGTCACTCAAATATGGGCGGAAGAACGGAAGGGCGTACTAGATGTAAGCACCTTTGCTGGCCCCCATGACCTAGTGGCTGCAGAACTAGCAGCTGCTTCTCTCGGCAATCGGTGTTCTAGCCAGACTAACAAGCTTGAGCGAAAAAGCTTAAAATGGCCAAAATTAAGGAGCCAGGGAACAAGAACACACGACTGTCGCTCTCGTAGCGCTGGGCCGACTCTGTTCATTACGGAGATGTACGTGGACGGACTTGGAGGATCGCAGATATTACGACCATTTGAGCTCTTATTTGCTATACGTTTTACCGCGAAAAAGGCGCATGCAAAGAAATCCACGGTCTTATCTCCGAGGCGACACCACATAGATCTATCGTCAGGAGCCTGGACTGTTCAAGGGATACCTAGGGCACAAATGCCTCGTCGGGTGTAGCTAGTAGCGATCAAAGTATAAATAGATCTACTCGGACGTTTACATGCTAAACATTCCTCGATACATAACCTTCTTACTTCGCTACGAGACTTTCCACCCCTCGCTATTTGGGTCACATATTGCGTAACCAAAAGTCCCCAAGACAACAGCACTATGCTTGAGCATCAATACAAGTTCCATGTCCAGATGGGCTGCTCCGGTTGCTCCGATGCCATTCAAGTGGCCCTTGAGTCACTCGGCGGTAAGTGCCCATAAGGCAGCTGTGTTCTAAAGTCAACTATCCGGACAAATTGGATACAATATTGATACCATACCTGTACCAATCTGTAGGTCTAAAGCTTCTGAAGATAAGTCTTGAAGAACAGACTGTTACTGTCGCTGCTTGTGTTGAACGTGATCAAAGAAAAGGGAAAATCCATACGGGGCTTTGAAGTCGATGGCATACCCCAGCCCATGTAAGGAACGTATCAGTGATCATGTCCATAGTGGAGAGCCTGGGAGAACTTTATTGGGCAATGAACAATTTCAAGAACAACTTTACAGCTAGCTTGTTGCGAAGCTATAAATAGTACATATGTAGAGACTTTGACAGCCCCAATGTACGAAGTTGGTCTGCATCTAGTACGTAGACAAATGATGCCTTGTCCTGCATTCATTCGTAATGGATCGGGATCATCTCCAATCAGTCCTAGGAATTCTCAGCATTGTGTTGCAGTGACAGTAGTTAGTAGTCCTACCAAGTGATTCAAGGTAAATATACACTCCGGCACTAACTCTAGATCAAACTTCGACGCATAAATAGCGCATCTACAGCTCGGTAGCGGAAAGGAGGCCTGCCAAATTCAACCACTTTTGACCAAAATATCTTCTACACAGTTATCTATTTTATAACAGAAGGGAGGGGTTAGAATAAGGCACATCATCCGTTTACGAATTCGAGCGCCAACTTATCACTTAACGAGTATGTTCCTTCAAATATGTTTCGCCAACGGAGCATGGTCATTCTATTTTCTTCCTAGAATACCCATACAGACTTATAAAAGATAGGAGTCAGTGACAGCTACGATGCTCCCGAACCTTTTTGCTATACTGGGACCATGTCAAGCACAGATAATTGTCCAACATAAAGCATTAGACGCGTCTATAAAATAAAGTATGGAGATAAAAGGAATTACATTGCTTTAAGAGGTACAACAAAAGATAGCATTTATGAAATACATTAAATTATGCCTATTCAAGGACCCAAAGTATAAAACTGATTGTAACATGAGCAGAGAAAATGACACTACTGGCTCTCCCAAAACTGCGCATCAATCGCAACCAACCTATTAAACAACTGATCTCTCGCTCTCATGCCTGTCAAATGAAACGACCGTCCATCCTCCCCTGAAACAACCAATCCATCAGCCGCTTCCTTTACTCCCCACTGCCAACTCGACAATCAACTTCCCCTTCCACCCGAGCCCCTCTGTCTTCTTCAGTGCCCGTATATCCGTAACAGGTAACTGGAATAGGACAGACCCTTTCTTCTGACTCCCCACGCGCAAATCATCCATCATTGCCGAGCTACACATCGTAAAATACAGCACCGGTGGGTCCCCAGACGAGTCAATAACTACTGTCCCGCGCCTGCGTTCAAACTTGGCGTCGAATATCAGCGGGCCCGACTGCGCAGAAACCCAGCTTTTTGTACGCAACATGCGGACCAAACTTTGTGTGTGGGTGGAGTTGACGATCGATATGGCGCGATCGACTGCGATGTGGCCTTTTATTGCTGTGGATATTGTGCGACGCAGAAGGCGGAGAACCTTGACTGCCCATTTTTGTTTAGGTTTGTTGATGTCCTGGGCGGGATGTTGATTCGGTGATTCGGTCTGGATGACTCCATTGAGGGTCAGTACTTTGGATATTTGTCGGGGGGACTGGTAAGGGTGTGTTTTTGGTTGCGGAGGTAGAAGGAGGTGGTGGTAGTGGAGAGGAGTTAAGTTCGCCGATGCGCAGAAGGGTAAGTGTTAATTGGGCGTTGGTGGGGACGTCTTGTAGGAGGGATCTGAGTATATGTATATTAGCTCGGAAGGAAGGGGTGTTCAACAGGTTGGAGATTGATATGATATACCTTTGTAAGTTGAAATAGTCTTTCCAGTTTGGATGGTTCCGGTTCAGATAGTCTATTGTCTGCTGGAAGAGTGGATCACCGAAGATAACCAGACCGAACAGAAACGTAGCACTCTTAACAATGACATGGCTCAAGATAAACCGCGAAGCGATCGATACGCAGAGCAATAGTCCTATAAGTCGCAGACGCGCCCTGACGGCATAGAAAGGAGGTGTTGGAGATAGCACACTGTCCATATGTCATCAACACAAGGCTCCAGCCATTCAGGATTAAAACAGAACCATACTTGGCAAATCGCTCATAAACATCCGTAATATCGCTAATGAGACGCATACTCCGATCCGCGGCAGCTGACACCTTCTTCCTCATAGGCTTCTTCGCTTTGTCATGTAAAACACCATGATCTGGCGCATCTGCGGACATTGCCTCATCCAGAGTGTCTTCTGGGTCTGGTGGAGACTCTGTCGTGCCCTCTTTTATAGACTGGCCGTATTTTCCCGCGGCGCTCTCCATGGCCACATTGGCAATGCTATTGACTAGATTACTGGCTTCTTGCTCCACTGCCTCGCCTTTGTATTTCTCCGATGCCCCAGTAATCCTATCGCTTCCACGAGGCTGGTCATTAACGTTGTCTTCCGTGGAGTCAACCTGAGCAATAATAGGTGCCAGAGGGAAAACTAGTGGTCGAATTGATGGACAGAGAATTAGAGTGATTAGAGTTATAAGAAGGGTGGGAATGATGGAGTCGAGAAACCACGATCCGAAATACACCTGCGACTTTCCGTAAGTCCTAGATAGACAAATTTCTATAGGGATACATGGATAACTAGAAATTTAGGTAGGCTTACAGCACAAAAGACAGATGTTCGTCGAGGCTCCTTCCATGACCGGACCATCACAATATGGCTGGATAGATTGGTGAATCCCACAATAACAGAGGTATAAAATCGTTCCAGTGTCATGCGCAGTTTCTCCGGTGGGAATTGCTCATCTTCTGCGCGATTGAGATCCAGGTCCTGCTGCGTGGTTTCGTGCGTGGCTTTGACGTAGTAGATTTGCTGTCCGTGGATATGTCAGTGGTTGTGGATTATAGGGTGTACGGAATATAGGTAGGTAGTGGTACCTTGTTGAACCGACGGATGAGCATCCACAGATCTTCGTTGGAGAGGCCGGGAGTCAGGTCTTCAACGATAGATTTGGAAGATGGCATATATGAAATGTTTCCCGATTTACTACGGACTTTTTGGACGATTACTTCTGGCTCTTGGTTGGCGGTATTGGTGTCATTTTCTTCTAGCTCTCCGGGAATCATGGTTGGTGTCTGGAGGAGAGCTAAGAGGAAACATCTCACTTCCCAGTCTTGCTGCTAATGTTACAAGTCACATAGGCGTGTTCCGATGCCAAGGTGGACTGAAACTAGTCATGTGAATGAATAGGAAACCAACTGGCACGTATCACACATGTTTTAGACTAGCCTATCTTTCAGGGGCTGAACACGTAGAATCTGTAGGATAGGCTAATATGTACAGAATGGAATCGTTTTGGCGGCCAGGGGCGGGGGGAACGGGTGTTGGAGGCCTACCGTATTCGGCATGATCACGTGACCTATCTTAGTCACCCATCTAGACAACGTAACGTAACCTGCTCGAAGATCACCGAGCGGCGCGCCTCTATGACCTTAATATTTTAATAATAACAAGAGTTAGAATAAATATAGAAGTATTCCTTGATGTATAAATAATTCAGAATGCTTATATAATTTAATTAGAATTTTTAACATTTTTGCTGACTTATATAATCCATGATTATTTTAAATACCACTGTATTTAAATGTATTTTTTGAAATATAATGATCTAGAAATCCTACAAGGATCTAGGCTTAGTATCTATATATGTGCTATTGTATTATTATATATTATAGATAGTAGGCCCTCTTGACATGCTGTTGTTAAGATATTAGGCTTATAAAAAGTGTTATTTCATATGCAATACAGGGCGGCGCGCAGCTCATTGATCCGCGCAGCTCGGTGACCGAGTATATCAGCTCACCCGAAGCCCCTTGAATTGAGGAGAATTGTGCCTCGCGAGCAAGGGAGGAGAGTCACGTGTCGTGGGTCATCGAGGGCCAGTAGGCACGAGACATCAAACTGTCTCCAGCTCTTTATATCTGTTGACCACTTAGATTGTGTAGTATTTGTGAGAGTAAAAATGCTAGATAAAGGACCGACCCCGCCAAACTGCCTTTATAATGCCCTGGGCCAAAAAATAAAGGCATGGGTTATTTTCACCGACTATCTGTCGTTCCTTATCAGCTCCTGAACGATGCTTAGTGGGTACCTGACCAGGTAAGCCAATCCAATGCCGCTGGGATATGCAGGCCACAGCCACTCTGTCGTTCGACCAATGTGCGTCTGTCACTATTAGAATTGATGATATCTTAAGTGGATACACGCAGCTGAATGACCACAGTGGATAATAATTTTAACACCACAACATATACGGCTGAATGCAGAAAACCCTACAATACAGCTAGCCGAATTCTAAGTTTTCTGGCGTCCGCGGCAATCAGCACACTAGGGATAAAGGCACTTGCAATCAGACGCACGAATAGAGGGAAATTTCAGACCAACCAGTTGCCTGGCATTCCCATGTTGGACTATATTCACTAAAGCCCAGCCTTGTGAATTGGTTGTGTTACATGAGCTATGGTTGATCGCTCGGATTATTGTATGGAACAGAGCCTTGGCAAGTGCTACCTAATGTTACCTTTGCAAACACTAAAAAGGCTTTTACTTCTGCTGATCATTCAGCTGACATAGATATATCACCAGCATATATAGATGTTAGAAGGATTAACTAAGACAACGCCCGTCTATCTGCATATACTTTCCTCTACCTCTATTTTACACCATTGGATCACAATCGTACAGCATGTCTTTGGAAAGCGACATGCCTCTACGCAACAGAAGTTTCCAAATGACGCTATATTCGTCCAACTTTGTCATCTCTCTGCGGAGCGATCGAGTCTCTTCATCCATGACGAATATGGCATTGATGCCGTTAAAACCACTTGATCCGCGATGTCAAACACATGCAACAGGTCCTGCGAGAGCTGCTCCCGCGTTCCTCTTTTAACGAGGAAAGCTCTCTTAACCGGGCCACGTCTATCCGGTTCCTCGCATTAAGTGGATATTATTTCATTGCGAGCTTCCTCGCTATTGTGGCTCTAGGAGGGGTATATGTACCACTAGGTAAGCCCATAGTCTACAAAAAGGTGGGTAATCTAGAGTCACTAATACAAGCCGATCCAGCAGCGACCCTTACCCCGGAAGAAGCGCTATACATTTTTTTAAAAAAATAAAAGCAACCCACATCTTAGTAGAGGACAATACTCTCGACAGTGCTATAGCAATTAGGGATCATCCTCAAAACACCAGGGTCAAAAGATAAACCTAATTATAATAACAAGAGCAGAGTCAGACTCAAGCACACACACACCCGAATTAGAGATCAACGATGAATTGACCTTCTCCCCAATAGCAGGATGCCTGATTTTGTTTACTTCCGCGACAACCGGGCCACCGAAAGGGGCCGTTCTCCCTCGGCAGATGTTCTATTTTAGTCCAGACCAGACAGACATGGGGAAGCTCTATCTGGCATCCTGTCCCGTACATTGGGCAGGAGGTACGCGCCTTATAGATAGCGTACTTATCGGAGAGAGTCTGCATATTATAAAGTCTGGACCCGTGCCAGCGCGGTTCTAGGAGATTCTAAGGGAGGACAAAATTACGGACATGAGTGTCTCCGACAATGTTAAGGAAATTAATAGTATATTATATCGAGAATATCAGCGGGCTCAAACGGGAAGACCGTGAGAGACATATTAACGGGGCTCGAAGACTATAGACAGTTTACACGAGTGGTTCAATTCTTCATCCTTCTATTCGATAATTCTTTACAGATCTAACTAATATGCGTATCCGAAATGCATACGGAATAACCGAGATGGGTGGAGGGGTAATTGTAACTCCAGCTGGCTCGGCATTTGCGAAAGTTCGTATAATTCAAAGTTCTCACTAGTTGCTGCTGGTTTGCTATGCAGGGATATATTGGTAGACCTTTTCGAGGGATAACAGTGAGACTCACCGATGATGATCATGGAGAAATTCTCGTGAAAAGCCCTAACATGTTTATCCAGTCGGGAGATATCCACCCTTTTATTAGTGAAGTGGAAACTACTTACACCTTAATAGTTACATCGACGACGAAGCAGCAACACATGCTGCGTTCGACGATGAAGGGTTCTACAAAACAGGAGATTAGATTATGCCCACCGCATTGGCGATGATTACTATTTCGACGGCAGGGTTTCATGCGACTGTACGTCTCTTCCCTGGGCATGTCCTCTGAACTAGACTCACGTATGCAAAGGGATTAGATTCCACGAGTACACAATCTCTATCCTAGAGCAGGAGCAGCGTCTGATAGATGTTCCCTCTATATCAGAAGCCGATGTGCTCCCGGTCCTGGATTTCGAGGCTGGCGGAATGGTAGTCGCACTTGTTCGACTTCAGAAGCAGAATACACGTAAAGCTGTGCATGGAGACGCAGTGCGGAATATACGGGATGAGCTCGCTGCTGCTGGCATGATTTCATACAATGTGCCTACACTATTACGTGTGCTTCAGGATGGGGAACAAGTCCTCATAACGCCCTCTGGTAAAGTGTTGAGAAAGGAATGCCTCCGGATATACTTCAATCTATCTGGATACCTGCCAGATTGGTATGCCGTGGACGGTGTGGAGTATTGGGGAAACAAGCTCGATTTGGCCACTTCATCACGCCTGTTCTACTGAGGAGGTCTATGACATTTAGTGGTATGTCAATTTTATCATCAACGGAGGAGGACAAGTTGATAATTGCTACTTTGTAAATGGTGAGAAGGCTAAACTGACTAATTTATTTATTACCTATATATACTCTACGGACGTTCATTTAGCACTTATCTTGTTATTTCTACTCCTTCCTATACTTATTTAAGTACTTATTGTATTAGTTCTCCTTCACCTTTCTATACTTATTTAAATATTTATCTTACCATTTCTTCTTTTTTCTATATTTATTTATCTATCTTAGTTGTTGTTTGTTATAGCCAAGCTCAGGATCTTAACTATTCCACTGGACCAAAAGACCACTATATCTGATCCCAATGGGGATCAGATATTCCTGAGCGCCTTATATAGTAGCGCACTCTAATGTTAGGTGACACACGCACACCTAACATTGTTCGTCTTTTTATGCTTATTTAAAAGTTATTTAGGACTCCTCTAATAAACCAAATAATAAATTCCCTCCTTTATTATTTAACTATATTTCCTTATTGTGACGGCCTAGGTCCAGCTGCGATGTGGTTCTGAGGTTTACCACTACGCCACAGCCAAAGAGGCGCAAATCGATGACCCAGAAGACTGTAGTAACTTTATAGCAAGGTCAGACCCGTGACACCCATCCCCCGGTATTAAAATACAGTCCCTTAGGATGAATGTACTCTTATTAAGTTTTACAACCTATGGTTTTAATCTATATTTTCTGAATTATAAGGAGAATGTCAGGGGCTGAACCCGTAGGACTTATAGGCATAGGCTATGTAAAGGAATCGTTGAAGAAGGAAGGAAAGAGAAAAAAATATAAATGTTTCCTTTGCTCTTTTACATGACCCCTGTGTCTACTGTGCGCATTTCTAGTCTATCTGTAAAGGGCTGGGGCCGTTTGACCTCTGGGGCCAATTACCCCGTTGTCCCTATTGTCCCTGTTGTCCCTGTAGTCCCTACAGGCCCTTTTGCCCCCGTTGGCCCTCGACCCACAAGACGTGACTCTCATGTTCCTCTTTCTTTCTTCCCTTCAACGATTCCTTTTTGTACATAGATATATAGGTTCTACGGGTTCGGACCCTGACACCATCCATGTAGAATAAGGAAAACTGTTTATGTTAAGAACAAAGCAATTTCCATCTATAGCTAACCAGCTATAAATCCTATATATATACATCCGTACATTCCGTTCATAACCCAACTCCAACCCGGCCTCGAGCAAGCCCTTCCATCAAAGGGGGGTGAGTTCACGCTGAGTTAATTACAAATATTATTTCAAAATTAGACAGTAATAGAAAGAAACTCTAGCTAAGCGAAACTCACAACTTGGTGATAACGCCAAGGATTAGCTAAGGTTTAGAAAGTTGCTCCTTGCGGAAGAAGACCAAGAATCCAGCACTGTAGCAGAGATATCAGTTAGATGCTGTGCTTCTTTCTTTCCTTGAATAGACCCATCCCGGTACGTGCGAGGATATGAGTGAATGGGTGACTTACCATACTAACAGCTGGCAGGAAAGTGCAATCCAGAACCACGCATTGGCCACGGCGGCTGCACCCTTTGTGACATCGGGGGATATCGGTCCCGGACCCACGTTGTTAGGACCGAAGGCTCTTTCTTGCGCAGATTGTGGCAATCGAACCGATCACTTGCGACACGATCAATGTGAAACACATGTGCGTTCGCGTTAACGTTTGCAGAAGTATAATGCCGAAACCGAGACCTTGGATGGAGTCTAACACTCCCAGCCACAACCAGATACTCCGGGAGACGAGGGCCCCGCCTGTGTACCCTCCTGCGACCCAGGGAAGATAGTATCCGATGCCAGAAATTCCCCACCAGATCTGTAGGAATCGTGGTGCTCCGAGACCACATGCGAAGACGGGCAGGAACCAGCTGTGTTGTTTGGAGAATTGGCTCACAATGAACAGGAAAAGGCACCAAAGGAGGCCGAAGAAGACTACGCAGAGAATGACGATTTGCCAAGCATGCGCGTGGGTGGAATTCCATAGGACTGAAATGGGAGATAAGAGTTAGCGGCTGTTGATATGATATAGGGGAATAGGTAGGCTTGGACTCACAGCCCCAGTTTCGGCCGTACGGCGCGCTCAGGAAGAAATTCTGGAGGACAACGGCTACAAAGTTCCAAAGCACAATCCTACGACGGAACACAGACTTGTAAAAAGAAGGAACCTTGCCGGGGGCTTGTCGATAGTAGTTAGGAAGGCCGAAGATCAAAAGGAGTCCAATTGCCCAGAGAAAGATCGCGATAGGATAACAAATGGCACTAGTGACACCGTAGTTAGCATGTGAGAAATGGCAATGGGGCTTTAGTCTGTGCATACGTCATCTTCCAAGTGTTCGAGATACTGTTCTCGGGAGATAGGAGGCCCTCGCTTGACGCTTTGGTGAGGGTTGATCCCCAGTACCAAAGCGCAATGACATACGCCTGCTGGATCCCCTGGATCACACAGGCCCGGAAAATCCACTTCTTCACCGGGGCACCACCCTCGTCACCGAAATTCAGAGCGAAGAAAATGGAACCGCTGGATGAAGCAGCGGCATAAAATCCACTTCCCACGTTCTGTATCCAACCACGATTGAACGAGTTGGAGTCCCAGTGGGCGGAGCCAATCAAAAGGAAGGCAAGGCCATAAAAGAACCAGGGGGTAGAGAGGCAAACAACTGATTTAAAGTATCGGAAAGCAAGCCACCAGCAGACGGAAGTTATAGCGTATGTGGTGGCAATTCCGTACAGCTTCTCTGCGGTTTGACCAACCTCACCAGTGAGCAATGTGATCTGATACGAGTTGGCAGCGATAATCTGTCCCAGAGCCAAGAACATAGAGTAAATCGGCCAGTCTCCCACCTTGATTTGCATCCACTTCCTGAGGCCGGTTGGAGGAACATAGTCCTTCCCAAGGAGGAATTCATCATCTGTATCGTCCTGGTCAAGATGGACACTACCGCTCCCACGCGAGGTCCCGTCATCATTGTAGAATGAGCCTACTGGAGATGCACTATGTTTGCCACGGAAGACCGACGGAGTTGGTGATTTCAGGTTGCGACCGAGTCTTGCATCGCGGAACTTATCGAACCATTGTCTCTCACTTTTGATCAAGAATTCCTCAATGCAGAGTTGCGATTCAGAATTCGATCCATTCAAGTCGTCCAATCGCTTGTCGAAAGTCTTATAATATTCTCCATTACTGTCCGTAAAGAACGGATCAACCTTTTGCAGCTTGAAGTCTTTCTTACCACCGATAATGGAGTCAACGGAGAGAACGGATTCCCTACTAAGATGATTGCCAGCATCAAGGAAAAGCTTCGGGGGAGGCGGGAGACTGTGGTCGACTATCCCCGGGCTGGTCGGAGGCTGGATATATTTGGGACGTAATGAGTCTTGACTGTAACGTTTAGTACCAGTAGCTTGCTGTTGCTGGGCTGCCTGTGCCTGTGCTCGCCTCCCTTCTTCGACCTGAGCGGGGGTGAGGGTATACTCGTCATCCCCATAGTAGCTAGGAATGATATCGGAGTCACTATCGTCCTCGTGGTCAGTGCCTGCCGAACCGCTGTGTTCCTCATCCTCGGGAATATTGCCTTGTCTCTGCCCGCGACGACCACGGCGCTCCAGATGACCGGGACCAGACCGGACACCAAGTGAGAGTGATCGACTGAGCCCTGATTTTGGCTTGTCGGTTCCAGTGGGACTGGCATCCCGGCTGTAAACAGCTGTCCTCTGCTGCGAACCTATTTCACCGGCACCATTGACGTTTGAGTAGCTACTTTCCCCGGAGTGCGTAACCGGCGTATTCAAGCCAGAAATCAAAGGGCTTGTCGGCCGAGCTGTAGGCGTCATAGCTCCACTGGGCGTAGTAGTTCCGGATGGTGTCATTGGACGGCCATGACCCTTCCACACTTCTTTATTTTGTACTTGGATCGCTGTAGTTTGCAAGATCTCGAGATCCTCAACCCACTGGGCAACTGGGAATCGCTGCTTCGCAGACCGTGCGCGCATCATGGCCCGAGTTTCTGTCCTAGAACTGAGTGCTGCCTCAATCGCCAGTTTAAACTGGTACAAGAGATGCGATGTTGATGTAGATTCCACATTATACCACCAACCCGGCATTTGGCCAAGACCGCCTACACGCGCACCAATGCCCAATGCTCCTTTACGGCCGAACTCGACGGCGACCAGACCAAACGGCTCGTCACGAGAGGGAATTAAAGCAAATTCAGCACCGGAAAAGATATAGGGCGGCAGAGCAGTAAACTCAGGTCTGGAAAATACACGTCCTGGATAGACCTTCATCATATGATCGAGCTTGAGGGCGGCGAACTTGCCATAAAGGTCAATAACAGGGCCAACGCAAATTAATTGCACATTTGGGCGAGCTTCCAGCACGGCAGGCATAACATCAGCAATTAGATCCACACCCTTCTGCATGGACCAGCGACCAACAAAGACAAGCAGGTCAGCGTCTGGGTTCTGTTCAAGACCGGCCCACTCCTGGGCCTGCCGCTTTAGTTCCCCTCTACCTTCTTCAAAGCTTGGATCAACTTCAATATCTTTATCCTGTGGAAGTTCTTTGTTCCATTCCCCGACATCAGAGGGATCAGGGTTAGGCAGATTGCCAACCTTTCTTAAGCCCCAGAAGATGGGATATCTTGCGTAGGACCGCTTGCCATATTTCTTTGAGACACCGACTGCACCGAAACCCTGTTGGTGAACCCGCAGGTAGCTGGCGCCTGCATGGAGTAGGTTAAAAACCTCTCCAAATTGGACGTACCTTCGAACTGTATCAATATCGAGGTTGAATACCGAGCAAACCTCATCCTTTTCTTTCTGCGTCCGCATCGGCCACAAACCCTGGAACTCAGCGTTGTGCAGGGAAAGACAAGCAGGGATGGTGCTAGGGAGAAGGTAAAGCGGGGCCAGAGAACCATGATAATCATTAATATGGTACAGATCAACAGGGAACCTCTTGATTGTTTCTGCAATGCACTGGTTCCAGGCGGAATAATAAATCGCACTGTCCAGGTCGTCCATACGGGCTGGGTAAGGGTCCGACTTTGATTGTTGCCGGAACACCGGTGCATCAAGCAGAACATAAGTAATATTTTTCAAGACATGATATTGCACATTGACTTGATACGAGTTGCCTAGAATGGTAACATGCATAGGCTCTGCAGGTTGGTCTTCTGGGTAATCCACACCACCAACACAAGGAACAACCCAGATAAGGTCTTGATGACCTAATGTTTTGCCCATCAATTGGGCCATGACACCAAGACCACCGATTTTGATCTTGATCGCCCAATCCTCAATGTCGTATTCCATGGTGGCGATCAGAACCATGCGTCTTTTGCCTGCAGTGGCACCCGCTAGGGCAGTGCTACTTTGCATAAAACCCGACTTGTTGGCCAGACGTACCAACGGGTTCATTGATTCTTCCCCACCAGCCCGGTTTCTTTTAAACTTTCTCCGTAAAGCCAAGGGAATCATAGGGTGTTTCTCGCTCACACCAACTTGGTTGAATTTGACCTTATAGAAAGACTTCATGAAGATGTAAACACATGCTGCTCCCGTAATGATTGGAAGGATCCAAAAGAGGACGAACATGGCGATTTGCGAACTTTGATTTCCCACTGGAAGGAGCTCATAGCTCATGGTTCCATCGTTGATGTGAAATTTCCAGGCCAAGTACGGAGACGGTGGAGCCTTAGTGATATTGATCAAGGTCGCAGACAAAGCCGACGGCGGCATTCGGTCCAGAACCTTATCATTGTCGAGATCTCCCAGCACCCAACTTTGATCAGGTTTGCCATCCGGATTAATGTCCCAGATGTTTAACTGGCCCACTGCAGGCCATTCCGACGTAAAATGGTACTTCCAATATCCGTCGTTCGTGTCCAGCTTAATAGCATTGTCTAGACCCCCGTCGTATCCGAACTGATTGTAGGGCCCATTGAAAAAAGCGTGAGGAAAACGGCGTGGGACCTTGGAAGTCCAGTCTGCATCACCCTCCTGAACGTAGTCACTGCTACCGGTCCATCGACTCCAGTACTCTACGCGGACATGTTTGCCTTTCCATCCCTGTTTCTTGGTTCCTGACCATGGAAGTTCCTCAATAGTTGTGTTACCAGCCTCATAGTCCTTCCAGTCTGAAAATGTGGTCCCCCAATTCGTAGAGTAGCGATATTTATCAGCACCTGCGGCGTGTTGTTGGATGAACAGTGTTCCGTTGCTGTCCCGGTGGAGCAAACTGGTAGAATAATTGGCAGAGTTAAAGACCATAGGATTATCAATTTGGCCAATGCGGAAGAGGAAGTGGTCCACTGCATTAGTGAATGCCTTGCCATCGGCAGTGCTGGCATTTCGTACCGTTAGGCGATGAACGCCATTATAGACTCCCGTCAGACTGGCTGACCACACCCAGACGCCAGGAAGTTGGCTGGTCCACGATATCTCCGATGGGGGGACTGGCTTGCAATTGACTGAGTTGGAGTCGATAGATGGGATCTTCCCAGCTTCGGTCGACGAATTAAAAGAGATGGCCTTCGTCACGGAGTGGCAATCCAACTCCTGTGTGAAGTGTAGCTCGACCTTCACTGATTCGGAGGCATCTGGTGCCACAGTTGATCGTAGGGGTACATCATGACCGGGAATAAACTTGGTGATCATAGGTCGCGGTCCGGTGAACTGGGAGCGGGGGACGTAGGCACGGAACTCATATGCCTTCATGGTCATGTTGGGAAGGCAACCATTGACCTTGTCAGATCCATTAAGGCCGAGTTTGATTGGACTGTCGACCAACTCCAGCTCGTCGTATGGGTAGAACAAGTTCTTAACGCGGGTCTTGGTAGGGAAAGGAGCGATCAGGGCGGTGTCGTTGTCTTTACAGTCAAACTTATAGTCTATCGTGCGGTTAACATTTTGATAGAGCAGCCAAATCGGTTGATTGTTCGTGTCGGAGCCCAGATCTTGGACGTCGGCATTAACATCGCGTAGAACAGACCACATTCCCGTCTCGGTAGCTGTTTCATTGGAACCAGGGTAATACACTTCCTCGGTTTGTTTCGACAACTTTACAATTGTATATCCGTCGTTGAGAACGGGGAATTCTTCTCGCATTTGATACATGTGCTTAATGATGTTGCGCACTGGATGCGCAGGATCGCGATGGTCGTATGTAGCGGTCTCATCTTTACAGCCGTCCCGACCAGACTGAATAGGCCATTTATAGTAGGTAGAAGAGTCCAGATTAAAGCAGCCGTGGGTTTTCCAGGCCGTTGCAGGCGACATAGCTTGACGTCCGTAGATATAGTTGGATGCTGTTGCATCTAATATATAAAAGGCCTGCTCTTCACCCCAAAGGAGAAGAGGAATACCAGGGAGAAGCATGGTGGTAATAAACAAAGCCAACAGCTGTCTCTCAATACCATACTGAATGGTTGGCCAGCGGAAAACATCTTGGTTCGTGGCACCGAACATATGTCGGGGGTCAAACTTGCCTGTATTGGGGTTAATCAAGTCGTTCATCTGTAACATCATATTCCATGCATCAACGAAGTCGACGGGCACATCAAAGCCGGCAGATAGGGTGCCGTCCATTCCAAGGAATCGGGTCAATGAGCGATACGTTGAATAATGAAATGCGGCCGCGTCAATTGCCTCATGACCTTCTTCGCGCAGAAAATATTGTGACGCGGACGTATTAGTGAGCTTCATGGCTTCACCCGCATCCTTTGGATACTGATTCGGCTGCCTGCCTCGGCCGAGATAGATGGAACCGAATGTATTTCCACCGGTAATCTCACCCGAAATAAAGAAGTTCTTTTTTCCAACACTTCGGGCACATTCCCGGTATGCCTTGGACATGTCTCCCAGGGCATCCACGGTGGCCTGGGTGGCTTTATCGTATCGGAATCCATCAATATCAAGAGAGTGGATGACCATGCAGGAGTGACGGATCAGTCTGTCTCGGACAGAGGGGCGCCATTCCCGAAGGCGATCTTGGACAGAGGCGAACTTAGCCAACTGACGCTTCCAATCTGGCCACACGCCAAAAGCCTCAATATCACCGTATTGATCAAAATCACTGTCATAGCACCCAACAAGGCCCGCGGTCATGGACTTATTGACAGGCCAACCATCCTCATACCAGAATCGAGGGTAGTCGCAAGTTGCGTTATATGAAGTTCCAATGTCGAAATCCACATAGCGACGATTTGATTTCCACAACGGCCGGTATTCCTTTTCGGAGAACGGAGTCGTGTCGTTTAAATGGCCTTCGAAACCGATCAGGTCGCCCATCCTGAGAGGTACAGTTAAAACTCCTTCTCCCTTCTCCTGCCACGGACTGCGGAGAAACTTACGTTGCAATCGTATTATCAAAAATAACATACATCCCACGCTTATGGATCTCTGTAATAGCATCTCGCCAGGTTTGAATGGTACCAAAATGTTGGTCGAGCAAAGTCGTATCCAGGGCCGAATAACCATCAGAGCCCCAGGGCTGGTTCATCAAAGCCGTTCCCGCAAGATACAAACCCTATAACATGCTTGAGCATACTCTATTCCAAAATGAAGTCAAACGGGCAAACCAACCTTAATACCCATTCCTTGCAGATAATCTAACGTGTCGACCAAGCCGGCCACATCTCCGCCGTGTCGCATCTGGTTTGAGGAGATGTCGTGCTCGAACTGGGTGCCATTTATGTTATCATTCGTCGGGTCTCCATTGACGAAACGGTCCATAAACAAGGTATACATTGGAAAGCGCCAGTTGTCAGGAGAAGGGAAATATTTCCCTTTATGGTCCGGCCATTCGCCCCAGTACTCAGCCGGATTGGTTGCGGACTTATTCTGGTTGAGATTATACTGCAGGAGGGACTCATCGTACGGCCATGATGTTGCGGTAGTTGCGAAGAACGCGATGAGCACACAGGAGAATCCCCACTTCATGATTGGCAACGACATTCAAAGGATCGTCTGAAAAGTGCACGGTAAGTCTGGTCCGCCAGCAATGACTGTTGGCTAGGAGCCAAGAGTCAAGGAATCTGTTCCGTTCTATGCCAGAAACACATATGCTCTCATATCTTTCTTTGACCTATCACAATCAAATATACTCTGCTATCTCCCTTGTCTCTAGTTGTTCAAAACTGTTAGAGGTACTGATAGCTAACAAACAATGGTCATCAGATAACGAGCGGAAAGCTTCTTGAGAAGCAGGGTCGAGCGTTCAAACAAGATGAATGGCAACGAAAGGAAGAACAAAAGACGAAGAAAAGTTAGGAGATAGAAATGGGGGAGGAAATCAGAGAGTAAGTCTAAGAGTTGAGGCTCATGAGAAAAGGCTCGGAGGATTTAGTAATATGGCCCATCGGAGAGAGCAAGCTAAAGAGAGAACAGAGGCTTCTGCTAATAATAACACCACCATGATACGAGGGCCACAATGCCTGTTCATAGTGCCAGCTAATAACACTACTCTTTACTACTATCAGCTAGAACGAGTGGTAATCTAAACTGACACACCGTTGGGCTCCAGTTTTGTCTCGTTTACTTCGCCTCGTGTGGCATCCATTATTTCTTTCTTTCTTTCTTTCTTTTTTTTTTTTTATTTTTTCTTGAAAAAACTCTAAATCTCCGCTATGTCCTCGACCCTCACCGTCAGAGACAGCTTATCTATTCGAAGGCAAAAAGTGTGTGGGTATATACCGACAAAACCAGGGATTCGAACAGGCAAGAATTCATTAGGGTTACTTCAGTTCTGGGTCTGAATGGGGCTACGTATCTTGTTTCTCGGAATATCCATTCATATAATTCACCGATACGTCCTTGCGAAACGGGTACTATGACGTAAAAGAGCACTCTGCCTTGTCTTGAAAGGTATTTTTTTTTTTTTTTTTTTTGGGCCCGTGCTGGAAGTCCCGAGTGGATTTGCCTGGAAAGGCAATCAGATTGATCGTCCCTCTTGCGAGTTGCTTATCTCCCACTATAGCACAACCTATTGAATTTACTTATTAATCGTGCTGAGGAAGATAAATTTAGATCATTGGTTTATACGGTGATTTAGTAGGGAAACTCGGGATAAGATACTGAACTGGGCCATTTTATATCCTAAGACATTGAATGCACCAAATGTCTTACAACTGTAATCTATCATTCCCCAACAATGGCGGATTTTTACAGCATGTCTGTAATCCAGTGTATCAATACAAAATATTATGTCGCATACCTGATGTCATTACATGTCAATTGGCTGTCCATATGAATCCTGGTCAAAGTATCCAGTGGTTATTGTCTATTGGTTCCTGGTCCAATATCGGCCTTCGAGTTTAATACCCTATCTGGATGCATCGTGTGAAACCCATTGAGTCAGTGGCGTCGGAGGATCGGACCTGGTATTTTTTTTTTAAAGTGGAACTTCCAGAACGCCGAAGTGGGTCCATTGTCCGATAGACCTATTCTTGGTCAAGTTTGGTTCGGCGAACGATGAAATTAGAACCAGGGTTCATACATTAAGGGAGTCAAATGTGACTACCAATGAAAAACCAGAATCTCAGACACATGGTGGTTCGGCGACTGGGAAGACAGACAATGTTGGTAATACAAGGTGCCTCTCTTATCTCGTCCGATTATTATCAAGTTGAGAACAACTTCTTGGCATAATCCTAACGGCGTTTGACCAGTAGAGACATTGAAAATACTAAAAAGTCAATTCTAACAGAACTATCCACGACAGAGATAGAATTTTCTTTCCCCCTAAATCCGACCATTCCGCTGCTCAGTTACTGTTATCTAACAATGCTAAAATTATGTACATATGTCCAAATCCGCGTTTTTTCCAGTCCGTTTTCCACCGTAAAATGTAGTCACATATATATACGAAAGGCCCCCAATACGAGAATACACTCTCGTATTTGAGATATTGGATTCAATTCGCAATTAAACTATAAAATGATATGTCCAAAAATATTAATTAACACGGAATTCCTTCCCAACGGATCATCGGGAGAAGAGTTTCTGTGGAGGATTGAAACCTTTGTTCAGCCTGCATAAATAGTTCTCTCCGTGCCCTACGGCCATTGTACTTCGACTTCAAAAAACAATCGAAAACTCACTAGGAAGACATCTCCACTGGTGCGGATGCGTGATCTTAGTGGTCAAACTCTTGAGACATACCAATACTACCAACGCCACAAAAACGGAGCGAGCGAGCCAAGAATAGGCGAATAAGCCCAAGTCAAACAAAAAAAGGGCACTGACTGCTAAGTGCTTGATTTGGAGCAGCTAACCGGTGTTAATGTGCTCACCGCACGAAGTTTTCAAGATCAGAATGTGGTAGGCACTCTCTCTTCCCCTGCTTTTTTTCTTCCCTATCTTTGGCCAAATTGCTTGTCAATCAGATTGAAAGGTTATCTTAGCCATAGTAACGCTACACCCCTAGTAAACCAACTCCCTCTCTGAACCCACTCTTGATTTGGGAACTTCGCCCCTGGTGGAGATCTTCCATTGACGGGAATGGCTTGCTGTCTGACTGTCTCATTCAAATGTTACCCAATATTCTACGGTGAGGGTAAGGTACTATGTATAGCTATTCCGCGAGTAAAACCATCATCTGGCCGATCAACTAGTGGTCTAGCCTCAGCACCTCGTACCACGTCATCCTGGCTCACCCGTTCTTCCCAGGTTTGCCAGATTCTTCGCCCTTCTTTCCCCGCAAGTGCCCTTCCTACCGGCCGCCCTATAATAGGAGACAAAGAGCTTCGGAAATGTTTCAACCACACGGAATGCAGTTGGGGCAACAAATCAACTGGGTCCTCCTTCACCCCTAAAGCTTGAAGGATGGCTTTAAAGAGAGATCCGGGGCCAGGTGGCAAGCGACTGACTGAACATCAAACGGGCCGTCCCCAATCTTAACCAGGTTCGAGGGTGATGTTCTTGCTAGTCGACAAGACTAGTTTTTTGACACGTGACCAGATCCTAGTTGGGAGTTCGCGCTGGGAGAGGTCCCATAAATTGGTAAAATGAGGATTCCCGGAGGATAGGAAGGCACTGACTGCGATCTCATGGTCAGTGAGAGACCCTTGCCATACGTTAAGGTGATAATGTGCCACACTCAGGTGCATTCGCAGAAATATACTTCCATCAATAATGCAGCTCAGCCAACTTTAGGGCACCAGCTCTAGCCAAAATGTTGAAGTCTAACATATCTCTAGGGCTGGCCAACTCCTTGTCGCGCTTCCCCGCATTTCTTCAGGTCTCCCTCGGCTGTAACGTTACCCAGTCACCCTTTGGTTTTTTTCGTCCACCCTGCTCTCCCTCTTCTTCTTTTCCTTCAGTGGTTTGATATTGCCTTGTCGCACACTCGTTTGTAACTTTCTTTTCGTCCCCCTCGCGTTGTCAATCTTTAGACCTGCCATTCTTTTTGTCTTATCATTGTCGTTCTCTTTTCCATAGTTGTAATTAAACCAGACCATAATTTTTTATTTTTATTTTTATTTTTATTTTTTGGCCAACTCGCGTCCGTCACTTGTCTCCCAGGCATTCGCTTTTCAGCAGTATATCGCTTTGGCTACTTTAAAACTCCGCAGTGCCAATACTCAGTGGGATCCTGTGAATCGTTTGAGCTTGATTCCAAGGATACAACAGCAACTCAGAGAGTTGCCTCGGGTTCCGCGCCTTCGTTCCATGCCACTCGATCACGCAAACTAAAACCTTACTGGAATTGTCATCGGTAATCATGGTGTTATTGGCGATGTTCTACCAGTGGGCAAGCTTCATCTATATCTCTGGCCTGGTAAGGCCGTCGCTGGCAGCCAGAACGGCCGAATGGAAATCCAGATCGATCTACCAGACGATGACAGATCGGTTCGCGCGGACGGATGGTTCAACCACTGCCCCTTGCAATACGACGGAGGGTCTATACTGTGGAGGAACATGGAGAGGAACCATCAACCACCTCGATTATATCCAGCAAATGGGCTTCGATGCTATCATGATCTCCCCGATTATTGAAAACATAAAGGGCCATGTTTCATATGGGGAGGCCTACCACGGGTATTGGCCGCTTGATCTGTATTCGCTAAACTCGCATTTTGGGACACACCAGGACCTGCTTGATCTCAGTGATGCTATTCACTCCCGGGGCATGTTTCTGATGATGGATACGGTCATCAACAACATGGCGTATATCACCAATGGCAGCAACCCGGCCACCCATATTGACTACTCGGTCTTCACTCCGTTCAACAACTCGGACTATTTCCACCCATACTGTAAAATCACGGATTGGAATAACTTCACCAATGCCCAGTTGTGCCAGACCGGTGATAATATTGTGGCACTGCCAGATCTTTTTACAGAGCACAGCGACGTCCAAGACAAACTGGAAAAGTGGGCCCAGGAAATGATTAAGATTTATTCCATTGATGGCCTGCGGATTGATGCGGCCAAGCATGTGAATCCCGACTTCCTGCCGAAATTTGGGCGCGCTGTCGACACATTCATGACGGGAGAAGTCTTTCAGAGGGAAGTGGACATCATCTGCGACTACCATAATCACTACATTGGCAGTGTCCCAAATTATCCGATCTACTTCTCCATTCTGGAGGCCTTCACCAAGGGCAATACAACCATGTTAGCCAACAAAGTAGAGGAGATGAAGAACTCATGTCACGACGTAACTTCCCTGGTCTCATTCTCCGAAAACCATGATGTAGAACGATTTGCGAGTTTCAACAAGGATATATCGGTATGCACGGCTCCTCTTAACACAATGAAAGATTCTTGTGACTAACTGGAAGTTTTGTAGCTCGCTAAGAATGTCCTTACGTTTACCATCTTGTTTGATGGAGTCCCGATGATATATCAAGGCCAAGAGCAACATTTGGATGGAGGACACCCTCCCAAGGACCGAGAGGCCTTGTGGCTCTCCGGATATGACACCAACGCAGTGTTATACAAGTTGATTGCTAAGGTAAACGGCATCCGCAAGCACGCCTTCAAACTGGGGGAATACGGGGACTCCCAAACTTACACCATTTTCCGGGGTGGCAGCGAACTTGCCTTCCGGAAAGGCATCGAAGGTCGACAGGTGATCATGCTTCTGTCGACTCAAGGGACCAACAGCAAACCGTACCACCTCACTCTGCCGGCAAGCTATATTCCTGGCACAGTGGCAATGGACATTCTCAACTGCGTTAATTACACAGTCAATGAGCAAGGTGAGATGACTATCGACATGGAAAAGGGTGAACCCCGAGTATTCTTCCCTGCAGATCTCATGGAGGGAAGTGGCCTTTGCGGTTACACTTCCGCCAATACTTCACTGACCAGTTTAAAAACTGGGAGCTCATCTTCTACCTCTCTGGGTATCAGGATTACAGGGAGCACGGCTCATGTCGTATTCGCGTCTCTTATAATGTCCGTGCTGACAAGCCTTGTTGGGGTACTGTTGTAAAGCATTTTGGAAGTAGTTTCGATCTCAGTTTCATTGTTTGGAGCGTGTCCATGGTTCATTTTTCTGTGTATATATTATTCTGAGTTGTTGCAGCACGATACCCAGGTACCACATCATGTTCGTCTGCTCTAGCCAATTGTTTTCTGACCCCCCCCCTTTTTTTTTTTTTTTTGTGATCTATTTATTTAATTATTTATTAGTATCTATTTTTCATCTCAAAGTTTCCAGAGGTTGAAAAAAATTACGTATGATCATGGCCTTCTTGTCTCAGACTTTGGAGTTGTCTGATGAACGAACTCCCGTGCCGCCCCGAATACAGTTCTCTGTACGGAAATAGTTAAACCCTGAAAAACCAGTCCACCTTACAATACAGGGTTCAGTGGACACAGTGTGACCGCTAGCGCAATTGGAATATTAGCCTCAACACTGTTGGTGCGAATAAAAATAGCGCGGTGGGCCCACATTTTGCATCCTTGACTCCACACAAGTCTTAGAAGCTAGAAAGATAATATGCCAGCCTGTACTTCGTACGTATCTACCCAATGCCACACGTCGGAACACTAAACTGACCTGCAATTTCGTTCTTGCTTTCAGAATCAGATGGTATCGTTTCTTTCACGCTTTTGTTTTTCTTGGAGAAAGGAGCAAAAATGGCGCCGTATTGAGGGTTAGCTAAGCCTCCCCATCTACCCTGCATTAAAATCCATTCAATACTTGTACAACAGTGCGGTTCAGGCTCTAATCAATGTCTGTTGTAACCCATCAGACGCAGCAAAACACTTAGATCAGCTCCCATCATGGCAGGCCCCGGATAATACCCTGATCCTGCAAGCCTTTGAGTGGCATGTTCCTGCCGACCAGCGCCACTGGCTCCGTCTGCAAAAGGCACTACCGGAGTTCAAAGCTATTGGGATTGATCATATCTGGATCCCTCCGGGATGCAAGGGCATGGACCCGTGGGGCAATGGCTATGATATCTACGACCTGTATGATCTAGGCGAGTTTGACCAGAAGGGCGCCATAGCAACCAAATGGGGGACCAGGAAGGAACTCGAAGATCTTATTTCCCGGGCTCAAGCGCTGGATATTGGCGTTTATTGGGACGCTGTACTCTCTCATAAGGCTGGTGCCGATTATGCTGAACGGTTTGAGGCTGTGAAGGTTGACCCTGAACGTATGGACTTTCCTTTTTCTTTATACTCTTTTTGGCTTTTGTTACAATGATATGGTTGAAATCCTGTTATATTTAAATGCTCATCCAAACAGAAAGAACGAGAAATGTATCCGAACCCGCCCAGATCAGCGGCTGGGTCGGATTCGACTTCACCGGCCGCGGCAACAAGTACAGTTCCATGAAATACAACTGGAACCATTTCAATGGGGTTGACTGGGACGACCTGCGCCAGGAGAACGCCATCTACAAGGTCCACGCTCCCAAGAAGGACTGGGCCAAAGACGTTTCCTCCGAGAAGGGAAACTTTGACTATCTGATGTTTGCCAATCTGGACTATTCTAACCCTGAAGTCTGGGAGGATGTGCTCAACTGGGGGGCGTGGATTACGACGCAGTTACCTCTGAGGGGGATGAGACTAGATGCTGCGAAGCATTTTTCGGTGGATTTCCAGCGGCAGTTCGTTGATCGAGTTAGGGAGACGGCTACGAAAGAGTTTTTTGTGATAGGCGAGTATTGGACGGGAGATATTAGGCCATTGGTGAAGTATTTGGAGAAGATGGAATATAAGGTGGCTGCGTATGATGTGCCACTTGTGGCGAATTTCTCGAAAATGTCGCTGACGAGGGGGGCGGATCTGAGAGACGTGTTTAAGGATACGCTGGTGCAACGGAAGCCTGATTGTGCGGTGGTAAGATTTACTCTTTGGGTGTGACTTGAGAAATGCTGATTCCGAGTTTGGAAGACTATTGTTGAGAATCATGACACGGTACGAGCTTTATCTGGTCCCCATTTTTCTTTTTTAGGATCTCTTGGAGCATTGTGCTAACTCCTGATAGCAACCAGGGCAAATGCTGGAAGTGAGTATTTGCAGTTTACTTTCCACTTTCCCCAGTTCTACAGTCAAGACTAATACATAGCAGACCCCAGTAACAGCATCGTTCAAACCTGTAGGGTATGCATTGATATTGCTTCGCAAAGAAGGCCGCCCATGCGTATTCTACGGAGACCTTTATGGCATCAGAGCCAACGTCAAACACCCGATGAGGCCCGCCTGCAATGGCAAACTCCCCACCCTATTGCTAGCCCGCAAGCTATACGCCTACGGCGAACAACAAGACTACTTCGACAAACCTAATTGTATCGGTCTGCTGTTTCCCTGCACTTTTATTTCCATTCCGTTTACCTTATATTTCTCCTCCGTACTGACGAAGACCTAGGATTTGTTCGCTACGGAAACGCCCGCCATCCCTCCGGACTCGCGTGTGTCATCAGCAATGCCGGTCCATCCCAAAAACGAATGTATGTTGGCCCACAACATGCCCAAGAAGAGTGGACCGATATACTGCAATCGCACAGTGGGGCTGTCACGATTGATGGACAGGGATATGGGGTTTTTCCTGTTAATGCGACGGCCGTGAGTGTATGGGTTCATTCGGCCGCGGAGAACCGAGACAGGGTTCAGAATCATCAATTGTAAGTTGATTGTTCCACTGAATGGATTTTTGTCGTGGAGGTGCCCTTTTTTTCCCTTGTGGGTTTTTGTTGTTTTCACTTGAATGGCTGACAAGTGTTAGTGATGAAAATATCTACCAAGACTAGATTCAGAATTGACTCAGAGAATTAATTATAGAACTCTCACGAATTATATTATACTATTATATTGAAAATTTTTCTCCATTCATGTGGGGATGCCTGTGAGATGAGCCATGGTACGCCGATCCCCACCGAGTCATAATGGCCCCAGTGACTAACAGAAACTACTTAGCCAATGACAAAGTTAAGATACCCAGAGGCTCTGAATCAGGTTATAATCCACCGGATTTTGACAACCATTACCGAATATAGTAATCTAGCCGGCGGATCCCCAGTGAGACATACGAAGAAGAGTCAAATTATTTGCTGTTATCAAGCCAAGATAATAATACGGCTTTCTATTTTGGGAAAATCCCATTTCAATTTAACAGAGTATCACTGTAACCGTGTTCCTGAATTAGCAAAAGTAATTATGATAAATCTCAAGGGGCAAAAAAATAACTAAAAGAATCGTACAAGATCCCATTATGGTCTCGGATGTACTATATTAATATTTGAGATACGAGCCTTGGCTTCCTAACTGAGATTGAAGCATTATTTTGGAAAATTCTGCTTGGTGCTAGGATCCAATCTATACGGAGTAAGCAACACTCCCAAGAACAAATCCCTTCCAGTTTTGCTCCAAGTAACGAGTTGCTCGAATGCCATGAAAGCTTGCTTTCTCTTCTACACAAGCTCAGACACTCAAGACATGTCGATCGTGTATTGGCAATATCCAAAGTTCATCCGCAATTATTTTCGAATTAGTATGCGGGGCCTTTCGCTAACTACTTATTAAGTTTAGGGCCGATCGGATCTTTCACGTGGCTAATTACCTTCTATTATAATACTTCTTCTCAAGTAGACTATTGTACAGTAAGGGAGAAACCAAATTCGGAGTGTATCTGACTAATCGATCGATTTTAGTAGTAGTTATTAGAAAGTAGAGTCGGGTATTTAAAAATAGCAAATTGAGATATCTTGGAATAGACCCAAGCACCGTTGCATACCCGGTACATGTGTGATGTCTTGAAGCATTTAGAAATCTACAGAGTATATCAAAGCACAACTCACAACGTACACTGTTTAGTGGATTAAGAAGAATAGTTCCTTTTTATATTTACTGCTTTATAGAGTAGTTCACACTTGCAATGCTATAGCAATAGTCCATGTTACTCTGTCTCTCACTCCAGCATTTCTGGGCATTTCGTTGGAGGAAAGGCCTTCAAACATTAAGTGCAGAGCATATTCTACGCTATCTTATCAGTCTGCATTGAGTCACATAAGTGTGGTAAAATATCTTATATTAGCTAGAGAGCATATAATCCGAACAGAGTAAATATTATGGATACGGGTTAAAGAATGAAGTATTATCAAACATGAACTTAACCACAAGAACAGAGCCAAACCATTCGTCGAGAACTAATCTTTCCAAATAGGGAGATTCTAAGAGTTGCTTCGAATGTCAATATTAAGCCAAATAGACGATACTAAATCGGAACATCCACACTCTCCAACGCTATATATGTATATTCTGTGAGTAACCCCAGTTACCCTATATGCGTGATATTCTTATCCCCATTTTGCATCTCTCCACCCTGTTGATGTACAGTACATCAAACCCGGTCTGTTCTCGGCCGTTGACGGAGCTCCAATTAGAGGTTTAGGGCCAAGACACCAGCCAACAAGCCGGCAGCAGCTGTGACAGGTGCAGTGAGAATGACACCAGCGCCGGTAGAGTTGGGAGAAGAGCCAGAGGTGGTTCCGTTGGCGGCAGCACCAGTGGAAGAAGCGGTGGCGGAAGAATATGAGGTTGAGGATGACTTGGCGCTGGTAATGCTGCTGGTCTTGGTGGCCTTGCTTAGGGTACCGGTAGAGGTACCGGTAGGGACGGAAGTACGGGTAGAGGAAGAACCAGTGGAAGCGCTGAAAGAGGAAGCGCTGGCGCTGGTGGACGTAGAGCTGGATTCAGAGCCACCTGCTACTTTGAATTGCTCGGATTGAGCAAGGATACCGGTGTTGCGGCCCGAATTGGACAGAAGGCTGATTTGGTAACCCTTTCTGTATTGGGAAAGAGCGTGTTAGCTGATCAGGAGGTACATATAGATTGGGTGACTGTACCCATCAGTGAGGCCGGAGATGCCATCAACAGTGTAGGAGCCCTTGGATGTATCGATGTTGGAAGCAATTTTCTTCTCAACACTGGGATAGACCGCATTGTTAACGAGGTAGAGATCGAATGTGGAGGGGTCGGTGCTTGTTGCTATTAGTTCATCTGTAATCACTTGGTGATTAATGTTGGTGTCGGACATACTCGACAGAGGACCACTTCACAGTGAAAGAACCAGAAGCATCAATATCCGCTCCCTTCTCGGGAGAAGTAACAGAGAGCGCTGGCAAGATTTGGTCAGTTCATACTTATACAAGTTCCAAAAGGGACGTCAAACCTCCAACAGAAACTGCCAGAGGCAAGAGAGACGAAGCGAGCGAGAGACGCATGGTTAACGATAAGAGATAGGGATGATTATTTTGTGAAACAAATATTAAAGAAGAAACAAGCGAAAGTACGCGGATTGAAAGGGAAGTAAGAGGGAAGGAAATTAGAAGGTGAGGATTGCGGTGAAATAGGCAACGGATGAAAGCTCTGTCTTAAATATAATGACGTTCACTGGAGGATTGCCATATCAAAGAGAGTTGCTAAAAAAAAAAAAAAAAAAAAAGAGAGAAAAGTAAAAAGTGAAAAAATTTAAGGTAAAAAAACCAGCACGAGAGCTACGCCATATGGATGATACATTAATGTCTTAAATCACCTGAATACGCTATGTACAACGCAAGGACAGTGGTAGGGCTCTGGATGGGGATGTCTCTGATGGAGCCACCCTTGGATATCGCAGTCATAAACTTTACAATTCAACATTGGCCTTGTTTCAGTGCCACAGACACAGAATATACGGACATCAATTAATTGATAGTTCGTTCACACAGCATCGAATCTTCGCCTAGACTAACCTTTCGTAGTTCTGGCTGGAGTGGGAGATAAAATTAGAACAATTTCACGTCGTGGCTGGGTGACGCTGATCAAATTTCTCCTCTAGGACCACTCAGTCAATAAAGCTTCCTGTAGGGTGTCTGAGACACTCCCTTATTGCGGGCTTGGCAGGGCAGCCACGATAAAGCACCAAAGGAGGACATTTGTTCCAAGGATCTGCTGTCTCTCATCATTGGCCACTAGGGTTGATCCAGTTTATTATACTACACCGGTATGTACGGAGAAACAAGAAGTCCAGAGGCGCTATGTGCTGCACGGCACTCCTTTTAGAAAGCCTTAATCACATGAATTCCCATAATAATTCCTCTACGTACAAATAAATAAAGGGCCAATTGCTCTTGGCTAGTTAATATTTAGCTATACATCTGTTACGAAACTGCACATCAACTAGTAGAGGGCAGACACACAAGGCGGAAATGATAGGCTACTATTAACTTAGTGAGGTCATGGAACACACTAAGTAATGCAACAGATTCTCCAATCGGTAAGCCAAAACGAATATTCATCTTGTATTCAACACAATATTTGAAAATATTGTTAAATATTACAGCTATCTGCAAAAATAAATACAAAGTCAATGTACCCCACTTCTGCCTCGGAATTTGTCACCAGGTGGCTTTATGATTCGGCCAGATGGGAGCGACTAAGAAACTGGCCTCCACATTTCCCTGCGATTGTGTTGAATGACAAGAGCTGCTTTAGCACTTAAGTTAATGGAATTATAATCTTAATCTATTGAAGATTTAGGGCTAGCCCTTGCTTTCTCTGTTTTTTTATTGTTGCGTTGTGAGCTCCCATCGCGCGAGGCTGCTTTTAACGGCTCTTATTTTTGTCGCTATTATCACTCTTTTTATATTCTCTTGCACCAGTCTTTAATGCAGTTACTACTTGTAATTTAGCTTCCTGGATAGCCTGGTATTTAGTATTCTGTGTAATCCATTCGACTTTCCATTCAGCCGCCTCCTCCTGCTTCTAAGCTTGCTTGGCTTCGCACTCTGCAGTGTACTCTGCTTTCTCCTGCGCTTACTTCATTTTCAGGGCCTGATGCTTCGCAGCTGTTGTTCTTTTTTCTCAGCTGACTCTCTGGATTAAGTTGATGGAGCCCAGTGGCTCACCAACCTGCCTTGATATTTTGGCTGTAAATACCTGATCCCAAGCTCCCCGAAAGTGTAGCCAAAAGTTCTATTTTGTAAGATAAATTATTAACCCCTGGCCAGTCGCCATCAGCCAGTCGCAACTCCTACGCGGCGTGACAGCGTCGTGCGGTCAATATTCCATTTTTAACAAGCAGCAGCGTAATTTATGCGATATTGAGTTTACAATTCTGCCAGCGCCGCTTTTATTCGGGCATGGTGGTCCATTTCCTTGATGTTGCCAAAAATCGTGTCACTTGGTGTAACTACGGTAGCCCACGTGATGCCAAGACAGTGTTCGCGAGGCACAATTCTCTTCAATTCAGGAGCTCGGGCGAGCTGACTATCTAGGTGGGTGACTAAGTGAGGCCACGTGACCATACCGAATATGGTAGGTCCCTAACACCCCCCCTTGGCCGAAGCGTGCTCACCCAGCACCATTATGTACAGAATCGCGTGTAAAGCAAAAAGCCAAAAACTAAGCTAAACCTATATTATCGAGAAAAGCCGTGAATCCTTTAAATTAAAGCAGTTTAGTAAGACCGTCCGCAGTGTTTTCCTTACTAGGGCATAGCTAAATATTAATAATACAGTCCGCCGCGAGCTCGCGCGTATAATAATACCGAATATTAATATACTTAGAGTGCTTGGTGGTAACTGTTAAACTAATAAGATCCTTGCAACCTTTATTATTAACATGGAATACAATGGGGTTTAAAGGCGCAGAGTAGATCTTTATTTTGTTAAGTAGGCAATAAAGCTACTAAATTTCCCAAGCTGCGTCTGACACCGCCATATATTCTGCCTTATTGGATAATAAGGCAATGGATGTTTATTTGGCAGATTGCTATAATATTAGGGCACCGGCTAAAAGTATAATATAGCCTAATATGTAAAGGGCTAGAGCCCGTTTGACCTCTCGGGCCAATGTCCCTATTCGTCCCTACTCGTCCCCGTTCGTCCCTATTCGTCCCTATTGTCCCTATTGTCCCTATTGTCCCTACTGTCCCTACTGTCCCTACTGTCCCTACTGTCCCTACTGTCCCTACTGTCCCTACTGTCCCTTTTGGCCCTGTTGGCCCTTTGTGCCATTGGCCCTCGATCCCTGTCACGTGACTCCCCATCTTGTTTGTTTACCGCTCATTTTCCTCTTCCTTTCTTCCCTCCTTCAACGATTCCTTCTCGTACATAACCTATCTGTAGGTTCTACGGGTTCAGCCCTTGACAGGAAACATGCAAGCAGAGAAAACAACCTTACTCCTAGTTATTATGCAGTACTTTAATAATCCCTCCAAAGACTAATAATAATATTACTAAACAGATTCTTAAAACATTTCTTGCACTAAATCTATCCTTCCGAGCTATTAAATATCCTTAATTTATCAGTCTTCTTTTTCTCCTTAATCTAACCATTAATATTCCTCGCCGAACAAAGCTCCGAAAACTGTTAGACAGCAAATTTAAGGCAGTCCAGGACAAGATCTTGTTAGGATGTTTATCTCGAGGGAAAATATCCTTAATATTAAATATATAAACAAGTCCAAATATTTCTATTTCTAGGAGTTATTGTTTTTATATAACATCTCGGTGGGAGCGGAAGGAAGTTCTTCTTGGGTTTAAGCCTCTAGCAGGAGTTTATAGTGGCTCTTTTTTTGCTAAGACTATTCTTTAACTTCTTAAGACACATGGTATTAAGGATTAATTATTAGTTATTACTACAGACAATACTAGTAATAATAAAACTCTATGTAAATTAGTATTAGAGTCTCTAAGTTTAAAGAATATATCTTGGTTAGTAAAGTAGAACCATCTACCCTGCCTTGCTTATATTATCCAGCTTATCGCAAAGAGAGTTATTCAAGCACTTAATATTAAATTATTGGATAAGACCCTTTCTTTTTTTAATAATAAAGGAATCGAATTAACACTTTTAAAACACAAAGATATTTTTGGAAAAACATTACACTGTCAGAAGTACGGAAAGCTGACAGCCAATCGACCAGCTGCGCCGCAGCCAGTGTTGTGACGTTGACAGAACAACTATGATCCAGCCCGATCATATCCCTGGATATGATGCTAACACCGATTTGGACGAAGGTCATACCCAGGGTATGATATCTTATAGCTAGGCTATGATATAGCATACCAAGGACAAGATATATCCTACCACTGGATATGATGACACAGGTATATAAGGACAGTCATTACAAATTAAATAGTTCTAGTTAGTGTGTCTTATTTTCGGAGTTAATAGCACTATACAGCGCTATATCTACCTTTCGGAATCAAGCACGGCATTTCACTATACCCTTCTTATCTCTCTATTGTTAACAAAATACCCTCAGATCTCCTGATCTTAGGAAGGATTAGTAGACCAGATCTGACAATAAGACACCCTTATAACGATAGGAGTATAAGAAGACCACCGCGGTTGAACAATCCAATATGTCTAGTGTTAGAAGTAAAACACCTTTAAATACTTCTGCAGCTTCGAACAATAAAGTCAAGCACCTTAAAGAGATTATCACTTCTCTTGCCAATCAAGTTCAAGCTCTCCAGACGTTTAAAGGTATAAAGACCAATAAAGCGGAAAGCTTTAAAGGTAAATGTTCCACCCTGAGAAGATACCTAACCTCCATGGACATGCACATCCGAATCAACAATCTTAAAAATGCGGATGATCAAGACAAGGTTATGTTTACTAGAACCTACCTTAAAGGAGCAGCATTCGACTGGTTCGAGCCATATATGCGCGACTATCAAGACAATAAACCAAAACAGTGTAAAAAGGCAACCAAAGAAATGTTCGAAGACTATAACAACTTTAAAGAAAAAATTACCAGAGCATTCGGCGACCCAGACGCAGAAGCCGCTGCTGAACGACGCATCGAATCGCTTAGGCAAACCAAAAGTGTTAGAGATCTCGCAGCACAATTCCATTAGATTTTGTTAAACTTATTATAGGACAACTCTGCACTCCGAGCACGCTTCTATCGATGCCTTAATAGAAAAATCAAGGACGCTCTAATATACATCGATAACAGACCTAATAGTCTCGACGACCTTATTAAAACAGCTTCACGCATCGAAAACAGGATATTGGACTGCAAGTACGAAGAAAAACGTTGGCAACAGTATAAGCCAAGAGAAAGCCATCGAAAAGACCGCGACGGAGACACTAAAATGCACTTAAATGCCACTTTCTCCAAAGACAAGAACGATAAAAAAGTGCCTGATAAGAAAGCATTTAAAGGCAAATGTTACAAATGCAATCAACCAGGGCATATAACCAGGAATTATCGATTAAAAGCAAAGAG